AGTTAAAGATTTGCGGTTAGTGACTGCCACTTATTTTGTCCTCCGCGAGGCTGCTCAATTTGAGAACTCCCAAACCGTAACATGAACTTTATCTCTTGCTCTTATTTGCAGCGGGGGCATGAATAATTAGCTGATTTACTTCAGGGTTATAGAAAATGTCATCGAAAAGCTCATCGAGTGGGCAGCAGCAGCACTGGAAATGTCCTCTAATCAACCGGTACTTCCACATGCGGTTATCGCTCTGAATGCATCTGAACTCAACATCGACCAAGAGCAATGGGATACCAAAATATCCACTTCGTGGTTGATGAATTCAGTTCAGAGTAGCCTAACTAGTAATGTCTTATTCAAGAAGCACACTCAAATATGGCGAAATCGTGGTAGACAGATCAACACCGTCGAAGACCTTCTACTATCTTATTATTCTACTGTCACCGTTGTGCGAATCCCTGCCAATGGACGACCTAAGTTGATGAAGGACCAAGTAGAAAAGCTGTACGGTCAAATTATGAAGTCCACGGAAGCAGCCAGAAAGTCGAAGCGTGACCTTCGTATGCTCCTTGATGGAGGCGAGCTCCAAACCTATCTTCAATTTGCATTCGACCACTTTTCGAGCAATCTAGACCAGGCTTTTGATTTCGTTCAAGCTTCGTTCATCTACAATCCTATACCGTCTGATTTTGCAGGCAATATACTCAAGCTTGCTGTTGGCATGATGGAGAGATGGGAACACGAGCTCGATGGAAAAGCAATTTTCACTGAACTAAGTCATATGGTTGCTTCTTGTATTATGCTGGACTCTGCCAGGAACAAAACTCGAGGATCAGCCGAGCTTATATTTCCCGAATATGTCGACTCCTGCGACAATGCGCTCGAAGACTTTTGTGATCGATATTGGCCTTGCGAATACGTCATGAAAGTTAAAACCAAACGTGGCAAAGAGGTTGGGGGAAGATGCGTGAATGTTCGCAGTGGACACGGATCGAAAGGACATCAATTTAAGAACGGGAAGGTCATTGCCGTCGGTAACTACGAGTCTAGCTTCTCCGCAGAATCGTTCCAAGAAGTGTTCCGATATCTCGTGTTTACTTTTTTGAAAGAACTTCTCGGGGAGCTAAGAAAAACTAAATTTACTTCCCAGCCTGAAGATAAAGTTGCTGCACAGATACACAAGACTCAGGTTATGCGGCCCTTCTATACGCATGTCAATCGAGGGATGCCTCCAATTCTTGGAAGCCACTCAGCATGCTTCTGCTGCCTCATGGCATCGCCCGAACACGCTTTACCGTGTGGACATGTACTATGTACCGCGTGTTTAATTGAGTATGGTCAACGAGAAGAGAGGGACGCGATTGAAATTACATCCTGCCCCTTGCATTCTGGGAGAACTTTTAGGTGGATGGTGTTTTTGAAGCCTGAAGCTGCAGGAGTGAGAGTTCTTACACTGGATGGGGGTGGTATTAGAGGCATTGTGGAACTGGAAATTCTTCGCCTTATCGAAAACGTATGGGGTGGTGGGCTGAGGATACAAGACTTCTTTGATCTGATCGTTGGCACAAGTACTGGAGGCTTGATTGCGCTGGGGCTGGCTGCTAAAGATTGGACCGTCGAAAATTGCATTTACCATTTCACAGACCTTTGTGAAAAAGCCTTCACACGTCGTGTCGGTATGAATATCCCAGGAATGAGTATGCTCGTCGAAAGCCTGCATCACAGCAAGTATGAGACAGCACCACTCCAACAGGCATTGCAGCAAGCATTCTCACCAGATGACTATTTATTCGGAGGGCCTCGTGAAACAAATCATCGTACCAAGGTCGCGGTGACAGCAACGAATTCCGGGTCTGTTTCTGTGCTTGCAAACTACAACAGAAACTGTGCTCAGAAAGTGCCATATTCTTTCCAGAGACCTGAGAAACTTACTTCAGAGCTTAAAATATGGGAGGCAGCACGAGCGACATCGGCTGCGCCTAGGATTTTCAAGCCATTCTCACACGAGCCGTCGAAACAGGTTTATGTTGATGGCGCGGTCTACCATAACAACCCAATTCACATTGCCGATTTGGAGCGCAGGCTTTTGTGGCCTAGTGACGGGCACAGTGTCCCGGACTTTGTTCTGTCCATCGGAACTGCTTACAATCCGAATTCGCGAAAGAAGTTGATTGAGAAGTCTTCCATGGTGAACGTTGGTATCTTCGGACATGCTAAATCTTTGGCAAGTCTAGCAATGGATCATATTAGGTCTAGCTTGGACTCAGAAAAGACGTATCAAGACTTCATACTGCAGATCGGCCTTCCCAAAGAATACAGTGATCGATACCAGCGGATCAATCCTCTCATTCTCGAAGATCCACCCGCATTGGACGATGTTCATCGAATGAAGGACTTACAGAGTACCGTGCGAAAGCAGATGACGAACGACACATCAATTATCAGTGCTGCGTATCGACTTCTTGCAACAAGCTTCTACTTTGAAAAGATAAGTCCTATCATCCCACAAGCAAACGGTTCGCTACTTTGTACTGGGATGATAAGGTGTAGACTCCCGAGAGCCACCTTTGCGGATCTTGGTCGATTTCTAGGGACCTCTCATGAACGATCCGAGGGACCATACTTTGTTATCCGTGAAAGAAATCGTCCTCAAGATGCACAACAAGTCTTCATTACGCCAGAAACTTTAACAAATTTGATATTCAAACGCAAATGGCATATGAACTCTATTCAGATACATGTGTCGAACCCTATAGCTTTGACGGAGATTGTTCTTTGCATCAAGAAGAATGAGGAATTCCCTATTAGTGGCTTCCCTCGTACGCTACAAGAGGAAGATCTCCGATCAAGTAAGTGTAAACCCACCTTTGATATATGGAAACGGCTAATCATCTTTTATAGTTGGCATGCGAAACCGACCGTCCACAGCTAATCAACGCTGGCGAAACCGCACGTTAAGTCAGCAGAATCGACGCAAGAAATGGATCGAACCAACCACTCCAACAGCCCTACTAAAGTCGAACGCCAACATAAACACGCTATCCAGCTACGCGATGCCGAATTATGTTGTCGGTAACTCAACGCCACAAGCTCTTGCTGATACACGAGAACGTCTAGGACACGACCTTGCGCCTCCACCTGTAGAATTATCAGCAGTTGAGGGCTTGATATATGAAATGGCTGATACCTCTCAGCCCGTCGAGATGGAGGGGTCGATACCTGTGGTCAACCACCAGCCTATTCAGACAGTCCAGCAGGATGAATCAGAACCGAGCCCATATGCTCTTCCTCGGCGACCGCCTAGAGTATATCCACATATAGAACCAGAACGTGAACCGCGTCTTGAAGATTGGCCGATACCACAATTTGATTCTGGTGCAAATCCACAACCACAAGGTCCAGCCATACTCACAATTTCTAGTCCACGCCAAACACTAGACCGAAATATAGAAGGGAACGAGTTCTTCGTCCAACACAGCCTCCACAATCCTCGCACCATAGCCGAACCACGACTGGCGCCTCCAGATCGAACCTCGAATTCTTTTTTCGTCGGCCAGCGACTATCGCCGGGAGTCTCTCCGCTCTCTCCACCAGGTCCATCCAGTCCACCCAGTCAAAACCGACAATCGCCTCCTAATCGTACCTCAGACCCTTCCTTCGTCAACCACCGACTATCGCAGGGAGTCTCTCCACCCAGTCCACCCAGTCCACCCAGTCCGCCAACTCAACTACGACAGCCGCCATCAAATCACACACTTGCATCGCACGCATCAACGGAGTCGACGGGCTCACGCTACACAGCGGATTCGCGGCTCGATAGAAGCGAGGGGACGGCTTCTTCTTCAACGCCTACTTTTGGGTCGATACTGGGGGAGACGGGGAGTGCGGACGCGAGCGCGAGTAAAGGGAAGGAGAAAGGTAAGGAGAAGAGGGGGAAGTTTAGACAGATGTTTTCATGATTACCTCGGCTTGCCGCGGTCTAGGTGTTGGTGGGGGATAGAATACATGATGTATTAGTGTTGAGACATGGGGGCTTCGAATGAGTGATGGTTAAATCGCAATGGAGCATGGTTATTGGATTTATGAAAAGGTAACTAATGGTGACCAAACGTTTATTATAATCAGCGGAGCAATTCCTGACATGCATGATGCTAGGTATAAACTATTCATCACTTCATTCACAACCAGCTGTCATTTAAATGTTATAACCATCTGCAAGGGAAAAATCAGACTCACTCCCGCGGTGGACAAAATAAGCGGCGGTCGAAAGGCGATATTTCTTCGATTAGGTTAACGAAATATCGTAATTTAGTGTATCAATTTGGAACAATATAATATATTCCGTTAATTGTTATAAGTAAAGGCTTTTTAAACTCCGTTAGATATCGACTTATTTCGTCTAATATTAGTAGGTTAGTAATTGGCATCTATTTTGTCCTCCGCGAGCCGAACTAGCTCATTAAAGTTTTCGCTATTTGGAAATTTTTGAAGCTAAGCTACTAGTCGAACGTTAACCCCCTTAAACCCCCTAAATACTTCGTATCAACACTACCTTACCTACCTTACCCTCTCACCCAAAGAACCGCTTCAATTAACTCTTACCACAAACGCGTATTCCCATTAACCTCAAGCAATCCTCGTCCTCTATACTCCGTATCCCACACCACAACATCGCATGACGTCAATGCGTCTCGACTTCCAATTCTCTCACACCTAGGCATCCACCATCTAATTTAAGAACCTCCCCTCCCCCCTTCATCTTGGCAAAAACAATTCGGAGTCGGTATCTTACTTATCTCCTCTCCCCCTTTCCTCACCAATAATCAAACAAGCGGCTTCTACGGATATAAGGTTTTTACATATCTCCAGATTGATATTTATTTTCGTCCTATAAAACTGCACGCTCGTTTTCTCCGGCATCTTGGCTCGTCCGCCGTACCGAACCCCTTCTCATTCGTCGTGTGCGAGTGTCGCGTGTCCATGGCGCATGCGACATGTTACCTGATATAAAGACTTGATCCCTTACCACAAGCTCGAAGTGATAATCTGTAATAAATATATAATAGGATGCTTCGTACATCGCAGAGCAGAGTAGCAAGTAGTTTCAAAACAGATCGTTCAAACATTATTGAGGCGAGTATTTCATGCGGCGCACGCAGGCGTGCGCGTTCGTGGCTTTTTATATTGCCGAGCGCTCGCGCCCGGCAATCCGGCAGAGCTGGGGGTAGGTACGAGGTACGAGATAAAGGAGGAGATAAGTGATTCTATTGTCACGCGATACTAGTTGGACGATGGTATTGTGTGAGAAAAGTGAGGGTTTTTGGTGTTACGATATCAGAATGAGGGTTAAAGAAAGGAATTCTGGTTGATATGGTTGCTGGAGATAAAAGTAGTGCCAATAAATGTACCGCTTGAGATATATGCGAAAAGCGTTGGCATACATCATCACTTTTCTGGGCGAGGAATGCGGCACGAGATGAATTGCAAAGGAGGAATTAAAAGATGTGAGCAAGACGATAGAAAGGATATGAAAACATGAAAGCTGCGTGAGATAGTTTAGAAATCTTGACCCTAAAGACTATTTATCTTCTAGACCTCGTCCTCCGCAATACTAACTATCCATATTTACAATATCCGATGCTTTTCCACTTCCTTGTCGTTGTCGTAAGCAATCGCTTGGTTCCATCCGGCCAATCACACCAGCCACAGACGTGGAGTTTCGTACGATCTGATTGCCATGGCGCCTCCAAGATGTGCGGCCCCATACAAACCATTTCAGATTGAGCATGAACGCATCTTGGCATTTGCCCAAACCCACGCCAAAACGATGGTTCAGAGCCGCTGATCTCCAGCAATCCTGGCCTTGGTGTCCTGTGATAATTTGGCTTAAACCCTTTTCAGGAAGATGCGGTCTCCGCAGCGGAGTCTTTCGAGAGAACGAAAGTCCTGCGCCCAAGCCCATCCTCGCGGCCAGGCTTCCTGCACTGAGCACCACAAGTTCATTTGCTATTAAAACTTGACAAGCCCACTTCTTTCGAGCCTATTTCATCGTTTGTTCCAGCCTGACTCCTCATCTTGCTGATATACTTTGGAATGGGAGAGTTGTTGTATTTACGGCCATCCCTTTGTTAACGACCCGACGGCTCGCCTCCCTTATGACGACACTCTTTCAGATTCTTCAACACGAATATTTCCCGCCAAATTCTTTTTTATCGCAATTCTCGATACCGTACTGTTAAATCTCGTTCAAATAGAACCTACGACGCATATTCCGCACTTTTCCGCAAAGCTTAGTCCGGGTTACAGAGAGACAAAGTAGCAGCACGAGTCTGCATAATCGACTAGGCGAGGTCGCGCGACCAAGATAACTGCGAATATGGCTTCAACAACGAATATGACTGTGCCATGGGAGGAGCCGGATTGGAGTAGTGCTCCTGCGTGGAAACTTCCTGGATGGGCAGAACCAGTGGTATGAGAATTTGATTGCTAATATATGAAGCACTGCTGATTTGTGAAAGATGGTTGCAAGTATTCTTATTGGGTCCATGGTACTTACCAGGAGACGAGGCTATCGAATTTTCGCACGAAGAGACTACAATATTCTGGCAGATGATTTCGATTCAGCACGATCATCAGATGATCTTCTGGCCCGGGACTTCATGATGGGCCGCGACGACGATAGTATTGACTCCATGTCAACGATGAAGAACCCGCCAAAGAAGAGGCGATGCTGTGGAACAGCCGTATACACGCCCAATACCTCGCGATTCGCCGATTACTACCACAGCAGAATTCTTCAAAGATTTCCCTTTTTGATCGAGATGTTCTATTGGATCATCACCTATGCGTTTTATCGCAGTACGGCTCTGCTCTCCAATGCAATCTTCTCGAAAACTAAAATCTGGGATATTGCTCAAGACCATGCGCTATCGATCCTGGAATTTGAGCAATACTCCTGGTTGAGCTTTCTTTGGCCTGTTCGTGAGAGGGAGGTACAGCAATGGTTCATGCATGGGCATCAAACTTTCTTGACAGTCCTGAACCGCTCTTATGCGCTGATCCATATTCCAGGAACTGTTGGGTATGAATCCTCGCCTAGTTCCCAAAGTCCAGACACTGACACTAGACAGTTTCATTGCATGGTACTACTATGCAGCTCCATCATTTAACACCTTCGCGAGAGTCCGACGAACGATGACCCTCACAAACTTATTCGCTTTCATAATTTTCATCTTCTATCCATGCATGCCCCCACGATTTCTACCACAAGAATATGGCTTCCTCGACAGTGTAGGGCATAACAACGCTCAAAGTGTATGGATGAGTGGAAAATACGTCAACTCTTTAGCAGCTATGCCATCGATGCATTTCGGATATTCATTTTGCATTGGTTGCACGCTTGTCTACCACTCCGGTATCTTCCGCAGGACACTTGAACCTGGAGAGCAACGCAAATCAAAGCCATGGGCTATCTTTTACATCCTCCTCGGAATCGCATATCCATGCTGGATCCTCGTCACGATCGTCGCCACCGCGAACCACTATTTCCTTGACGCGTGCGTAGCTACACTTGTCGCTACTGCCGCTTTCTTTTGCAACAAAGTTTTCTTCGTATTGATTCCGCTGGAGGATTTGTTGCTCTGGTGCTTGAGGCTAGAGAAGCCGATCCCAACAACGGGGTATGCTCTTCGTAGATGAAGTTCTGCTTCAAACGGATTGAGCTCTTCGTCGTCATTATTTGGAATGGCGTTCACTTTTAGATCGCTATTGTCCATTTTCGAGTTTGAACCGTTTTATTGATACCACTGCATCTATCCATTGGATTGTACTTGGATATGGCGTTTTGTGTTGGAGGGAACAGGCACGACCATATACTGAGTCAGTGAACAAAAATCGTTGTAAACCAACGTGTGTGTAGAGTAATAAAGGGATGTACGCTCGCTGTACATGTTGAAGTGCTCTCCATAGAATATAATTGGGTTTAACCATAATCTGGTCATCTTCGGAACCAAGCTATCATCTGTTGTGTGAGGCAGAGATACTGGTGCATCTTGCCTATAAGTTGGATTATGTTCAGGTGGGTCGAAGAAAGATCCTCCATGACGTTGGGGTTGTTTTCAAAGCGATCCTGCTCTTTTCGAGGAAATAGTATTGACTGCGGCCCACCAACATCTTTCCTCAGCTTTGACACCCCGGAGACCAGACTATTTACATCACGTGCCAGGTACCATTGGTACCTGAACGAAGACCAGGATCTTTGCTGCTGGTGAACTCTCCCAGCCGCCTCTTCATTTACAAAGCTTCCCCCACCACCCTCATATGTCTCATCCTGTCGCAAAGCTCAGCAGAAGTTGGGCCATCATTAACAATCATTTCACTTCATTTGTAATGCCTATCAAGCTGCGGATAAACTTCAATTCCTCCTCGCGATCGTATCTTCAGTCTATTACACCCCGTCTTCAGCTACGATAATCATAAAACATGGCCGACGAAGCAGGAGACGCTGGCGAGATTGTCATTGGAGAGGAGGTCGTCATTGAGATTGATGCGCCTGCCGCGGAAACTGCTGGCGATGACGTTCCATTAGAAGAGGAAACAATGGATCTCGACCCAGTCCCAGCTCGAAGAACCTACATCGACTACCTCAAGAGTCCCATCATCACTCTGTTTGTTGGTCAGGGCGACGAACAGGCGCTTCTAACTGCGCACGAAGCTCTGCTTACCACAAGTCCATGGTTCAAGGACGCATGCGAGAAGTTCACCGAAGAGGTTTCTGTAAGCTCACTCTCCTTTCGCATCTAGGACGACATTGACATTTTGCATAGGAGCGTCGCATTGATTTGATTGACGAGGACCTCGACGCTGTAGGATGTTTCCTCGAGTACCTCTACACCAACGATTACTTCCCTCGCAAGGTCCCTGGTAGTCGCGATCTCGAGCACGATCCCGCAACCCCAGACGTAGACGAGACTGGAGACCAACTCTTGAAGCACGCGCGTGTCTATACTCTCGCAGAAAACCTTCAATTGCCCAAACTAAAAGCCCTCGCATCAAGCAAGATCCACTGCGTCAACTCCACCGCCAAAGGAGAAATCGCATACGCGAGATACGTCTATGCGCATACCGCAAAGGACGACACTGCCATCCGCGCGCCAGTTGCCAACTTCTGGGCCACCAGATCGCACACTCTCCGTTCCGAAGCCGAGGACGAGTTCCGTTCTATGTGTTTGGAATTCCCACAATTCGGATACGACGTTCTTAGTAAGTCCAGATTGCTGTCAGATGCGCCGACATCCAAAACTAACACATCGCAGCGCGTGTTCTGGACGAGAAGCTCAAGCGAGAGAAGAACGACAAGATGCACCCCTCATCATCCCACACCCCAGGAAGCTCTCGCAAGCGCCCACGCGCCAATGCTTAAGTGCTCTTACCCTACCGAAACTCACATGGCTGGGGCAGCTTCGGGGCATGACCTTTCTCTACCATTGCGCGCCGACATGGTTTACGCATTGTACACAGTATACAAGAGCCTAATTTTCTCTCTCTGTACTACACAAATGTACCGGCCAATTTTTGCAGTAGAAATCTCGTTACCAAAACTCTTTCGGAACACTAATACCAGAAAAAATGGATCCAGATGTAGGAGCTGGGACGGAGTGTGGAACTATTTTGTATTTGCTAAGACCAGCAATTTTGTTTGTATGATATCACTATCTTCTTCTTGGAGTTAGTCTTTTTCATATATGTATTTTGTAACATTAGGAGAAATGGTGTTGTCCAATGGAAAAGGAAAATTGTCACCGTAGCCATTACCTGAAACACAGTTGTGGAATGTACTCAGTACCACATGGGAACACTCTTCCACGCAGATATATAAGGTCAGGTGTCCAGTACCACGTTTCTCCAAATTTAACATCATTTCATTTCATTTCATTTCGTTAAGAATAGGTGAGGTATTAGTCCGCTAAGAAAAGACGATGGGATAGGAAATCCTTCACCCTTTGCTTCCTTTCCTTTCCTTTGTATTATCACTTCCCCTGTGCCCTTTACCTTTTTCGCCTTTCCCTTGGTTTTACTATTCCCAAGGGCCGACACCGTCGAATTCGTTAGCTCCCGCCCTTTCACCTTTCCTAGCGAAATATCCCATATCCATATCCATACCCAGAAACCCTCCAAAAACCGAAAAGGAATCGCAAACGCCAGAAATCCGTGCCCTATAAGAGCCTCCCGACGACCAAAACTCCAAGAGGAGGGGTTATACGTCGCTCGCTCTTTCACCCCGACCTCTGATCCGGAGCGGGGAACCCCTCATACATCCTCTGCTGCTGCTGCGCATGCAGCTGCTCACTCGCCAACCTCTGATCATTCGCGTAATCCTCCCTCTCCCTCCCATTACTCTGCTGGCTCTGCACGCTCTCCCTCCGCGCCCACCCTCCGTTCCCACCTCCATTCGCGGGATGATACAACAACGCGCCGATGTTATGCACGAACAGCGGATACAGCTTCTCGGTGATCCGCTCACGGTTCGCGAACTCGAGCGCTTTTTCAAACGGGATCCAGACGCCTTTTAGGTGCATCGGACCGATCTTCACGACGTGTTTCTGGCGTTCGGCTTTGAGGATGCCGTCGCGTCGGCCGCGGGTCATGCCGGCGACGTTGAGGAGTTTGGTGCCGTTTATCATGTGGTTGTCTGGGATGTGTTAGTGGGAGGGGAAAAGGGATGATAGAGGGGGGAGAAATACCTTCACGACGTGCAACACAAGTCCCATTGACATCGACCTGAAAACACAACGTCCCCTCATCCTCCCACAAAGTAGCCGTCACACTTGGTCTCCTCGCTCCAGGCGGTGCAATCTGGCCCGTCGTATCTGGCGGAGGCATTTCCTGTTGCGGTGGAGGCGGATAGGCCTGACTCAATGGGCGTAGACCCTGGGACATGGAGGGGAGAGGAAGGCCGGATGGACCTGGTGGTGGGGGATAGTGATGTTGTGGATTTTGAGGATGGGCTTGTTGCTCGCCTTGCGGATACCGCAATTGAATGTCGTAGGAATACTGGGGGTATTGATTCGATGTCTGAGGCGATTGAGGTATTTCGCCTTGAGGTGGTGGATAGCGATGCATGTTATCTGCTTGGCTGGGTTGCTGCACTTGCGGTGGTGATTGAGGGGCAGACATTTGAGAGGGGTGGTGATACATGTTCTCAACGGGTGGAGCCGATTGAATAGATGGTTGCTCTTGTTGATCTGAGTTGTTCGGGGAAGGTAATAAGGTTATAAAAGGTGGTTCCTTCTCAACCATTGCTCTCGCGTCTGTCCTGCAATCGAAATAAACGTCCGATATGGCAGCAGATGGTGGGGTGGCAGAGGCACAGTATGTTTCAGCGGCTTACTCTGGCTGAATGAAACGAACGAGTTGGACTGCCCTTTAGCCTGACGTGCAGAACGTCAGCAATTGTTGGACAGCAATCAACGCCGTTCTTCAGAAACTCAAAACAAATCGACACACCGCTGGAAGAGAAAGAGGAGAAGGAGGGAACAGAAGCCAGCCTTGTCCAGATAAACGCCCGCAACGTCGTATTCTGGAAGAGCCGGACAAGGGGTCACGCTTTAGCGAAGGGCAATAGGCATCAGATCGACCACGGATATGCACGTCCAGCAGGCCCACGGTGGAACATCTGGAGCAAATTGGCGGCAACCCGGGGCTTTTCTGTTTGCTTCATGTTGAGCAGGCCCGCGCTTGCGGGGGTTGGGGCGCGCTTCAAGACCCAAGGAGGTTTTCTGTTGCGTGGAAGAACGGGAACGCGCGTGGACGGGTAGAGACAGGGGGTAGATACCAGAAGATTGTAACGCTTGAGGGAGAGGTTGCGTGGGAGGGGGCGGGAGTTGATTGAATTTCTAATTGACCAGTTGAAAGGTTCAGATGCACGAGAGTGAGACAAATGCAGAACCGCTTACCGGGTTTGAGAGCGGAGATGCGGCCATATTTATATAAACGAAACTTTGTTTGTTGATGTTTTGATAACCCACTTGGTAGATCGATAGGACGTTAGTAATTTAAGTGACAAGAGTCCAGCATAGTATTAGCGGAAATTTGACGTTAACTCATGATTTCGGTGACTGCTTTTAACGTAAACTTCCCTCCCCCAGCTTAAGCGAGTTCAGTGGAGAACATTGACTCGCGGAGGACAAAATAAGTGGCAGTCGCCTACCTAAAAATCTTAAACTAAATAATAAGTCTACTTCGAATGGAGCCTAAAAAGTCTTATTTACTTACAATAGTAGACAAAATAGTTATAATGTCCTAATTTAATCCACTAAATGACGATATTTCGTTAACTTAGTCGAAGAACTATTCTAGTTCGACTGCCACTTATTTTGTCCTCCGCGAGATTGATAACGAATTTCAAATCATCGTCAATCTGTTACCTCCACTCGAGTTTCCTAAGTGATAGTTTATAGGCTGTCTTGACTCTTTGAGCTCTGGCACTCAAATGAGTCGAATTTACTCTAGGGCAACCAAACAACAGTCTTTGCTCATCGAGTAAGTTGTTCATTGACGTGGTTGAGCAAGCTCACGGCGGATAAGACAATCGTCATATGAACCACTACGTCTGATCAATGGAATTTGGAAGTGTTATCAATGTTGTCATTTACTTTATTAAGCATTCGGTTGGTACCTAATCACCCATATGTTTCTCTGCCTCTAGAGACTCAGGGGTTTCCACCATTTCGGTCGGCTCACTTTCAGCCTCTTCTGTCGTAGACATAGCAGCCTTAGTATGTTTCCCTATCTTCGTAGGCTTGGTAGGTTCTTCTGCCGTCTCGGTTGGCTCTGACTCTTCAGTTGTAGTAACTGACTCTTCAGAGCCCGCAGCTTCCTCCGTCGTTTGAGCTTCAGAGTCGGGATCGACTGTGCTGGTGGGCGCTTCGGGTTCTGTCTCGGTAGGTTCGGGGTCTTCAGTGGACTCAGAATCTTCTGTAGGCTCGGAATCTTCAGTCGGCTCTGAATTTTCAGTAGACTCAGAATCATCAGTAGGTTCATCTTCAGTCGGTTCAGAATCTTCAGTAGTCTCAGCATCATTAGTAGCCTCAGATTCAGGTTCTTCTGTCGTCGTGGCCGCAGAATCCGATTCTCCTGAATCGGTCTTTTCAGATGCTGCTGTAGATGTACCCGTGTTTTTCGGTAAGTCTGTTTTTGAAGGTGTTTCGGTTGGGGTCGTAGGAGCTGGAGAGGCGGGAGATTGACTTGGTGGTGGCTGGCTTGGGGGTGAAGGAGGAGATGGGGTCAGAGGAGATGGAGCAGGGCTCCCATTTGGCGAACTGGGAGCTGTTGCTTTTGGTGGTGCTAGTTCTAGACCTGGAGCATCACCTGGATTTTGTCTTGCCCCTCCTCCACCTGGTGCAAGGGCTGAATCCGTTGGCTTAGGATCTGGCACTGCAGGTGGCTTCGGATCTGGTTTGGGCGGTGGAGCAGGAGCTTTATCAGGCTCAGGCTTACTTCCAGGTTTACTACCACCGGATTTTCTCCCACAGATTTTGCCCCCAGGACACGGAATAGGCGGGGCGAGACCCGCAGCATCCGTTGCCAAAGACAAAGGGTTGAAAGCGCCATTGATAATATCCGTGGCCTCCTGAGCTTGTGGTCCGCAAGGGTTCTGATAAAAGTCCAAAAAGTTAAGGGCAGTTCCTCCATTCTCTGCGAGCGTTTTCGCAGCTTGTACTGATACTCTCAAAGCCATAGAAGCCTCCGGCCCAATGACCGGAATGAAACTCACACCTACTTCCAGCACCGTCTCAAAGATCGTTTTCAAAGCCCCAGCCATGAGGGCGCATGCAGCCGATCCGATTGCGGGTAGAATAACACCAACAAATTCCTCGGCGACAAATTCCATTACTGGAAACGTGCACTTGCAATACCCCATTCTGTACTCATCTCCATCGGGATCTGGATGAAGATCGTTGTCTTGTGGCAACCCCCCTAAGTTGATGCAAGTCACGGAGACTGTGCCTTGTACTTTTTCTGATCGGGAGAACAGATCCCCACCACAAACGTTGTCGCAAAGGGATAACGAACTCTTTCGCTTCTCCATGTTTTTATCGAATAAACGGCATAGCCCTTGTTGTTTGAACATAGCTGATTCTCCATCAAAAACTTGTTTTGTTGGTGGTGGTGTACTCTCTCTCAACATGAGACGATTAATCGCGCTGGCGTCGACGACCGACTCGAGAAATAAAAGCGTGATTATTGACGGGATAGAGAGCCACATTCTGCCCAGAAGTGAAGTGTAACGAGTGAATAATAAAAATAACAGCTATAGATGAAAGAGATGTAGATATGATCTATATAGATAGGTCTGGGGATAAACGAGGAACGAAAAGAGTGGATGTTAACGAAAGATGCTTTATAAAAATATGTGCTGAAGAAGACGAAGGTGCAAAACAACATACCTAACTTCCCCATCATATATATATTTCCTACAGATTAATCCTGTTGTTCGTATACAGCCATTCTCCAAAACCAACCAACAGTGACCAGCAGCAAAAGATTGCTGAGTTATGAAATCCTCGAGTGCGCCCACCAACACCGTCCAGGAATTCTTGAAATTTTGATAGGATATCTCAAACGACATATCAAGCTTTTCCTTCCTGCGAATCGTTCTTCGGAATCACGGGTGTAAAGCTTAGCGGTGCTGACGTCTCGCTTGTCCAATGAGAGTGCGCGAAAAGAATATAAGGATCGTAGAGGTAGGCTTATGTGGAAGAGAGTGTAGGGCTGTCGGGTGGCACAGCTATTCCTTATTGACGTTTTTGTTGGTTCTTCGTTTCGCTCGGTCGTTGCAATAATTATAGGGTTTGGCTAAATCTCGATCGTTTTTTTGATAAATCCCGATCACTATAGGGAATAGTGACGCCACGCTAGCTAAATCCATCTTTAGCGCTAGATCCGCAATAGAACTCGACCCGGCTTACCGGCCTACCGGCCTAGACCTGTCTCGTTCTAAAACTCTCGTATATACTTCGAAATAAAATAAAAGTTGTATAAAGTCAGTAAGGTATATCACATGACGGTCGGGATTTATCAAAATAGCGATCGGGATTTAGCAGATCCCTAATTATATATTAGTACACGTAGTGATGAACGTAGTGGTGTTTACCTATTGTTGGAGTTACGTACGATGAGGCTGGATCGTAGAAGCGTGTGTTCTCCCTAACTGTCAACACCTCCTCAAGAAACGTTTTTTGAATTAATGAAGCATTTTAATCGACTTATTCGCCAACTATAGACGATGTATGTGCTGTTTAGATCTCTCTGGCGTATTTAACCAACAGTGCATTACAAGACTTACGGGACACCATCCAAGTATAATGATGTTGAGAAAACGACTTCCTAATACTGTATTCTCAATCAGTATGTTTACCCATTTCAATAGACGAAATACTGCATATTTACTCAAACAAAGAGAGTAATCAGAGTGTTTTGGGCAGAGTACCTTTTTTCTTCCCCAATCAGACTTGCAACGCACAGGTAAAGTATGAACACCTTGAATCCTCTAATGTTTTAAGAAGACCTAAGCCGCCAAAATCTCGATTTCTGTTCATCCATGCTGTTGCCAAGTGACGAAATATACGCCCAACTGACGGAGAGCACATTGTGAGCTTACCAGTAAAATCGAGTAATCGTCCTGCTGGAGCAACGTTCGGATTTGCTAAATTCAATATAAAAAGACCACTTATCGACTCAGACACTAAACCATTGACATCAGCCGACAAACACATCAAAGTGAACAAAATCCAAAGGCAATCCTCACAAGCAGCTTCAATGGTATCTACCCCATCACCTATCGCCAGGCCCCAACAAGCCTCTCTAACATCCACTGCGGTTCCCAACAGCTCCTGGAGAAACGTGCCACGCATTGCCTATCAATGGTTCGCTTACTGGCTTATTGTGATGGCGTATCCTTCGGATGCCATGCATGACCTTAATGTCACGTACAACCATCGTTCGGTTGACAGACTCCCGACTCTGAGAGTTGATTGAATTGCCGAAAGAATTTGGAACATTGTGTCTTTAAGCTGCACGCTCTGCTATGGTAGACGTTGAGTTGTAATGTGCACGTATGTCTCCTCTGTTAGTAAAGAGGCCCCGACATGGGCTTTTTATTTCATGGTTAGGGGAGTCTTGGGTTAAGAGGTAGCAGAAAATAAAGCTTCATCAAATGTCCTGAGTTGTTCCTGCGTCTGGCCAAGTTTGATCGTCTTTCATTGCTCGCCCAAACCAAGCAGCTAGAGCTAAGCTAATCTGAAAATTATCATTTCTCTGGGACACATGAGCCAGTCTAATGCGAAATGCAATGCTATATTCCATCCAGCAGAAACCCAGTCCGGACACCTCCACCTGATATTAGTACAAATCAAACCGCCACTACCCCATACCCCGCGAAACGCCCCCCTCTTCCTGATATTATTCATACAACACCACCACCAAATGCTCGCTCAAAAACTCAAAACAAAAAGCAAGATTTACCATAGCGCAACGAGCAGATCATTGAAATTAGCGCTTTATACCCTCTTACATCGTTTTCCGTGATTGCTTCACCGGCCTTCCTCTTCGACTTCTAACCTTGGGAACTGGCTCTTCCTCTTCGTGATCCGCAACCTCAATGGGCACACTGGCTTCGCGTGTGACGGCTCGGCTTACTGTACGACTGCCCGTTGCATTGTGATTCTTTCTCCGTATACTGCGTTCTTCCTCAGGTCTAATGAAACGGTGCACTGTTCGGTGATCCAGTACTCGCTCTTCCGAGTCATCCCGACCTTCCTTGTCTGTTTTGGGCCACATGTAACCGTAGAGTTTACTGTGACGTTCGCATCTTGGGCAAGAGGAACGCGTAAAGTAAGCGTTCTCTTGCACAAAAGGCTCTTCACAGATACTGCAATTGATCCATGCGGAAGCAGGCTGGGCGAGAAGCGTCGGTGTGAGAACATAATCTCCTGGAACGCGATTGACTGTGGGAGCTTCTGGGGTTGGCGAAGTGTCGGACCGCTTTCTTTTGTTATCGTTCGTGTTTCCACCATCTTCGGTGTCATCCTCGAGCTTCCTCTTCTTCTTTCGTCCTCTTTTCTTTGACGGTGTATCGGTCGTGATAGAGGACAATGACTGTTCTAATACGTTCATTTCTGCATTGTCAAGTTCCGAAAGAACAGATTCTGGCGCTGATGCAACGACCTCGATAGCAGGGTGTTGAAGAGATGTTGATGGGCCAATAATAATGGCTTCCGTAGTTTTCGCTTGCTCAAGAACATCAGACACTTTACTACCTCGGCGTTTGATGGCCGCAGGAATTGTAGGTGTTAGATGTAAGGGTTGTTGAACGATAATGGTATCGTCGTCCACAGATGTAGCATCAGTTGAAGTATGCCCGTCCGCTGCTGTAGAGATGCTTCCACGCCTCGAGATGTCTCCCGAACTGATAGGAGAGGGATGCGAACTGACAGCATCGACAAAGCTTTGTGGTGACGATTTGGGAAGAGAATCCGGATCTTTTTCACAAGCATCTTCTAGGCTGTTCGTCACCTCCATGAAAACTTCTGGTTGCTCTGCCTTCTGAAGGGATTGGTCCCCAACAGGACTCTCGGCGGATTTTTGGGTCTTCAATGGACTTCCTATTTTTCGTTTCTGGAAGTTAAGACTTCGTGGTTCAAGTTTAGGCGAATTGCCCAGCGAAGATTCAGTATTCTTGAATCGCGTAAGCGAACTTGGTGTCCGCTTTGCCACATGTGGTCGAAGGTTTACATCTGGTGTCAAAGACTGATTTCTAGAAATAGTTTCCTCAGATTCCAGTCTGCGTCTTCGTCTAAATGAGTAGTGTCCCTTTAACGTCGCCTCATCTTCGATAGAGGGCTTTGGAGCTGTTTCTACATCACCTCCATGTGACCAGCCACTCTCGCCGCGCTTCTCGCAAGTATGGCACAAGCATTCGCAATTGTCTTCTCCGAAATAGTTATCTCCTATTATGAGTTAGAATCAGTTGATTGTTGAGAATTCATTCGAAGTTACCATAAGCAACCGTAACCTCTTCCCCTAGATCGATATCCCTTACAGCGATTACTTCCATTCCAGCTGTACCAGTAGTACTTAATCTCGCATTTGCATCACAGTCGTGGTTAGAAAATCGTGCTGGCCCAAGAAAGATCGAAGGTGTTTTCTTTCGACTCGATATTACGATGCTGAAATCGCGTTTACTCGATTGAACGAACTTCTCCTCCTCAGGGGTCATCATAACCTGAACCCCGCATAGATATTTTATAACCTCGCCCTTCTTGATAAACCTCCTTGCTGTCACCGCGGCTTCATGTGTATCGATCGTATACCGATTCGTAGTGGAGACCTCAAACGGACAGTCTGGTAGGTAGATGCTTATGTACTTCTTCAAATGCTTTCTGAAGTCCTCCTTTTCTTTATCTGTTTTTAAACTCCCTAGAAAGTTCTTTAAACCCGGTAACTTCAGCAGTTCGATCTCTGCCTGCGAAAGATCTTTCTCGATGATGACATGTTTCTGGATTATGGATGTAACATCTTCTTCTCGAACGCCGCGAGTTGAATGGTACGCATTTCTATTCTTTCGAATGCTGGTCCAGAAGTAAACCTATATAGACGAATTAGATCTTGCTCCGAGTGCTAGAAATCAGAGACACGACTTACATGATCGACAAGCGCATCCGTCAATATATCATCATACGTAGCAACTTGTTGAATCGTCAATCGTTGCTTTTGCGGGACGATCTTCTCTTTCTTGACCGGCATAATGGCGAGCGATTTGTTTTCTATATCCCAAGCGCTCTATATATAACGAAGTCGGTCCCTCCGTGGTGGTGTACGTCGTCGCAATCGTGGTCGCAAAGGAATGTCAAGTGTTGATCAAAGTAAATAAGAGATCGTTTGAACTCGGAACAATATAAGGAGCGTAGATTTAGAATGCTACCGCCATTAAACGAATGCGCCTTTGCACAACCAGTGAACCCAGACAATCCCACCTCTTGCAATCAATATCCCCTTCCCAGAGTTGGTGGACCGTCTCTCCCTACCCTCGATATCTCAGCTCAGCAGCGTATCTTTATTTGGAAGTGTTGCTGGGGTCCATAGGAGGTGCATATATTGACACGAAGGGACGAGATAAGATTGGAGAAGGAGTGGATTAGAAGCTGTTAAAACCTCAAAACCAACAAAGGTCTGATGGTAAGAACAGTTCAATATGAGTATCTACCGTCGATAGCGCGAGCATGAGGAGAATGCGCCATCGAGTTGGCGCAACAATAGGGATGGCGGGTTCGCAACTCGGTCAAAGGGGCACGTGAAGCACTAGCCCAAATGAGCTCGGCTGCAGGAAGAATCGCGGAATGGAAATGCTGATGGACATCGTGAAATCTAGAGCTTTATGACTGGGGTATGCACGCGCGATGATTCAATTAAAGGTCAGTTTGTGTCTTCTTGAGTGTTGATGAATAGAGCAGGCTAACATGTACGCCGCAGACGATGCTGAATTGCATCGACAACTCTGGCGCAGCCATTGTTGAGTGTGTAAATGTCATGAAAATGAATCGAGCAGCGAAAATCGGTGCGCCACACCCTCAGAACTTCCTCAATCCAGCCCGAACGAGCACTTACGAGTCCAATAGGTGATCGCATAATCGTCGTCGTACAGAAGCAAAGGAACTTCGGTCCAGAATCCGGTCCGGGAGCATCCGTCTCAACATCAGCTGCGAACAAGGTTAGAAGAGGAGATATAAGGCACGCGGTTGTGGTACGGACGAAGAAGAAGCTGCAGAGGCCTGACGGAAGTGTTGTCAAGTTCGATGACAATGCTTGCGTGTTGATTAATAAGACTGGTGAGCCAATTGGTACAAGATTGAATGGTAGGACAGACCTTAATTCCTCAAGAGAAAACGCTAATTTCATTGTAGGTATCGTCGGGACAGAGCTGAGAAAGATGAAGTGGTCGAAGATCCTGTCACTAGCACCAATGCACTTGTAGGAATATTGTAGAAAAGGGCACGCATGTCATGTAGCATTTGGAGAAAGGCGTTCAACTTGCATTTGGAAATATATATCAATACTACTTTGGAAACGCCGACGCTTTTCCTACGCCCTTGTCCTTCTATGATGTGCCTTAACGCCGGGTTTGAAAATATCACGCCGCCACCAAAACCAAGCCAGGGTATTATGAGAAAATGAAGCCACAACCGCAACATACGTAGAACAGTTTCTGGACATCAAGTTAGCATTGTTTCGTAGAATGGACTAGCATTTCACTTACCATACCAGTCTCCGCTGATCTCTGTTGAGACTGAAAGAACACAGCGTCCTCTGTCCGACACTTTGGACAAGTTTTGTTGGATCTTGGAAGCTAGAAAGCGCAGCCCAAATCAGCAAGAAGATTCTTGAGAGACAACTAAACGAGATAAACCCGCAACAACTCAGATTATACTGAGACGTTCTCCTTCTTGTGCGAATCATTCACTGCGCCACTCTTCTCCTTCTGCAACCGACCCTCACAAATGATAATATTACCACATAGTAAACAGAGAGGTAAACCCACAGTGGGATCTGATCCAACATCTTGAGTGACACCAGCGGTCTCTCCGACCGCGTTATTGAGGACGTTACGGAAGACACAGGATGATGTTGCTAGCTCGGAGTACTGGCAGGTTCGGCATGCAAAGTTGAGTTGATGTGTTTGAGGGTCTTCTTTTGGGTACAACATATTCGAGCTGGTATCATTAGCATGCGCTATGAAATTCGGGTATCGAGGGCTACATACCATTCGCTACAGAATCGAAAGGTGATCTGCTCCATCTTCTTCTCCTCGTCGGAGCTTGGTGCTGGGGATGCCATCGTGGAGATTTTCGAGGTTTATCGTCGTCGCAGACAGTCGCGTATACGGTTCGTGTGTATATGATGGATAGTCCTAAGTTCTTGGAGTTGTTTCAGTGGTGTTGAAGCGATCAACAATATTACCGATGGTGGTGGTAGTTGAAAGTCTGGAATGGTTCCAGAGGCTCTGAGAACGGCGGGGGGAACAAAAGAAAGTGGGTCATCTTCAGCAATCCAATCACAGAATTAGCGCCAAGCACCACCTCTGGTGTGCCTCACCAAGCTCTGACGGTCTAACCTCTTCTCGTATTAAGATACATTTTACTCGTAGGACACATGTATAAGCCAGAAAATGACGCCCTAAAGCTTGATTAGTCTTGTAGACTACATTAACTTACTGGGTACGGAGAATTCTATATTGCGATGCATCAGATATGAGGGGATTTACATCAACATCCAGGCATAATTATTCGAGGCTACCTATGAGAAGAAGGAATCGCCATTTGCGTCAGCGACATGTTGGTATCTGTACGGAAATGGTAGACGGAGAAACAACTAAGTCCGGACGGAGAGAATAGTTTCCTAAATTCCTACCTTTTCGTCCAGTCCAACTGCCAACAATGGATGACTGCATTGGTAGGAAGTCGCGGCGGGAGTAGATGCACAGTAGTATTGACTATTTAGTCCACGACCCTGTTTCCGTTCCCGGTCCCGTTCCATATACAGGCCTCTCCTCGTATCAAGATACACTGCTTTCGCACTCGCTTGAGATTTCACATGAAACTTACCCAAATTACCTAGCAGACTGGGTACTATTAGAGTTAGTGGGGATTTTCATTGCTTATTCTTACGAGCAGTAACAGTGTCCTTGTATATAAACAGGCTTTTCCACCTAGACCGGCCAGAAATCTTGTCAGGATTAAATCGAACATAAATCCATCCTGCCTCGCGCCTCTGTCCGACCATCATCACAGACAAATATGCCGACTAATACCGCCGCGTGGTTGGTGACTGAGAAAGCGAGCTTCCTCGAGGTAAAGCAGGCAGACTACACATCACCTAGCGACAATGAGATTGTAGTCAAAAACCACGCCGTCGCCCTGAACATAGTCGATTTTGCCAGACAGTTCATGGGCAATGCACTCTTCCCATGGGACAAATATCCCTGCATACTGGGATCCGATGTGGCCGGCGAAGTTCAGGAGGTTGGAACTAGCGTCAAGAATTTCAAAGTCGGGGATAGAGTGCTAGGCATGGCAGTTGGCCTCAAGACCGGTCGGCCGGCCGATGCTGCTTTCCAGGCATACACTGTGCTGCCTGCGCACATGGCTTCCTCCATCCCGAGTTCAGTATCATTTGAGGACGCCGCTGTCATCCCACTCGCTATTTCCACGGCAGCCTGTGGCATGTACCAGAAAGAATATCTCGCTCTGCAACACCCGACCGCACCCAGACGCCAGGATACAGGTGAAACCATTCTGATTTGGGGAGGAGCCTCAAGCGTTGGTACAAACGCCATTCAGATGGCAATCGCATCAGGCTACGATGTTATCTCAACCGCATCGCCAAAGAACTGGGACTATGTCCAAAAACTAGGCGTTAACCTAGTCTTTGACTACCACAGCGATACGGTCGTTTCCGACATTGTCAAAGCTTTTGATGGCAAGAAGAGCGCAGGCGCGTTGTCAATTGGCCAGGGGGCGACCAGCATTTGCGCAGAAATCGTGTCGAAAATTGGAGGCAAACAGTTCGTGGCCAGCGCCAGCCCGCTTCCGCCCCAACTCCCGGAGGGTGTGGCCAGCAAGTTCATTTTTGGCAGTGATCTCAAGGACAATGAAGTTGGCCCTGCAATTTACGTAGACTTCATTCCGGCCGCGCTCAAGGATGGCTCTTTTGTTCCATCGCCGCCATCTCGAGTAGTCGGAAAGGGGCTGGAGGATATTCAGAAAGGACTGAACGAGCTTACGAAGGGGGTCTCCGCTGAAAAACTGGTTGTTACTCTTGAGTAGAAGTTATGGTAGTGCATAGTTTTGCTAGAACATGACTGATAGTTCCCTTGTATCTGGATAGACATTGTTAGCATCGACTGAAGGCGCAAGGAAAGGACTCGAAGTTACTTCAAGATAATTTGATCTCATCCCTCACTCATAGCTATGTACCACTTACAGGCCAGAATAACATCATGATTCAATGGACAATCGTCAAAACAGAACTTAAAATTACTAGTGAAAACGTGCAATATTATGAGAACTCGTCTGATGCTCAAGAAATATTTGTTCATAAGGGTCGTGCCGGCCGAGGTCACTCTGAGGTACCACCCATGCTTGTCCGCCTTACCAATCGCGACCTAGCGCTTGACGCTATTTCTGGCACGTTGGAAACCCCGCCAACCTTGGTTGTTCTGACCTGGTGACCAAAGCTCCCCTTGCAGCACCTGGGCATGATCTCAAGAACCACAAAGCCTCTTCGTACAACCATCGTGCCAACACTCTTCTCCAATACATCACTTTTTAGACTACCAAATACAAAACTCTACACGTTCCACAGGCATGGTAAGTCAGCATGCTAATTCATTCCACCAGATGTAATCCAGAAAGAACCTTGCTTGTCGCAACTATACACACCAACATGAAAGACAAGTTTGCTAACTCTAGCAAGGCTGACGCAGGATTACCATCTGGTTGGGAAGTCCGCCACTCGAACTCCAAAAACTTGCCATATTATTTCAATCAGAGCCAACAGTTGTCAAGATGGGAACCTCCACCAGGAACAGATACCGACAAGCTCAAGACATACATGGCAGAACACCACAGTGCGCCAGAGATCAGACCCGATGCCGGAGGACCAAATGGAAGTTCTGCGAATAATGGAAAGATACGCGCCGCACATCTGTTGGTGAAGCATAGGGATAGCCGTCGTCCTAGCAGCTGGCGTGAGGTAAGTCCGACAGGTTATCATGGCCATTGGTGAGGTCCATGGTGATTCGGGCTGACGGAGATACAGGCGGAAATAAAACGGACAAAAGAAGAGGCTATGTCAATTATTCTTGAACACGAAAGTCGTATTCGAAGTGGCCAAGTGACACTGGGGAACTTGGCTGTTAGTGAATCAGATTGCAGTAGTGCCAGAAAGATGGGCGATCTAGGATTCTTTGGAAAAGGTGATATGCAAAAGGAATTCGAAGACGCTTCTTTCGATTTAAAACCGGGACAAGTTAGTGGCGTAGTCGAAACCGCATCTGGGTTGCACTTGATTGAAAGGTAAGTCTCCTTGTGTTGTGGATCAAACTCATCATTAACTCTGCCCGTAAAGACTCGAATAGGGCTGCCGGAAGATCTTAGTCGGAAAATCAGAAATGGAAAATTTTCTTTGTAATAAAGTTCAAGATAGTACTGGACATACATCTCTTAGCCTACATAGGCATCTCTGTCCAAAAAGGAACAAGAGCTGATCAAGCAATCGATGGGATGGTTTCTGTAAAGCAGTCCTTCACTACATCCTAGCTGGTCATAAATCTACCAAAGAGTCGATTGCATTAACTATTGGTGGTATTGAGGTCAATGCCAGGGTGATAATTCCAAATAGACTCATGCTGAGACTTGACAATGCTGCAGCTCTTGGATCGGTAACTAATAGGAGAGCTGTCGCTATTGCAGAAGAATTACCGCCTAGTGTAACACCTCGAGTGACATAGTCGTCTAGAGTTCTCGTCAGCTATGACCCACTAAGTAACCAAATTTGCAACGTCAAGCATGCAGTGAGAATTTTCAATCCATAATAACGCAACCAACGACTTTTCCGATTTTACCAAGAGAAGACTCACCTTCAGGAATCCTTAACCAAGCTAGAATTCGTTGACCAATTAACACCCCAATAATCCCACTCATAATCGCAAGTGCAGCATTAGTATTCACATCCCCTCCTAGATTCTGTGTCGCGGGTGTCGCCAAAGCCAAAGTCAAACTCCGACTCGCAAAAGCTAAACTTCTCTTTGACGAAATCCCAATAGCATAACACACTACAGGATACCCAAACAACGACCCAATAGAAATCGCCACATTCGGTATCACAATAGCAAAAAAATGCCGTCGCAATTCCTGTCGGTATGAAAACATCGGCAGCGCCAACGCCACAATCGACGCATCTAGCAAACTACCAAAAACATCACCCGCCCCCGGCCTCAGCAGGTCCTTCTCCCCATGCCAGAGAGAAAGGTAATTCGTCCCCGTTTTATAGGCATGGAGAGTCTCATCTAGGGACTCGCCTCGAGTGAGTCCCAGGATCCAGATCCCTAGCACGGTGATGAGCGAGGATACGAGCACGGGATGTAGGAATTGTCGCCATTTCGGGGGGAGGGATAGGGCAGCGAAGTAGGCGAGCACGTTGAGGGTCAGGTGGGCGGGCATGGCGTACGAAGTTGTGTAGTAAATTGGGAGACCGATGAAGAGGAAGAGGAGGGTGTAGGTTAGGCGGTCGAGGTTGAGGGTTATGAAGGATGCCCAGTTTTGGGGACGGGTTAGGGGGAGAGGTGTTTGTGGTGGCAGGGGGTGAGAGATCGTGGTGGTGGATTCTGGGGGACCGCCTGTGGCGCGGATGAAGGATGGATCTTGGGTTCTTTGGGGTTCGGAGAGGTCGCTCGTGAGATCTTCGGCGAGAGTGGGTGGGGTGGGTGAGTCTTGCGTTAAGTTTGATGTGGATGGATTGTTTGAAAGGGTGGCTTGTGAGGCTAGACGGCTTTGAGGTGATTCTGCTAGAGGAATGGAGTCATCTTCGTAGCCCATTTCCTCTGCCCGCTCTGTTACTGCTCGTTTTGATGTTCCTAGCAGGAGCTGTATACCGCGTGCTAGCCAGGCTGTTATAGATAGCACGACGACGAAACCGATGACTGAAGGATTTATTAGTGAGCGTGCTTAGATGGAGAGGATTTCCAGTATACTAACGGAACACTGCTATGATTTTACCGACTTCAACACCACTTATAGGTGGACTCAATGGTAATAATACGAAACTAAATCCTGCTTAGCGACTTTCTCATTATCATAAAATCAACACTGTGACTTACGAAGGCGTAAAGAAGATATTGATATATCTCAGCGCCCAACCAGCCTACCTTAAATCAGAATCAAACCCTACATCGCAACAACTTAAACATACCGGTATATCAATAACGCTGACCAGCGCCTTAGTCTTCCTCTCCCCAAGCACAACATCACAAAGAATGAGCGCAAAGAAAAGCACCACCAGAAGAGCCACCGAAGCCGGAAATGATACAGAACTCAATCCGATAAGTGAGTTGACACCAAAACACGCCACGAGACTAATCAAAATGCCAATTGGAACGTAAACCCAACTTGTGAGATTTCGTTGCCATGATAGTCTGCCAACCTAATGATAAATCAGTGACTGTGCAATTGGTGGGGTTTCTGGAAGGGGGTTTACTAGTTTTAATGCTTCGATTCCGTCCAAGATATAGGAGTTAAACTCCTGGTGATCTGGCATATTCTTGGCTAATATGATTGTCACAAGAAAACAGTGAAGAAAAGTAACTCGAGTCAACTCGCGATAAGAAAATACCCCCTTCGGCTATTTAGAGAGGGGCAGAATTGTCGGGCCGAGAACCGGAGGACTCAAGGCTTCGTTCGAATTTAACGTTCTTCAAGAATTTCTTTTAGTTCATTACATTACTTATCTAAGTTATCTTTAAAAGGCTCTTGTATCTTCTCAGAGGCATGTTAAGATGTCATCTCTTTTTTAAAAAAAATCACTTAGGCGAGCAGCTTGGTTCACCCATCCTAAGGAGCAATTCCACATTTTTACCATAACCCTCAAACTTACAACTAACAATGGGGCAAACCAAACGATTTTCACACCCGAGACACATTTTTGAATACTCCAGTGCTGAGAGGGACATTCTGTGGATGCTGTATCACCTTAAAATAGCCGACTGAACCCGCAGTCCGTCGGTTCCTCTCAACACTTCCCTCCAGGTCGTTCCATGCTCTGCACCAAGTCGTGTTGAGTTGAGGGTCGACCCATGCGTAGCAGCTTCGCTTGAAATTTCATACGATCATATCCTGCCTAGGGTATCTTTCCGTTCCTACCGTTGATTTTCACTCACCAGCGTATTAAAAATACTATAAGTAGTATGATACGATTGAACAACCATCTGACTGTTCTGACTTTTAAGCTGTGCTTGAGTGCCAATGTTGGAAAGTAGACATGTCCCGAAACAGCCTTTCCTGGTGAGGAGAATTTTTCCTTTCCACCATTCAGCATCGGAAAGCTGCAGTATATCGTTTTTCCAATTGAAAGACCACGTTGCTGTTCCCAACATAGGTCGACTTTGCCAACCTTTCTCGGCATCGACAAGTCCAGGCCCATCGGAAGTAGAAAATATAATACTCAGCCGCCGATGACCGTCATCTGTTCGAAAGGGTTGGCAATGAATTTGAGATGGCCTAGTGATAGTTGTAGTTTTGACACCGGGAAGACCGACACGTCGTTGACCAAGAGCTTCTTGCCGTCCGTGATAATACTGTACCAAGATCCCACTGCACATGAAATCTTCTAAGGGGTGTGTATAAACCTCAACAAGCTCGACATCATTCAGTGACGCCTGAGAGCAATGCATCGATGGTTCTTCTGCGATGTTGGGGATCCTAGGCAATTGAGGTATTGGATATGATTTTGAAGGCGACGAGGCCGCTCCGAAGACCGAAATAGAGCCTCCATAAGCCGGGACATGATATAGCAGGGAGGTGGCTACACCCCAGGCTATTGGGATATAATTACACTTTGGATTATGTGAGTAAGGCCAAAAGATCTGCGTACGCTTAGAAGTGCATATCTATGCTCCATTAGTTACATGAAGGGCAATTATAAGTTTTGGTCATTACCATTATAACCTGATCTGAAAAAAGGGTGAGCTCTCACGAACCCATACTTCATTGATGGTTTCTTGTCCCTTGTTCAGAGGGAAGTACTGTAAAAGGCCGAATTTCTGGGCACGCGGAGTCAAAGTTGAATATGTATCGATGGCGGATGAGCGATGAGTTTGATGCGCATGTATGCCATGTACCGTTGAACCACCGCAGACAAAGGTCAAACCGACAAAGCCAGATAAATTGATACACCGTATCTGTCGATGGTTAGACGTGTTCCTGTCTGCGTTATGGAACCGGTAGCTTCCCACTTCGGGTCGTTTCACAACATCCCATAGCTCGAGTTGTTGGTCTAAGGAAGGTCGAAGAAAGGGGTGCTGTGAGAGGTCAGGAATATGAAGTTATGGAGGAATCTTAGGGGACCAGCCTTGTAACACAGCCTTATATCTTTCTTCTGTATGTAACAGGGACAATCATCAGAGTTACTTCGTACCCCGAGATGATCCACACCGAGTTGTTCAACCACATCCGCCTCGGGTTCAACAGTCGCGTATTGGTTATCAAGAAATTCCACGCCGGACTTACATGGACGAGCACCTTTGTCTCGTAGATTTTGTTTTTGCACGGAAACTAAACTAGCAACTTGGGCCACCAGTACGTGTCGAAACAAAGCCGAACGGTATAGTTCTTTGCCTCCTGCCACTAGGATGAGACCTAACAGCTCTAGTGGCAGTGCGGATAACAAAGCGATAGTCTCACTCAAATCTGTTGGTCTTGTAGATAACATCGCTATCTCGTTCAAACGCCTGCTCCACCACAAACACGCTTCAGGAGTGTTCGAATAGATTCGTTGCTTTCGAGTAGGTGCGGACCATGGAGTTAGTGAAGAACCTAGATTGTGTATGGCCGTCAGGCTTGAAGGTAACAGTTCGATGCCGCTTCTCTTCCAAAGCACCTTGAAGGCTTTGTAACACTCAGAATGATATAAAATCGATCTTGGAGAAGAAGCACATCTACTACAACCTGGCATCAGGCAAAGCATCCAAATATGCGTCTCTATATCGATATACACATGTTGACGTTTGATATGCTCCTGCCCGATGGCTGGCATTGTAAATGTGGGTGTGTAGCCTTTAGAAGCTAAATAAGATAGCACTGATTCTGGATAAGTGAAAGCGCAAGATAGTGGAGATTAGAATTGGGCAGAGATACCTATAGCGACATTTTCTCCCGTCTGAGGTCTTTGCTGACAGAATATACAGAGCTGATTGCTCAGAGTTATGTGCGGAGAAGACATGGTGACAATTATTTAGCAAGACTTTCTTCCCTGCCTGCTTAAGAAAGAGGGAGTGTTGAGGGAGTGTTTATCAAGTCTGACGATTTGCATCATCATTTGCTTCGCATCACCACTCAACACGTCGTAATGAGCCGTCTGATTGAGCTAAAGCTAATAAGAGACAATTTCGAGCATATTAGATCTGACATGAATGAGAAAGCCGATGGCTACCTAACAGCTAAAGCGACGACGAAGAAATTGTGCAATGACTGTGCCACGTGTTTGTTGACAAACATTAGTTGGCCTTGACGTGCTCTCAAGCTGCAGACTTCGTTGGTTCTTTTAACCCATTTGTGGCGAAGGCCTACTCTGCTTTTTCGCTATTCCCTGGGCATTATATGTAACAGATGGACGTTAGAGGGAGTTCTTGATTGCCCAGCTGCTAGATGGATGTTACTCGTTATGTGTAGTGTGGTCCGAGCGCCGCAACACGGTCGTTTCTTGGTCCCCGTAGAGCCTGTCTCAACCACACGCTATTCTCTTGAAAGAAGCACCTATAAATGAATTCTCTCTACAAATTCAACCATGTCAGATAAATCGCTTGAGGAACTTGTAAAGATACTTCTTGACCGCGATATCCCATTTGATCGAGATGAGCTCCGAAGTGCCTTCAAAGCCCCTGAAAGTCGGAAGGCTATTCAAGAATGGATGCAAGAGTATCTCACCCCGGAAACCTTGTTGACAAAGGAAGAAGCTGATTTGTACGTCTTTTCTACCCTATCATAAGATAATCTACTCTAACATATACCAGATACGCGGCGTTGACAAAATCTGGAGATGTGGAACGGCTTTCTTCACAGGATCTTTCCGGTGTTCAAGCACTGAATGAATCGGAAATTGAAGATGCTATAGAAGAATTGAAACGATCGACAGCGGCTATTGAGAAGCAGACTGAATCTATAAGACTTCAGCAAAATGCTATGAGAAGTCTGGTGAAGAATGAGCAGCGTGCGCGGGAAGCACGTGCAAGCTCAACCGCTGCGCAGCATAGGAAATGGAGTGAAGAAAGCGCACAGGTTTCGAAAGCTGTAAGTCACAATCTATGAAAGAAGTAGACATTCAAACTAACTAACTTTATTCAGATTGAGGAACTGTCTCAAAACCTTAGATACCAGATTTCAGATCTCGAGCAACATATGAAAGTCTCAGAAACAACCGCAAAACAAACGGTCGAGACAATCCTAACAGCCGATGACAAGCTCCTCGCAAGTCTACAGAAACTCGCCGCAGATCTTGATCCTATCAATACAGAAGACATCGAAACCATGTCACGTATTAAAGAACTCTCTGCACGGTTGATCAAGCACACTGTTGAGGGTATCCGCACGAGACTTGATCGGATATACCTGGAAGCTCTACAATCTTCAAACATAACTGCAGACGACAATAACCAAGAAAATCAAGACCTTCAAGACGAGCTCGAATCACTGTACTCAGAAATCCTCCCCGTCGCTCAAATGTCCGCAGAACAACAGTTTCTGCAGCCCGCGCTTAGGACAATGGCAGCAAGCAGCGGGAAATCTCAAGAACGAGCCGTCAAAGCGGTTGAATACGTTAGTCCCCACCTCACCCATCTCCTGCCTCTTCACTAATAATTAAACAGATACACTCCTGCCTGACCTACCTCAACGCCCGTCTCTCAGCCTACCAAACCCGCACCTCCGAAACCCGTGCCCACAACCATGCCCTAACAACCATCCTCTCAACCACAAAATCTGAACTCACCCAGTCCCTCCCCCCGCCCCTTCCTAAATCCAATCTTAATTCCAGCCCATCCAAACCCGCCCTCCCCCGCCGCCGAACCTCCTCCCTAACCCACCCCCCAAACCTACATCTCCACCGCCGACGCTCCTCAGGAATAGACCTCGATCCCGAAACCCAGATCGCGCGGAACCTAGGTATCACACTCCCGCCAACCTCTGCTACAGCAGCGCAAGTCGCAGACAGTTTAGGACGTATCCGCCGTGAACGTAGTACGAAATTGGGGATCCACGCTACGAGTTTGCAGACGACGACGGAGGGCTCGATAGCTGCTCATGTAGCGGAGTCGCAGGTGGCGTTGAGGGTGTTGACTGATGCGTTACTAGCCGAAAGTGCGTATGGGGGCGTGAGGTTGGTGGATCCGGATGTGGAGGCTTCGGTTGGGATGTTTGAGGGGGAGGTTGAGGGGTTGAAGAAGGAAATGGAGGGGTTGGATTTAGAGGTTTTGCGGGGGAGGAGTGTGGATGGGGAACGGTTTGTGAAGAGGTGGACGAGGTGAGGTGGGATTGTGGTTGTTATGGAACTGTGGATTCGAGAGCAATAAAATCGGACATTGAAAATGAAGGGACTCTTTTCCACGAATACAGCGATGGGTGCTAGATACGCTATCTATCCATCACCTCTTCAATTGTAGAAACAACCATTCAGCTTCTTCGACCAACCAAGAGTTCCATCACTCATTTGCAAGTTACAAACTATTTCACGACTAGAACGTGCCGTGTACAAGCCAAACCGACTCCGCTGTCAGAACTTCGTTGTGAGAGCAAGAATACCCGAGGATAAAAACGTCTTGTAAATTATATCAAAACATAACCTCACTCTCCACACTCTGAACCCTTTGTAATTCCACTTTCTCATTTCCCACCCACACCCACACTCTCACCTCCCACAACCTCACCTCCCGATTTCACTTTCCATACCCTCACTTTCCTAACTGAACACACAATCCCTCACCCTAAACCCCACCCCTCATCAATCCTAATCATCATCTCACTTCACAACACTCACTCACATCCCAATTTCAAAGTTCAAACGCAAAAAAAAAGACGAAAGCCATCAAAACACAGAAATTAATATTTTCTCCGCGCCAATAATACATTAGGCAGGCATGCATGCACCCTTTCACTCCCAAGTCGCCCAACCGAATGTCCCCGACTCGCGAGACACTGCGCCTAGGCTGCTGTAGCAATCAATCCTCTGGCCATCCCATCCCATCCCAATTCGCCCCCTAAACTAGTCAGGCCGAGCCGTTCCCGTTTCCCACAAATCAAGTTAATGATTTCCCTTTTTCCCCCCAACCAAACCCTTGGTTCAGAAAGAGATATCTACTGCAATAAGTACAGGTAATGATATTAATACGCGTGCGATAAACGATTTGAAAAGAGCATAGCATGGCATATCGAGGAAGGCATGCAGTACTCGAGATTAAGCATATCAATGGGTATCTCATATAATTCATTCAGTGACCTAAAAGTCTTTGAAGAGGTGTCCGTGCCTGGAGATTTGTTAGCATAGATAGGAGTTATCCGAGGATTGAAACTTACTCGTCAGGGCCCGTAGCCCCATATTGCTCGGTTTCCTCGGGATATTTGTCAAATTGACTAGCATCTCCAACACCAGCTTTTACAGGGGGTACATATGGCGCATCAATATCCTTCTTGGCTAATCTTTCCCAAGTGACCTCAGCAAACCATGCGTGGTTCTTTACATCCTCAGAACCGCCATGTAAGTTTCCCAATCTCTTTGTCAAATCCGCGGTAATAAGGCGTTGAAGAAGATCCTGTGCATCTGGGTGAATGTAGGGAGGATACTTGACTCGCCCTTTGAGGATGTTCTCATAGATTTTCATCGGTGACCCACCATCCCAGAATGGTGTGAAACCGCACAGCATTTCAAAAATCAATATACCCAGTGACCACCTAGAAAAATATAAGTTGATGATTGATACATTGCGGAATTTTTCTTACCAATCAACTGATTTGTTATAGCCCTTGCTGGCTACGACTTCTGGGGCTAGATAATCTGGTGTACCGCACAAAGTCCAAGTGATATCTGGAACTCTTTTGGCGAACCCGAAATCGGTAATCTTAACGTGTCCATGACGATCCAAAAGTAAGTTTTCAGGCTTCAAATCTCGGTAGATGATCTGTTTTGAATGCAGATACTCAATCGCAAGGGTGACCTCTGCAGCATAAAATTTGGCAACTGGATTTGGGAAGCGCTTTGGCGAATTAGTCAAAACTCAGCATTGATAGCGATATAGCTGATTCACCTGTGATTTTCTCAACAATGAGAATAATTCTCCACCCTCAACAAAGTCCATGACCATGTACAGATTCTTCGAATCTTGAAATGTACCCCATAGTGTAATCAAAAACGCATGCTTGACTTCCTGCAGCATTTTTCTTTCATCGTTAGTATGCTCCACCTGCTTCATCTTGATTACTTGTTGCTTCTTCAACACTTTAACAGCATAAAAGCGCGAATTGTGTCTTGACTGGACCAAATGTACCCTTCCGAAGCTCCCTGTCCCGAGCGTGCGTAATATCTGAAAGTCTCCTAAAGAATATTTGCCCTTGGTTTGTCTGATCTGGGTGGGTTCTACGCTTACGACGGGGGTCGTTTTGACTGGAGATGAAGCCGCAACTTGTATGGAGCTACTCGAGGTAGCAGAGGGTGTGGTTGATGCCATTTTTACTGGAGCAGATTGACCAGCGCCGTCATGCTGTGGGGGGTTGATTAGGTTATCAATTGTTGGTAGATTTTGCCCGGTGGCAGGAGATGATTGCTGGACTTGGGGAAGTTCTTGTTGCTGAGGGGCTGCTCTTTGTGTCATTTGTTGTGGTTCGTTGACGGTCTCTTCTCTCTGGGAAGATGAAACCTGAGTTGTTGCCTGCGAGAGCGCGGTGGACTGTGTAGAAATAGAGGCAATGGAGTTATCGAAACCTTTTGTTGCGGTTGGCGTTATCGGGCTCCCAGGCTGGCTTGAAGCTGTCGTTGGAGAGGTGGGGTCGTTCGGACCGGCCGCCTCCCTCGTCCTTTTCTTCTTTAGAAATCCTAAAGTCGGCATATGAGCCTATGGAGCTTGCTTGAGAATGGGCCGGATTTTTAGCTGAGGCGGGAATCGCCTAGTCGCAAGATTGGCTTTCGTTCGCGGATTGCTATGTTGACAGTAGGTTGCGCGATAGACCAGTACGGTCTCGATGCGAGCGGCGAGGAGGCCAAGAACCAGTGAAAGGTTAGAAGAAGAACTCTGGAATGTCTTTCGGGAGGAATCTCTCAGTATTGCTGCGGACAAGTAAACCGTCAAATGTAAAGAAGGAATGCGGGTTGCTGCAGTCGCGCGCCGGTGGGTTTCCGTGTCGCAATGAGCGGAATGTCTGTCGTGTAAAGCTGATCTTCAGATGAGGCTGTCTAAATAGGACGTAACACACTGAATTCTCATGAAGCCGACAGATTAGGACGAGAAGCTGCCAATTGAAGTGTTGAGAACGGACAATGGGCGACAGGGAAGGGGATGGAGGGCGAGGGGTCGACAAGAGGAGAGGGAGGGAGTGGGTGAGCAGAGGGAGGAGCTGATCGAATGGTCGAAGGATGCGGGAGGTTGGTTTCTACGACTTGGCCAGTCCCGTCTGCTGGAGGTTTAGCTTGGAGGGGTCAAACCGTCAAACAACCCCCTGCGTTGAGGGGCTGCTAGGGCTAGTGCCTACGTGGACTCTCACAATGACTTGCCGTGATATCTGGGGATTCGTGTGTCAAGTTTCTGGTAATAGAGTGAGTAAAAAGAAGAACAGCTTTGATTTGAGGCGAGGTGAGTGATTGTGAGACAGTCACAGCGTCGAGGGTGCGGATCGACAAATGACGGAGTATGAGGCCGATGCTTACTCGCTCGGTGAAAGCCTTTTCTAAGAGGAAGGAAGCAATTGGATGTCGACTGCGAGAGTTTTTCTACCTATGCGAACGAGAGAGAGCAGCTCAATTTATATACATGAAGAGGCCGCTAATGATGGGTCCTATTCACAAGGCCTACGTTTAAATTTATATCTGTGTAACTTGGGCAATTATTGTATGTTTCTGATTATTCATTTCCGCCTAAGCAGCCAATCTGGTTAATATCAAGTCTACAATTATGAATAAGTAATAAAATAAAGCAAAATCTTTTTTACCATTGATTACATTCAGCTTGTAGTATCGTCTAAACTTGTATTCATGAATGAGATGTAATGCTGCATAATTACAGCCCAACGGCACGGCTTTCCTCTTTCACTTGTTGCCATTGTTCGAAAGCGGGGTACCCATCTGTAAAGATAAACTGACGCAATAATGCTTCTTATCAGGGCATCAAAGCTCACTATCTCAAGCATTGACAACTTCGAGATCTTCCGGTCGGATAGGAAAAAGCAAAGAAGTGATTGCCATCTCCTTCACCTCTCGCCTATCGTCGTCCTTGCTTTTGTGAGATTTGGGGTACCCAATTACATAGAATCAGATAGTGATACAGATGAGTCGACTGTGAGAAGAGCCCAGGTAGTGTTTAGAGGCATTGGCTTTGATTTATGTATCACTTCTTTACCCTAATCTCCGACCACATGCGATCAATCAACTGGAACACCATGGTAACTGCTTGCATCACATCTTCGTCGACGTCTTGCCCTCCCAGCTTTTGCTGTATCTTGTCTGGATGCCAACGGATTCGTTCCAGCTTCAAGATTCTGCCCAGCTCTGCTTCAGTAGGTTGTCCAGATGTTGGCGCATAGAGAAAGAATCGTTCAATCTCCTTAAAATTGATGTCTCTCTTCTTTCCGCTTTCCACCGGCCATGGTATAGATGCGACAGCCACTGTGGCACCCCCGGCTTTGCTTAATTCATTCCACTTGCTGATATAGGCATCCCATTTTTCAGCCCAGACCTTTCTATTCTTCCTTTCCTCACCTCTTCTCAAACTATCTTCAACCTTTTGTCGGAATCTCTTAGCCTCTTCTTCCTCCTTTCGGCCTTCTCTTTCCAACCGAGCCCTCTCCTTCTTCGCAGCTTCCCGCCGGGCTTTCTCCTCAATCAGATGCTGATGTGTTTTCTCATACATCTTTGCCCGCACATGCGCTGCATATTCATCGTCTGTCATGCGCTCTAATTCGCCAGTAGGCCCCTCTTTTACATCTGGATATTGGTGAATTGGTTGACCGTAGACGCCCTCCCAAAATTGGGCTCCCTCATCATCCGCCATGGCGTCGAAGAGACTCTCTCGGAATGCAACTTCTGGATCGACATACTGACTCGAGGATGAATTTGGAAGATATGTGTCGTCGTATAACGCAGGGTCATCTTTCACCGGCGATGCCTGCCGTCTATGTCGTTTGCTTCTATGTTGACTTCGATGATGCCTTTCACCATCCCGCCGACTCCTGTGCATCGATTCATCTCCACCCTCATTACCATCTTCATTGTGGCGTGACCGCTTCTTGGCTTTGAATTTGAATTTGGATGCATTTGATGTTTCGTAGTCATTTCGACCTTCGTCATAATCAGTCGGCAAAGGCTTCTCGGCCTCACCTTCCCTAACTTCCGAACTCATCGCGGCCGTGAGTATCTTAAATCTTGCGAAGATTTGTATGGCCGCATCTGGGGCTTATCTTTCAGTTGGCAGGCGTAGATATGTCGTAAGCTTGAGGTGTTGAATGCACGTTGAAAGAAGGATGTTGTGTGAGTCGCAACGCGATATGGGGCCATGTTGAAAATAGTGGGTCCCTGTCCTTGCAGCCTTCACCCCGAGGCTAGGCTAGACCAAATATCAACTTTAATTCCTTAACAAACGTGTTCAACATATTTCGAGATTTTCGTCGCCAACATGTCCGGAGCGGGTCTCTCGTATGGACTTAATTTAACGAAGAAGAAACTCGGAGGCAAGCCTGCTCCAGCAAAACGGAAAACGATATTCGACGACGAGGATTCAGATGGAGAGGGTGGCACGTCAACAGAAGTAGGCGTGGAGGAGATTGGGGAAATTGGAGGACTGGATTCCGACAAGAAGACTTCTCTACCTTCACGAAATGCCGCCTTGACAGGAAAATCAAAGCTCAATGGCGCGGGGAAAAAAGCACCCATAAGCATGTATGGGGACTTGTCCACCTCATTCTCCTCGAAGAAGCATGCGGATACTGCCGAAGAATTAGACGCAAACATCTATGATTATGACGCCGTTTACGATTCTCTGAAGCCGCAGAAAAAAGTCACCCAAGAAGATAAAGAGCGTAAACCGAAGTATATGAGCAATCTTCTTGCTGCGGCTGCCGTACGGAAGCGCGATGCGACTATTGCGGAGGAGAAAAAACTAGCTAGGGACAGAGAGGCTGAAGGGGATGAATTCGCCGAAAAGGAGAAGTTTGTCACATCAGCTTATAAGAAGCAGCAAGAAGAGAACCGTAGATTGGAGGCCGAAGAAAAGATCAGGGAAGAGCAAGAGGAAAAGAAGAACAAAGGGACCGGGTTGACGAATTTCTACAAGAATATGCTTCAAAAAGAAGAACAGAAGCATGCAGAGATTGTCAAAGCTGCCGAAAATAGTGTCAATCAAGTACCGGTCGTTGAAGAGGAGCAGAAAGAGAAGACAGAGGCTGAAATTGCCAAGGAGATCAATGAGAAAATGGGCGGGAAAATCGCGGTCAACGATGAGGGGCAGGTTGTCGACAAGAGACAGTTGCTTAAAGGTGGTCTCAATATTGTTCCCAAGCCAAAGGGTGCCGCAAAGACTAATAATTCACGTACTAATCAATCTACGTCAAGCCGTGAAGGTGTGGGAATGGTTGGAGCTGGTGGTGGCAAACAAGCTATGAGAGAGAGACAATCTCGGATGATGGAGGCACAACTGGAGCAAGCTACCAAGAGAGCTCTAGAGGAAGATGAAGAGGAGAGGTTGAAGATTGAAAGAGCGTCAAAGACTAGGAAGACCGAGGGGGACATCATGAGCGCCAAGGAAAGATATCTTGCTCGAAAGAAAGAGGCAGAAGAAGCGAAGAAAAGGGGCAATGTCCCTTGAGCATGAAGCTCACACTTTTGCCAACCTCAACTCGCACGATCCGTATTCTGAGTCGTCCATTCTCTGGAGGGACACCTTCGGCCGCTAAGACATGCCTACGAAGCGCTAGATGCCATTACGGAGCCACGCCAACATGCGTTGCTTTTATCCCAAAGGATGTTCTGTAGCCGACTCTAGATGCTCGTGTCTCCCGTCTACGTAAGAGATACGATGAGCACAGCTAGTTAGAAGCATTTAGCATGAAATGCCTACTACCTTAGGTGCCGGATCATACTAGATCGCCTTCCAACACGGGCCGATCCGAAAAGCATAACGAGCACAACCTAGAAAGATCGAAGTTTAAAAGGATCTTTACGTAGATGTCAGACTTTATGTAGAATATGCAACACATAGAAACCTTCCTAGCTATCAGAAGTGCTCAATTACACAGTGCTTCTACCCCATAGAACCATGACAGACACCAATTTTAGTCTCTAATGTACAGATTTACAGAATTCGTACAAGTGGCTCCTCCGCCCACGCCCCCTCAAGACCATGATATGCCATTCCTCCGCCCATAATGATTAGCATCCATCACTCTCAACCTAGAACATCCCTCCATTCCCAGGCGCCTTCCCGCTCTCCTGCTGAATCCTCGTAATATACTGTCTCGAAACCGTATTCCACGCCGCCATGTACTTTTCCATACACTGTGTGAAGCAGGTCGTCTCGCCGCTCGATAACGAGGTTCCGGGTTTGGGGACACACTTGTCGAAGCAGTGTTCGTTGACTTTCTTTGCGGATGTCAGTATGAAGGTCCGAGAAAACGAAACTTCTCTACATGGAAGGAAAATAAGGGGGGAGAGATCACAAACCTCGATCAATTGCCGCGCATTCGTCATGGCAGCTTCTTGTCGTACTCGATTCATGACAATAGATTTCTGGTCGCCGCCGCCGAGTGGCATACTGCTTCCCAAGTCGTCCATTTTCGCTGACTTATCCCGTTCTGCTCTTTCTTCCGTTCTTTGAAATATCCCTTCCCTCAAAATATCAACTCTGCGATTCCTCGTATGCAATCGGTGAGCAATGACAACAGGAAGTCGATATGAAGCTCTCTTTAAACTTTCAACCAACCTCAGGCTCAAGACCATGCTAGTCTTGGCAGCCTGCACGCAATGACAGGGACCCAGCTTGGGCCATCCCCAGATTAATTGGACCACACAGCCAAAGGCCAGCTTTTGTTTTACCAGTCCAGCCAGTAACCTCGCTATCGACGAACTCGTCCACGGCCTTTCCCTTTCTTTCCAACTCAGGACGACGGCTGCGTTTTCTCTTGCATTTTTACCCTCTCCTTGCTTTCACTTTTATTTCTCCTAGGGAAGTAATCCTTGCGACTGCGCATTCGGGTTACTGCGCGAGATCCTAGGGTGCTGCGATTTGGGACGAGAAGGGGGGAAGATATTGAAGATTGAAGGCAAGATGGGTTTCTTGAGGGGAATTTCTGCGGCGCTGGGGCTGGCTGCTGCGGTGTTTGCTGGTCCTCATGATCAGACGACTACGAATGCGGATGGGATTAGGAGTATTCCAGTTAGTTACTGTATTGTTCAAATAGCACGCGACAGGATGCTGACTTTTGATAATAGCTGCGAACGCATACGCTCGATTCGGTTCGTTTACACCTGCTGTTTAGTAATGATGAGGAATGGGAACTGACTGGGTGTATAGCCTTACCTAGATTCTGATATGCAAAGTCGGTGGTTTGATTTTGGGGGAAATACTATTGTTCGCGCAGACCAGTACGTTCGCAACTAGCAGGCGATTTTGGCATGGCGAAGACTGACAGGATACTCTCAGATACATTCGACTTACCTCGGATCGTCCATCACAATCAGGATGGATATTCTCAAGGGTGCCGCTTACTGCTACGAATTGGGAGGTACGTTAACCATAGAATGAAGCAACTCGAGGGCTAGGGGTGGTCTGACGATTTGATAGATTGAAGTCGAGTTCAAAATCCACGGCTCGAATAACCTCCACGGCGACGGCTTCGCTATGTGGCTCACGAAACAACGAGCGACCCAAGGTGATGTCTTTGGCTCAGTTGACCGATTCGACGGACTAGGAATCTTCTTCGATACCTACAAGAACAACCGACCAGGAACCGTGTTCCCATATGTTATGGCTATGGTTGGTGACGGAAACAAACCATACGACAAGGCCAACGATGGAAAGGACAATGAGCTTCTAGGCTGCTCGGCACGTGGAATTCGAAACGCAAATATCCCAACCAAGCTCCGCTTGACATATTTCCAGGACAAGAGCTTGAAGCTCATGCTATCATACAAGGCTGAAGATCAATGGGAACTATGCTGGGAGACCCTAGAACCACCTACCATCCCCTCCGTCGCATACCTTGGATTCTCCGCCGAGACAGGAGAATTGAGCGATAACCACGATATCATCAGTGTCCACACCAAGAACCTTTACGATACCAAGAGCCGCGAGAGTAACACCATCACGACCAAGGAAAAGGGAAGTAAGGGAAGTACCAAGAGCGATTACAAGCAGAAGGAAAGCACGGGTGGAAGCTGGACGTGGTTTTTCTTCAAGGTTATTGTGTTCGTTGGGCTTTGTGGGGGTGGATATGTGGGTTATACTGCTTGGAGAACGCAGCAGAGGAGGAGTCATCGGTTTTAGGTGCTTTTTGGGTTTGGGCTGGGAGTAGGATGTTTAGGGGGGTGAGGATATGATGTGTAAAGAGAAGTGGGAATGTGTATTGAAAGGGTGGGTACGAATGGTTGATGATAAATACTGCATTGATGGTTCTAGGAGCGTGTATACCAAAAAGAAAGGGAATCAATTTACTTAGTACCATATCTTCAGTCGTTCAGGCATTGCAGACATGTGTTTACAGGTCATCAACGACGTCCACATGCTTGATGCGGAGGATTCGCACTTCTGAGCTATCATGCTTACTCTTCTGAAAACCCTGCATGGAAGTCGCGATGCAAAGCTTTGGCTATGCGACAATTGCTCCCCACTAGGAATCAATAGCCCTCTTTGACTTCGTATCCTTACCACCTTCCCCTCCTATGATTCAAAACAAACCCAATTACAATCCCCCAAGAATCTTTCCAAATGCCAATCCAAAACCTCGCCAATGCACTCCCATTTCGGTAGACTCCCCACATCTCCTCTTCCAGAATCTACCCCAGGAATAGATCTTTCGACTTTGCGTTTCTCTCTCCTGAACATTCGAGATGTAGGACACATAGTAAGTGGTAAAAGAGATGGAATGTACTGATATATGCTAGATCTTCGAAGCCTTCATTTTTTGCTTGAAGGCAGGTTCACAGGTGGAATTGTCGTGGATATGTAGACTGCGTTTCTGGGATCAAGAGGAGTGAGTGATGTTCCAAGAGCGCAATCAGTTTCTTTGGAAGGAACGAGAGGTCTGTAGTTCCTTAAACTAGACGCATTGTCAATACCATTCTCTTCGCCTAACGGTGAAGTGAGTAATTAAAGACATCTTTCCAATCCGACGTGCAAGAACGTGAATCATTCCCGTAATACCATTACACCGAATATCTCACGACCGCTCACACGTCTTTTGATAAAGAGGGACATGTCAGCTGAGGACCTGGAAGGGAACTAAAGACACTCGGTTTATTTCCGATGGTTTGTCATAGAGACGATGTGTTCCTTGTTGATATTTCAAGCGTTGAAACTAAATTACGAGATGGTATAGACAGCTGTACACTAGTTCTCATGTTGTTTTAGGCAGCAAGAAGTGGGTAAATCGGAAATAAGGAAAGCAATGAGGTATTTTTAGACTTAGTCGAGTGTACTGAATGGATTGAAGTAAGGTTGAGTTGAGTAATAACACCTACTCAACTCAACTCAACTAAACACAACTCAACTAAACTCGGAATATGACTAGTTTAGGTAAATCGACTAGCTCATTCAGACACCGTAGACTCTTCCCTACATTCATAATTCAAAGGTCCAATCCCTGTCATCAAAAAACCTTGCTCATACAAAAGGGAATAACACTACACGGAGCAAGTGTAACGATCCTCAAGATATATCAAAGTTTTGCACAACAATCGTCTAATAACTACAGTCAACCCATGCTTTGATCTTAGCATAAATCGCAACCTCCACATTACTAAAAATGAGAAAACACTTGTGTTGTACAGTTGTACTCGCCCGGTTCTTCGTGTAAAGGGAGTTCCCAAGATCTAGATCCATTGATATCTTGATAGGCACTCTGACCTCGCTTAGCAACGTCTATAAAAGGGGCTATAAAACCTACTTAGGAAACGTCAATGATTAATTGCCAAAACCTCAGCTATCATCAAAAGCAGGCATAGGTATGGGCGAAGGTAAATAGATAGGTTATCCAGTATGCTATCACTTAACACAATGACTAATGGTGTCCTCTCCTTAAACCAAATACCAAACTATATATTCCACCTATCCAATGTCCTCTCCTCTCAAACCATATACCAAGTAGCTCTACGCACCTATCCAACGCTGAACCTCCTCCAACACACCAACCTCGCATTTCGCTCTTTCCAAAACCCAATGTGTGGATCCATCTCCAAAATTAAGAGATCCAAAAAATGTCAAAGATCATATCCGCTCCCAATGCCCAAATCCAAACCCCAATCCCAGACGTCGAAAATGCAAATCTTGGAAATCCCAAACCAAACGCCGCTAGAGGGTATGGAAACGCGCGTGCGTACATACGAACGAACATGTCTTAATGCAAAAATGGAATCTTTCAATCAACTCCAACAGGCCCAAAAAACACCAGGAAAACTCCGTAGAAATGCTCAACGAGGATCGGCTGGGTCCGAAAAACGATTTATACCCAGGAAAAAAGTCGCTCAATGCTCATCTTTCTCTTCCATCTCACGTATGTATTTCACAAACGTCTTTTTGTGTGTCTACAGCATCATATTAGCGCTCGGAACTAAGGAAATGATGCAACTTGAGGACTTACAACTCCTGCGAAACGCCCTTCACGAGTCACGCATATATATCTCAGGCCCAGCTTAACATAGCACTCGTATACAAGATCCATTGGAGCATGAATGTCGAGAGTTAGAGGCGACTAAGAGATAAACGTGTTAGCTTGTGATATATATGGGCCTTGCGAGAAAGATGACTTACTGGATCAATATGCTTCGTAAAGTCGGTAGGATCGTCTCCTTCATCATCAGAATCATCAAAAGATGTAACCTTGACCATAAGACAAAGCGTTCCCGGCTCATCAGGCAATCCATCAAGGGCAAACTCAAGTTCTGGTGCTGGGATCAAACCAACCAGAACCTCGTCGCGGACAATAGCGAGACCTCCGTCAACCTCTCCGGCCTTGTGTAAAATCTCTAATTTGTTCCGAAGACTGCTAGCTGGAACCAAGGGAGAGCTGGAGATATCTATCACTCTTTCTCGCCGAACTCGTGGAACAATTTCCGCAAGGGTCGAAGTAAACATCGGCTTGTGCTTATTGTTTAGAAAGGGGTATGAGTTGAGATTTGTCAAAAGATCCTACTTCAAGTTAGTCATGAAAAGAGGGGGTTTTAAGGAGAAACCCACATAAATGCTCAAAGGCTCTATCCAGTCTGCTGTCCATTTGGCAACCAAGACAGCTAGCGAGAACGGCAGGATATAATCGAGACTGCCAGTTAACTCGAATAAGATCACGGCCAGTGTGATGGATAGACGCGTCACACCGCACATTGTCGACCCAGCAGCAACAAGTGCATAGACACCAGGCGTGATACAAGAGGTTCCGTCGGCATGTGCGGCGCAATTACCCCAGACTGGATTCGTTGGAAATCGTAGAACAGTCCACTGCAGCAAATGTCCAAAGATTCGGCCGACTAATCCACCAACAACCATAGATGGGACGTAGATACCAGCGGGAACTTTCTATGATGTTGTCAGTACAAGCGGCGCATAACAAGTGGAGGACGTCGCTTGCTTAAAAACACGTGCTCCAATGCAAAGTGTATTACTTACAATTCCAAATGTGATTACCGTCAAAAAGGCCTTGATGAAAAATGCCACGGCAAGGCTTCTGATGATCGGGAAGATGTCGTCAAGATCTTTTGGGCACAATCCCATCTCATCCTCCTTGTTGATATCACAAGGACTCGACAAGTTGAACAGTAGTTTCGCGACTGGCAATTTCGTAAATGGGTTCCAGAAGCTTATTAACCCGGTGATCAAAGCAACCAACATGACTTCGACTAGTGGTTTTTGTTTCACGATCGTGATTTTGCGAAAGGATTTTGCCCATGCGCGGGACGCCTTGATGAACAGAGCACCAACAGCTCCCCCAACCATACCGACCACAACGAATCCCACAAGTTCAAAAAAGTCCCAGTCTGTCAAGTATCGGACTTCGAAAATTACCACTTTGTTCGTTCCGTAGGGATTGAGGAACTTGAGTGACAGTGCTGCCGTTATACAGCAGAAGAAAGTTCTGAACAAGGTTTTGGCAGGAAAGAAATAGGCGACTTCTTCTAACGAGAACAGAACGCCGCCAAGAGGTGCCCCAAAAGCGACTGCAACACCGGCTGCGGCAGCTGCTGACAGAACTTCTCTTCTCTTTCCATCATTTCGGTCGTATTTGTCAAACATTCGACATGCAATGTTTCCAATACATGTGGCGATGTGAACAAAAGGACCCTCTTTGCCCAAGCTCAATCCAGACGCAACACTAAGAATGAGGGCGGCAGTTTTGACGACCAATGTTTTGACTCCAAGAAATCCGTGGAGCACGAACCCGCTCAGTATAACACGAACTTCTGCAACTCCACTACCAGCAGCCGAATAGTAAACCATAGAGCCAGCAGGCTCTTTTTCCACTTGCGACTTAGGACTAGTAGCTCCATCATCTTGTAATTCTGCATGCGTTGAAACCGCGGCTAAGTTTTCATCGAGGGTTCCTATGTGATAGGTCGATGGTACAACAGTTTTCGAGGTGAGGGTTAGGAGACACGCTGCTGAAGCTAGTGCCACCACCAAAATGACGAAAATTATGAATTCGACAACCGTCTCTGAAACATGGGGCAGCTTGACATAATTTGACCAAGACTTCCAGGCGTCACATCTATCTCCCCCAGGGCAGCAATGCTAAGAGTCGAGTCAGTCGATTCGCACTTCAGCCATCCTACTGCATAAAGGTAATATAAACAGTCATTTGATTGTGACAGTGTGCTAGAAGGGAAGATGGTGATTGGACAAGAGCTGAGCACAGAAAGCACATCTCACACCACTTGGTACGAGGGGTAATTTGTGTGATGGGTAGTATCGTGGGGGTGGAAAGTAGTACAATCTAAGGAGAAACAGGACCATCACATACCCTTTCGCTAATGAGAAACCCATCGTGACAGTAGCCTTCTTTCCAGTCAAACACTGGAGCCTCCGACACATCGACCATATATGCTACACATGCCGTTATACAACCAACAAGTGCACTTAAAATCCATCCTTGAGCCCCATCGAAAGCTGCTAGTAGTCGTCCTCGTACGTCTGTTCGGCTCCGCAGAGCTTTCATTCGGTGGGCATCCGCGATGCTATCTCTCACCCAATCTGTAGAGGTAAACTGATCGTACCAAACTCGGTCCTCGGATTGTATGGACGCTTTAGATTCCACCATCGAGTTGTTGTGCGTGAGGGCTCCGACGAGGCGGTGTCCCCAGGACCCGGCGCGACTATGATTTCGAGCACTCCGAAGGCTTCCTATGAAAAGTGTTAGTAGACTGTATCCTTTTGAGAGTGGGATGCCCAGGAAATATTACCATTATGGCTAGCATGCCTCAACAGTCGGGGGCCGCGAGCAGTCCCGGATTCCAGTGCAGCAGACTGTAGTCGTATTCGAGAACGACCAGCGCTTTTGAGTAGAGGTGTTCGCTCATCGTGACCAAGACCGCTGTGCGAGCGAGATATCGGTGCCCGTTGTTGTGTCGGAGAGCTGGGAGGAGACGATTCGGCGGAATCTGGGGTTTGGTTTGCGGCAGTCATGGTTAAGTCGCTCCACACGGGAGGCTTTCTCCTCGAGGAAGACATCAATAAGTAAAGACAGAATCGGTCACGACGCACAACAGGGACGTGATTGCAAGTTAAGGAGTGTGGTATCGCAAAAATAAAGCAGTTGCACAAGTTGACTCGTGGGTTCGAGGCAGAAGACAGTCTGAGTCGCCGAGGGAGGTGGAAGTTGAGACATGGGTGCGAGGGCTGCGTAAATACGACAGCCACGACCCATGTCTCACCTCAGAACTTTGAATGGAGGCAGCGGGAGTGAGAAGGAATCAGAGTGAAGAAAGCTTGTAAATTGACCGCAAAGGAATCATAGTCGAAGGATTAACTGGCGATCAATGTGGCTGAATCACAGCTTCAAGCTTGAATAACGTAACTTATCTTTATCCGCATGGACGTACAAACGAAAGCTGTTTTGTTGGTGAACCCACCCACACTGCTCCCATACTTTGGTTGTCATAATTCGTAGCCTCGTGCAACCGCACAAACGCCGGAAATGTGATGTTCCTGGTAGACTGTATCTGATCCCATGCGCGATATAACTCAGGACATGACAGCCGACGTATGGTGAGGGCGTGGTGGTGTTGGTGTGGGCGCAAGTTCTTGGAGAGCTGTTTGTTTGTCCAGTCATGCTCAGAAGGTCCTGCCACCAGTCATACGAACTCACGGCTCCTCGACATGTGGCCCTGCTTGCGTCGTGGATGTCCCGGTGTGGAGTCTTTGGTATTTCATTCACGTGGAGTTCTTGGGTCGTCGAATCTGCCATAACATTTCCAAGCTCAGAATAAGTCGCGGCAACCGCAGCTGTCGGTGTGGAACGAGCCAAAGTACTGCCCCGGTCAAAGTCACAGGCGGGGGAAGGCTGTGGCTCCCAAGGATGGCAAGTTGGCAACTGACACAAGGCTGTGGAGCAGAAACCAATCGGGCCATCCCTCGCGCAAACGCCGGCCTTTACCCGCGATTTACCACCTGTTCAATGGCATCATGGCGTAAATAAGTGAGCCCTGCATTGGCAGTATTCCGATACCTTGAGCGGTGAGTGGTGGGGTGTACGTCTGCCGAATCGGCTGCCTGCATGGCAGCTCTGTTTCGTCAAGCGGACTATCCTATCACATCTTCCACCATCGAACGCCGGTTACGAGCATCTGATTTCCTTCAAGTGACGGGACTGGACACCTATAACCTAGGCAAATTCATTCGCTAGTATTATCGTCGCCTGTTGTATGCTTACTAGCTCGCAACGTATCGAATATGGAACAAAACCGATATCCACAGTTTCTTCTGATAGGAGACTCCCATATCCAGTACATGAATCAACTCCGGGATGGGTTCGCGTTCGCTGCGGGACTGTCGACACATGTTGAAAGACGCCTGGACGTTATAAACAGGGGTTTCAGCGGCTATAATTCAAGCCATCTGCTACACATCTTGGAACATATTATTCCTTCGACCAGTGCAGCGAAAGTGGATTACATCGTGAGTAGTCTCAATTACCATATTTTATTTTCATTTATAGTTTCACACCATGTTCTTCAAGTTTCTCCATGGATTTTTACACTTCCTCTTGCAAGATCCTCATGTTCCTGGAATTTTCCATATTAATGATAATTAGCTTCTACCGACGGGTGACTGACTCGTGCAGCTTGTACTTCTAGGTTCCAATGACTCTTGCCTCCCTGAGAGTCCAACTGGACAGCATATTTCTCTGCCAGAATACCAGAGGAATATCACAACGATTGTCAACCGCTTCTTAAATGATACTGATCCAAAGAAACTCTTTCTTGTAACGCCGCCACCGGTCAATGAAATCCACCTTCAAGAAGCCTCAGATGGCCAGACCTTAACTCGACACCAAAGTTTTACTGCGAAGTATGCGCAAGTAGTACGAGAAGTCGCCGAAGAGCTGAACGATCAGCGCGTAGTCCTTGTTGATTTATGGAGTGCGATAATGCAAAAAGCTAGATTGTCAACACCAGATCAAGGGGAGGATGCCCTACCAGGTTCTAAAGCGTCAGGGGACAATGAACAACTTCGGGAATTCCTCTCGGATGGACTTCACTTGACTGGAGCGGGTTATAAGATATTTTTGAACAATGTACTGAAAGCGATGGGCGATGACTGGAAAGACGAGAGCTCTGACCACAAAGATTCATGGGTTTTCCCGTAAGTTACCACTCCATTAAAGCTCACAAAACGTCGAAAGGCTAAACTCGACATCAGTCGTTGGGAAGACGCGCCAAAATGCTAGAAAAGATTGCCATGGATATCGTGATTATAGGTATCAACGGAAAATCCTCTGATGATCTTTACTTCTTTCGAGTTACACCTCGGAAGCGTGGGGGAGATACAGCCAAAGTATTTTGCATATTAAGCAGACACTTGCATGAAAATCACAAATAGAGGATTGCTTATGGAAGGTCTCTACTAGAATCAATTAGAGAGAAGCATCAGCTCTTACGTAGAATTGCAATAACCCTTGGAACCTACCTAGGTAGTATATCACATGCAATAATAAGCGAAGCTGCCGCCTAATAAATACCTTCATTCACTTCCACCACAACACACCCCTATAAATCGTCCTATCAACTTTTTAAAATCCACATCTAAGTTTGCCATCAATTCCCACACCGTGGTCATGGACAAAAGTCAACCCACAAACGAAATCCTCAAAGCCCTTCGGGAACAGAAGCATTGCATGAGATCGTCCAAACCAAACGCCATGACCTTTCAGGATGCGGAAGGAAAAGAGTGTTCTATTCATATCCCGCTTGAAAGATATGACGAGGCGATGGATTACTTTATTAAGGAGAACTGGGAGGAGTTGAAGAAATTTGAGGAGTGGAGTGAGTGATAATATGGATTTTGGGATGCGTCGGAATGCTAAAATGGTGTTAGATGGGCAGGAGTATAAGGATCATGAGATTAGGGTTACGGAGTGTTATTGTGGGAAATGTGTTGTTGGGTGATTTGGAGATTGGTGTATAAGTTTTGAGGGGTGAGGTGAAGGTATTTCAAGGGGAGGAGTGTTTATTTGTGAGGGTTTTCTAAATTGTTTTTATTAATTCGAAATGGATGAAAGTCAGAAACGAACATAGAACTGAGGACGGGCTTTAATAATTAAAATACAATTACAAAGGTAATTCAAGTAGTGTTATAAACATTTGTGTTCTTTGTACAATAGACGTCTGTGGGAACTGCTTTTCTTGTTGAAAGAAGCTTGGTGTTTTTTAAAAGAAGATGCATAATAAAAGAGGGTTTAAATTTTGTTTCGATCCATTAACATGATAAAGATTATCATGAATCTAATTAATACAATATATAAATTGTTCACTTATGGCGTAGTTCGGCTTACCTACCTCCCTTGACAACGTTTGGTCATCCCTGCAGATCGTCAAAATTCCGGGGACTCTTTGGCTCTAGACAACACCAAGGCTACAACAATCATCCGATCAAGTTACAACGACATCTCTTCTATGATTTCCATGCCCACCATACAGTTCAACGTCCAATCTTCAGCCAACACACCCATATTCGAGTTCTCGACGGATTGATCACTGCAATCATATCATCCGCTTCCATTAGTCCTGAAACCCATCCCTTACAGATCGAGAATCCTGTCGCGATCGCAAGATAGTGCTCCTTCCTTCTTTATTGCATTCGACTTGGAGCACCTTCAACGACCTTCTTGACGTATCACTTCCGGTCGCACACGTCCAGTCGAACAAATTACGCTATATCGAGTGAAATCATCCATCGCTTTCACTCCACTAGACGAACCTTGAACGGTACGAACCAACGAGTCTGCGAAAAAGGCCGAGACCATTACATACCTCGTGTCCTCTCTCCCATTCGATCGAGACGGAAGGCAGTACCGCTGGCATAACCTCAAAGAAAAAAGACATATCAAAAGTTGTCGCCAGCGCAGTGACTGGTAGTCGCAGGTCGATGCGGTGGGGGAGGTGGAGATCGTGAACCCTGCAGAGGACGACCATTCTTTTAGGCGGCTCTCACTTGCATGTTATCAAACTCGCAGTTCTTTAAATTCTCCGGCAACAGACAGTCTAGAATTGTTTCCCTGCTGTGGTGTTTGGAGGGCCCTCCCGCTTAGATACAGTCATAGCACACCTCAACAAAGGGTCGTGTCTTTCTTGGGCAAACACTGCCGGCAACATCAAGCGCCAATCTTCTTTTAAACATCGTCAAGGTCTCCATTCCACAGACAGGCACCAGAGAAGCAGGATTCGATATTATACACACGAGATCAGCGAGGGGTACACCACCACCGGCACACGAAGGGAGGTTGGGAATGGATTCGCAGTATCTTCCAAATCGAGAAGACCTTTATCATATCCAGATGGACGTGAAACATGTCCAAGCTGTACAAATCAACCAAGGAGAAAGATTATTGCGACTCGAAAAGCGACAAGCTGACGACGCTGCCTTGAAGTCCGTTTGGGGAAATGGGTCTCCTTTTCCCAGTGTTCTGAGTGGTACCCCCCAGCAAGGTTGGTCTATACTCTACACGATGTAAACATGTTTTGCTCACTTGCAACAGGCCCCGTTCAGCATCCCCCAACTGACGTCTTCGACGACTTTGACGACGAGCATGGGCACAATCTACTTGGTAGTCTCCATCTTGAAGCTGATGATGAGCCAGTCCGCCGTGGTGCTTCACGCGCTAACAGTGTTCGATTCGATGTCAGCGCCTTGCAAGGGTCTAATTGGAATGTGAACTCGCGCCATTCAGGCGACTTTGGGCCTATTCGCCCCGGCAGTGGCATCGGAAGCCATCCCATGACAGAGCGAACTTTATCACATAAATCTGATGGGAGACATAGTTCAGCTGGTCACTCAGTTCATTCTGGTCGCACTAGTAGTCTAGGTCTTGATACCAACTTCATTATCGGAGGCCAAGATGATGACTCCCCACTGGACACACCCGACCCTCCTCCTGGTCTTTTTATTCTAGGATCTGTACCATCAATTATTCGATGCTGGCTTAGTACAAACTTTTCTCACAGCGCACTTTTGTACGCTGATATCTGTTCGGGCTCTCAAAGGTCTGTGCTTGATTACAGTTTGGTGAAAGAACTGGGACTTGCAGAGCAGATACAGAAAGATGCAAACGGAAGACATCACATCAGGCTTCCCGTCTATCTTCCAGAAGCAGTTGTAACTCAGCCATCTTCGAGATCCAACAGCCCTGCTCCCCAATTACCCACCTTGAGCGCAGATTTTGAAATCGTCGGTCTTTCCCAACGCAGCACGCCGGATCGCAAGAAAGGCATTCGTATTATTATTGGCAGTGACACACTTCGGGCTCACAATGCCGACATCTTTTTCTCGCAGAATCTCATGACCTTGTATGGCGATGATCGAAACAAGCTTTCTGTGCCGTTTGTAAGACCAGAAGATGAGACTCTATTCAAGAATCTTTGTACGACTCACGTGCCTGTGGAAACGAAAGAGTTGAAGGCTACGGCGGCACCTTTTACACCAACGGAATTTAAGCCCAAAGTTGAAGTGGCCCCCCAGGCCCTTGCTTCTGCTATCTCTGAGAAGATCGAGCAGGCTGTGAAGGCTCCAGTATCTGAGCGCGAACCGCAGTCGGTATCAGCTCTAGAGCCACAGCCTACCTTGCCCGAAACAGCTGACTTGGATCGAGCTTCCAGTGTAAAGAGCATGACTATCACGACTGCGCCAGAACCAGAAAAGACGTCTCAGTCAATCGAGTCTGCACCACAAGTTGATGGAAAAACACCTTCCGATACTAGTAATCGTGACTCTCCTGTTGGCATCTGGGGTCCTTGGCGCCAGAACCCAATCACCGCTGAACCTCCTTCCACCGAATCAACGAGTGGCTATCAACGAGCCGCTCGCAGCGGTCGCTCAATGAAAGTGCTCAAACCGTCATCTTCCAAATCCATCTCCTCGATCGCCGCTCCCATGCGACCTACTGCCGCACCTCGTACATCCACACCCTACGAAATTCCTCCAGAGATCCGAAGAAAGAGCCAAGTGGAAAGCACGCCATTGAAATGGGAAAGCAAGCGAGTGAGTTCCGAAGAGGTGAAAAGACCACCGATCATGCTGAATACCATTCCACGCTCTGAGAATCCGGTTGGTGGTGCGAGTGCGTTTAGTTGGATGGCTCATGGTGGGACGGCTGGAGGGAAGAAGGCTGGGACTGTGGAATAGGACTCTTCTCTACTTTGAGAATTGAGAAGTAAAGCGAGTGGGATGGATTGGGGATAGGTAGATGTGGGCTCATGAAGCTGATATGTTCAAGCGAAAACCTCTAGCAAAAACAAACTAATCTTCCATCAATTCCTCTGATAATTGATGCCTTTCTTTTGGTATTGTGTGTGAAATGTGTGGTATTATTGACGCTAGCTATTGTTTAACACTTATTAAGCTCTAATCTGCTAATATATGTCCTACCAACATATCCTAGAAATTCAGCTTCACCTTCCAGAACTCGCTATTACCATTGATCTCGGAAAATTCACCTTTAAACCTTAACTCGAGTTTTATTTAGATCGACTACTTAATTATAATGACCAATCTTTCCTAGATTCTTTCTACACCATCCAAAGGACTCTACTATACACAACCCTTCCGATCTACACCAAATGACTACAGATGACGATGTCTCAACCACCTCAAAGAATGGTGGAAGACAGTACGCAAATACAACATCGCCATAAACCTGCGACTGGTGATGATCCGCATCGTAAAGATCGAGCGGTGATGCGGGGAGACGAGGGGAGGGTAGTTGGGGTGAAGGGGAAGAGGAATTTATTGGTTGTGTTGAAGATTGGGTGGGAGAAGTTGAGGAGGTTTGATGAGCGTGGTGAGTTTTCTTGCTTTATTGGGTGGGTGTTCTGGGTATTGGGTTGCTGATGGACATGTAGATTCGATCCATGGCGACGATGAATCCGATACCTCGAGCTCCGACTGGTCCGTCCAACGAAGAGAAGAGTTGCTCAGAGACGCAGAGATGCAGAGGGCGATTTTGAGGAGTGAATCACCTGAAGTAGATGATGCATGGTGTAATTTGTTTACGGGGGGACTACGACAATCTTCAGAGAGTGACGCTGCTCGGTGTTCTGACTTAGTAGGAGCAGTACCGTCTATGACCCAGTCTCCAGAGACATCAGTACACCGCCCAACGACATCTGCCCATACATCTCCTGAGGATCACTCATCGCCCGAAAGAGAGCATATAGTTTCTAACAAAGTTTCTGACACCACCCAGACCGTTCTAAGCTCCTCCACTCTCCTAGCGCAGCGAGTCGAAAATCTCGAAAAAGTAGTCTACGGAAACCAGTCCTCGGGAACATACGCATATCGCCCAAACACACACGACCACACCTCCCTACTACCCTCTCATACCTCCAAATATATCTCCCCCTACCCCACCAAACCCACCTCAAACCCCATCGCATACACCTCTCCCCCTCCAGCCACCTCACCTAAATCCACGCAACCCCTCCAAAGCGTCCTCCACGAGCTCGAAAACGCGAGTCAAGCGACTATCAGGGCGAGAAAGAAGTACGACGAGGTATCTGCGAAGGGGATGCTGGAGTTGCAGCGCGTGTAGGAGAGTAAGCGGGTTGGGCTGGGGAGGTATACTTATGCGTTGGTTGCGGGGGTGGGGGATGAGGGTCTGAGGGAGGAGTTTGAGGGGGCGAGGAGGGAGGTTGAGAGGGCTGAGATGGTGGAGAGGGGGTTGAGGGAGAGGGTTAAGGGGGTTGTTGGGGGGTTATGAGGGGGTGGTGAGGGAGGGGATGAGGGGATGAGGGAGGTGGAGGGTTGGATTAGGGTGAGTAAATTGGAAGTATTGGAAGTGAAAGGGTCAGAGGAGAAGTGCGGGGTGAGACTAGCACTGAGTTAATTTGTTGAGATATGAGTAGGTCATCCCGGAATTAAATGTGTTCTAAACGCGAAAGATAATCAGTTATTGATACATAGGTCCTATGAATTTGCGTCCTTCTTCTGATATCAGGGAATGTGGTGACTTGAGTAAGTAGAAGTGAGCGTACTTGAAGTGCTCGTGACTGGTATTAAGTTATAAGTACTCAATTCTTGCGCCGTCAATATGACTGGTTTTGAAGATTGGTCGGTGAACGGTACGAAGATGCAATTTTTATGCCCGTCGAAGGGTCAATCCTCCCGTGGCTCGCAGTGATACTTCATGTGTGTTACATATGTGGATCTGAACGAATTGTGTTCGTCTAAGAAGAATCCAAATGTATGTATCCGGACTCAGATGCAACTTAAAAGGAGAGAGGATTGAAATTCTCGCTTAACCTTAAGGAAACCTCGCACCAATCACAACCACCCTCATCGCTTGAGTCAGCATCGCACTAAACCCTCAAGGTTGCGCTTGGACACCCGGATGGCTACTTACATCTTACGTCGTGGCGGGCGAGAACATTGCAGCCCGCAGATAGCTAAGCCAAGTCTCACATCGAAACATCCACCAACTCGACTACTTTCTTCCTTTGTGTTGAAAGAACTTATACTTTGTCTCAAATCCTACTTCCTTCTCTTCTGTCGCGATCATCCGGGTCCTAGCAGAGTCGCTGCTTTCCCAATTTCTTGTCGAGTCCTTTCACAAGCCGAGTCGAGGGTTGTAGCCGCGCGAGGAAACTACACAAAGAAGGAACGTCAACGCCTGGGCGCAAGACAGAGAATTGCCGTCAAGATGGCAGACGGCATCGGCATTTGGAAGATGGATAATGATACGAGAGGATGGATAATGTGTACTGTTAGTGGAATTGGTACGTCATTCCCTCAAAATTGCCATGAAAATTGTCGCTGACTTTGTTCAAGCATGCATGGTAGGCGCGGGAATTGTGTATATCGACAAAATCATCCAGCTTTTCCCGAGCAAGAAGAACTTTCGGATACAAGAGAGTGATACATTTGCAGCTGCCTCGTTGAGCTTTAGTTTTGGGGTCATGGTGAATGCGCCCGAACCAACTGTACAGAGTGACGCTGACGGATTCAGATCTTCATTGCACTTTATAGCATGCTACCATCGGCGAAAACCTCGTTCATTAAAGGCGGTCTTTCTACATCTACCGCTGCGTGGGCCATCCTTGGAGGCTTTGTCTGCGGATTTGTGGTTATACAGATTGTCTCCCGATACATCCACAGCCATATACCTTCAACAGAGAAGGAATGCGAACCTCCGTCACACGACTTCCCACACTCGTTTCATGGCTCAAGAAGGAGCTCTAACGGTTCGTACGAATCCGCTGAACCAGACAACACCGACTTGAAAGTTCCCCGACGCAATGGTCGCGCAACGGAATCCACACCACTTTTGTCAGAGGAGTTGAATGGAAGGCATCCAGCTTCAGCTATAAACCATTTAACGGGTACGGATGGCACATCGACTGTCAAAGGAAATAACGATGAAACCTCACGAAGGCCGTCGATGATTCAACTCGGCAAAACCCGAGCACTCTCTTTCTTGAAAGATACAAAGGGGAACTGCGATTCAAAAGGTCCTTGCTATGGATTCTCCAAAGCCTGTGGTCATCATTGTGTCAGCCATTCTACGCTATCCGGAGCGAACTCTCGTCGTGCTACGATGCCACACGCCGATACCCATCTCGACGATGATTTGGAAGCTTCGACTGGCAGATTAAGATCTGCTACAACCACTGCTGGGTCCCGAGGTCAATCTCGTGACCGGCAGTCTGTTGAGGAGGCACTCGATACCATTAGTGAAAGCCCGGTTGGGGATGTGGAGGCACAAACGCATCGTCATTCCACGAGTACGGGTCATCACCACGAATTCGATAACATGTTTATGTCGAGTGGAGTCCAAAGTGTTATCTCAATCGCAGTACATAAATTTCCGGAAGGCTTTATTACCTACGCTACTAATCATGCCAACCCAGCCCTTGGTTGGTCGGTATTTATTGCATTGTCAATACACAGTATAGTTGAAGGATTCATCATGGCAATGCCACTTCACTTTGCTTTTGGATCAAAAGGAAAGGCTTTCTGGACAGCTTCCATAATAGGAGGCTTGAGTCAACCTGCTGGCGCTGGAATCGCAGCGGCATGGTTCAAGATTGCAGGAAAGAACGGAGGAAACCCCAGTGAAGCATTATACGGAGGTATGTTCGCTGTCACATCCGGAATCATGGCTAGCGTAGCAATCTCGCTTTTCACAGATTCTCTAGACCACGCCAACAACAAGACGTTGTGCACTGGCTTTGCGTTTCTCGGTATCATTATCATGGGGATGGCACAAGCTCTTACCGCATGATCTGTGGTTGACTTTCTAACACAGAAAGTATCGTTTCACGAATTATGAATAAAGAGCGGCGATCATGGGCATTTCTGTGGCGTTTAAGGGTTGTCATCAAACTGTTGAGTGATTGAATATATCTACTTGTTTGTATATCTATATGCATTGGTTAGGAGATCCAAGATGGACGGGCTGTACATGTGCATGGCGTTGGTGTTATGGTGGAACCGTTGTGTGGTAGAATCGTTAGATTTAATATGCTCGTATACTACTTTGTTAATGGCAGAGTTGTCTATGCCTCGCGGACTCTAGTGCGGTAGACCAAGCGTGACTCTGTTTGTCCGATTTCTCATACCACTCGTGCAATTACCTACTAAATGTCTGAACCACACCCCTGAAATCAGGCATGAGAGGTGCGGTATTTGCAAGCAAACATGAGAAGAGAACGTCATCTTCAAGACTTTCAACTTCCAGAGAAGCAAACTGTTATTGTTTAAAAGTTCTACGCTCCCATCTACTTCCTGAGACACCATGCTAATATGTAACTAGCTAGATCTATAAGGCGCAGCGGATTACTGGTTGGTTTGTATACGCTCCCGATAGGATGGGAAGTAGATGTCATCTGAAGAATAAAAGAGTTTGGAAAATAAAGAGAGATTAAATAGAAGGGTTAAGGTACATGGGTATATAGGGTTATAAACATCGGATTTATTTATTACCATCTTGTAGGAACTACATAAACATTACATACCCCATCCCATGAATCCAGAAGTATCCCTATCCCACACCAGCGCCTTTCCATGCACCCTAAATACCGCGCCTATCCTACAAATCCTAGAATCTACTTGATATACGGAATCCCAACCGGAGTTCTCTTCCTAAACTCTTCATAGTCCTTCTTAAAGAATCGGACCAGGAATTCTTCTTCGCCTTTGATACGCGCGCTGAAGAATTTCCATAGTACAGCGCTGTAGCCTAGCAAACAAAAGACGTTTCCGAGGACAAGTTGAGTGCCTATTCCCCACCAGAAGAAGCCGAAATAGGAGGGGTGTCGGAGGATCGAGTAGATACCGCTGGTGATAAGGACATGCGTTTCCTTCTTCCTCTGTGCGACGAGGTGGGAGAATGAGGGGCCTGCTTGGATGATAGCTGAAGTACGGATTATCTGGCCGAAGAAGACGAGTGAAAGACCAGCCAGTAGGATGAGACTGTGAAGGAATTGCGGTAAGAATTTGCGACGTCCGTATGTATGTGCAATTAAACATTCTGAGAACGCAGCTGTGTGAGCAGCATTATACGCCCATCCATTACTGCTCAACAGGAACGAAGACGCCTCTGCGTTCGCTGGGTTGGCAAATGCCGTGCTGTAGAATTCGAGGAAATGGAAGAGAGAGAGACTCGCGAGAAAGAACGGGAGACGCCATAGTGGTGAGCTGCTTTGGGTGCTGAGGTATAGCGTCAAGGCAGTGCTGCTGAAGAACGTGCCACCTAGGAGGAATGCGCGGAGTGCGATGCCGGCTAAAGAGCGCTTTTGATTGCGATGAAGGGTTCGTTCGGTGGCTTCAATGGCTTGTACGATTCCAGAGTTCGTGGGAGTCGACGAGGGTGTCCATGGTGCAGAACCGTTTCCTCCGCCTAATCCTCCACTTGAAACTAGCTCGATGGATTCGTTGAAGGGGTTTCTGCGAACTGGACCGGTGCTGGGACGAGGTTGTTCGTCGTGCTGATTTGGGGTTGTCCAAAGCTTGTTCGAGGGTACTTCACCTAGACTCTCGTTTACTTCTGCTGCTGCGTTTCCATCCTCCTGTCCCTGGGCTTGTTGCGAGTGTGTTGGCAAGTTGGATGAGGTTGCCGCACCATTTTGTGATGAGGATGTAGTTGCCGAAGACATGGCTAAACTTGCTTAATTTCGCAACATGTATTGAACTCGTGTCATGGGAGAATCCAGGAAAGGTATCCCCCGGACGTTGGTGTGTTGTTAGAAGCCATGCTTCTTTGTCTTGTGAAGGGTTCCAAATCCGGGAGACAGGCTTGTGCTGGAGGATCAACTGCCGCCGGAGCGGCACATAGATATTCCGGTATTGGAGGGGTCCAAGTGCCAAGCATAATAAGGCTGGCCCCGCGCTTTCTCTTTGCTCGAGCTGGTTTTAGTTAGACTTCGAGTACCTAGCGAGGACCATTCACTATTGATAGCGGTAGGTGGTGATTAGCGCATGCATTCTTCCTAATATTCCACCCGGGAGAAAAGCGTCTTTCATTGGTACTACAATAACTCGGAAGACATTCAAACGAATTGTCTCTCTAGCGTACTCTTTCTATTCTCACCTCTCATTTTATTCTTCTGACAATTCTGGTTTTCGCTTCTGATAGCATACGTTGGCAATCTCAGTGTTCATTGTTGATTTTCTCTATGAGCCTATAAGAAGTTGCAGCTAGCTATACGAAGTCCCAGAACAGGTCTCATACGTCAAACCTGCAGCTTCAAGCTTCCCTTTAGAACCTCAAAAACAAACCTCAAAAGTCACCTCTTCACCTTCTTATCTGGGTCGATAGTCATCGCGCGCAAAAGAAGATTTAGATTCCTTCAGGTTAATCAGAAGATAATCAAAATGGAAAGACTTTCAGACGCGGAGAACGAAGCTCGTATGCTGAAGGGAGAATTATATCATGCTTTCACAGCTTCACTATCGGCAAAGCGTGAGAGGTGTCGCAAAGCTTGTCATAGGTTTAACCAAGCTGGAGATGCCTCGAGAAGAGAGCTCGTCAGACTATGGAGAGAGTATGTATCCCTTTTAAGCTCCATATGATTTTTGTGACCCCACTCTTGACACAGTGCTAGTGTGATAGACGACAAGTCCCCAATGCCTCCTGTTGGCGCAAATGAAGAAGAGGAGGCAGTTTTACTCCAAAACGAACCATACGTCGATGGGCCAGTGAAAGCTGATTACGGCTTCAACATCCGGTATGCATTCCTTCATTTTAGACTGGAAGGAACGGCTGCTTATTCGGAACAGACTAGGCGTAGGAAGCTTTATCAATGTCAATGCCACATTTATTGACACCTGTCCTATCACAATCGGAGCTCGTACCCTTGTTGGGCCTAGTTGTTCATTCTATTCTGGAGGTCATCCTCTGGATCCGTTCCTCCGAAATGGAACAAATGGACCTGAGTTTGGAGGTCCCGTCGACATTGGCGAGGACTGCTGGCTAGGCGGGAATGTCATTGTTCTACCAGGCGTTACAATTGGGCGTGGTTGTACGGTTGGTGCTGGTAGTGTGGTGACCAAAGACATCCCGGCCTTTCATGTGGTGGTTGGAAATCCTGCCCGAATCATTCGCAAAATCGAGCCTAAGGAGCGGGATCCAAAGTTGTCAGAAGAGGGTTCCGACGTCTCTACTGTCGTCTCAGCAGCCAAAATAGCCGGTCCGCTCTAGACTTGATTTCGAAGCAGTGATATCTGGTTGTGGGCAATTTTCTGATATATAGAGGGACCCCGTAGATATAGATATTTTCGGCTTTTGTTGATGAACATGACGAGAAACCGGGTGCCTCATCATATTGCGCAATTGTTGTAGAATAACAGGCGGGTTCGTCTATCAAAGTCCTCCTTGGATAGAGAAGGACGACAGGATCAAAACCAGGACATTGACTATGGACCAAACAAATGGTATCCACGTTGACATGCGGAAGTAGCCTGCATTGTAAACAGCTCCTAGACTAGATCATAATCAGCAACGCATCGATAAATAAGTCGAACAAGCCTACATGAGTCCAGTAATAGTGCCAGCCATCAAAGCTTCAATACCAGCGATCAAAATATAGACCAATGGGATGATCCATACATATTTCCACGCCTTCTTGTTCTTGCTAAGTTGCATTGCTACCGCCCATGCTGCTACCGTCAGGTGGAATACGGCGAAAGTGATAAGTGTCCATAGCAAAGTATGTCGCCAGATATCAAAGGTAAAGTATAGGTAGTTGGCTTCTCCGGGTCGAGCGTTGTAGGGCCAGTATAAGGAAGGGAAAGCGGGTGTTTGGTATCCTAGGGGGGCGGGATTTTCAAGGCGAGCGCTGGTTATATGTTAGTATTGCGATAAACAGCGTCTTCCAAAAGAGAGCTTACTTCACCGACATAGTGGCCCCGCAAGAAGACACGCTCAGCCTTACGGCTTCGAGATGTTGTTGTGATAAATAGTTGGCAGGGGTTGTAAGAAAGGGTGACGCGAAATGCCAAGAGCAAGAGATGCCTCGGCAGTCATATTCCGGAGCTTCAATTGTACTCTCGCGACATCTCGAATTTATCTGGCCCCAAAATGATTTATCTATTTTAATGATTGAGAGTCTGAAATGGCAACTACAACTACAAGTCGCCCCTTGCTGGGCTTGCTCGAAGCTCTACGACGAAACCCTGAATCCGATCAGACAAATCGAATCCTCTCCTCCGCGACATCTCTCCTCACAACCCTTTCCAACCCTCTAAACATCACACTCCTCACCACGATTCTTCTCACGGGTCCTGCTCTATGGGGTCCAAGCGATGGTCTTACAACGAGCTACCGCATTATAAGTGTATTTAATACAGCCGCGATTGCGGTACATAAACATCAAACCGAAGGAGGAGCAACCAAACCTTATGATGCCTATCAACCTCGACTTGGAGGTGGACTTACGTGCGATAAATGGACTACAGCTGTTTTGGCTGGATTGAATGAGAGGTCTCAAAGATGGCAGCACGCTTTGGTTTCTGCGGGAGTTCTTCTAGGAATGGAATCGAGCGAAAGACGTGGATTATCACCAGCACTGAGGGGAAAGATCGAAAATGCCCTTGCTACAGCTTCAACATTGGTGATGCGGGAACCGGCAATTGCTGGACCGCTGGGAGTGGCAGCAGCAGCTTTGGCTCTTAATTATGGGTATCCTTTGTTTTCGGATATGACGAGGAGAATGTTGGACTACGATGCGATGATCATGCCACTTCTCACTTCTATGACCTCCTTTCATGGATACGAGAATGGTCACTTTGTCGAAGCAGCAAACTCGGATATTAGACAGGTTCAAGGAAGGCGTTTCGACTGGTCGCCGGCATCCAATTCCTTCCGCTATCTTCAGGCGCTAGGATCGAAACCATTGGTAGCTTCAGTGGGCTCGATGTCTAGAATCATATCTGATGCTATTGAAAGATGCTCAAATCCACATAGAGCAATCGAGGCACTTGATCACCTACTTGGCTTTACGGGAATTCTGTTGTCAGCTTGGGAAGCAAATAAGCTCTCAGAGCTTGATACATCAGAGGAAGAGACTTTTCTTACACCAGAGACACGTCGAATTACGTACCCAGCTTTATGGCAGTTGCTTAAAGGGGTAATGTTCTCGACAGTTGTCATATTACGTTCGATCGTAGCGAAGACAGTCACAAATTCTCTACTATCATCGAATGGGGTAGCTCCGACCATTGCATCGAAGAGTTTGTTGATACTTCGAAATATACATTTCATATCGTCAAGAACTGGATCTAACTCGCTTTCTGCGCTTACCTTTATCAATCTCGCATCGATCGATATACTCAACCGGTTCCCTCTTCAAGCCAGAGATTTCCTAAAAAGCATCCATCCGGCTCATCCAGGTCAAATACCGACACACCCCCTACAGCGCAGTCACGACCTATTCTACCTCAACACCGTAGAGCACTTCACCCTAATAATGTCTCCCGCAACTGCAGAGAACCTGATCTTTATCCCCGCCTCCCCATACCTCAATCCCACCGCCAACGTCCACCTTCTCGAAATCTTCGAAGCCGCTCACAGCGCCATGCTCGCCATGCTAGCAGCCCCCCAAAGCGGCCCTCTGACAGCCAAAGTCCTACCTTTCTACGTCGAATCCCTATTCAACTCCTTCCCCACCAACCTCTCACCCCGCCAATTCCGCTTCGCCTTCAAATCCCTTATGCAACTCACCACCCCACCTGCCCCAATCTCAGCAACAGAGCCACAACTCGCGGAAACCCTCCTAGAATTCCTGCACCACCGCGCCCTCAACGCCCCAACATCCCCCCTTCCTCCCTCAATGGCCATCAAATCCCAAGCAGACGCCCAAACCGCCCCCTCACCCCCGCTCTCCGAACAAGCAATCCTCCTCCTCACGCTCCTAGACGCGCTGCCGAATCTCCCGCTGAACGTACTGGAAGAATGGCTCCCCCTTTCAGCTGACCTCCTGAACGCGATTCCGGATGCGGGGATGCGAGAGCATTGTAAAAGGAGATTCTGGGAGTTGATGGAGAGTGGTGAGATGGATATTGATCGGAGTGCGGTTTGTGTTGCTTGGTGGAGCTCGAGAGGGGGGAGGGAGATGGTGCTTTTTGGGAAGAGGGAGGGGCCGTTTATGAGTGGAGGGTTGGGGAGGAGGGAAAGTTTGTTGTGAGAGTGATTGGCTTGGTGTGGAGATGGAGCAGTAGGTGTAGGTGGTGTTTGGTTATACCCTGGTGGATGGCGTTTGGTTTCTGGTGGGCTTGGAATATTTGGATGGGGATTTAGCATTGGGACTTTAGTTGGAAGCATGGAAGATACGGAATATTAATCTAATCACAACATCCAAAAGACGCACATAAAAACGTGATATCGCACAATCAAGCGAGCCAACTCCCCCCTTCCAGAAGAAACTTCTTTTAAATCCACATCACACCCATAACTCTCCCTTCTCTTTCCCCAGCCCAGCTTTTCTTTTCTTCCCTCTACCATACTACAGTTCCAATCACGCGTTCCCTCTCTCTCACCTTTTTAAAAGGGAAACGGGAAAAGAAATATGGCGCAAGGAAGAACCTGCCACAATGACGTACGCATCCCTGTAGGATTTGAAGGAGGGGTCGTGCGGGGTCGAACATCAAATCTGAAGGGTCCTGCCACGTCCAAGTTCCACTGTAGATAACTCCAAATCTTATCATTAAAGAAGAAAGGTATAGATAGGAAATCACGTCCCAACATCACGAATCAAAAACGAAGCTGAATTTCAAAGGTATCATATCATTAAAATCAACGGTAGAATCTATATGACAACACCACAACTAGTAGTCGTTGTTGTTGTTGTTATTATTCCCACTTCCATACTCATCATTCCCAGCCCCCGCCCTCTTCTGCTGCCCCTTCTCAACCAATCCCTCATTCTTCAACATCCCCCCAGCCTTCTCCATCAGTTTCCCCATCGTACTATCCTTCTTCCCTCCACTCCCCTCATTATCTCCATACCCATCACTCGTGCGGTTACCGTAGCCGGTCGCACCCACACTGTCGTTGTCGCCGTGTTTGATGTCGTAGTTGCTGCTTGACGTGTCGTCGCCATACCCAGACGACGTCTTGTTGCCGTAGCCGGCGGTGCCGACCGAGTTGGAGGTCGAGGAGTCGACGTTGTAGCGCGAGGTCGAGGTGTTGGAGTCGTCGCCGAAGCCTGAGGAGGTCTTGTTGCCGTAGCCGGCGGAGCCGACGGAGTCGGATGTGTCTGTGTTTCCGTAGCCTGAAGATGACTTGTTGCCAGATCCGTAGGTGTCTGAGGAGTCTGTGTTTCCGTATCCTGAAGATGATTTGTTTCCAGAGCCATAAGTATCTGAGCTATCAGTGTTTCCGTATCCTGAAGACGATTTGTTGCCAGATCCGTAGGTGTCTGAGGAGTCTGTGTTTCCGTATCCTGAAGATGATTTGTTTCCAGAGCCATAAGTATCTGAGCTATCAGTGTTGCCTAGACCTGAGCTTCCAGTCTCCCGACCAGAAGATCCGAAACCACCAGAGCCAGTGTTGCCAGACGAGCCATAGGTATCAGAAGAGTCGTTGTTGCGACCTGAAGAACCGTATGAGTCGGAACCGGTGTTTGTGTTTGTGTTGGAGGACCCGTAGGAGTCGCTGTTGTCACGTCCTGATGAGCCGTAGCTATCGTTGTTGTTTCCGCGGCTGTCTCCGTAGGAGCTCTGAGGTGAGATGTTAGAGATGAACGGATTGATGGGAGATTGTAATCGATAGAGAAAGTATACTTACGTTTTCGTTGTCGTTGTAGTTAGACATGATGAAGGATGAAGTTTGAGAGAACTTGAGATTGGATAGATGAGTGTAGTGAAAAGGTGAGATGGTTGGAGTTGTTTATGGGAGAAATATAATCAAAGCGGGGAAGGAGATGTCTTATATAAAGTCGCGCAAACAGCAAGAGCCGGGAAGCAAAAGAAATAAGACCCCTCACTTAGTGTGAAGTAACCCCCCGAAGGTGAAATCCAGGACAACAGCCCCCATTGGCGCCCTCTATCTATGCAGGGTTCAGGGTTCATATGGTATAGCTTCGTATCACACATGTCTGATAGCTGGATAGATACTCAATCACTTTCCCTGTCGTAATTCCGAAAAGAAAGGGTTGCGTCATCTAAAGCTATCTGGTTCCCGCTGTAAAACCCCAAAGTCCGTCATATCGGACACTCGTCAAACGGATGGGTGTTCACACGCAGCTGCAAGGAGTATCATGCAGCTCAAAAGTCCTGTTTTGGAGATTAGACTGGGGTCTTTCAATTCTAGAAGAGGCTTAAGCTGCGAGCACTAAAAACAAGATATACTGTAAACAGCAAGCGAAGTAGCTCCACTTCAGCTGTCATGCTTGACATCGGATTGACGCGAGACCTCGGCTAGTGCAAGACAGCTCCTTAGTGACAGTTTCATGCTGGCTTTAGCATATTCTGCAGCTCTCCCCTTAGCCAAGACATAATTGCAATTTGTGTAGCCTTTTCCGCAAGGAATTACACCTTGTGCATAGCCCCCGCGAAGCTGCAACGGAATTGAGGCCATATTTCAAGTGGTGCGGTAAAAAGCAAAGGTACCTGTAGAGTATGGCGTATCGTAGGAGCAAAAGCACCTCGAATTGAAAGAAGGAAGAAGGCCACGCTGAACAGGGTTGTGGTGTGGAGCGTCATGATCGGCAAGCCCGTCAGATTGAACCGTGCAATCGATTGGAAATCTTGGCAGTCGTTGGAAGTGGCTGATGCTGGTACCAATCAGACCATTTGACCTGGGTGACCCCGCATCACTTCAGGTGGACAGGTTCGAAACCTTCTCAGTTATGGAGATGGGATTGATAGTATTCGTACACTCGGCTGTACTGAGCAGGAGACTTCCTTAATTGAGATATTCGTATTCCGTCAAAGTCGTACGTCGTCAGCTGGCGGCAGATGCAAAGGTGGGCTTGCTGCAAGTCTTCAATATTATCCAGCAGCTCTCGAGGAGATGCGATTGAGTTTTAGAATTTGTCCAGGTAAAGTTTGTAATTTCCACGTATCATACAACCAGGACCAAGACCTTTCTATATCGCCGGCTTGAGGCTGCTCGAGAAGGATCCAGATGATTGTTCATCTCACGTATTTGCTAGTGCATACATTAACCTCTATTTCTTCAATATGTCTATAACACGTATACATACCTCATGAAACGTTTATGGAAGTCCGATCGAAGTAGATCCTATATCAGATCAGTAGGTTTCCAATACACATCCAGTTTGAAACTAACATTAACAAACTCCTTTTTCTTATTCTTGTCATCGGTACCGCGGGCCTGGTTCTTGAATATGACATCGTCGTCCCATCTTCGTTTAACGTTGAAGTCGGTTTTTGGATTTAGGAGAGGATTTCCTAGGGCAATATCATGTTCTCGCTCGGCTTCTTCTGCGGCGGCTTTTTCTCGTTCCTGCACAATTGTTGTCAGATACTAGATGGTGTCTTCTCCAGGTACATTTGTACTGACCTCTTGTTCTCTTTTCTCGGCTCTTTCGCGCTTAATCTTCTCCAACTCGCGCTGAAGTTCTGCTGTTTCGTCTTCGTCGTCGTCACTAAGAACAGGTCAGCAATCCAATTGCAGGCTGGCCAGGAGCTTCTTCAAGAGCCAGTGATGGCCCACAAGCCAGAAGAACCAAAGCTCATCCCAACTGTTTGATAATGCTCCCGAAACTGCAGTCCACTGTGCCTCCCCCAAGTTCATCCACGAATGTCACTTACCTGTCATCCTCACTACTATCCTCCTCCTCCTCACTATCCCTATCCAAATCCCTCGTCTCCTCCAGCACCCTCCGTCTCTTCGCCTCCATATCCTCCTCACCCCCCTCCCCATTCTCCAACGCCCGCTTCACACCCCCTTCCATCACCGTATCCCCATCACCATCCTCCACCGGCGCCGGGCCTCCCTTAACCTTTGCAAAATGTGCCGCCTCAGCCTGCAACAATTCCGCGCGCAAATCGCGAACTTGATGGTCTGCGTCCCCGCCCTGTCCAGGCTTCCGGACTTTGAGCTGCGTGTGTGCTGGGAGGAGACGTTGGTGGTAGGCTGGGCCGCGCTGTGCTTCTTTTCCGCGCGCTGGGTCGAAGGTTGGTCTGTGTGCTGGGATCCCTTAGTGTCCATACATGAAAATCAACTTGTAGGGAATTGGCTTACCGGTCGTCATAATTACAGTGATAAAATGTCGCGTCGAAGTATCTACTCTGATCTCTAAATCGTAAATCGCGAATCTCAAGAATCTCAAACACATGTCCACGCTAATCCCAACCCATCCACGCACCCCTCACCGCCCCGGCAAAATCCCCAAATTTCACCTCCCCACTCACCCATCCCACCGCCCCGCACATCACTCCCTCGCCATCCCCTCAACCATGCCACGAGAAGTCGAGCCTTCTCTAAACGAGAAGCAATTCTTCGCCAAAGCCCTCAACGAAGGCATCCGCATCGATGGGCGAGCCTTCGACGAGTTCCGGACGCTGGAGGTGGAGTTTGGAGATGAATTTGGGGTGTGCGATGTCAGGTTAGGAAAGACGAGGTATGTTCAATTGATATCCCAAATTCTCGGGTGTTTACAAGGAGGCTGATCAAAAGGTGACAGGATACAAACACACATAACGGCCGAAGTAACAGCCCCCTTCCCCGACCGACCCTTCGACGGCCTCTTCCAAATCACCACCGAGCTCTCCCCCATGGCATCCCCCCATTTCGAAGTCAACCGGCCCTCCGAAACCGAAACACTATTGTCGCGGCTGCTCGAGAAAACATTACGACGTTCCGGCGCGTTAGACACCGAGTCCCTATGTCTACTAGCCGGACAATCCGTCTGGTCATTACGCGCAGACGTACACATCCTATCGCACGATGGGAATCTGGTGGATTGTGCGTGTATAAGCGTGTTAGCGGCATTACAGCATTTCAGGAAGCCGGATACGAGTACGGAGGGCGAGAAGGTTACGGTTTATACGCTGAGGGAGAGGGAACCGGTGCCGTTGAGTTTATTGCATTACCCGTATTGTGTTACGTTTAGTTATTATGCGAAGGAGGGTGGAGAGGAGGGTGAGACGTCAGTATTACTGGATACCACTCTTATGGAAGAGCAATTGAGAGAAGGGAATGCTACGATAGGAATCAACCGACATGGGGAGGTCTGTCAGATAGCCAAGCTAGGAGGTGTTCCTGTCGACGCGGTGGCATTTTTAGGATGTGTACAAGTTGCACTGGTGAAGGTCAAGGAGATTTCCGCCTTTGTGACCAGGAGATTAGAAGAAGATGCGAAAAAGCGTGATAAGGGAGGGCTCATGGCGGAATTAAGTGCAGAAAATGATCGAGTTTCATGAAAAGTGTTTGGCGATTCGACTGAAATGGAGGTTCAAACAGGATTAATTCCGACTATGATCCATGGTCGCTAACTAGACGCTACGTGTACGCTATGTTTTAGTTGTAACCTGACTGACGCTGCCATATTTGGCTTGCCAGGCGTAAAAGTATAGAAGGGCTGCGAGAGGCTGCCCTACGAGTGTGAAAGATACCCAAAATATGACATTGCCTAAAATCTTCCCGTTGATACCTTGCATTTTCTCCAATGGCTGCGTGATTGCGATCATTGGTAACTGGCCGACCATTCCCAAGAAAGCCACCCCTATCGAGAGTTAGTTCTGGACGAGATGTCTTACCACGTCCTCATGATGTCCTAGAACATGCATGAGGAATTGCGTGCAAACAAGTATACTTACCAATGATATTATGTGTTGGTATACCCACAAGAAGCTCATGAAGCACTCCCGAAAAAAGAAAGACAGCAATGCTTGCTTGGCCGGAGCTCCAGCCTCTACCGACAAGAGGTGAAAAAACATGTCTTTTCATGAACTGATAGACAGGTTTATTCCACGTTCTCCAGTATGCTCCTACGCTGGGGCTGTTCCACCAATCAGTGTAAAACTCTCTGTCGCCGAATCTCATCACTTCAGCTAAGGCGTTCAAGAACGATTGGAATAATGCGAAGAAGCCCGCGAGCCAGATTACCAGACTGATTGTCGATAACTTCATTAGTCGCTCCAGAACTGCGGAGAAATCCAAGGATGCCATTTTGTCGAGAGAATTTCGTAACACTGGGGCTGCGTACTGAGCGCTAGCTACCCACATAAACACATTCAGCGCAAAAACTTCTGCCATACGCTTAATCACGAAGACCCATCTTATCTTTGGCGATCGAGGATATACTGGCTGATATACCATAGTTGGAGCCCACCAGAAGTAAGTTAGGTTGCCCAGCGTAATGTTCTGTGGGTAGGGACATTTGCTGTATATTTCTGGCAGAGCATCTTCTTCACGATTCGAGGGATGCAGATACGCATGCCGGAGGTCCCTGTTCGTAAAAGCGTACGAATATGTCTTCAACCATACAATAATAGCATGAACCTCGCTCAGAGTTCCAATCAAAGGGTGGTGTACGAAGAAGTAGACGACAACGGAAGTGATGAGCAAGCAAAAGGTGATGTTCAGGCCATGCACCCAGGCCACGGTCTTCCAAGTCGAATTGAATCTTCGAAGTTCTTCATCTGAAGGTTGATAGCTTCCACCTGGGGTTGCTGTCCCACTTCTCTTCCTGCCTGTTCTTAATAGGACTCTCGCTTGTTGCGCAGCCGTCATTTCGATAACGTATGCGACGAAGAGATGGCATGGAATAAGAAAGTAAAGGGCTGCCCCGAGGACAAGGTCTTGTTGTCGATAATCATGGCAGCGAATGCAAATCAGAACACCGTACTGAAAAAATTAGCCTTCAGCACACTTCTAACTTCTGAAGATGTTACCTTTTTGATGTTCTCAATCATCAATCGCAAATTTCCAACAACTGAACAGTGTTAGTCTCCAAAACCCTTCAATTGACTCCGGCGCATACCGAGTACGATGATCATCAAATTCCTGAAGCCCAGGAAACTGGGGCTTGCATTCGAATCATGACTGAGACATGAGGATTGTGCTTCTCTATGCGCAGCTGCTACATGACGATATTTCTTTTTGGCATACGGTACTCGAATTTGAGCGAGGGGTTGCGGTACAGAAAATCCGTTAGTGTTGTGATTGACATGTGAAGTTCCTGATCTTCGTAGTGGCGTGGGACCCTCGCCAGGTACATCAGCACCGGTGACTTTGGCCTTTGCAGCATCTAGAACCGAAGGCATTTTGAAGCTTCAGGAAAAGGGAGCATGGAAGTTCGAGCAACCTTCCCAAGAACCCAAGAAGATTGAAATAACCGCAGCCAACTAAGGAATGAGGAGATGATAACGAGGCAAAGCACCCTCCAATTATGATGCAAGGGCCACTGCGGAAAGTGCTATAGCGGGGCACTACACGAACAAGCAGAAGAGAAATCAGGATTGGGAAGGAATGAGAAAAGTGTAAGAATTAGAAACTTGGTAAAAACATTGCATGGACTGGAGATGCCAAACGGCCCGCGTTCTGAGGTGTGTAAAAGGCAATTGGACAGCACAAGTTAGCCTGTAAATTGTGAAGATGGTTGAATGCGGTTGAGACCAAAAGATGCGCCCAGAAAATTATGGGGAGATGGCAGCATTAGGTTGCGGCCAGCAACGGCAGCTAGGATAATTGATTCCCCGTACCGAGGCTACCAAAAGTTTGTCGGAATGACCGCAGCATTTATGTCCTCAGGTATCCATACCTGTAAAGGACCCGACATTCAGAAGCAGAAGCGTGATCTAGACCAGATGACTTTCGACCTACACCAAGGACAAATCTAGTGACTATCGTAGGCTTGTGACTCTTTGTGTTCACAAACTTAATACTCAGCTAAGGTGTATTGATTGTCGCGGGAGTTTCTAATCCTACCTGTCCGACAAGCATGTCACGATAGCGACAATGGCATACGAACAGCGTGGTGAGCGCGACTTTGGAGGGCAGGGAGGAGGTGGTGGGTTTGAAGCCGGCGGTGGTTTTGGTCGCGGTCGTGGCAGACGTGAGTAGTACTCGTTCTTTACTGATTCTGATATCAATACAAAATCATCGCTTTTCACCCCTGGTGTACCAGTCTTGGCACTATATTCTTCACTTCAAAGACGACAATGAGGAAGTTATTGACACTTTAAATTTAGGTCCAATTACTGACTATGGCTCAACTATGGTACACTGGATGCGGAATCGGCAACCCAGGTTTAAAGGAGGGTACCAAGGAGAAATGGAGAGGCCAAGCGCCAGCTATATTGTGGATGTAAGTTTGTGAAATGGAATTAGCTTGATGGTTGCTAACTTGAACGTCTAGATGTTACCTCCCTTAGCTAGGCTTCACAATCCAGCAGACTCAATACCGTCTAAGCACCTCCATTCGTCACTAAACAAGATCAAGCATCCAGTCAATGTAGTGCGTTGGACGCCAGAAGGACGAAGATTACTAACAGCCTCCAGTAGCGGAGAGTTTACTTTATGGAACGGAACTGGGTTTAACTTTGAGACAATCATGCAGGCACATGATGTGGCTATCCGAGCATTAGCTTACTCTCACAGTGATGACTGGCTAGTATCTGCTGATCAAGATGGTATCATCAAGTATTGGCAACCTAATTTCAACAACGTCAAAGTCATTCAAGGACATGGTGATGCTATTCGAGCTTTGTCATTTAGTCCAAATGATACAAAGTTTGTCACCGCTTCTGATGATTCCTTCTTGAAAATTTTCGATTTTGCTGGAGGGGTCGAGGAGAAAGCTATCAGAGCCCATGGATGGGATTCTAAGACAGTTGACTGGCATCCAACCAAGGGACTCATAGTCTCAGGCTCGAAAGATCATACTGTCAAATTATGGGATCCACGTATGGATCTGACAGTGTACGAGCCCAAAGATGTAGTAAAGCCCTTAGCAATACTCCGTGGCCATCACAACACTATCACCAGTACCATCTTCGAACGGGTCAGGGGAGACTGTCTGGCAACATCGGCACGAGACAATGTAGCTCGGGTATTTGACCTTCGAATGATGCGTGACATACTATTCATCAAAGGCCACGAGAAAGAAATCTCGACCATGACCTGGCATCCGATCCACTCGTCTCTGCTTAGTACTGGTGGAGGAGATGGATCAATGATGCATTATCTTCTTGATGAACCAAATAATCCACCTGGAGTAGCTCCAACAATCGCTGCCTACGATGCTACAGACCCAACTACCGCACCAGCTCAATCAATATATCCTGCTCACAAGATCCCATACGCCCACGACTTTCCTATCTGGTCTCTGGACTGGCATCCGCTTGGTCACATCCTCGCATCCGGATCCAACGACCGAGTTACCCGTTTCTGGACGCGCGCTCGTCCAGGAGAAACGGATTCCTTCAACGACCGCTACCACATTGGTGAAGCCGCAGCCGAAGCCCAAGGAACCTGGGACCGTCGCGGAAACCGTCGTCAACGACAAGAAGAAGAAGAGCAGGAAGCCGAAGATGAGATGGAAGGGCTCGTCGACCAAAAGATGCCATCTAAGGCCTCTGGCTTGCCAGGAATTCCAGGTCTCCCAGGCCTTACTGCTGGAATCCAGATTCCAGGTATGGGAAGTGTTATTCCACCACCTCCTTTCGCCAACCCAGGAGTCCCGCCTCCTCCACCGGGCATGGATCTAAGCAACCCACCCGATTTCGCACAATTAGCCGAGATGATGAAGAAAGCTGGAATTCCCCCTCCGACTGCGAACGGGCAGTTCCCACCTCCACCCCCAGGAATGTTACCACCCGGTCTTCTACCACCCGGCGGTTTCCAGATCCCTCCTGGATACATGCCACCTCCCAATATGACTGGCGGTCCCCCTCCTCCGCCACCAGTTCAATTTACTGGTGGAATACCCGGGATGAGCGTCCCTGGATTGGGGACGCAAAGTGAGGCAGAGACTGCTTCGGCGGCGTCTATTAGACGGAGAGGTCCGTTGCCTAGTCAAGAGGAGAGTTTGCAGATGGAGCAGAGGAAGGGGAAATATACTCGTGCGAGATAGAGACGGGATATGTATAACAGGAAAAGTGAATCTTCGGCAATGTTCTTGGGTGTGGAGAGAGCATTTAGGGCGTCTTTAATATGGATCTTGATTAGATAGAGGATTATTTGAGGTGAAGTGCTATCAAAATCTTGATGTTTAATGATGTTTGTTTTGAAATGTGTGTTGTTATGAGCATGATTGTGAATGCTGTGTATATTATCTCCGTCTCTATGCTAATGCTATGGTATATCGCCTTAAAACAAGGTATCCCGCCTAGGAAATAATATCAAAAACACCTGCCCGCCAATGTAAATGCAAACATCGCTCCACCATGATAATGCCAAACAGGAAAATAGAAGCCCTTGCGAGCATTTCCATCTCTTTATATCTATACCACTATTGCACACGTCTGTACTTCCAGCTATACAGCCATATCATCTTGAAACCATCAAAGACGCAAGACTTATGAAGCAGCCACAGGATTATTCCTCGGACTCGACCTCGTTCCCACCCTCCCCTCCTTCGCAAACGCCTTCTGCCGATCCGCATAATCCTTAATAACCAACGCACACACCATATCAGCACAAAGTCTCTTTCGTCTCTGCACCGGCAACTTCGTCGCAAATTCCAGCCCACTCGCTCTCTCTACCGCCTCGACAGGGACCTCGAAATCCGTAATGGGCTTGCTATTAGGTATCACCGCATTTGGCAGCACGAATGCTCCTACGGCGACTTGGCCGGTTGTAGTTCCGTCTTCCGCAAAGATTACTTTGTAGAAATGGGTGGGCACGGCGATATTCGGCGGATTGCCAATGACCTCGTAGGAGACGCGCCATTTTCCATCCACTGCGTCTTTTTTGGGGAGATATAAAGGTCCAGTGACGATTCGTACAGACGGATACTTCACCGTCAATCGTCTACAAAAATCCTCGAAATGCGCCCAGTAATCCCTATTGAAGCCCTCGCCCACCTGCGGACACATGTTCGTCAGGTAAAACGTATCGTTCATGGCTTCCTGACTCCATTTCGCGTCTGCGGCCGGCACCTGATGTCCGCGATCGTAGCCGGAGCGGAAATAGTCTTTTAGTTTCCCGCGGAATTTTTCGGGCACGGAGGGGTCTTCTGCGAAGACGCTGTGTTTGCGATCCCCGTCGGATTGCGCGAGGGAGGCGGGTGTGATGTGTTCTGCTACCCATGAAGGGTTTCGAAGCCGTCGGTCGTAGGATGATACGAGGGCTGTTCGAGTTGCGAGATCTGCTACTGGACCTGGGAAGCCGTATTGGAAGAGGCCTGCTGGGTCGACGGGTGCGAGGGTCGCGGGGACGGATATGGGTTTGATCGCGGGTATGGGCGGTGGGATTGGGGTTGTGCTTGTGGCGGTTATGGTGGTGGAGGTTGCTACGGCTTGGGTTTTCTTTTCGGAGCGCGTCGAGTACATTGCTGCTGTTACGCCAGCTCCTGTTGCGGCACTGACGGCGGCGATGATAGCTAAAGTTGATTTTGACATGGTGAAGGGCCCTCGGGGCGACAAATATCACTGGGTATTTATTTGATCGAGACGAAGGTAGAGAGTTGAGCAGCTGTTGTCGGTCGGTCACTAGAGACAACCAACGCGCGTGAGGTTAGGGGGTTGAAGGACCCGTGGTTTTTTTTGGGAGTCAGATTTTCGCTTACCGCACTTTTGGAACACGGACGCGATGAGGTCGTGTCACACAACTCTGTCTGCACCAGGACGTAGACGCGCCCGCACCCTCAAGCTTTCTTGCATGACCCGGATTCACGGAACATGTGAGCCTAAGTCTTGAAATAGAACCACGAGCAGGAGAGTGTGAGGCTCTTGAGGAATTCAGCCTGCGATTTGTATCATTCGGAGTACCCCCAGTCGTCTAGTCACTTCGTTCGGCTTGACTATTGGGACGACCTTGGTATTCGAACCACCACAGACCGAAATCTATCCAAACTATTGATGGAGATGATCTAAAGTTTGAGCTACTCGTCTAAGACGTCGGCTTATTCAGTAACCTTACAACGTTATTGCTGTGTAGAGTTATTCGCAGAAACATGGCAAAGCAAACAGACTCCATGTCTCACAGAGACTAGTCATATCACTTCCCAACAACGCCCGAGAAAGCAATATCAAGAAGCTTAACTTGAAACCTTCAGAAGTACGCCACTGACGACGAACGTTTTCTTCACCATCTGCGCCATGTCGCTTGCGGAAATTCGGTGAGAGCATATCAAGAGGCGGCTGGCGCCTTGATCAGTAGGGTATTCAGAAACATATCAAACGCCCACAGTTTTCGGTCGGAGACTTGAACTTGCCAGCAAAATGAGTCTGGTGGCAGTGCTGTGCCATCTTGCTTGAAGTCATATTGGATATCTTCGATAAGCTTGGCGCATTTTCAGTTCTAGTTCAATACTAAGTTCAGCGACAACCCCGGTTAGAGCATCAGGCCTCAAAAAATAACCACCCTTTGCGCACTCCGGACTTGCATACAAATTGTTATTTGGCAAAACATGTACTTGCTATAAAAGCTTTCAATAAAGCAAGTCCGACTTACGAATGCTCTACAAAACTCCTATCATCGACCCCAAGACCATTCCTTCAAAACACCGCGTCCTCTACTGTGTTACATTAATTCGCCTTCGCCTTAGCCAACCAGCGACTTTTCTTCCCCATCTGCTTCATCTTTCTTTGCGGGAGGAATTTCGGGAATGCCAGCGTATTCAGTCCTAAAGTTTAGATCCTCCTTATCTGGGCAGCCTTCCGTGCAGCTGGGTTTAATGTTGTCCCCAATGAGCCTCATTCCAGTATCTTCGGTGACTATCATCGAACCCATTTTTCGATTTATATCGCCTACTACCTTGGCTTCTGCAAATGGAAGCCACGGATAACTTGCCTACAGCGTCAGTAGGGGTCAAATCGTGGGGAACATTTCAACTCACGCGTTAATTTTCTTCTGCACATATTTTGCCAGTGCATACTGGGCGAAGCTGTCCGCTACTCTTTGGTCAATACAAGAAAAATAAGTTCGAGCGTCAAGCAGACTCACCATTATCTGCAGTGTAACTGCCAATATATTCTGTCGAAGCATGGGCAAGAATTCTGGTGTTCAAGGCACCATATGCATTTGTTAGGTTGAAAGTTCTCTCAAATAACTTCTTCTCCGTATGCTCGTAGTAATGGACATGGAATTCCAAGTCGCTAATGTGAAAGCCTGCATTTGCTTCAAAAGTTGCTCTATCGCCGTGCATAAGCTCGTGGAGAATTATGTATCCTAAAATTCACTGATTAATTGGACTTTCTTGTAAAAACAAAATCTGTTAAGGTGGGATACTAAGCTCACCCCGGTTTCTGTAGGAGTCGAGATTGTACTTCTCGGGATATTCCAAGTTTGCTGAAGCATCTAGACTCCCAGCGAGCGTCTCAAAACCAAAAAAATAATTGCATATCACCATGTTGATAGTTGAATTATGCTTTGTCACCTTCCCTCCCGTGCCGTCGGAATTGGCGGTATTCCAGGTGTGTGCCCTGATACCGGTGTTATTCTTGCACTTATTATCCAGTTCTTTATACTTGGGAGAACAAGCTATATTAACTGTCACATTCGAAAATCCCGGTGCATTCATTGCTTGGCCAAAAGTGGCTACACTATCGAAGACCTTTTGAATTCTAGTTTGTTGGTTTTCTGTGGACAGTGTCAGTAAAGAGTGACAAGTGACAAGAACTTATGCATTTGAAGCAAATTTACACGACAAGGAGGGAGCTCGGATAAAGGAAATCACTTACTGATCAAGATTGAGGGACCAAAAAAATCATGAGCAGCAACATCATCCCAATTGATAGTTTCAACGTTCTTTGCCAACTTTGTAGCATCTTCCCATGCATCTCTAATCTTTATGGAACTGTTCTTATCACATTCATCATTGAATTGCAGTTTCACAGATTGTGTGGTGATATAGCTGCGTCTTCTAGGGTCCGGTGTGAGAAACCCTTCATGATTGTAAGAATGGGTTTAAGTATTGAAGAGATAAGCAAAACACCAAAAACGAATAGGCAGTGTGGATTCATTTAGTGAATAAAATATGAATGATATTTCAGCAAAGTTAGTAATAGAGATTGGTCAAATGATTGAAAGGGAGCTTAAATGAACACAATGTGATTTTCACGATACTTTTTATGAGAATCTAGAGAGAATATAAGTCTGCTACAGAGTTGTTTGATAAAGAGCTAGTGTTTTTCCTGCCTTCAACATGTTTTCTTTTCTGTGAGCTTTCCGACAAAGACTCTGTCAGTCTTCTGCAGTCAACCAGCTTCCAGAAATTGCGGTGTCGAACAGAGGCCAATAGTTAAACGCTGGATTGTGCTGTTCTTTAGACATAGCTTGCATTAAAGATTGTTTTGACATATGCTTGTTCAATGCATTGTGCCGTTTGAGTTGTTCAACAAAGGCCACCACAAGCTGCATGAATCAAAGTTCTAGAACAAGACTAATGAATGTACTGTTCTTTGAAAAAACAGAAAGACAAGAACGATTTACACTAAAGGGGGTTGACTTATGTATGCTTCTTGTGTTCTATCTATATTCTGTTCCATAATAATTATGTCTGTTTTCTCTAACTAATAAGCTTTCAGAACTCACTTTTCGCTTAAGTATCGGTCAGATCTATAATATTATGCGGCGTCGGAAGGTTACCTACCTTAGGTAGCTTTGACGATTTAAGACTAAATAAAACGTAGGGGTCAGATTACACCTACCAACGGTCCTAAATTACAAACCTCTTTGACTATCTATAAAACAATAAAATTAATTCAATAGAACAGCAATTGTATTTGCATACTTAATCATTACTTAAAACCCTATTATTTATCTATCAAAAACCATATCGCTTACGAGAACTAAGTCAATTTGGTAGCAAAATAAATAACACAAGCAATGCGTCCACAGGTTCGTAACTTAGCTGCAAAGCATTCTCGCCGGGCTAAAAAGCTTATGCTTATGATTTCTACGGTAATGTTCTTCCTTTTCCTCCTCCACCTCCTTCCTTCTATCAAAGTTCAGGCATGGTCATCAGATGACGAGGTATATTTTGGCTGGCCATTTCCTCTATATAAGGAGATGAATGAAACACACCGGGCCTTTGTGCTCAGAGGTCCACCCCATCCAGTGCGCCGATACTCGCCAGAGTATAAACGCGTAGCTTGTTGGCAAAACGATGGCGTGTGGATTGCCAAACTAAGCCCTATTGAAATGGCTCATTTAGAAGTCAATCCCTTCCACAACGTTTCTAGGTCAATGAATCAGGCTGATGAAGACGACTTCTGTGCCCGTCTTCGTACCTACGGTGCTAGCTTCTGGGACATAGAACCTAGCATTTCTCCTTATCCGGTGCGAAGTTGCCACTATCTTGACTGTTACAGAAATGAGCCAAAGATTAATGTAGATTTAAAGTTAGGGTTCCCACCTAGTGGTGGTGCATGGGTACTAAAGGTAGGTGAGAATGGGCTGGATTATCAGACTGTTGCCAACTCAGGACTCGACTATGCTCTGACAATGGAGGATAGATGCCTGGTACTAAAGGATTTAGGAGCAAAATTCTGTAGTTCCTTAGCAGCCTGTTCAGAGACAGCTTCGTTCTTGACTGAACCAGCTATTCTTTTAGAGGAGGTTAATGCTTTGGAGCGTCCAAAGGATCTGACTCTATATGACCTAGCATAAGTCTTACTTGATTTTTGACACACATGAATGAATCCTCATTCTAACCCTTTGCCAGATGCGAAAGACATGACAGTCTAATATATATTATCCAAATCGTAGCCATCATTAATCATGTCCTGTGCCAAAACACCAAATCAAAAAAGTCTTCTTAAATTTGTTCCTCCCAATTGTAAAGATCCTGACTTCGCGAATCGAGAGGACGTTTTTAGAGACAACATAACACCACAAAAGCATCGTGCAGAATCCCTAGATAAACATAAATGACCAAATTTAGACCTTGTAAACCTAGATACCTAAGATTAATTGCTGATTATATAATAAACGTTTTTATAGTAGGTTGTTGTTACTCACAACTGCTGAATCGCTCCATTTTGTTTCTCAGAAATAGCTAGATAACATTGTACAGACGCTAGTATACCTAATTCATTGATTGTGTCTAATTCTTTGCTTTTTGAGATGTCAATTCTTGGGATACGTTACCTAAAACCATGAGAAGTACTATCAAGATAGCCAATACAGAGAGAAAAACCGCACGTGTAAAACAAGTGGATTTTACCCCCCTTAAAGATCAAGACTGGCTCTTAAGTCAAGCTAAGCTTTTCGACCGCCACATGCATGTAGTGCATTTCTGCCGCTTCCTGGTTCGCTGAATTCTGTCTGGTCCTGTTTATCGTGGCTCTTATGATTGTTTCCAAGACAAAAGTCTTGCTTGTAGGTATTTCTACACATCTGCTGTTCTTGGCCTGCTTTCCTGTTGTCAAGTTTTGCGCCCAAAGTCAGCCGCACTCGATTAGGGTCTAGATTGCCATAAGCGAGGTTGAAAAGCCATAGCTGAACATGTTTCTTCCCGATCAGGAGCGGCACAACGAGTCCTCAATCGTGTTCTTTATCGATATTTTGATTGGTTGTGTCCGTTTCTTTCCTTGCTTGGTGAGTGGTTGGGTTCAGATCTATCAATAATCCGTTCACGCGCTGCCGAAGATGTCTCTCTCTTTGGTCCGTGAACGAAGGCGCATAGAGCTGGGACAAAATACGAAATTTCGATTTACTAGGTATCCTAATCAAGGTATATTTTCCAGCCAAGGCTCAATCAGCCTCATCATTCGGTCGTATTGATCTGGGAGACGAGTACCTGATGATACAAAAGAAGAGGTACAGGTACATAAGGGCTTGAGACCATTTTCTTCGTTACACACGTTGAAACGCCTTATTCAGACAGCACTAGATACTCATACAAACTATGTTTGCTACAAAACTCAAAGATCTCCTCGCTTTAGGGACAATTCTTACCACTTTTTCCACCGTCGTCGCAGACAGCAGAAATTTCAACCCTACCGGCGCAGGATGTGTTGATCAGTCAGGATTCCTTTCGTGCTATCAAACTCAAGCAAGTGCAGCAGTTGATTGCGAAAACTTCTGTGTCACCTCTACCAAGAAAGGATCAAGTGCGGCAGAGAGTTGTTCAAAGGGATGTGGTGGAAAATGGCTTGCAGCGAATATCGGTTGTTGGATCCAAAGTTGCTGGAACGAAGTAAGTAAATCAAGCTACATCAGCAGAGAGAAAATGGGTAGAAGTCAGTACTTATACAAAAGTAGGTATATTCATGTGAATATCAGTTGGCGGCGATATCATACTTTGGGGGCACCGGCCTTGTCCAAGATACTAAAATCCCCTTCTATCCTCCACCAGACAACGCCTCTGCTGGCTCTTGCTGTAAGTATTTCTCCATATCGATATCTGCACCAAATTACTTACGAATAATAGCTTGCAACCTCGGCCATGTTTACGGAAATATCACCGTCGTCGATGCTAGTTTAGCCTGCACCGCTGTAGTTTCAACTGGAGATGTAAATGGTGTCTATAGTTGTCAATGCTGCCAATACGGTTATCCAATCTCTAAGTTAGTTTGTTTACCTGTTTAAGACAGCTGTCTTCAACCTACTAATGCACTCTGGCAGTTCGCTGAACGAGTGTCCGAAATCCGATCTCTCCGTCATCGGTTTCCCTGAAGCGATAGTCTCAACAAACAACATAATCTCCGGGTCAAAAGACAAATGTGCAATCCTCAACTCGTCGCCAAATAAATGCGTTAGCGAATATAAATTTCCATGGGTCGGCAGCACGACTTATAATCCTCTCAGTCTTCCAACAACGATTGGCAAAGAGCCGCTAAGCAATACGGCGGGAAATGCTTTCACAAAAATCGCAAGCGTATATACATTGAGTCTGTTTCCAGCTTACTCGAGCGTTATCACGCCTATAGCTTTCAACGCTCAAGCTGGGGTACCTACTGGCACGGTCGATGTTATTGCCGCCACTGCTGATGGCACGCCCACCGCACGTAATACAGCTACAAAATCAGCTACGTCTTCGAAGAGCGGTGCTACTGGTGTCAGTGGTAGTGTGACGTCTGCACCCACGGCTACTTCCACCCCTAGTGGTGCTCAGAGGAGTTATGGTCGAAATTGGTTGTGGTTTGGTAGCCTCGTTTTTGCTGCGTTATTCTACCTCATTTAATTGAATAGATTTATTTTCTTGATACAGCGATCAATACAAAAATATCGAAAGACTGTCGTCTTGGGTGTGCAACAATCCATACTCGGTATTCGCTTAGCCCAACATTGAGTTGTGGGAGCCGAGCATTAGTTGATCATGCATAGAGCCTAAAGCCTCACAAGTTCACAATCAACACATAATTGTTAATTCTTCGGCTTTAAGCTGCTTATTCAATCTTTTTTCTCCAATGCAAGGCTACGACTTCCGTCATCAGTGCCCATTTCTCAAATGCATGTCCCAAGCTTTGTCATCTCCGCATACAAACCCATGAAGACCATCCACACCCAATCCGGAATACGGTCTCTGTACCTGCACGCTTCCCAAACTCATTGGCTCGCACCCTCATCCAATCCCTTCCAAGATGCACGACGCTCACGCGCTTGGTCATCAGTCTATACGCACATCACTCACTCGACAAGGCTACGAGCCTCTTTCGGCATCGGTATTGCTGGTTCTGGCAAATCGTATCCCGAGGCCAATGAACGGGGAGTTGCATGAGTGCTTTTTAAGCATATTTTAGTTTTGAATTGTCTGCGGCTTCGGATTGCGTGTGTTAGCTGCTGTAGTGTTACCAGGCTTGTCAGCGTGAAGTGTCGTGCTTTCGAGACGTGTCTTCGCAATGGAAGATATAAAGAGATCGAGATATCTCTAGGAACTCAAATCATTCTAATCATCCATTTCCATCATCTCTATTCTCCCAAAAACCTACCAGTTTAAAACTGAAATTCAAACTCCAACCCATCAATCATGTCTAAAACCATCCTCCTCCTCGGCGCCGGCAAAATGGTCGGCGAAGGCATCGCATCTCACTTCCACCAAGCTGGCTACAAAGTAGCTCTCGCATCCCGCTCTGGAAACTTTCCCTGGGACACAAAGAACTCGTATCTCCATGTCAAAGCCGATTTCGCGGATCCTTCGTCCGTCGAGGGTGTCTTTCAGAAAGTGAAAACTGAATACGGTGTTCCTAATGTCGTGGTTTATAACAGTACGTCCCCCTTTCCCCTTTCCCTTCACTTTCCCTCGCCCAATCTTACACCTCCGCAGCAGCAATAATGACACCGACCCCCCAACCAACTTCGGAATCCGTCGCCGCCTTCGAAACAGGCATCAAAAGCACCATCGTCTCGGGCTACGCAGCAGCCAAGTACGCGCTCGAAGGCTTCCGTACGCTGCCTTCTGAGGTGTCAAAGACGTTTATCTGGACAGGGAATGGGCTTAATGTCAAGCCTGTGCCTGTGTTGTTTAACCTCGGGGTTGGGAAGGCGGGAGCAGCTAGTATTGTGCAGACACTGGCGGCGGCTTATGGAAATGATGGGTTTAAGTGAGTGATGAATTATTTCCTTATTCTGAAAGAGGTGTTGGGAGTAGATAAAAGTGTGAAATATGGGGAAAAGGCTAACGAGTTGTGATTAGGTTTTACTACGCGGATGAGAGGAAGCCGGACGGAGGATTCATCAGTCAGGAAATTAGCGGGGAGAACCACGGAAAGTTTTATTTGAAGCTGGCTGAGGGAGCCGCAGGCGTTCCTTGGGATGCGACGTTTGTTGGGAGCGAGTATGTTGATTTCGGGGGGAAGGCTTTTTGGTAGATGAGAAGAGACGATTCAGGTATTAGTTGAATTGATATAATTGGTCTTGCGCAAAGATGTTGTGTTTTGAGATCGCGGCTTGAATGTGTTGGAAATGGTATTTCCGTAAGAAAAGAAGACGCATTGTCCGCTGCTTGGATAATTTTCAACCATTTATCTGAGCATCCTTTTGCCGAGGGAATCAAGTCCTTGGTTAATGGGTTAGGCTTTTGATTTGCTGAACTTCTTTGACGAAGTTGGCGGTCTTCTTCACACTTCACACTTGACATTTTCTCCACCTGCTAATTGGGTTCGAGACACTTTTTGTGCAAAAGGTGAAGAAGAGCTGCTAAAATCCAGATGGAAAGCCTCGAACAGCTTCAAAATCACATATATCAAGTTAAGAACTATATTTCAATTCTCACGAAAGAAATCCTGCGCAATTCTCGCCAAGCTTAGACAAATGGGACGGCTTTGCTCAACTAACCGGTGGAGGAGATATCTGTTTGTAGGTTTCTGTATGTGTTCCTACATGTGTTTTCCATCTATATTTATGTATGTGTTTTCGCTCCATCCACTCCTCGTGTTTATAGGATGAATGCCGTTCGCATATTTACTCGAGCTCAACGACACCCTCCTCCCACTCCAACACCCCCCCATCCAACCCACTCCTCCTAACACACTGCAGAACCATCCTCCTCCTCTCCATATCAATCATGACCCTACTCAACCTAACTCTATTTTCCTCAGGTATAGGTGCCTCCCCATCTAACCCTCGCTCTTCAATTTCCATGATCCATTTCCCGGCTTGAGCCATCATCGTGCGATCCTGAGACACGACTATTAGTTCACAACTCTTTCCGAGGCAAGTGAACAAAGCATATCAGGAAAACTCACCCAAGGACCCTCCCGATTCGGATTACTAAACAGCACCCCACAAACCTCCCTCCTAACCCTCCTATCCCTACACCTCAACATAACCAAGAACGCCGGCGACACGACCCCCAAGTCTAATCCAAACTTCGGCTCGCAATTCTTATAATCCAGGCACGTCCCCGTCAAATAGCGCGACACGACTAATATTTCCTCGAACTCAGGCAGGAAGACATCGTATTCCATTTCCGAGGTGAAGACAGTGCCGGCGACCATGATTTTAGTGGCTAGGTAATGCATACGCAGACAGGCGGCGCAGATATAGTCGATTGTGTTGCCAGAAGCTTGAACGTGGGTGTAGAGGGAACTGAAAGCGCGCTCGAAACGTGTGATTTCTGAGAGGAATATTTGGGACTCGGAGATGAGTTCTTGTGGTACTGAATATGGGGATGAGTAAATTGTATTGCCAGACACCATTTCGACGCCTCGGTTCGGGGTTGATGTGTGGAATTCTCGCTGTAACCGAATCGATTGGCTTGTTCTAAATGAGTCGTACGCGAAGTGACAACTTCGTCGCATAATGAGCTCCCAGTATAGCTTTGCTTCGTTGATGTCTTGAAAACAGAGGGGCATGGTGTCGATGGACGATTGACCGTCTTTTTTGCCTAGTCGATGGGTTTTGGATGCTCGTACGTCCGTGAATGTCATCATATGCAGATCAACTCTCATGAAGGCCCGCAGGATGTCGTCTTCGAGATCGTTTGGTTCTGGGGAGGATACTCCTGAGTTGTGTCCTATTTTGAGGAGCCAATTGCAGATAAGTCTGTCGCCGATCAGAGCATGTGAGAATGCTACGTCCGGAGAGCCGTAAAAGGTTTCGAATGCGAATACTAAGAGACTTGAGATTACTATCCGACGAAGCTCGTGTTCTGTGGTGGCTGCGAGGGTGCGCATATGTCGTAATGCAGATGCATAAATGCTTAGAGCACTTTCTCGATGACTTTTCGCTTCTGCCAACAGCATCTCTGAGCGCATTGGGAGTAGAGAAGCCCAGTGCTCTGCTTTCGTCGCTTTACTTAATGCTCCAATCGCTGACACAGCTTTCAGGACAAATGGTTGCCGATGTGCTTCTTGAAGGATGATCTGAGTCCAAAATGAAGATGCAAATATGCCAGTTACCTCTACAGAGGTTTCTTCTCGGTAGATTCTGAAGTAGGCAGATGAAGTGTCGTTTTCGAACTCGAGAAGTGTAAGCGGACGTTCAACAGTGGCAGACGGACGTCTGACGATTGGACGGAGTGTAGAGTTCGGCTTTGGCTGAGATTGTGGAGCGTAACCGGAACAGGAGCCGTAATACTGGATACATCGTTGACAAGACGGTTTTGTCTCATCACATTTGATACGTCGTTGTCTGCGAAGTGGTTAGTTTGATGATATGAACTTGACAGCTTTCTACCCACTTGCAAGCCAAACAACCAGTTCTAACTTTCGGAGCAAACACTCTTCCACGACTTCTCATCTTCGATGTATCAGAAGAAGTCATAGAGCCTTCTATTGCCTTCGGTGCCAATGGCTTCAAAGCCCTAGAACTCGATGTCCCAGCATCGAACACCAACTGCGAACCACCAGCAACAAACCCACTCACACCACTTCCACTACTTTCCCCCTCACCCGACCGTCTATCCATCCCGACAACAACATCCATCAACCTCCCCGTGGCAGCTTCGATATCATCGGTATCATCAATCTGGACCAGCTCCCTCCCTCCATTGTCGTCTCCAAACTCAACAACCCCACTTTCGCCAAACCCCTCGGGAACTTCAAGTTCAACCAACTCTCCCCTTTTCTTTGTCTGCCTACCACCACTCCTGCTTGTGACGCTATGGTTCATAGCATGTTGTCTAACTCTCTTCTTATCGGCTTTCCCCTGGATTTTTCCTTGCGGTTGGTCTATGAAAGCTAACGGAAGCATTGTTGCAATTCCTAATGTGTAGAGCTTTCAATTGAACGCTGCTGGCTTGCAATGAGGTGAAAAATGCCTCTCCTGTTTGGCAACCGATGGTACATTTATTACCTTTAACGAGGTACTCGAAAAACACTTTTGATAGGGCTGAACAGCCTCCCACTTCCAGCCGAGGAGTTGACCCTGGAAAATCAAAGAAATAGAGTCCCCATCGCCACTGGCTTTATAATCAATTGGGAGACCCATATCCAACAAAACAGGAACCTCTGAATTATTCCAGCAAGTACATTGAAATATCGGTGACGGGTGTAGATGGAACATACGTTGAGGTATTCAGTCGTGGTTAGCATCTCGGCAGGGTGCTTACAAACACGTTAGCTGGTGGCGCGGCGCTTTCCAGGGCTGAAGGAACCTCTAAATGTTAATTATGCAAGGCACTTAGCGCCGGCGGACAGGAGGACTAGATTTGTCATTAGTGGTCAAGGAACGATGGAGACAAGTATATCACCGGGTATGGGACGATCAGCTTATGTTGAAATGAATGTGATATCTATTGCTACCCATGCCATGCCATGCCCAACCATGCTATAAACCATTACACGAGACCTGCCCTCAACGAGCCCAGAACCTTACAAAGGTTAGAAAATCTGGACAGTGCTACGTTATGAAACTGCCACTATCCATGACTCCATGTCTATTCGTATTTGTACCCTTGTACAACATGGTAAACGCCATATCTCGCCCCCATAAGCAACAGCGAAGGCTATTCTAGCCCTAGCCACAGTCTAATATACACATATCCGAATGGTAATTTCCACAAAAAAGAGCTTTTGATGTGAGGCTAAGCAAACTCCAACCACTAGAGTTCGCCGCCAAAATGTCGTAAAAGGAGCGTCGCTAATTTGACAAATAAAAGTAAAAGATAACTGAAAACGAGAATTCACTAAAGTGCATCAAGCACTCAGCAGTGTCGGTGGAGTACGAAGTCTCTCACTGTACTGCTCACTAGCCTTTGAAGATCCACGGTCAAGATGGTCGTGATATTGTTCGCTAAAGTCCTCGTCCTCAAAGTCTGGGGCAGGCGAATTTGACCTCTCCGGAGTGTAAAACATCGCCTGCTGTTGGCTAACAGGCCTGGCGAAATACTCCTCTTCCTCATCGTCCATAGGCGGTAGAGGAGAGCGTCTTCCTTCCAATACACTAAGAGCTGCCTCGCTGTCCTCCCCATCCGAACTAGCATTGACGAGCACGCCACTAGTGTGATCATGATACTTTTGGTGCAGCTCTCTAAAGCTTCTTGCAGTGGCTGTGCTGGTGGTGGCCGCCGAGTCGTGCCGTTGATGGAACACGATTGGTTCTGCCAATGCGGAATTAAAGTCCTCCTCGATGGCAGAGGATGAGGCGACACCGGAAGATGTTCGATTAGGCTGCTTCCGTAAACGTAGTCGTTCCTCTTGAGACATGCTCTGAAGCTCTGACCCGAAAGTAATGACAGAAGCTTTCTTCCCGTGAACCACAAAACTACCAGTCCCACGAGACAACACATCTTCACGATTGCCTTCTTCAGAAAGACCAACACTTGATGCCGAGTCCTTACCCTTTCGACTACGATGATGCGAGGGCACATGGGCTTCCCTCAGAGTTCGATGCAGACTTCTACGAATCTTGCCACGATCGAGCTTCTCTTTATCCTTTTCGGAGGTAGGCGTCTGATCCTTGCTATCCTCGGTATCGGGGACTACGGAAGAGTGCCTTCTCATTGGACTTTTCTCCTCAAGAAGACCGGCCTGCTCCAATACCGCTTGTTCTGCAGCATCTACGTTGGGAGTCTCAGGCCGCGCTACCCCAGCACTGTTTGGTGGCTTCAGGCTAGCCTTTGAAGGGGTCTGAGCCAGACTTGGAGTTGATGGCACAGCACTTGAGACGGACAACTTACGAGCCTGCCGAACATCAAAGTTGATTGGAGGCAATTCCCATGATGCTTGCTGCTTGTGAAAATTTGGAGAGCTTGTTACTTCCGAGGGTGTCTGAAATATGTCTTCCAAGACTTGTTCACTCCCAATCCGAGGAGTGTTTGGGTTAGCAGTAGAGGGCCGATTGGCGGAATGCAATGTCGGTGAACGAGGTGTACGTTGATCTTTTAGGTTACTTGATTTAGAATGAAGTCGACCAAGTGCTGACTTCTCCGAGGTTGGCGTCTCCCCGAAGTAGTCAGTCTTCGGTGTGAGGATCTCTGAATTCTTCTCTTCATCAAGGTCCATAGAAAGAATTTCCTTGTGACATCGTAGACGCCATATTTCCATTCTTCCCCATTTCAGCTGAGCAGCCATACGACCTGCGGCCATCACAACTTGTTCGCGTGTTTTTGCTTGAATGGGGGCCAGAATCTGCAAGTGACGTGCGTTTCTCAACTGCATATCCAGTTGCTTCTGTGCTGCGGAGAGTTTCTCCTCCGCCTCGGCGATCTTCTGCAGCATGATTTGGCGACGAGCGGCAAGAATGTCTTGAGCCATTTTGGTATCAATTCTGCCGCTGGAAATTGTTACCTCTCCGGTGGGCGTCTGAACTGATCTGGTGGATTCGTTTTGACTATCTAGACGACGTATGCCACGGCTTCGTTGCCCGTCATAGTTGCCACCAACCACACCCCTCATCCTTACACCAGAAGTTCTGAAAGCAGCAGCATAGTTCAACTTTGCCAACCAATCATTCATTTCTTCTTCATTATCAGCAAGAAATGTTTCTTCGAAGCCTCCATGGCGGACAAATATGAATGCATTCTTATGCTTCTTGTAGTCCGAATCGAGAAGAGCAACAGCGTCATCTGTAGACATGAGGGCGTCCGGTTTGAAGGAGTCAAGTGGAGGTTTGAAGATGACTGGTGTTCCATCAAGGCCGAGCTTATTGTGGGCCTCATGCTGTTGCATCAAACTTTTAATCCAAGTGGTATTGCGGAAGAAGTAGAGCTGTGCTCCAGTGAGTATTGCCCCCCACTCCTGCCACGGAGACCTTGTCTTCTTCTTTTTCGCATCTTTTCGCCAAAGAAGGCCAACTTTGGTTATCTTAATGTCGACAATACCAGGGTGTGCATCTTGAGGATTCGTAGCAGTCTTTTCGTTCATAAAAGCATCAGGTCGTGACCTAGCCGACACAATTTGCAATACTCCAGTCCTAAAGAAGGTCTTCTGGAGGTCCTGTAAATTGAGTGATGTAGCGGTTCCAAGATAGCTATAATGCTCCTCAAGAGGCATCACTTCCTTCAGATTGGGTCTCAGGGTTTCGAGTTTGCTATCAATAATAAGAGTGTAAGGATCGACAGGTTCCTTTGAGGGACGTTTTGATGGATCGGTACTTGCTCGAGGAAATATGGACTTCTTTTTCGTTTTGTGCTGAATAATCCGCTCACCGTTTATGTCTATGTCGTCCTCAACATGAATGAAAGGGGTATAAGAGATATTGTCGTAGAAACATCCAAGTATCTCGTCAAATATACCTTCGCCACTAGTGTTTTTCAGATAGTCAGGCTTCTGCATCTTGTACTTGTTGTTCTTGTTGAAAACGTCGGTATGTAGTATCAGGAGCGAAAAGGCAATGAAATATGCTTGGTCAGGTGATGCGTAAATCCCCGGATTGCATTCATGATACCGGTTAGCAAAACTTTGTAAGCATCTGTCAATCTGCTGAGTCTCTTTAGGCAATTCGACTTCCATGAGGAGTTTTCGAATGGCCATGTCCATAGGATCGCCAAAGAATCCAAAGCCTCGCATATAACTTCGTAAAACTGAGCTGGAAAACTGGTCGGTTCCTTTGGATAGCACGCTGGCAACAACACCTCGGCTAACAGCTTCCTCGAGACGCACAAGGTATTTTGCTGGGGTGTCATCTTCGAAACGCTCTGGTAGCACTATAGCAGGCTCTCTTGGAAGTTGAATCGAGTTGTTCTTTGAAGTGCTAGATCCAGGCGTCGCAAGGCCACCGTTACGAGGAAATGGAGGCTCCGAATTTTGGCGCAAACGATGTGAAAGGCCGAAAAGGTCACCAAAGCTTTTTCGTCCTGTAGAAGTGGATGTACGCACTGAAGCTGGCAACGTTGGGGTCGGTAAGTTATCATCACTTGGGGCATTTCGCAAGGAGCTTAGTGTGGAAGATCGACCACGTTGTCCAAGTCTAGCACGAGTAGGCGATGAGAGGGATGATGCCGCAGAACCTTTACGAAATAATGATGGCACTCCAGGTGCAGCAAAAGCGGATGTTGTTCTGGCAATGGCACTGTGAGAAGGGGAGGGGAGTGGTGAAGGAAGCCCATTTCGCGTTCCTACATCATCTGTAGAAGGCGAGCGAAGTGCAAGAACAGCTGCAGATTCAGAACCTAGGGGTCTAGAAGAACTAGCAGATACCCTACCGAGCGATTGCGATTGCTTTGGTGGGTTACCTTTTTGAGGTAGGTGGGATAAATCGAACAGTGGAGCTGGCGTCTTCTTTCGTCTAGGTAATCTGAAGAAGGTTGTAGTGGTATGGACTGTATGGGTTGTTGTCGTCGTCGTGGCATATACTCCATGATCTCCAGAGCTCCCGTTCGAGGACTCTGATAGCCGAGTGACTGGGAGTGCCAGTGTCGAAGTTGAATCATCGCCGTACGCTGGTGGTGAGGTTCCGGTCTGTGTAGACGGACGCGCGGGTTCGTCAAATGTAACTCTGCTCTTGCTCCCAGAAGCCGCACTTTCTGACATGGTTTTTCTACGCTCCTTCTTTTCAAGCTTTTCGTTCTTGGTAACGATTTTGGCCGGCTCCTCCGGGTGCATATCCAGAGATGATTTCGCTCGTCCTGGTAATCGGACCCTCGACTTTTTCTTGCTAGGCTTTGATACGTTCATATCCATGGTCGGGGCAGTCGTAATTATCTCAGGAGCTAACAATCTTTTCGTTAGTCAAGCTTCATTTATTGAATTTAGGATGGTCTGATCTTACGACGAGGGAGCGGAGGTGCCTCTGTCTGTTGGGCAGCATGAAGCTTTGCTCTCGCTGATAGCTGTGGATCCGAAGCATGTCTAAATCTTAGCATCGAGAATCGTCGGTGCTTGTGCGATTCGTCTTGCGTCGCAGGAGAAATCGAACGTTCTAATCTGTCCCTGCCACTTTCAGCTGACATTCGACCTGGAGTTGGTCGTCCTGGCACGGTGGGTGTTAAGAAGTCCGCTGCTGATGGTCTTCGGGGTATTTGTTCGCTCGCTCTGCCATCAATGACGGGTTGGTCCTCCGCAATCAATGCATCCGGGGAGAGAAAGCTATGTCGTCGAATATTGACATCGCTGGCGCTCGTCGCGGGGCCCTTTCGCCGCAGAAGCCCTGGCATAAGAGGCATGTTTACACAGAGTTTGCGACGTCATTCGCTCAGAGGGTCCGCCGAGCATTCACTTATAGTGATCGAGGAATTCGCATTTGTTTGTAGAGAGTAAGATCCTTCGTGAATACTCGCGAGCCGGATCCGTGGTTGACGTTTGGTCGATGGAGGGCTGGGAGCAACCTTGCGCTCGCCAAGCACGCTCAGATGTTCAAACGAGTGACAAGGAAAGTACCTTTACTGCCGTAAGGGGTTCCGAAGCAGTGGAGGAGGAGAGAATCAATCAAGACCTCTCAAAGGTCGATTGAATGTGAGAATATACAAAGTATATCGAAGGAAAATGTGTGCGGTAGCGAATGTCAAAGTTCTCCTGACGTTGGGGGTTCTCTGACGTTACGCAATGTGCACCAAGGTCCGGACCGGTTAGTTTACTCGTTGGAACTAGCTGAGTTCCCGGTTCTAGGTTCTGTTCGCTACGCTCCTGTCGTAGTTTTTCTTCGTGTCCACTTGTTCTTGGCCTAGCGCGGGGTGGGTTTCAATATTGTAGACGCAGGGCGCACTTCACAGGTGCGAATATGAGGAGGAGGAATATAAATAGGAGAGAAACTCTGGCTAAGAACATCTACATATAGTTCTGGCAAATGAGGGAGACTGTCCATACCACATGACTTTTACGATGATATGTTGATTCTGAATTGGCCTTAAACCAATAAGATCATGGCCAGCCTCATCCTCCGTCAAAACTGGAAGGATGAAGAGCATGAAGTTGGTGACGACGCGATCCTGTAAGCTGAAAATTCATCTTGACTGCAAATGAAATCTGCTGACCATACTAGTAAGCCATTCAATGCCATGGGATACAAATTGGGCTCTGGGATAGTCACGTATTATCTGAGTTAACATCTTATTGAAATATATTTGAGAACGACAAGTAAAACCATGCTCGTTCCTTTTGCTGTTGTCGTATTGCTGGTTGTATCCCACGTGACGCCGGCCCACTCCTAATTATGGGTGCCTACACCTACGCCTACATTAGCTCGGCCGCGCTGCTTAAACCATCCCCGCCAGGCACGCCTATCGTCAGAGGCATCGCATTACACCACATTTTCAACTTCACTGGAAAGCACGCGAGCATCACCACAACCACATCATTGTCGCTGCGAATGCGATAGTCAGCGACGATGCAGTTGACCGATAGACTACACTCATTCCTCCACGTATTCGTCGTCCTTGCGCTGTGCACCACCATAAGCGCCTTTACAGTACCATGGGCCGCCAACAATCCTCATGCCGCTCCCACAGAGCGTGATGCACCCTCTGATCAAAAGCTTAGATCCGTCTTCCCCCAGCTTACATGGATCCGAGACACTGCCATTGAAAAGATCTTTCGCATTCCGAAGAAGGATTCGAAGCCGGATTGCCATAAGTCCGGTCCGGCATTTCACTCATCAAATAATCAATTGCCGGCCAGGCTGCTTGCAAAGTACGGAGATGATGTTGTCTTGCGATTCAACTTGACCACGTCGGAGGAGGAAAAGGCGTTGGCCGAAGCAGCAGACATCCTCTTCTTGGATGTGTGGGAATTTACGAACAATTGGGCAGATATTCGTCTTAGAAAGGATGATGTAGGTACTTGGGAATAAATCTGATCGATAGGGCTGACAACAGTGATAGATATCTTCTCTTCTTGGGCTACTACCCTCATCTCTGAAAAACGCACATTCGCCTTTGATGCCAGACCTTGCCGATTCCATCTACCGCAATTATCCGTCCAATTCAAGAAATAAGCAAGCGTTTCCACCAAGTCACGATCGATCCTTCACCCCCTCGTTGAAGACGACTGATGGAGTGGACAACATCTTCTTCAGCGAGTTTCAACCCCTTTCGGTTATTGTGCCATGGATGCGATTGATGGCCTCGATGTTCACAACTCATGTACGAATGATAAACATAGGAACTAGCTATGAGGGGCGAGACATACCTGCGCTCCGCGTTGGCGTATCGCCGAATCTTCCTCAGGATACGCCAAAAGAAAGAAAGACCATCATAGTTTCTGGTGGTTCTCATGCTCGGGAATGGATTTCAGTGAGCACGGTGACATATGTAGCTTGGTCTCTCATCACGTCGTACGGAAAGAACCCAGGAATTACGAAACTGCTTCAAGAGTTTGATTTTGTCTTTATTCCAACGACAAATCCAGATGGATATATCTACACCTGGGAGAATGATCGATTGTGGCGCAAAAACAGGCAGGAGACGAGTTTGAGATTCTGCCGAGGTGTCGATATTGATCGATCATTTGGATTCGAGTGGTCAGGTACAAAGACAGAAAGCAATCCATGCTCCGAAAACTATCCTGGCGAGGAACCTTTCCAAGCAGTAGAGTCGCATCGATTGGCCGAGTGGGCAAAGAACGAGACGGAGAACAACGATGTGAAATTTGTTGGATTCTTGGACCTACACTCCTATTCGCAACAAGTCCTATATCCTTATTCATATTCTTGCAATGCAGACCCACCAAGTCTGGAGAATCTCGAAGAGTTAGGTATGGGAATCGCTAAAGCCATTCGCATCGCTAGCGGGGAACAGTATACCGTGGCATCAGCCTGTGAAGGCGCTGTATCATCTGCATCCGGCGGTGTGTCACGCATGGAAACCGGAGGAGGTTCCGCGATCGATTGGTTCTATCATGAGTTGAAGGTTCGATACAGTTATCAAATCAAGCTTCGCGATACCGGTAGTTATGGTTTTCTCCTGCCAAAGGAGAATATCGTTCCAACGGGTGAAGAGGCATTTAATGCCATCAAGTATTTCGGTGATTTCTTGCTGGGGAACAGGGGTATTGAGAATAGACTTTTGCCTGATGTGGTGGAAGAGCATGTGCAGAGTCCGTCATCCGAAGTTCTAGACGAGGACGTAAATGAGGAGGAAGTCATCGCAGATGACTCGGAAGATATCAAGTGGGATTTGAGGCGGAGGAGGTGAACGATAGGGGTTCGGTTATCGGGCGGGCGTTTAGAGCAAGGGCATGGCGTTTTAATGGATATCAATGTCTTCTTTTATTACACTATGTCAAATATCAGAGCTGGAGTATGCTAGAATTTCTAGCTTAGAAGGAGGATTAATTTAAAAACTCACGCTTTTGGATAGGTGACGGGGAAATGTATTATGGCTGGAATTATTAGGACCATGTAGTTTAACGACGATATATTAAATAACCTTAACATGAAGTGTACTTCGGTCAGGTTTGTGGTATTTTGATCACTAATTTTGGAATCAACTGATTGGTCTTATTTCCTTTATCAATGCGATTAACAATTGAGAAATGAAATAGACAACTGAGTAATTATCATCCTACTATCACAAACGCGGACCAGGTTTCTTGACTGCGTATTTATTCAACCTACTGTTAAAACGTCACAAACGCTGCATCTCACCCCAAATTCCACCCAAATCGCCCGCTTGATATTATTTTGCCGCCAGGCACATGCACGGCCAATAAAATTACCCAAGACTCAACAAACACACGCATCTATGCTAGTGCTTCTTCGCCAAGAGTTGTGTGTCAGATGGAGAGATTAGGTGTATGAGAAATGGAAGAATTATTGGAATGGGAAATATGTTGTATCTTTAGAGGGAGGAGGAATGGTGATTGATGTCAAGATTGAAAAGGTGAAATATTGCAGACTACAGGCCGGCCCCTTTTGTCCTGGCTAGATATTTTGAGATTTCTAGATCGAGGTTAAGAGGAGAAATGTTTGGAAGGAGGGCGGAGAAGAGAAGGCTGAGACGAGATTAACATTAAGCAATGAGCATCAGTCAGTTCAATTAGGAACTCTAGCTTACAGCCCATCGAAGCATGGTTGAAAACCCTACCATCCATTTCCGCCATGACTCTCTCTTGCCAGCCTTCCAGTTTTCCAGCATACCCAACATATTCCACCCCTCAAAGCACAACAGTAATCATACAAAAACCCAAAAACCCCCTCACATGTCGCAAGCCGCGAATCCCACAAACAATAAAACCACACATCACCCTTCTCCTCACATTCGCGTATCCTACAACTTCGCCAACCTTCCACTAGCATACCCACTCCTCCCCTTCACAACTTTATACGCACCTCCCCCCTTCCCAAACATCGTGCGTAGATCTCTCGCAAGCAACGCCGGTTTCTCGGTTGCGTAGAAGTGGCCGCCGGACTCGTTGAAGGCTTCGTAGACGACGGGGCCGAGCGTGCGACACCATGTTGCTGGGAGGACGGAGATTTCTTTGGGGTTATATGCTTCAGATACGTTAGTATAGCTTTACATGAGGAGGGAGAGGATAAAGGCAGGGGATAGGAAAAGGAGAAGTACCGAGTCCCAACTTGACTTTCGGAATCCATCCTTCCACGATGTCACGAGTAATCCCACCCTCGCCCGTATGCATAGTCTCATAATAAATCCGATGCGCAGCCCCCGGTCCCGCTCTACTAAACGCGTAGATAGCAACCCATCGAAACACCTCCTCGTCACTCCACGGATACTCGTCCGTCCAATCGTGCATTTTCTCATAGATCCAGGCTAGCAACGCGACGGGACTATCCGTGAGCGCGTACGCCAGCGTTTGCGGTTTGGTGGCTTGTTCCATGTAGTAGCCGCGGCCTTCTTGCGCGAACCATTCTGTGCGTTTGAAGCCTTCTTCTTCTGCTTTGGTGTAGGAGGTGAGTTTGTGCTGGGTTGCGAGGATTGGGTTTTTCTTGAATTTTGGAGGGGGGGCGCGGAGCATGTTTATATGGGAGGCCATGCAGGAGTCTGGGTAGAGATGGCCGATGGCACGCGTGATGTAGAAGCCCCAGTCGCCGCCTTGGGTTACGTATTGGGGGTATCCGAGGGAGAGCATGAGTTTGTGACATGTTTCGGCGTATTGGGCAATACCGAAGCCTCGGGTCTTGATGCCGGAGGAGAAACCGAAGTTTGGAAGAGACGGGGCTATTATGTGGAAGGCTGGTCCACCGGGTTTGCGGAGGTGGGGGATTAGAGGGAGGACTTCGAGGAAGGAACCGGGCCCTGGGAAGTGTTAGTTGGTATCCCGGTGGCCAAGAAGTTCTGGTTGGGGAATGGATTGGATTTGGAGGACGTACACTATTGAGGTATTAGCATTGGACTTGAAATACAAGAAATTACAATAGACTATTGAGGAAGTTGGTATTGATTCTTGGATGAGAAAATGGAGAAAGAGTAAAGCAAGAAAGATCAAGATTATAAGAACATAAACCAGAAGCTTATAGGAAAATCGAGTTGAGGAAGAGGCCTTGTTGTACAACACAAACAGTTCAACGCCTCCCACCCATCTCACTCCCAACCCAAACATCACATACCACTAAAGAATTCAAGAACCAAAGAAAACTCACTCACCCCATGAACAAACAACAACGGCACCGCCCCCTCAACCTCACTCCTCTCCCACACAAAATGCACATCCACCCCCCCAAAGCCCTCCACCTCCACGGGCGTCACAAACTGCGGCACCAGATTCAGTTCCCGTTCCGCCTGTCGCCAATCCCACTCGGCGAACGCTTTCGTCAGCCTCTTCATCTCCGCGAGGGGGACGCCCATGTCCCATTGCGAGGATTGGAGTTCGTCGGGGAATTCTGCCGCGAGGAGCTTGCTCTTGAAGGTGCTGAGGGTGGAGGGGGGGATGGAGATTTGGAAGGGCAGGGGTGTGGGGGGCGTGGTGAGGGGGGTGGTGGACATTGTGGGATGGGTGGAGAGGAGAGAGGGAAATATGAAGAAAATCCGGAGATGAGATTGGGATACAATCAAGAGGATTGTAATGGTGTAGATAGGTGTTACATTTGAGATAAGATGAGATGTCGTCCCCTCAATGAATGACGTTCCTTCTTGCCGAGGAAGCTAGATGTGTGAACCCCTCACCACTCGCGGGTATCACCTAGCACCGCATAACGCAGAATTCAAGCTTCGCACCTGCGATGTCTCATACTGAAAACGTGATATCAACATGTTTCCATGTTTAGGATGTTCCGATATCTGGAATTGTGGGTATGTACGACGTCGTCGGGTCGGGTCGGTTACACCTGACGTCGGTTTGAACCGAGGATTTAGGTCTGGGACAACACCACAAGTCTAGATATATATATATATATATATATTTAAGAATAAGATTTCATAATATCCTCAGACTTGATATCCTCAGGATTATGATTGTGTGTTACAACCTAGTTACCGTGATCAGATAAGTTCTACCCACAAAAGAATATTTACGCAGCGTAAGAAACACCAGCCTTCACAGCACTTAACGAAGAAGCGTCCGCCAACATCACATCTCCTCACATTCCGCGCATCGACTCCCATTTTCTTACGCTTGTATATAAGGAGATGGTATATGTATCCTAACCGCAGTGTTCAAAACCAATTCCACGCGCACAAGAGAACCACTATCACTACTCGCACCTGATCACTCCCAGTCCAAATCGACCAGCACAGTACTCACTACTCACCAGTCATTCACATGATTAGTCCTGTATAAATGCAACAATTCCTAAAAATGAACGCTGGTGGAAAATAAATGTATCTAGGGATATCAAGCGTCATGACCTGTCCTATCAGCCTGGATGAGTTGATTCTGGGCTTTAGAGTGGAAGCGATTGTATCGGGTATGTATGTTGGCATTGAAGCATGTACAGAATTGATTTAGTGTGATTCAGAAGCCGATGATATATCATGTTTCGAGTTCTCAACCTCATCATAACCTCACGTCACTACAAACCTCCTCACACGACATCACCGCCCTCGTTCTCACCCCAATCCCCACACCCACAACCTCCTATCTTCCCCAACTTCCCCTATCTCACTTCCCCATCTCCCCACAGACCTAACCTACCAGCCCCGTACAAGTCACTTGATATCCTGCGTGCTGCTCATCATAAATAATAATAATACAAATCGCTCATCCATTTTTTTATCTATTTATCTAATTAATCTAAGAGGGGAGTTGTTTCTATCATAGAGTCGAGTCTTGTCTAAAGCATCATTTCCAATCTTACACATCCACCACCAAAACAGAGCAGAGAGAGAAGATCAGATCAAGATCAAAGTAGAGAAACCACATACATTCCACCACCAAATCTAGAGATTTCTCGCTCATCGTACAGTTACAGGAGTTGCTTGATCTTCTATAGAACAAGAAAAAAGAGGTCTATGACGATTTCTAAACACGCCGTTCTAAAATGCCAAAAGCTTCTACTCATCTATAACCCGAGAACCCATGCAGTAGTAGTATGTTGGGGAAACAAGACGGGAAAAAAATGCTCAGCAAAAACGCAAAATGATGAGAGCCAACTACAACAACTACACCCCCCGCTATATACAATCCTCAACACATCAAAAATCGAAAATCTCTACTCAAAAGGAAACCATATCCCAAATTCTAATTGACTGTTACAAAAGAAAATATGTCCGGGTGATTTTGATTGAGTGGTGATATGATATCGATGTGTGAAGAATGCTTACTCCCAAGAGATTGGGAAGTGAGCATTTACACGTACTTGCACATCATGGCAACCATCAAGTCGAAAAGACCGATAGCCTCAACGAAAGCGAATCCGAGAATGGCGTATGAGAAGAGTTGACCACGCATGCTTGGGTTACGGGCAACGGCCATGAGGAGAGCAGCGAAGACCATACCGATACCGATACCGGCACCACCGAGACCGATAGCAGCGGAACCCATACCGATGTTTTGGGAGACTTGGACCATGGCGGTGGCGATCTCAGAGGAGAATCCACGCTTTGACTGTTGGGCAAAGGTGTTTCGGGTGGCGTGGGAGAGGATCTGGGAAGCTTGTTGACGCTTCATGGCGGTGAATGGGGAGGTCTTGACTTGACGGGAGACGCCTGGAAGATGTTAGTTGATGATTCAGATCGAATTGCTGATGCCATTGATGATGCTCAATTGATGGCAAGCTCATAGATCGATGACCTCCTGATGATAAGGGGTCCATTGAAGCTTTCCATGCCATTGATATCCCCATTCACATCCAATTGAAAATAAAATCCAGCTACATACCAGAGAAAGCACGTTGGCCATTTGACTTGATGTTGGTGCGGAGAACTGGGCGAGCGACCTTTGCGGAGGTAGAGCTCATGAGGGAAGCCATCTTTGGCATAACCATTCTTGAAGCGGCCATTGTGTATGTGTGTGTGGTGGTGGAGAGGAGATGGGATTGATTGGACTGTTGCGAGGAGGATGGAGATGCAAGACGAGCAAAGCAGAGAAGAGACTGTATGTAGATGGGTTGGGGCGGTATCTAAGGATTATCAAAGAAGGAGAGGTTGGAAGGAAAGTGGTGTGGATAGGAAGTGGAAAATTTTTCACGAGGTCGACTGGAGCTGTCCTGAGGACACAAGGAGCTCAGACGATATTGGAGCTTGCTGTCGACCTGGATAAGGTTCGGCTATTTGGGTGTGGTATTCGGTATTTTGAGCTCTTATCAAACTGAGATCTGAGGTATCCAGCTTATTTCCTCTTTGGGTTAGAGCGTCAAGTTTCTGCCGCATGCTTGGACGGTTGAGGCTCAACAATCCCAGTAAAAGTCCACAGATGTGGATTGATAGCGGATCTCCGATGCAAGCTCGCGCAAAATCAACAACATCATCCATGACAATGAAATGAGAAATCCTTGATTGAGCTGTTTGTATATTCGGGTGTTTGCGGATACAGGAATATTACATGCTTCTAACCAGGAGCTGTATATGGGATCAGATGACTGGTTGTAAATGCTGGTTGCGCTCTGAGGGTGTGCTGATTTTGGTAAAATGTGGTATCTTGCTGACACCGCAGTTTACCAGTAAGCATGCGTGAAGCCGCTGGGCAGAGGAAATGGAACACGTGGGTTGGTTCAGATATACATAATCTGCCATTCCCCGAGACCCGGGAAAGCGCAAGCAAACGAAAAGTTGAAGATAGCAACACGCATTGAATATCACAAACAAAACCTTGAACATCAAACACTGAGCATTGAAATCAATACAATCACAGCAAGGCAAAAAGAATCAGGAGTACTACTCTCAATCTCACCAGATGACGGTCGTTCATGGCGAAGGTTCAAGAGATGTCGTCAAGAGGACATCTGTCAAAGAAGCTCGACTCGCGCGCTTGGCATCAGCCTCAGGATGCAGGTCACACCAAGCACTTCCTCGCTCCCTGCTAGTGTGGCGCTCTGATGCCGGGTTTCTGGTCCGACATAACCCGATATAAAATTTCAAGCCCCTGATATATGGGAAGATATTTTCACGGGGAATATGAATTTTGCAGTTTTATTACATTCACATAACTCAGCTCCTACGATCCTTTATATCGATGCACTGATTTCTTCCAATTCCAAAGACATACAACACACCACCCCCCATTGCCATCCTCGTCCTCCCGACCCAGAAAAAGACTTTTCTCTCCTTTCCACACCAGACATCCCGCGCTCCCGTACCCTAGACACCGCCTACACCCCCCCGACGACCCGTCCCATAAATTCGGAGACCAGGCCGGCGAACGCCTCTTCCCTAGGATTCAATTGGTCAATGGCTTCCAGATGCGAGATGACATGGTGAGACAAAGAGCAGGGAAGAGAATTTTTGATCCGCGCGGAAATAGACTGGCGCGAGAGAGAGAGTCGTGCAATCACCGAGAGATATGAAATTGTGTTTGCATAAAGGGAAGGCGGTGTCTTTTATTCGAGGTCATGTTTTTTGTGGTCTGGTTCTTCGGGTTTGGTTTGGATCCTTCTTGGATGTCCAGAAGCTATCGAGTCTTTTCGTCAAGAGACATGACCTTCTTCGGCGAAGAATCATTAAGTCATGGTCTTAAGGATCTTTTTATCTACATTCGGGGTGAAGCTATAGTAAGGCCAAAGGTAGGGATGTCATCATCGTCTTCTATCATTAGGTATCTACGGCTTGCCCTCATATAAACTCCAATGCGCTTCCACGCAATATAATCATACAGAATCATCAGTTCCCAAGCTCTCATACGCCGCTCCGCCCCTCGAACGCATGGTCATCAGTCGAGGTGTTTCGTACATCGCTGTGTAGTCGACCACCTGTCCACCAAGTAATGCGGTCCCGTTTTCCCTTTTACCAAAAACAGGCGCCGGGTCGCACCAAAAATCTTTGCAATTACCAACACAGCCATTCGAGAACGGATTTCGGTTCCGACGCTTGTTGGTCTTGCCTGTCGCTGTTTCGACAAAGGTATCGACACCAAGAATCTTCTTCCATTGCTTAAAGCACCCTTCCTTGTGGTGATGATGGCCTGGTGCATGAGTGGGAGGAAGAGCTGGATCTGGTCCCATGCCAGTATCCCCAATTTGGGCGCCGGCTTGGCTGGCGGTTCCTGTGGTGAGCGCAGATGTGATAGCCATGGAAGCTTTACTTCCATGAGAGTGATTGGTGCCGCTCATGTTCTCCCAGGTTGTCATCGCTCTTGAAATTTGGACCAACTGGACGAACATCAACATAGTGACCCACGTTAATTGAAGCGCTGCCCAGATACAAAGCACCAGTGTATATGGATCGGCGTTCACGATCTGGCAAAGCTCCGGCGCAAGAATATTGCAGACCTTGCCCTCTTCGGTGGTGTCTCTCGCAATAGTAAAATCTGACAAACATTAGTGAGAGTTTTCTACTAACAATGGCTTGTAACTTACATCCAATTGCAAGTCTGACGAGTAAGAGAACTCCGGTCTCTAAAGTCACTAGGTACAGGAAGAAATGCCTGTGGTTATTGATTCCAACACAGTTGTACACCCAGGGGCAGTGGCTAAAAAAAAGTTGAATTGTCAAGAATCAATGGAGGAATCGAATACGTACTGATCGTGCTTGGCAACACATCGATTGCACCGCTTGCAATGCTTACTTCTCAATGGCTGTCGAACCATACATGTTGTACAGAAGTTTTGAGCATCGAATTTCCACAACGAAATGAGCTCATCAATAACAGCCTTTTGAGGGCCAAGACCTCCAAGCTTAGGAACGAAGCCAGGCTCGTAGACCATGGTACAGAAGTAAAAGTACCCGCAGAGCGTAAACGAAACAGCAAACGCCAGATTCGTTATTGGAAAGGAATTATAGGTGGCAGGGAGGATAGTTGACAACCATCTCACCCCGACCCAGAACAATGTTGCTGCAAAAATACCAGCTAGCCAAGGCTGAGAATGAGTTAGCTTTTGTCAGTTCTGAGGTACATTAGACCAACTTACAGTTTTGTGCATATGTCTCATATCCGTTGGAGCATATTCCATCACCTGCATCGCTACCCACTGCAATGAATATCCAGCAAACAATGCAAGTGGTATGCCCGCATACACCACCATATAACTGGATATCGAAATCATAACCCATATTATTAAAAAGGGAAATAAGAAGAAGAATTTCGTCATAAACGCCCTTTTGTCTTTCAACAAGTACGAACTCCCTGGGAAGTCCAGTGACCGAGGCATCGCATCATCATTGTAGCCACTTTCAATCAGCGCCTTATGCCAGATTCTCTCGGTTTTCATCTCTTCCGCCGTAATCGCTGGTGTTTTCCCGGTCGAAGTTTCGGCAAATCGATCCGCTCCATATTCAATCAACTTTTGTATGCAGCCCTGTGATCCTTTTACAAGCGCCCAGTGTAACGCAGTAAATCCAGTCTCATCTGCCGCATGTACATCTGCGCCCCATCTCAGAAACAGATCCACGCATGCTGGATATCCTTTATACGCAGCCCACATCAGACTCGTGTGCCCATGCGTATCCGGTATATCGACCGAGATGTTTTGGTGTAATAACAGGACCAGGAGGAATATGTTCCCTTCAAACGTCGCCAGGTGTAGAATATTATAGCCTTGAACATCCGTAACTAGAGGATCCGCGCCGTGTTCGAGTAGAAGATGTACGGTATAATAATGACAACGCTGAGCCGCCCACATCGCAGGTGTTGCAACTGATTCTCCCCCCTTCTTATTAACATCGGCACCTCCTTTCAGCAGAAACTGGCACATCGCATACTGGTTATTGATCGCCGCCCACTGCGCAAACCATTAGCATATATCCTCCGTTCTCAGATCCCCATAGTACAAACATGTAACGGCGTAATCCCCTCATCATCGCAATATGTCGCATCGAACTTCCCGCTGTTGAATAGCTTCTCCATCGCCGGCACATCTCCGATTCGAGCCAACTGCATTATATCGTCTGCAACTTCCTCCGGCCCAGCGGCGATTATATCGTCCATCTCGACATGATCATCATCACTCAGCTTCGGCGCAACGACCGCCGCCTTCCCATTCATGATTGCCAGACTTGGAGCACCCTTGGTTGCAACTGTTGGCTGTGTAATCTTCTCCTCACTCGACATGCCTCCGTTGTAGTCTTCGAAACTGAGTAGGGCGAATTGGGTATAAGAACTCAAAAAACTAATTCACGCGCGAAATGGAAAGTTCATGTTCAAAGATGCGGTCGTGCTTGCTTTACGAAGTGAAATTGCAAAATAGATATGCTGCTTACGGGGACGCAGCGAGGCTGAGCCAAGAGCTGTGCCGTGACCCCGGTTCGCGAGCGCTTGCAGGCTAGATGCACCCTAGTGCTGCACAAACGGATTGCCATTTTCGACCGAAGCCTCGCAGCGAACGAGATCTGCGTCACTGACAGGTAAAACGTCTGGGTAACGGCAACGAAATGGCTTCGAGTTGGGTTGACGCTCTATTGAGCCCCTCGCCATTAGTCCTGGGAATCACAGTTATCATCGCCCTTTTAATCCCCATCTTCCTGCACTCCTTCGTCTTTCGCGCCAGCGGCCTGACCACGCTCCCCTCCATCCTGCTCATCGGCCCAAGTGGCTCTGGCAAGACCTCCCTCCTCACTCTAGTAAGCCTTCCTCCTACACTCCCTATACCGTATTAACAATACCCAGTTCGAGCGCGGCACCCAAGCAGCGCAAACCCACACCTCCCAAGCCCCCATCGCCGTCGAATGCGACCTCCCCGTCGGCAAAACCGCCAGCTCAGCTAGATACCGCAGCGAGCACGACCCCGCGAACCTCACGACGAAGAAATTCCTCTTGATCGACACGCCTGGGCATGGGAAACTGCGACATCATGCGCTGGACAATCTCACGAATCCGCAGAATTTGAGGGGGATTATCTTTTTGGTGGATGCGGCGACGTTGTCTGCTGGTGACGAGGGATTACGCCAGACGGCGGATTATCTACATGATATCTTGTTGATTCTGCAGAAGAGAATGGAATCGAGTTCTGGCAAGAAACCAAAGGAGATTCCGCTGCTGGTTGCCGCGAATAAGATGGATCTTTTCACCGCGTTGCCTGCGGCGTTGGTGAAGAGTAGTTTGGAGGCTGAGATTACCAAGGTCAGGACGTCGAGGAGTAAAGGGCTTTTGGATTCGGGGATTGGGATGGAAGAGGATGGGGAGAAGGATGATTGGTTGGGTGAGGTTGGGAGTAAGGACTTTAAGTTTGCGCAGATGGAGGAGTTTGATGTGTTGGTTGAGGTTAGTGGGGGGAATGTTGCTGGTGGTGAGCCGGTTACTGAGAAGTGGTGGAGGTGGATTTCTGAGAGATTGTAAAAAGTATGGATATATAACGATATTTAACCTCTACTTTAATCGCTCTAAATAAAACCCAAACAATCCTGTAAGACTTCGACATTCAAATTAAATTCCGGCCCTAGTCATAAACGGATTCCCATACTAAACTCAATAGCCAAATCTTCTACGTAAACACAACTGGACGAACATTGAAGTCTTCTAAATGAAGACATGTTAACTCAACCAGTAAACGAAGATATTCGTGTTTACTGCGTCATTTCAAGCTCTTACGCTATGCTGGTTCCAAATCACCTCTCTGCCCTTACGGTCTCGCTTAAATATCCAGCCCCTTTTCATCCAGTCGAATCAAGTGCAACGCAGGAGACTAAACATTGTTGACAAATCTGAGAATCGAGGCTTAAATAGATGCAGTAAGTATAGTGGAACACATATCAAAAAAACACTTCTTCAATACTACCTTAACATGCAACTTAGATCGCCCATTTACATGGTCAGCCTTCATATTCCCATCAAAGACCGACCAAACAGTGTTGAAATTATTTCTATTCATTTAATCATCTCACACCTTCTTATCTGAATGCTCGCACATCTATCTGTACCCGCAAACCTCAAAAATTCCCATACCATCCGGATGTTGAATCTACCCATCTCTCCCAAACACCACCCAAACGCCAAACGTCAAATACCCGTCAATCAAATCAAACCTTCGTCTGCTTAACCATCCAACTAAGCAAATCAACCTTCGTAACAACAGCAACCGGTTTCGCCAGGCCTCCTTCCGCTTGACTTCCCTTCTCCGTGACAATCGCCGCGCTATTCCACTCAAAGAACTTGCTGAGCGCCGTGAGTGGCGTATCGAGTGTGATCTCGACGAATTTGCGTTTTGGGTCTTTTTGCTTCTTACCGTCGGTTCCGTTCTCGAGACCGTTGGTCTTGGGTGGCTCGCTGAGTCTGCTGATGTCCTTGGGGTCGGTGACGACTTCGGGGATGGCGGAGAAGTCGAACATTACGTCTGAAACGGGGCTTTTACCTGTTGCGCGGCCACGGCTGATCCAGGATAGTAGATTGCCCAAGGTGACAAGACCGACGAGCTTTCCGCCTGTTGGTGCGAGGACTGGGAGTTGATCGAAGCCCTTTTCGCGCATGGTTTCGATCGCCTCTGAGCATGCGGAATCGGCTAGGACGGTGGTGACTGGCTTCAGACGGAGAGCGCGAAGAGTCGCTCCAGAGTATGGATCTTTCTTTTTTGAGGGTGTAGATTCGAGCTTTGGTGAGGTTGGCGCGCTGGTAGGTGGTGAAGGAGGTAAGAGGTCATTTACTGCTAACCAGTCGTCGTCGGCGAATTTGCTGAGGTAGCTTCGAATGCTATCGGGAAGGATAACCACGACTATGTCTCCCTTTTTGAGTCCCAAATCCTTGACTGCTCGAACCATTGCTGCCATTGCACTTCCGCTGCTACCTCCAACAAGAAGGCCTTCCTCTGCAATGAGACGTCTGGCATACATGAAAGATTCCACATCATCTGTCTTATACCACAAATCCACCGCCTTCTGATTCAAAACTTCAGGAATAAAGTCATAACCAATTCCTTCAACTTTGTAGGATTCGTTGGCGTGTTCCTGGTTCAAGCTCTCTGGGAGAGCGAGGATAGAGCCAAAAGGATCAGCAGCAATAACTTTGATGTCAGGGTTATGCTTCTTTAATCCTTTAGATAGTCCAGTAATAGTTCCACCAGTTCCGGCACCTGCCACAATTGCCTTGATCTGTCCATTTGTCTGCTGCCAGATTTCCTCTGCGGTACCAAACTCGTGCGCATTTGGGTTGTTCTCATTGGCATACTGATCTAGAATATGCGAGTTTGGAATTTCCTTTTGTAGTCGTCGCGCAACTCCAATGTGAGATTCTGGAGAGTCCCAGGCAGCTTGGGTTGGTGTACGTATAATGGTTGCGCCAAGTGCTCTTAAAACCGCAACTTTCTCTGGAGACATCTTCTCAGGAAGGGTGATGATTGTTTTATAGCCCTTGATGGCTCCGACTAGGGCAAGACCGATACCACTGTATATTGTTAGAAGTTGCCATGCTAAATAATTGCATGCACTTACGTATTACCACTTGTTGGTTCAATAAGAGTATCTCCTGGCTTTATTCTCCCCGATTTCTCTGCCTCCTCAATCATTCGCAGAGCGATACGATCCTTGACACTTCCACCGGCATTGAAAAGCTCAACCTTTGCGTAGACTTCGGCCTCGATTCCCAAACTCTGAGGTATCTTATTCAGTCTTACCAGCGGTGTGTTGCCAATCAACTCGGTGGCGGATTGCGCAACCACCGGGGGAACTGCTGGCTTCGAAATGGTAGACATGGTGATGCTTGTTATGTTGCAATTGCAAAATTGCATATCAAAGGGACACAAGAAGTGAAAAACGAGCGAGGAGAGGTACTTGTATTTGCCTTCTGGACTCGGCTGCAGAAATTATGTTTTCCAGCTGAAGGATCACCTCAGTGCGGGTACTGACGGCCATAGAGGGGTTATTGTGGCGGGCAGGGAAAGGGACTTTGAATCTTGGCATAGCACCAAGCCGAGAGGCGTTTTATTGTTGGCGAAGGAATATTCGCCATTGGTTAGAAGAATTACCGTAATGAATGATGACCTCAGATGAGAAAACACCAGAATGATACCTTAGGTAACTCGACGAACTACATTTTGTTCGAATTATTGTAGTATACACTCTTCATGCCTGGAGATATCCCATCTTGAGCCGTTTGCCGTTGCCCCACTCGCTAATCGTCTGTTTCTAAATTAAGCGCAAGCCTCAGGAATCTATCCGTTTTCAACATCCAGAGTACGAAGTACCGCCTCGTATCTACAGTCATCAACGACTTTCTTCACAACCACATTGAGCGCGCAAACTTCCCCGCTTCGAATCTCCTTCTCGTTCGATACAAGTCACTCGTTTCAATTCTCATACATAAAACGCCGCGATGCGTGCTTCCAATGTCCTCTTCCTCGTAGCCTCCGCCGCGCCCCTGGCACTCGCAGCTCCGGTCATTACGTCTCCAGCAGCAGGAGCTTCAGTTCCAGGAGCAGCAGCGTTAACGGTAAAATGGGCAGATGATGCGGTGGCTCCGTTGAGCTCGACTATGGGCACTTGTACTGTACAATTGATGGCTGGATCCAATACAGTTAATCAGGCAATTGTGGCAGCACTAGCCCCAGTTGCAGTCGGTCTTGGAACAGCATCAGTTCCCGTTACGGCAGCAGTCTCTGGATCTGCGCCAAATGCATAGTATGGGCTTGAAAATCTGATATGTCATTCAAACGCTAACATATCATCTAGCTTCATTTCGATGTTGTGCAACGGAGCGACAGGAGGAACTTATCAAACATTCTCTAGCCATTTCACCCTCACAGGAATGACCGGAGCATTCCCTGCGGCAGTCCTCGCTGCTGCATCAGCAGTTACCGTCACTACACCTCCAGCAGTCATCAACAAACTCGCGACTGCGCCGGTAGCTGCTCCTGGAGCTCCTGGAGCTGAGGATCCAGCTATGTTTACCGTCCCATTCAATCTCCAATCAGGAACAATTAGATATGCTCCTATGCAGCCGGTTCCTCCAACTGCTATCACTGCTACGAATACGGCTCCTCTCTACCCAACTTCTGCTGTTCAATTCGCCGTTACCGCCTTACCTATTGCGTCAATTGCGACGACGTACACACAGGCTGCTACATTTAGCGTCGCTTCCCATCCTAACTCGGTAAGTGCTCTATGTCACTCCTTTTCTCTTGGGCTTCCATCTTCATTTGTATGTGTGTACCTCTCATACTAATTATGACCCAGGCGGCCGCTGCATCATCACCGGTAAACGACATGCAGAGATTCTTGAACCGATGGAAGGATTAGTATACTGTATATAAGGGGTTATGAAACGTATAATTTGGAATTAGGAATGGAAATAGGGAGTACGGCGTTAGGACGGCTCGGGCGAGCTACATTCGAATTGCTATAACGGGGTATACCAGAAGAATAGTAGATTGTTATGCATTACATAGAAGTACAGTGATTGTTGAGGTTCAAATATCAATCTATGAGCTGAAGTCCGTGTCCTTTGATTTACTAAACATTTACGGCAATTGTCACAGGTTTTTTTTTGTTGCATATGTTTATGTACAGTAGGAGCGATATTTATTGATTCTCGCTGAGGTGCGATAAGTGATTATATACCCCTGAATTACAACGCTGTTTACACAATAAAGAAAGTATCAAAAGTTATTCGTGAGGGTACCTAACGCCATGCAATGTAATTCAATGCCATCTCTCCTATATCATACGTTCATCAAACTCATCACTTCCCGTCCTCTCCATATTCAAACCTTCAACGATTAAGTATCAAGTCGCCTAACCGCACCACTCCCCACGCCCGCCCCAACAGCCGGACTCGCAACCTTCCTCTCCCCAAAATTATGAAGCCGTTCACCGATCAGGTACACCTCATCTCGAATCATCATCCGCCAATCCTTCAACATCCCGAAGATTCTCCAGAGCGCGAGAGTCATGATCCACGAGGCAAGACAGATAGGATAGGCGTACCTGTATGCGATGAGATGGATTTGCGGACTGTTCTTGAAAACCGTAGCGACGATGACACGGGCGATGCCGTGAGGAATCATGAGCGCGGCAGTGAGGAGGAGAACGCCAGGGAGGATGAAACCGCGTGTTGCGAGCCCGGCGTCCGGGTTGAGGTAGCCGTTTCTGGTGACGGCGCGAAGGGATTGAGCAGGTCGGGAGTTTTCATGCCAGAGGATGAGTCGGGTTATGAGTTTGACGTAGAGGAGTCCTAGGGTCCAGCTTTGAACAAAGTGGACGACGTGGCGTTCTTCGGCTGAGAAATAGGTGTGGAGGGGGAGGATGAAGTAGAATTCTACTACGAATGCCGAGAGGGTGGGAAGGATGAAGAGGAAGGCACTGTATGTCCACAATATCCGTGCTACGCGCCACGACATTGTCGCTGTGCGGGCGAGAAGATCCAGAATATTATGAGGTCTGTCGACATAACCGTTGAATTCATTGCGTAACCAAGAAATGAATTGCCGTACGTGCAAAATCGAATAAAGAGCAGACCCCAGGATATAAATGCCTATTGAGAAGGCATATACATCGTTTTTCCTGACGTGGGCAGGTATAATTTTGGCGAAGACGTAGCGTCCAAATACGAGCGGGACGATAGTGATACCAACTCCAGTAAAGGCGGCGAAGAGCCAGATGAATAGTATGAACAAGCATATCCGAAACTGGAAAAATGGCGGAATGTAAACCTGCTTGAAAAGATTGTTCTTCTTGCCATGTACTCCATCCGCGCGATCCCATTTGCCGTCTACCCTCTCATTTGAAGAGCTCACTTCCAAGAAGATTCTTTTACCCTTTGGAATCCTGACTTGGTCGGATGCAGGTGCTCTAACATACTTCCCATCTCGACGGAAATATGCTCTCAACTCGGGTTCTTCATTGAATGGAGCGTCTCTCTCTTCGGCGCTTACAGGATGAGATGGATCCCCGTTGACTCCTCGGAAGATATCTAGCCAATTCTTCCTCACGTGGTATCCCTCTTCGTCAAACTTTCTCTCGTCGAACATGAACCATGTAAGTCGTAGCATTCGTGCACACTGTCGGAACCACCAGGTGTACATTGCGTGTAACCCAGCTGAAGGCTTAAAAAATCGTACCGCTAAGGGCATTAAGAAGTTGTAAAAGAGAAGATCGATAGGAAATTCTAAGACCGGCTCGTTCGATGACCAGTGTATCGGAAGGACGCTGTTGAACGCCAATGCTAAGCCCCAGACAACACCACCCAAACAAATTACAACCAGAGCGCCATATACTAATGCACTGAATAATATTTTTCGTAACTGCGTTGCCACGTTCCTCTCTAGCACGTCTCTTACAGGATGAAATGTAGGGTCGTCTGGATCGCGAATGAAGTCTGGGGAAGTTAGTATTGTGTTAAATGCAACGAATGGAGATTTACTTACAGAGCACACCTTTGCGCATAATCTTCCGACACATGGAAACAAATAGCGCAAAGTGAAACATGTAACATGTCCCTACGAACCAATGAACGAACATGGATGTGAATGGAGAGGCGATGATGAAGTTTATTCGGGACATGATGGTTGCATTCTCGAAAAGTGGAAGAAGAGCAGCGTCCAGTAGTAAGCCGCAGTACAACGGGAAGACGAGCATCTCAATGCTGATGATAAGTATAACCTTCATCACACCACCAGCTTGGTTTAGTAGATCGAGGATGCTGGCTTCCCATTCGCGTCCCACCTGACTAGAGGAGAAGGGAGAGCCTTTGCGGACGTACATAGCACCGAGTATACACAAGGCAGTGTAACCAGCAAATATAGCCCAAAATCTCGCCCAGCCATCCCAAACGCTGAGCTCGAGGTCTAGTGGTGACGCTCGCTCTGCAAATTCTAAACTGATGACCCACGTGTCCGGCTTGACAATGAGCTCCGGTAGAGTGGCTAAAGCAGTCCAACAGTACCGGGCAGACTCAATGATATACGAGCCAATGCCATCAGGGCTAATATGCCAATCGCCAACAAATACGAAGACGATCAAGCTTCCGATCCCAGTAATTGTGTTGACGATGAGAGAATGAATAGAGTTCAGTGCTTCGTGAGAAGCTGCTGAGAAAGCAAACATCTCGGAATCGGAAAAGCTGCTCAAGCTGTCTATTGTCCCGTTGACGATTCTACCCATAGCATCATATGACATCTTTGCTGCCGTGGGGCCAACGTGAGATTTTGTCAAGATGGTAGTGACAAGTTCTGGTCTATGCTCGCCTCGCACCAAATAGTACCATAGATATAATGGCGTTGAAAGCAGAGCTACGAGCATGTAAGAAGCCAGACCGATGATGGACAATGAGAGATCCTGCAAGAAGGCTGCGCATCCGAATATCATTCGAAGCGGAAGTTTGAATGCAGGGCCAGGATTTGCAACCAGTAATAGAAATATCCTTCCGATGTTGTATGGTATCCAGACCCCAACAGCGACCGCAAGAGCTAGCAAGAAGGCGCTAAAGAGAGCATTCTGAACCAAGCTGAATATTGGACCGCGCATTCCAACAAGCTCCATAATACCTTCGAAGTCTTCAGCATCATCAATGGCATCTTGATCATTTGGATCTATCCCGGCTGCCAGAGCCGCTGCCATGACCTCGCGGTCTTGCTCGGCGTCAACCTGCTCAAAAGGTTCATTCGCTACAGGGACAAAGGGGGGCTCAGCAGCTAAATCTTGAACGATGTGTTCGTCATCACCTCCACCATTGTTATCCGCTTCTTCGTCCACACCACCCCAAAAGAAATCTGCCACGTTTCCAAAGAAGCGAGGAGCTTCGTCGGGTCTTGCAACCACAGGCTCATGCCGCTCGGGTATTGGATCACCAGGGACAAGGTCAGGGAAACCTTCGAATTCAATATCATCACCGACTTCGAGATCACTATCACTGTCCTCCAACTCTGCCTCTATGGGGTTTGCGTTAAAAACTTCCTCCACATTTGAATAAGTTCGTACAGTGCCGTCCTCGGCAACAACATCTATAGGGCTTTGCTCCATAGCTGTAATTTCTGTTTCGGACATGAGCAGCGGAGGAGCACCATTCAACAAGGGCGCTGCTTCAGTTTGTTGCAGTGACGAAGTGTCCCAGGGGTCTATGTTTGAGCTATCCATAGCTTGTCTTACTTGACTGGAACTCTGGCGGGATAATGGGGAATTTTCTTTTTCTTCCTGGAGGCTTGCGAACGACCAGTTGTTACCCCCAAGCAGTGAAGTGCTGTCGTCGCCCGAAGGACCATCTGACCGTGCTCTGGATCTTGAAGCTCCTGCAGCGGATGTTTCGACATCTGGCGGTTTAAGAGACCGTCTTTCCAGTTCATCTAAAGTCGTGTCTCTGGCGAACGTAATTTCGTTATCACGGCCGTGATGTGATGAGGTTTCTGGCACGAGAAATTCTTTAGCTTTGCCTTTTCCTTTGTCAAGGGCGTTGTGAGTTTCTTCTGGATCTCTTTCCACGTCAGAGGCTTCCGTCGATTTAGACACATCTACCCAGCTTTCAGAGCTCGCGCTGCTTCCCTCATTATCGCGGGGCACTGAGCCTAATGCAGGTGAGCTGGGCCCATCCAATGGAAAGTCTGCAAACTTGCCACCCAAATTTCGCACGTCTGGGCCATGGATTGGGGAGGGCTCAGAACTCGAGTCTTCCAACTGTTTCATGGCGTTTACCCAATACCCGAGTTCGGCAGTTTTATTCTCACTCTCAATGATGCGTAAAACCTCTCGCGGATCACTGTCTGCACGCCTCCAAATGGCAAGAAACTCTTCAGTCATTCTAGGCTCTTCCGTAAGCCGTCGCTGTATCTCGACTGCTGGAGAAAACGCATCCCGTGATGGCGTTGGCCGACTTTGAGAAGAGGATCCAGCATCGTCAACGCCGGCAAGTTCTTGTGACTCCTGGATTGAGTGTTCGGCACCGGCATCGTTGGGCGGCGTTGGTTGAGGTGCCTCGTCAAGGTCTCCAAAGTGTACATTTCGCCGTCGCGCTCGAGCAATTCGCCTCTCTCGATGGTCGGGCAGCGCAAGTTGCCGTTCCTCGTTTCTGGGCGCTCGTCGAGGTTCGGCGTTCCGAGGACGAAATTCTGGAAGAGCTTGTTGTCCGCGAGGTCTTTCAGCAGCTGGTGCTTCTGCAGCAAACCCGGCTCCCATGTTGATACCCGGCTGTTGTTGAACTACCCATTCCCGTATCAGAAATACCAGGATGAAGCAGACTACGACAAGGACCGTGATAATGTATCCCTCTACTATTGCAATAACAAGGTCATTAACATAAGGGTTCCGTGTAAGATTCCGAAGAAATGAAACATCGCTCAGAATTGAAGGATGCGAAACGGTAGTTTTTGCTGTAAAGTGATCGGAAGAAATTGTCCCGTTCGTTGACCCATCGGAAATCACCACGCTCTGCATTCTAAATCCATAATAAAGGCTTTTCAAAAAGCCCGCAGTCAAGGGGTCAGAGCTGCTAACGTTGAGTGTCTGAGAAATGGGCGTCAGAAACCCAAATAACTTTTCCACATGATTTCCAACACTGGCGGATGTGGTTTGGCTTGCTTGGAAGGGTGTAACAGGCGACGTTCCATTTTCCGTCAGACTGGCCAGATGTATCTCCCGGGCAACTTCCAGGACTTGGTTTGCTGTAGAATTACGGATTGCATGCGTTCTTGAGTAGCTCGATGGCCACCCTCCGTCGCTAAACCAAAACAGTAACCTCCATACCTGCCTCAAAATGTATGGTAGGCATGCTAGCCAAACCAGAGCCACCAAAACAAAACGAAGCCATGTCGCTAAGTTCTTCACAATATGTATTATGACATGACGGACCAGGACCGGGAAGGGCAGAGACTGCGGCATATTCGGGGAATATAATTTCGTGAATCTGAACGGTGTCTTGCACAGCTCGCAGTGCTTCTTCTGGGAATGTGATAACCACTCCATCAGGCAGTCTTGGTGGACGAACTTAATACTTCCACTACATTTGCATGGATGGAATAGAGGTTCGGCATCACTCCCATCACCTCTACATATCCTACAAGCATCTGCATTTCCATCATCCATCGCCTCGGAATTTGTCGCAAACTCCGGATCGTTCATAATGTCGGGAAGGTGGCCAGGGACAGCCACTGAGGACGTATTGTCTGCCATATTTGAAAGGTCGAAATCGACGAGGAAGTAGTGAAAGAGGTCAGCGAATCGATTTCTGTTGAGGATGAAAATCGGCTTGAAGGCAAAGCCTTACAATCAGCGATATCGTAGTACCATCTGAAGGTCTATTGAACCTAGGCCCCGCGTATCCTCAGTGTATTGGGAATCAGTGTGTTTGGGTATGGTATGATGTCAGTTGCAATCGAATGCCAGCTTGTATATAGTCGGTATACTTTCGTGTATGCTTGAAGCTTTGCAGATTGATGGGCAGGTTGATGTAATATGGGATGGGAGGTTGTAATTCACCTGTTCGAAGATACGGCTTTGGTAATCCAGGGCCCGGAACAATATCGGGCCGAGCTTTGTTGCTGCACTGGACTGCAGGATAGGTACTTTTTCATGTATTCGCGGACGTCTATAATTGGCACTAGCATTGCATACCTGTCAAGATACTAAAACTTTAGGTTATCACATGAGAACGAAGACTCTATCAATGTATTGTTGTAGTTGAAACGATTGTCTGTTGACATGTCTGTACCTATGAACCCTCTCTGCTGATATACTTCAGAATTTCATTAGACTTTTAATTATTTTTCTTTGTGGAATAAAAGGAACCGAGTTCAGTAGTTTAAGAAGCAACCTTAAATACCGCGATGGTCATTTCTTGCTACCCTGATGAAGCAATCATGGTTGTGTAAACCGCGTCGAAGGTGCGCAAACATAACCATATCAAACCCTGAGCTCGCAACGATTCGTACATCGCTTGGACTAGTCTAACCTGACCATAAGGTTGTTTAGTAATCTAGATATCACAAAGTCATATTCATTCTTAGTTGAACTACTCGAGCATAGTTTGCAATTGTGTATACAGGTGGGTAGCCCATCAGCCTTGGATCGACTTAAGCCTACGGGAACTAACCTCATTTGGACAGAGGAGTAGGCCAAATTGCCGATCGATGACGCTCTCGAATCTTCAAGGGTGCCCAAGTCTCCCCATCGAAAATCCCGAAGCGAAACGCATGCAAGATGGAAGCTTCATCAGCGCCCTGGACTTTTCGCATTCGCTACCGGCCGTTAGATGTTTAGAAATCCCGAGCAGCGGAATATAAACATGAGCTAAGCCCCAGTTACACGATGGTTCAACTTGGCTGACGCGAATCTACCCGGTACAAATGCGTACAAATAGCGGTACAACCCCCTCACAAATCTAAAACACAGACGCTTTGGACCTCTACTTTCACCGCGAATACATTCTCGACTCGAGAGTCTGTTCAACAGACTGCTCCAATATGGCGCTCCATGTATTAGATAACTATTACCTCGCTATCACTCTGTTGATTACAGTTGGATACCAGCTGTTTTTCTTCGCCATAGCCTTTTCTCTCAAGTTCGACAAGCTCACTGGTAAGTAAAACAGATTTGTGGCCACAATTTCCCCACTAATCGTATTTGAATCTAGATTTCGCTGGCGGAACCAACTTCGTTGTCTTAGCTATTATTACATTGTCATTCAGTTCCGTTGACCATGAGCTGAATGCCAGGCAGATCGTGGCTTCTTTGTTCATCATGGTCTGGGGCGCTCGACTCTCGGGTTTTCTACTATTCCGAATCATCAAGACCGGTAAAGATGACCGTTTTGACGACAAACGAGACAAATTCTTCCCGTTCCTTGGGTTCTGGGTCTTTCAAATGATCTGGGTTTGGACTGTCTCCCTGCCAGTGACAATTATAAACTCGCCAAATGTTACTCAGTTCCCGCAACCGGCTTTTGGTACTGGTAGAGACATCGCCGGAGTAATTTTGTATGGCATCGGTATTATTATGGAAAGCTTTAGCGACATTCAAAAGTATATCTTCAAATCTAAGAAGAGCGATAAGTCTGCGATCTGCGACAAGGGATTCTTCAGCTGGTCGAGACATCCAAATTACTTTGGAGAAATCATTATTCAGTTTGGTATGTTTCTTTGGCGCAAGTTGAGTTTGCGCGAAGACTAATGCAAACAGGCATCTTTATGATTTGTGTCTCACCTGCTGCCGATGGTGTTGTCACTGGGGGAGCATACAACGCGCTTTACGCTTCGATCCTGGGAGCCTTCCTTCTTACAATCCTCCTTCTCTTCATCTCTGGCTTGAATCTACAAGAACGACCAGGCGCGAAGAAGCGATACGAAAAAGATAATCATTGGGAGGAGTATTCGAGATATCTTAAACAAACAAGTATCTTGATTCCATTTCCACCACAGCTATACGAGAAGATGCCCACGATACTGAAACGAACGATATTCCTCGAGTTTCCAATGTACGTGTTCGACCCAGCAAAGCATTCATCAGGCGCAAAGGGACAAGGAGGCGCTGAAGAGGGTACTCATGCTGGCTCTGCGAGTAGACAGAATTCGCAGGGGAATCGTCAGAGCGGTGATCAGTTGGTGCATGGACAACATACCGCAAACTAAAGAAAAACTGCGTGCATATCTGGGAGTCAGGAGTTTATGAGCGACATAGTATGTATAGAATCGTAATCAATAATAAACCACTTGTTTTACCTGCTCATAAAGTTTGGTCACATAGTGTAGTCCAATCTGACTGCAGGAATAAGGTGCCTGTCATGTGATGTTTGTTCGATGACTCATCCATGTACAGTCGCTATCTTCTGCTCTTTCCTGTCACATGAATAGTCTCTGTTTTAAAATGAGGAAGGAGCAGATGGTGTTGTGCGAATGTCACTAGTATCTGAACTCGCCTCGGGGCGGCAAATTTGAAACTGATCACATTCACATTCACCACCTTATTAAATCAATCAACACAAGAATCACAACATGAAATTTGCATCCACCTAACCACCGGTCCTGCGATTCCCCCAACCTCATAAAATCATAACAGTCATACGGCATTCGCGATGAACGTCTCGTGCCAATGCGGCGCAATCGCCTTCAAGACACCGCTCCCAAAACCGCTCGCGGTGTATATTTGTCATTGTGATGAGTGTCGCCGTCAGACATCATCAGCGTTCGGCTGCTCAGCGATATTTCCCAAGTTTCCATTGCCGTCAAAGTCGCTGCTGTCACTATATTCGTAAGTCAACTCCTACACAACCTGCTTCTCATTACGATGCGACCACGCGTTATCATCACTCAAGCCGAGGTGAAAGAGCGCATGTATCACGGAGTCACGAGACGTATTCTCAGAATGCACGCTATTCGCCCAATGGCAAATCAGTTCTGATTCTATGAAACTGACATTTCAACAGGCGGCCGACTGCTTCTGGGCATTTGCTGAATTGCTATTTTTGCAAGACTTGTGGAACTCGTTTGATACATTCGACACCCGGGAAAGATATTGTCTCCGTAAAAGGAGGATGTATAGAAGGGCTTGACTGGCAATCAGCGCGTCATATTTGGTGCAAAAGGGCAATGGTGCCGATTCCAGAAGGGGTTGAGAAATTCGATGAAGAACCAACGGACGAAGCTCCTCAAAAGGATGCACCTTTAGGCTCGGGTGAAGATGTCAGTTTTATGCGTGGCAGTGGAGGAAGCCCGGATGATGATGCAAAGAGAACCGAGAAGCGCAAAGCCAAGGGCAAAGAAAAGGAGAGGATAGGCGTCGAACAACGTCCTGCCTCTCGAGAACGCCATATTCAGAGTGCTGCACGGAATCTAACTAGTGGAGAGACCGAGAATGCAGCTTTTCTGGCCAGTCGTCGAATGGAAAGTCTGAGAGGGCTTAGGGCGAGCACTGAGCTAGATGTTGCCGCCAGCGGGCTAGATGTGAAAGGTAGCGACCTAACAAGCAGTAAAGAACGAGAGCGAAAGCGAAGCCGTCGGCGGGAAAACGAAAGAGAGCTAGAGAAAGAGAGAATGGCTCGTTGGGAAAAATCTGTAAGAGAAGAATTAGACAAGATCGAGCTCGAAAGAAGAATCGAAAGCCAGCAAAGGGAGTTGGACGAGTTGCGAGCTTTGCAGGCCCAAAAGCAGCCATCTGAAAGATCTATGAGCGGTCCAAGTGGTAGTTCAGAAGCTGAGAGTAGCAGACGAAGACCTCTCAATGTTGGGAGTAGCTCGAGGCGGCCAGGATAGACATAGAATATATGATATGTACTGTTTTTATAATTGGGGAGGGAGTTTTGGGAGATAAAGAATGCCTCCATTAGACTTATTGGTGAGCCCATCTATTAGGTCTTTCTTGACAAGTGGTATTCTAATTCAACCAGTGTCTTCCCAAATACTTTCACTTATCCTCAAGGACTAAACTCAAAACATCAAATCGCGAAGCATACGAATTCATTCAGTAACCGACCAGTGATGGCGGCATGCTTCGGTTGCCTGGATTCTATTGTTCAACAGCCACCACATCTTTTTATTTATATACACTCAGTCAGGGCCAAGATTTTCAAATTTCGAAATCTAAAATCACGATGCTGGGATTATTCGTCTATGAATGTCGTCCTGTTCGTAATTTGTCGATTCGGTCGCTGCCAAGGTGCACAGCTGTGCACGTAACGCAGTCGCACCGCAGAATTCAGATATCACGATTTTCGCAATAAGAATTTGTTTGAGCATCATTTCTCATTCACAGTTCAGAACATGTCAGAATTCTATTTTTGGACCACGCTAGGCCCTTGCATAAGCTTAGCTCGTGTGCGATTCGAGACGTGGGGCGAATATTTGGACCCGAATATCTGGGCGGGCCCGTTTGACACTCCACCATGTCGCCCCTGATTAAAATTATGAGTCGCCAAAGATCGACCTTGAACATTGTATTTTTCTACCGTCGGTTTGGGATTGAACCTAAAGACATACCAATCTTTTCCTGACAATGTTATTCTCTACTTTACCAGCACTTGCTACTCTTGCCATCTTTACCGGAACAACTATCGCAGGTAGAGAGCAAGCAGCGTTTCGAGGGTCTGGGGCGAAATACACTACAGAAGATGTTAGCACCGGTCGAGGGAATCTTGCAGGAATTTTCGACGGCGATGTTGCTGGGAGTTCCGGATCAGTAGAGACACATATTGGCCCTGAATGCGGCGGTAAACCAGTTGGCTCCAAGAAGCCCATCTCACTCCCTTCCGACCGCTGTCTCTCCATGCACAGCTGGTCACTTCGAATCCTCACTCCGGCTGTTTGCGCCAACGGTACCCGCTCTAAATGGGCACGCTTCGAAGGTCCCAAGTGTAATTACGGAGAGATCACATTCGAAGATGGACTTTTAGATATTGAAGATTCAGATTTGAAAGAGTGCAAAGAGATGGCCAAGTCAGGAAATAGAGATATTAAAATCGGGAGTATGGCTTTCTGGTGTGATGGTTTTGGAGATGTCAAGAGGCCCGACCCGAATGCGCCACCAGTCGAGGAGAAACCGAAACCAAAAGCGGGAAGTGTTAGTGAGACTGCTTGTTCAGGCCCACCATTCTTCAGACACCCGAAAACAGACACTTGTATGAACCTCTCGACTGAGAAATTGAAGATTTACTCTTCCGGGATCTGTAAAGATGGGACACCTGCGAAGTGGGCGAAATATGCGGGTAAGGATTGTGCTGGAACGCCCGCTGAGAAGCTGGATGTGGGCGAGGAGTTGACGGAGAAGTGTCTGGATGTTAGTGATACGAAGAGCTTTGCCTTTTGGTGTACTGGTGAGGGACTGGGGTGGAAAAAGACTCCGCACAGGACTGGTCGAGCTGGTAAGGGGTGGGTCGTGAATTTGTTGATTGCGTTTGTGGTATTGTTGATTGTAGGCGGGGTTGGGCTGGTTGCGTATGCGTTTAGAGATCGCATTAAGGTATGTTTGAGATCTGCGTCAGAGAAAAGGAGAATACTAATGGCCATTAGGAGTTGCTTCGGAGAGATGGGTATAGTTCCATTGCTTTGTAGGGCTGGAATTGAGTCAAGAGGGAGGGTAATGTTAAGATGAAGTGTGATGAGAGCTGTATAAAGTTTTAATTGTTTATACCCTTAATTAAAGCGCTACAATCCATTGATTCTTAACCACTGAGTTGAGACAAACCAGGTTGTCTCTTGATGAAGAGGAAACCATATTTTCATCCTAAGATCCACCTGAGATCACTCTCATTCCGATCTTGCATTAATCCGTTCTTCTCTTCGACTTCAAACTTCCCAATCTCGGCGTGGCGCCCCAACTTCCAAAGTCTAGGCAAACGAACAGTACACTCTTCGAGCGCCGTGTCCGACTTTCGTCGGGATTTAAAATGGGTCTCACAACCATACTTCTCTTCAACACCACAGCTTCAGCACCTTGGTATGACATTCTCTTCATGGCCTGCAAACGTTTCTCGATGCTCGTCCTCGTCTCGCATGCTGCTGTGTGGCTGGCTTGTTGGAAGTGTTCAGGCGAGGAGCCATATTCAAGATGAATTGGAGTGTACGCCCTTTACTTGAGGGCTCGGCGTTGAGTGCTTTCTGGCTACTCGCTGGGACTTGAGATAAAATTTGGTTCTCCGAACGTGGGAATGATCTTTGAGCATGCCTGTCCGATGAATACTTCGAACAGCCCGTGAAGCGAATCCAAAAGCTCATCTTATCTCAAAACCCCCTCAATACCCTCTCCCACGCCTTCCGACCGTTTCCTCTTCCTCTTCCCCATTCCCCCCTTATTCCCCTTCTCTCCCTCTTCCGATCCTCTCTCCCCACATCCCCCCCGATTCCTCTTCTTAATCACATCAGTCTTCAAACTCAACGGTCGATTCGTGCCATGCAGCCGCAGAAACAGTCCGCATGCATTACACATGGGCACGCCGTCGGCGCCGCGGCGCCATAGAGGTGTGTTGTGCGTAAGACAGTTTTTGCAGGTTATGGGTGGGGAGGTGGCTATGATGCGAGTTTGGGGGGGGGGACGGCGTTTGGTTTTGGGAGGGGTGTGGGATTCGGGAAGGGTGTTGGTGAGGTGAAGGGGGGTTGGAGGGTTGGAGGTGGTGAGGGGGGAGAGGTTCCAGGATGTGCAGGCGTCCTCGAGAGGGGTGAGGGAGTCGTGGTCATGTTGAGGACCTACGGAGGATGTTGTAATCTCTTTGAGTCCCTCCTGAAAGTTACCTTCCACAAGAAACGGATTTTCCCACTCTGTGAATGATGAATGCTCTTCTGAGCACTCGTAGGAAACGGAGAAAGCGACTTTCCTTGGTGGAACAGTATTCTGATCAGACTGCGGTGATATATATCCAGGTAGCGAGTGATGCCGACCAACTGTTTGTTCACTCCTAGCTGCTGGTCGTATCATATCTTCCTCGGACGAACTTGATAGTCCGCTCGTCATTCCATATCCAAACCCGGGTAGTCCTACGAGTTCTTGCTCGCTAACTAAATCTTCCAGAAAATCATACGTGTTCTGGCGAGAGGTGATCATTGCAGCATTACATTGGTTCACCGTATCCTCTGTTCGTGCAATTTGCCAATTCTCCAACTTCCACGGCTCAGCAGAAACACTCTTCCGTGCATCAAGCGACGATGACTGACTATTCCATCTCTCATCTGTAAACATAAAATCGTGGTCCAGCTGGTCTGCCCCGGGCGACATAAGAGGACTGATGGGATTCGATCGATGGTGTTTAGATGTGTAAGACCACGGATCTCGCAATTCTGTTTGGAGGTGATCGAAGGTAGTCTCTCGGCCATCAAGACTGGTATGTGAGCTTGCGAAGAAGACAGGAGATGTGAAGTCATTCGGTGATTGGTAGGTGGAATCGAAAGACGAACGACCTGTTGATGTTGACGGATATTGGTTCATGATGAGGAGGCACGATGTTTGGGCCCAAGAAGCATGTATTGCGAGCTTGATTTCTCGTAGATCGCTGGATATGCGTGTTGATTATTGCTGACCAGAGCTCTGGTCAGCCTGGATACTTGATTTTGGTTTGAGTCTGTGTTGGAATTCAACTTACCAGTTTACTATAACGGGCGTGATAAACAATTTCCTAAGTATATCTCTTTTCAACTTTCAAACGTTCGAAATTCCCTCTTCATAGTTCGCTCGTCACACAGGGGTTCGAAGTCGTGCTTCTTTAGAGCAGTTGCATCATATCTCGTAATGAATTACTCTTACCTTGAATATCGTGAAGCAAAAGACAACAACAATGTAAAGGACGAAAAAGCAAAACTTCGGGGGATCTTGCCTTAATACCCATATATAAATCATAGCTAATTGATGCATAATGCGCTTCGTGGAGCTTGTATGGCACGGAGATCCGATGACCAAGTGCGCAGAACATTCAAAGAGCGAACATGCGCACTCGACTGGTATACCGGACTCACTGCACGGCGGTGTCTTTCCTTGCAGACCGAACTTGGTGCAATTGGCAAAGAAGTTGATACCATATGGGATTGGCACGTGAAAATTGCCAGCCATCGTATTGGTCACCGTATCATCGGATTCTTGCAGGCAATGGGAATGCTGTACTAAACGGAAAAGCGGTGAAACTAACGTTGCATCCCATACATTTGCTCTCGAAAGGTTCTTGCATATGATATATATGTGTGCCTCACGGGGAATTGATGAAGAGGGGGTGTTTGGATGTGCTTTCGTCGTTCAAAGTCTCGAACGACAAGGATCTCCTCTCGAACGAAGAGAAAACTAGAACGAATATGCACGACTGCTAGAAATGCTCGCTGGAACCAAAAGTTTGACTGGGGTATATTAATGATAATTCTATTAGCACAGCTTGAAGCAACAGCAAATATTCGACAAGATCACTTCTCCCAGATCCTCACAGTCTCCAACTCAACCTCGCCCTGGCCCATACGTCGTCCTTGGTAGAACTTGCCTTCACGACCCAGCTTCTTCTCAGTAATGAATTTTCGTAGCCACACCAGACACTTTGCAATACAGAAGATGATAATAATTGCTACAGCAATTCCAAACACGTATCCGGCTACAGTGCCTTTACCCACTCCACCAATGTTGTCGCCGTTTTCATCTTCGAGTCTCGGTGCTGGGTTGAGGAACGAGTATGTGTAAAAGTGTTTGGTTGCATAAGTGACGTATGCAAGTCCCAAGTAGCAGGCCAGAATAACACAGAGGAAGAATACATGGATCCATGGCGCAGGATTGATCCGCGTGAAAATTATCTCGAAGAGAGCAAATGCGGTATTCAACCCATGTTGGGAGATATTGGACCAGAGACCGAATGTTGTTGCAAATGGACCGTCGTAGAGCACGCCCCAGAACACGATCGATACGAGAAATGGGTATGTGGTTATGCTTGACCAGAAGAGATAATGTAGAGTTTGGAGGGGTCTTGGAAATCGATTGAGAAGAGGCGTTCCCCCATTGAGAGCGTAGGAGAAGGTATGGACCGACGCGATTAGGAAGTAAAAAGCAATTCCCCAGTAACAGAGTACTGCTGATGTCAGATACTGGCAGGCAACAAATTTTGTAGGAGACATACCAGTGAAGTAGGAGAAGGATTTGTGAACATCATGTATGTTCAGATCATCATGCTCAGCGGCCTCCCAACCAATTATGAAAAATATAACCACAAAGGCATATAGTGACTACGAACCAATTAGCGCGTGGAGTGAAAATTCTTGCTGATGGGCTTACAATTAATGCTCTACAAGCAAACAGAACCCATGGTGGTAAAATCCACGATGTCTCGAATCGATGGCTGGGGTCCCAAATCTCGGTCCCAAACTCGAACGGATTGCTCAATCGCGCCATTGCCTCCTAGAATCCTCCTCGGATATCGTCGTCGTCACCAGAAGAGATTATTGTCTCGTAAAACTCGGGTCTTTTGCATCAATTGCGCGTCTTCGTTTGCAACCCTTCTAGAAGGAATCCAGAAAGGGATGGTCGGAATTTAACTTCAATGAATTCAAACCGGCGCTTGTCAAACCAGGATCTCATCCAGGAATTGATCGATTCCTGTATGGGGTATCCCAGATCGTTGTGCCAGCTTGGGAAATCGAAGTGGATTTGGCCGGAAGTTGAAGCTTGAAACAGTTGTGGGCGCGACGAATTAATCTATTTGATCCCTGTTCAATCAATGCTGTAAACGGTTCTGGTCATGGAAGGAAAACGACTCGATATTTCGGAGGTTTGGGTATTGAAATTCATCTCTGGAATAAATGTTGGAAAGTTGCGAGGTTGGAGTTGGCACGATCAAGGGCGTGTCTTTGTTTCATTGGAGTGTTGGTGTCGCTGGAGGGGAAAAGTTTCAGGGGTCGAGCCTTGGAATTGTTCGGTCATGCCTCCGGACATGGAGCTAAGCCTTACAGTAGCGTGGGAAATTTTGATGATTTTCATCTGCGATCGTGTTTGAATTTCCTTTTTTGGGTTATCGGTGCTGATGATATTATTCTAATACTATATTCAATAAGCTTCTGGAACTTCTTTCCCTTCTTTATTCCCTCTTAGCAGGTTGTGGCTACAGATGTGGGAGTTTCTGTGACACTGAAAAGCGCCATGATTTTCACCTAGTAACAGAAGGGGTGTTCTTATCAAGCGCCATCCTGGAGTCAATAGGAGAAATACAGTTGAGTAGACTGCTGATGGTAGATACATTTGATTCGTTTGTAGCCAAATGTAAAAACCACAGGCAAATTGACACCCTTCACTTTCTGACTTTTAATTTTCTTTGCTCGAACTCCAACATCTCTCAACACTTTCCCAGCCAACACGTCAACCCAACCACTATGCATGATCCATAGCAATAACGAACCATCATCCATCATAACAGCCTAATTCTGTCCCCACCCAATACCCATAACTATCCAACACCTAGCCTTCCCAAATCCACACACGGGTGATCGACTTCATGCATATGCGTACCATTGATTCAGTATTTCGGGTAATACCTTGATCATTATGACTTAGTGGAAACATTGAGGGAAGCTTGCGTAGAAACTCGAGTCTAAAACTCGGTAGAGTGAGATTATGGGTTTTGGGATGTTTGACTACTACAATATGGTTTTTGGACGGGTATGACGGAAAAGTGTTGACTTTTGAGAGTGTTGGAAACCCCTTACAGGTGCAGAGAGACAATCTGTATCACAAACACTCATTTATTGATCCAACAAACAGAACAGTGCAGGAGAAAATGAGAAGCAGGAGATAGGGACTTACCTTTACGGAGTATGTAGTACCATAAGGCTGCAAATTCCATGCATGTTGGTGGAACAGCTAAGCAGTATGCTGTGATCGAGGCTTAGCACAATGCTGATAACATGTCTATGTTGGGGGCTGCAGACTAGATCGTATTCAGTCTAATGAATGTTGGAGGCCGGTATTGTAAGTTGGATGTGGCATGATTCCTTGCCGTAGGCAACTTCTGATGAATTAATCAAAACTAGATTATCTTACCATTCCAAGTGAGTACATCTAAAAAGTCAAACACCGTTCCACAGCCTCTCAACACCCCTCCAATACCTCCCCTCATCCTCCAACAAAAGCGCACAATGCTTCCCCCTCCCAAAATGTTCCCGGAAAACAATATACCCCAACCCCTCCGCCTCCTCAGCATGTTCTGCAATATCCTTCGTTCTAACCATCTGATCCTCATCACTAAACAGATACAACCTAGGCGTCTCAATCCGAAAAACCTGCGGGTTGTTGAAATCAAAACGTATTGCATCGATCAGGTTCTTCTTCCGGAGAATCATGTAGCCGAGCATGTATCCGCCATAGATCATCTTGATGAAAAGGAGGCCAATTAGACGGATGAGGAAGAATTGAGGGAGGATGGCTGCGAAGGCTGCGACTGTGTCTTTGTAGGAAGCTCGGCCGGGCGAGCCGTCGATGACTAGGGCTTTCAGAGGTAATGCTTTTCCAGTTTGCTGGAGATATGTTTTGGCTATCAAAGCACTGGTGTAGCCTCCTCCCATTGACGCGGTATGCAAGAGGATCCTAGCATCAGAGGGAAGATGTGCTAGAATTTCGACAACTGGCGAGATGCGTTTGAGATTCCAGGATGTAGTAGAAATGGCACAATCGCCGCCTGTAGTTCGAATAACTATGATTCGTGCACCTGCGTAAAGCTTTTCGTATCCATAGATGTATTTGGTGAGATGGCGTGGGCTGGAGTCCATCCATCCTGCTATGATGATGAGATCTGGACCATTGGAAGTCTGTGTTGAAGTAGGTTCGTGTATGTATATCGAGGAGCTGAGATGTTTGAAGTGTCTAGGAAAAGGACCGTTTCTTGAGAGTGACATCTTCTATCAACCTTTGACTAAATGGGAAGTTAACATTTTATAAACCTAGAGAAAAACGATCAAGTGACGGCCATCCATGAGCCAAGAAATAAGAAGATTCTTGCAAAAAGAGTCAATCGACACACATGAGCCAAGGAGGAAATCGATATATTCGTGAGCAACTAATCAAGAAAGAAAATTGCCAAAAAAAGAAGCTTGATGTATGGATTGAACATACTGTGATTCCCACTAACAGGGTCGAACTGTTGACCTTAGCGTTATTAGCACTACGCTCTAACCAACTGAGCTAAGCGGGATGCTTGATGCTGATTGGATGACTACTTTTGATGTTTTTTAATTTATATTCTATGTTAAATGAAGTGGAGTAGAGTTGGGAAGTAAAGCATGGTGGGTGACAATACCGAAGTTATAGCACTTCAAAACCACACAACTTCACATGAGTAAACCAAACCGAGGTATAGTACATACCAAGCATTGACATATTGTACCTCGGTGGTAGCAGTTGGATATTCGTGGTAAGCAGATATTGTAACCTGGTTAAAGATATCTGGTTGTCTTGTTGGTATTTGGGCTGGTCACGTGACATGGACAGCGAGTCGGGTTGTAGCATATCAATCCGACTGGCCATGGAGAGACACTTGCTTTCACATTCTTACCTCGGTGTTGTTGAATTTGTACTGACTGCAGGGTATTTTACGAACAATATATGAAGGTACCCATTGCGTGGACCCCTGTTTGATGCGAGGTGAAGCGCTGTCAACTGTGCCGTAGAATGTGCTATTGGCTAGAATCAAGAATATGTTGTTTATCTTATCGAAAAGAAGTAAGACATCGAGGTTTGATTGCACGGAATGCTTGGAATAAAATCGTGGGAGGATAAGGACTTCAAGGAATACTCGTCGGCTGGAGACGGTACTCGAAGACTCCGTTTCCGTTACCCGCAACAATGAGCGAGTACTCATGTTGGCAATACCTACATCAGGTCAGTCTAGAGGCTAGAACATAGATTATGAGTAACAACAATATTTACTCTGCTGGATTGTCCCCTCAGATTACTTTTTTCGCAAGAAGCTTTATTTCAAAGGCGAAGCTTACAACATTTCTAGTTCTACAATTGAACTCCTCAACACTTGTCAATCTTGCTCACGGGTCAACCGGTAATGTAGAGTCTGGCAGCATAGAACATCTGTTTTCAAAGGAAGCTAGGAGTATTCAGCGTTGATTAACATCGGATTGTAAGTCCGTTAGTCAAGACATATGGCAGGCAAGGTTGGTTACCTTGACACGACACGTTCAGTGCTGCATTTCATCTACTATTATCGAATTTTTGTGAATCCCACTCCAGAATTTAAATCCTAGCCTCACACTGGGTTGAAATACACAAAAAAAACAGAATAATCTACCAATCTTTTGTTTGTTGTGAGCATCACATTCTTGTTCGACGTCAAGACTGGTGATTTTAGCGATACCACCGACACAGTCCCGGATGGTTGCAAGTACTAGTCACACCCATTCCTGAACACGTATGTCGAGTTTCTGCATTGTATGACGAAGTTTCTCATAATTCGTATACGAAGTACTTGCGGCGTGACGTTTCCAACGTAGCAGATAGCAAGATATGTAAAGTCATCCTGAATGTTTCGAGGGGGTGGCGATGAGGTCAAACAGCGCTGGTGGAGAGGATTTGAAACCACAACGACTCAGTTCCATTTCTGGGTTGGCCAATTTGCGACACCACCAAAAGCAGAAACCATCCCGGAACACCGTACAACGGCTTCAACAACGACTGGCTTTCAGACCCTGAAATCACGTTTCCCGCTTCCCGTTGCTGGGCCCAATGAAGCATCTGAGCGACCGCGTGGAAAATAAAGGGTAGGCAATATCAGACGAGATATTCGCGCAACGTCCAGGATTTTGGCTGATTTTACGAATTGGGTGTGTCGCTGCAAGGTTATTCTTGGGCTTGGGGTCGGAGCTTCGGCGATCTTATAAATTGAAAAGGAATAGAAACATGTTTCAAAGCGAGGCTGGAGGATGTCATTCTGACATCGAAGACTGCAAGTCGTAGAGAGGCGCACCACAGGCGAGCACTGGATAGGAATATTCCACGGCAGGAGAGTGCTGCAGGCCGCGAGATCTTGAGTCTCGACCTCGCTCGATGAGGCGGAGGATGATATCTAACCGTCAGCATGTACAACGACCCCTCGGCGGCACGGCTTTGACAGCTGAGCTTTCCAGTTCAAATCATTATCGTTGTGGCGTGAGCACGGCGTGTATGAATTGTGGAGAAATCAGCCATCAAGACATGTCAATTGAGTTGTTCAGCAAAGGAGAGTCCCTGGTACTCGAGTACATCTGTATTATCTTCTGTGGGCGTTGGAAAAGGCGTTCGTCCCATCAGCCCCTCATTACTCTCAAATCCAGCCACTTTGAAGCTGTTGGATAGATTGCCGATGCAAAAGCGCCGATGTATTGAATCTTGCCGCATTGGGGAAGTTGGCAATTCGAATGCAATTCTGGTATCCTGGTGTCGTTGGTGCGAGTAAAGCTCCCATCCCTTTTAAGTTTTTGGGCGCCACCTCCCCGCAAAACCAGTCTACAATTGACCATAATCCCGCCTGGCTCACCACCATCAATCCACGCAGGAGTCCACGTCGACTCCACGCAGCAGTTGTCCACGCTCATTACTCGCCCAAAGCGGCTAGCCGGGAATTATTCAGAGACTGATTGTACTTTTCCATTCAAGCAGGAAGCTACGGTGTTATTGTCCTAGTCTAGCTGTTTTTGAATTGGTCTAGATATCATTCACGCACCCAATCTTTCGACCACCACCTCCTGTTCGTGAACCTTACACATTGCTCGGATTGTCGTCCACCTCAACATTCCATCGTCATCGTATTCGAAACTTTGGCATTCTTGTCTCAACTGCAGCTCGACGATCTCCTTGCGCACGAGCCGTTTGTCTTAGGACAAAACGGATGAACGCCAGCTCCACCTTTCGAGTCGTCGACACCTCCTGAGCATTGAGCAAAGACAAAAAAGCGAACGATCCGGGTTAAAAGCTTCGGCAGCAGCCTTGTGTTATCCTCCGTGTGGGCACGTCTAGTACAACAGACTATTGGTGAAAGTCTTTGGAAAGCCACGAGTACGATTGTTCCTGCGTTAGGTTCAGACCTATTCTCAACTACTGGAGCTCCACAAACCGACCTCGAGCAATAGCGTTTCAGTCCAGACTACTGCAATTTTCCGAATCATTGCATACAACAACCGATTGAGTTCGGACTACAGCTATCTGCGGGCACTACCGTTGTTGGAACTTGCTGCTGGTACGGCTGTCTGAGACGCTGGGTCGGTGGCAGGCAGGAAGCCCTGGTACTCCGTACAGTTTGCTGCCATTCCCCTCATTGTCACACCAGATTGCCAACACTCTGCACTTCGCCTGGTTGAATTGGGATACCAACGGGCCAGAGCGAAAGATCTCGCAGTTGCGGACGACATCGATAGTTGGGGTCTGGTATCCCCGCCCAGCAGATGCACGCCCGGACAGTCAACCAGGGAACTGAGTGGTTGCACACCACCAATTCCGCGCATTAGCTTCATTTTCGTAACTCTAGCAGCAGGTGTAGCTACCTAGCGAGCGCGATCATGGCGCATTTCTACGACTCGGACGAACAGCGAGATACTGCTGGTCTTCCCATCATTCTCGAGCCGGATGACGCTTCAATTACATCCCCAACTCGCGGGAGAATACACGACGACCCGTTCCACGACAACCACAGGATGGCCTCTCCATCGAGGGTGTCGCCCGCAAAGGACCTCCAGGTCCCCACGCACCCAATTCCCTCGATGCAGGAAGCCTTTGCAGAATCGATGTTCGAGGTTGCAAGTGGAGTCACTTCTCCCAAATTCGAAAAGGTGAAAGACGCCGCCGCCAGGAGGAAACAGTTGCTGGATCAAGATATTGATGAGGATACCTATCCAGGCAGATGGAAGAGGACACCGAGCCAGCAATACCACGAGCTATGGAAGTTGATGGCACAGATCTCTTTCGGAATATATCTGCTTCTGCATGGAATTGCCAAAGACGAGGACCAGGTCATGAATATTTTGCAGGGCCATGTGGACGAGGTCGACGAGTTTTTGGAAGCGACGATGGAGGATTTCGATCTGGCTCAAGAGGATATCGACGAGCGATTAAAGTTCTTGAAGCTGCCACTGGAGAATATTGGTATCTTCGACGCAATGCTGGAGGATCGGAACTTTCGCTATCAGATTGTGAATGGGAACGAAAGGATTGAGCATGTCATCACACGTACTGCTGCCGCAATGAACGATGCTTTAAAGGACGTCCAACAAGGTATGGACGCATGCAAGGAATTTACAATATATTTGGCTAGGGAACATGACGGTGCGCTTTGGAAGAAGGAGAGGTCTGATATGCAGAAGGTCTTCGACGCGATGAAGGGTAACGTCGAAGGATGGTACAAGGCGTATGTGTCACTGCAGACAAAAGGTAATCACCTGGCTGCTGCATTGGTGCAACTTGGAACCATTGTTGCGGAAATGGACAGGAGGGCGGGGGAAGTCAGTAGGAAACAGAGAGTGAGTTTCATTCTCCATGCGATGCGATCGTGCTAATAATGTTTAGTTTAGTACTGCCGGTGCTCCCTCACCCCCGCATTCTCCCCAAGGCCCCTCTGGTCGACTGTCTCAGCACCCCAGCCCAGCAACGACGGTAATCGATCATTCTCGAGGACCGAATTCTCCACCATTCTCTGCCGAGCGCCATTCGAGAGGTCCTTCCCAAGAGATGAGACTGTCAATGGCTAGAGAACTTCCTACAGACCCGAGCCCGATCACGCCAGCGATTCGAGCTACCCTGCCAGCTTTCCAGATGGTTAACGAACGCGAGCGAACACCTGAGGATGAGGAGGATGACTATCCAGCAGAGTTGGAAGCAGTGGTGGAAGCTGAACCAGAACCCGATTTCATACTGAAGCCTCACACATATAGCCCTTCTCCGTCACCGAGACCTCCGGGAACACCAAAACTACCGTCCCCTTCATTACAACAACCTCCATTATCACAGCCGCCACTCCAAGAACCTCCACCACCCCAAATAAAGCCGAGGTCATCATTGCGCCAACGGTTCTCCCTAAAGCGGAAAGAAACTCCAATTGAAGCTACCCCGAATCCTCCTCCAGAGATTGCACCAGACAATTACTGGGGGCCCAGACAACGAGTCAAGTCTGTGTCTAAACCCCCTCCTCAAGAGCTAGAAGCACCGGTAACTACCCCACCATCACGAGGTCTCGACTCTGCGTACTGTTCTGATTACGAGAAGCCACTCCAGATAACCATTCCACAATCTGGATCGCTACCTAATTTCAATGCTCAATTCTCGCAGCCACTTTCCGCATCTACACCAAAGTCGAACCGGTTTAATCAAGCTCCTCAGTCTACGACATTATCACCCCCTATATCTACTACTCATTTCTCATCTTCACGTCAGTCGCCCCGACAATCGCCACGAGTTCAAAGCCGCGAAGTTGAAGCGCCACCGCCATCAATAATAACCCGAGATTTCGTTCCATCCCCACGATCTGACCGGCAGTTCTTCCGACCTGTAAATGCCTCACCACATTCGCCCTTACAAAGGCCGTGGACTGCGGCTCCTAGTAATATAATGCATATCCACAGCAACTCCTCATCCTCGAACCTAAGATATGGTCATACACACACTCCTTCCCAGTTAGGAAATCGGAACGGTGCTCCTAGTGCGATGGGTATGAGCATGATGAGCGACATGACGACGGTCACGGAAGGTGGCCAAAAAGTCAAAAAGAAGCGTAGCGCTTTCGGCTGGCTAAAGAAAGCCTTTAGCCTGAGCGAGGAGGAAAGAATGGCTTTCGAGCAACGGCGACGTATGACGGACGATGATTATCGAGCTGGATATCACGAGAAGAATACACAACAAAGATGGGTTGATGGCAAAAGAGTGGAAGGCAGAAAAACTGATAGCCAAAGAGTTGAAGGCAGAAGGGTTCGGTAATAGCGATTTCCCAATGATGTTTGCATGGAAAAGAGAAGGAGCGAGCATATACCCCATATTTCTCGTCTGGGTTTTGTTGATTTCTGTGATATAAGGTGTTTGCTTTGTCTGTTATCCCCACTTTCTCATTTTTGGTACAAAGCGCTCGGCAGGGTAGCGAGGAGTTATGGCGTATTTTCATTGCAGATCTGGAAATTGACGCTAGATGGGAAGGAAAATAGGAAATCTTAAAGGTGTGGATGAGAAGGGATGGAAAAAATGTCCTTTGAATCAAATCCCTAGGACTTCTCTCCTATAGGTCGATGAAGTCCATATGGAGGAGAATATTAATTAATACAATATGACAAACAAATCCGAATGGAATATCGCATCTTAGTTCAATTGGTATACTGGTGCTGTTCCTCTTGAGGGGAAACTCCTGTGCTTGTCTGGCATCGTGGTCGAAGCTGGTCATCTTGTATCCAATTTGATGAGTAGGGATGGCACGAGGTTATGGTATCCTCTGAAGAAAGGTTGGCTCTTTTTCCATCTTGGTCTGGTGGGTGCTAATGGCCTTGTCTTATTGATCCTTCACAGGGCTGAATCTCGACCTCGCTTAATTCTTCGGTACGCCCCTGACGATCTTTTTAAGCGCTTGCACCCTCTAACGCTAGTTTATTGGTTATCTGAACGACTCAAGTTTTGTCATTGGCTTACAGAAATAATGACAGGCTTCGGAAGCCATCACGGGAGGCGGCGACGGCGGCGGTAATTGGAAGTTTCGGAAGGAATGGAATAAAGCATGATACCAACAACCTTATACGTAAAATGGGGAGTTGAACCGGCCGTCATCATGTGGGCTTATAATAACATGGACAACCAAATTGCCACTGTACAACTCTTGTGTCTTCTGTCGAAGGAGCCATCGTCGGTACTAATAGAGAGCGTCACGGCCTACGATCTACCTGCTAGTACGAAAGATGGACTTCGACACGAACCAGTGGTATCAAATAACAAGGAATAAGAAGGAAGACCAATCCTTCGTTGGCACCATATTATACGCGGAAGACCATACCGAAGGCTCAACATTCTTCCAGATCACAAACCTCACCATTCCCGAACAATTATGGCAGATCTACCCTTTCGACAGCACTCACTATGTGCTTCGTTCCAAAGGCTCTGGTCCAAACAGTTTCCTTCACTCACGCTACGCAGGAGATCTGAAAAGACTCCCCGGGAACACGTTTCCGGATATGAAAGACGCGTCGCTGCAGGATGATAGCATGTTATGGCAGATCTCGCCGTGGAATGATGGCACGTTCTACATGACTAATAAGGAGAATGGCACGGATTGGCATATGCAGGTTATGCCGGATAGTCAGATGGCGATGTCGTCGAATGTTACGGCGCCGCAGCCCGGTCAGAGGTTTAGTTTTATGGAGGTGAAGGAGATTGATGATGTTAATTTTTCGGTTATGAGGGTATGTTATGTTCTGGATGGTGTAAGGGATGGGGCTGATTTTGGTGTAGCTTACTGGTGCGATGACGAGTTCAACTTCTTCGAGCTCAATATCGACAATGACGGCTGTATCTGCATCTACGACAGGAATTGCACGAGCTGACCCGACCACAACCCCCCAAAGTACATCCTCTTCAGCTGCCTTACCGCCATCCACCCCATCAAGCACTCTCTCCACCGGCGCCAAAGCAGGAATCGGAGTAGGTATCGCTGGAGTAGCAGTAATAGCACTCTTGGGCCTCATGTTTTTCTTTCTTCGAAGACGGAAAGCGAGGGCCTCGGTAGACTTAGATGCACCGCCCATGTATTCCAGTACGAACCCAGTAGAGAAGTCAGTGAGAATTGGGAGTAATGGTGTAATTATGGAGGGGTATAAGGAAGAGCCGTCGAAGAGACCGGCGGAGTTGAGTGCTTTTGTCTTGCCTGCGGAGATGTCGAATGAGGGGAGACCGGTTGAGTTGCCTGCGAATGTGAGTCGTGAGTCATGATTCGAAAGGCTTAGGGGGATCTAAGAGGGAAAACGGGATTCTCGTCATTTTCCGGAGACGCATGTATCAAGGAGCCTGGATTTGTTTAGATTTATGCTAATAATGTGGTGGTATGATATCCTATGGGTGTCTTCGAACAAAGTGGGTGATAGTCGGATTTATTAGAGATGATCAACTCATACAATAGATCAGAAAATTTGATAGTACGACGTTGTTCCTGGTTCACGACTAAAAGATTGCTATACACAAGATAAACACAGGAAGTCTCTGGATTATGAGGCAACGTTCTGGCAGGTCCCGCCCAAGTCACCTTTTCAGCTAAAAGTGCTTATGACTCGCAATGTTTGTTGATACTCTTAGTAATTGCTTCATGCAGGTTTCCATATAAAATAATTATCTCAATATTGTTTGTTTGCGAGTGACTAATTACAATATACATTAGTTCCATGTATTCATGAGTACGATTGCCTCCACTTGCCCTTTTTTCTACTCGTTTTATAAGGTTAGCGGTCTAGGCATACATATTATCCCATTATCCTCAATGTCGTTGTCCAGATTATTTTTGCCATTATCTACTACTCTCATACCTCCTACGTGTCCTCGTTTATCTACGTTTATATTAACAATTGACCCATCATGGAGTAGGAAGTCATTTATGCCACAAAACCCGTTGACCCTCATATAATGGTACATTTTATTACTTATTTTAACGACCAATAGAACATTAAGATATGCATATTTCCGACAGTACATAATCTGGACACAAACAAAACAGGCGTTTGGATGAGAAGTGAGTATGCACCATACTAGATCTAACAACTCAAACGGAAATAGTGCATGCCAGTGGAAAATGATCCGTTCATCCTCATATTTCTGATTCTCTGGTTGCGAATTCTCACAAATATCAGCATCGCTCGTTCCGTCTACATAATCACCATCCTCAACCTCAATTCTCGCTTCTCTACGCAAACATGATGCTGACCAGGAGTGCTTCGAGAATACAACCATTTCGACTGGGCGACCTGCCTACGGATGTCTTCCTTCAAATCATAGCAAACGGACCGTTGCTTGTTGGCTGTTCTTATAATCTTCCTCCCCTATTACTTGCCTTGTTGGCAGAGCCAGAGCTCCATAAAATGGTAAGCTAATTCAATTCCAGAATAATATTGTATCTCTTTTACAAAATTTAATTTATATTATAGGCGTTAGAAGTCTACAAACGAGAAAACAGAACGTTCGCCATCAATACGCCCGACTTCCGCCAAAATCTTCGCAACTTATCGATATTCGAGCTCGATCAGATTCGTTGTATTCGATTCCTCTGGTCAGCGACTCACCAGGAAACCGATGTGAACCAACCGGTAAAAGGCGACAAGATAACCCTCCTCAACAGTCTAGTAAAAATTGTGTTTGTCTGTGGATTTGCCGATTGTGACTTCCTCACGCCGCCTTCGTGTGCAGCAAGTGCCCAAACCTTGGTCAATGCAAGTAGAAAGGGGTTGAGTGGGTGGAATTGGGGTTGCCAAATTCTGTGGTGCAAGAGCGACGTAAGAGACGTTTTGTCGCAGGAGCACAAGAAGGATTCCGTTTCCCATCCACGAAAACACAAGGAAGAGTTATGAAAGGGAAGACGAGAGGAACGATTTGGAAATGGGATGTACCGAGGTGGGCATGGTTGAATCCGAGGGCTGAAGTAATGACTAGCACGTCTAGAATGTTCTGAAGGTGTGAATTTGTTACAAGGCGGCTACTATGTACATACCAATGTCTTGTTGTTTGGTATGGCAATCATTCTGAGTCCGTCAGCGAGAAGTGAGGGATGCTCGCGGAGGACAAGACAAGTGGCAATCGAACACAATATTGACTCGACTAAGTTGACTAAATATTGTGTATTTAGTGTATTAATTTGGAACATTATCACTATTTCGTGAATCGTTTTAAGTAAATGAGATTTTTTAAGCTATTCGAAGTCGGCGTATTATTGAGTCCCGGATTAGTAGTAGGTGACTGACACTTATTTTGTCCTCCGGGAGGGGTGATTTACGTGCTCGGAAGCAGAGACGTATTTGAAAAATCCGGAAGTCTTAACTTTTGTCTCAAATATGGAGGGGTCTCTAGGTGAAAGATCGATAAATGCTGTACAAGTCGATGGCTCACACAACGGACTTTCCACATCTTGTTTGGATTCGATTTAAGGAAATTTAGACCTACATGAACGCCATGATTAATGAGCTGCTTTCGATCATGGATTACTGAAATGACAAATTCCACTGTTACATGGTATCGTGGGTCAACAGCATGGGCAATTTGGGTAAGTGACTACACCTCAGTAAGTAGTGGGGGCGATAAGTAATTGGCCAACTCTTTCTCAATTGAGTCATGTTAACCAAATTCGTTCAAACAAAAGGTTTTTGGAGCAGTATAAATAATGAGGCGGTGTGGGGAAGCGGCCTATAGCTCGCGCCAAATAGTAGTTATGATTGAACGAAACATTAGGCACAAAGATAAGTTAGGAAGCCAGTCGTTTTGACTTTCGCTTTTGCTAGTCTGGAGGTTTACACCAAAAACTTCACTTTATAATAATAGCAACTAAATCAAACCGGGCTCATTGAATGATTAAATTTTTCCATTTAATGTTACAGGTGTAGTGCTGGATTTCGGAGTTGTTACACATTGTGACGTCTGAGCGGAAGCACAATTTTGGGCCAAGGCCCACCCACGATAATTAGTTAATCCAAAGGAGCTAGCCAACGACTAGTAGTCCTCACTAATTATTAATATTTGACCGATGGAATAGGTAGATTGGTCAAAATCATAATTGGTGCGTAAAATCTTGCAGAGGTCAATTTAATAGCATCATAACATCAATAACGACAAATCACTAGAAATTAATTTGTAATTAAAACATCGCGCCCATTATATTCAGAACACAGGGAACTCTCATCGATAACTCTCATCGATAACGCTCAACCTTCGTCGAAGTACATTTATGATGTTTAACAGCTACCAGCAAATTTTGCTAAACCGCGTACTTCTGCATATGCCCCCTGAAATAAGCAACCAAATAACAGGAGATGCGTTCGAACCTCTGGGAATTCATGATGGCAACCACTTTTTAAACGCCCCAAGATCATGCAGCTCATCATCACTAGTAGAAGCGGCAAGTGAAGCCCTCAGATGCCCCTCCAGTTATATAAAAGACATGCAAGCTCATTTGTTCTCTAGGCTCTAACAAAATGGGAGAAGGAAAACAAAACGTTTATCGTGGACTCTGATAATTTTGAGCAAGAGATTCGGAAACTATCGCTTGATGAAATCAATAAAATTCGCTGCATTCGCTTCATCCGGAAGTCACCACCTGGCGACTATGAAAAGTCATGTATTCAAGCCAACAAGATCATTTTATCAAACAATTTGGCCAAGGTTGTTTTCATCTTTGAAGCTATGGATTCGCTCTCGTGGGAAAAGTGGGATTTACATTGGAGAAGTGTTTATCCATTCTTATGGATGGGAAGAGATATCAGAAGTGGAAAGACGACTGGAAAGGGAATCGCCAAGGTGGAAGTAGGTATTCAAGACGCCGTTAGCGAGCAAGAACGAACACACGATCTATACTCTCCAATGTCGCTGTCGCTGTTTGGAATCAAATGCATGGAGAGGACTGGAATAGTGGGTGGGAAAACAGGATCGATCTGGAGTTGGGAGATACCCGAGGAAAGGAGATGGCTTTCAGATGAAAACGCGAAGCTGTTCTATTAGCAGCACGTTCTGGCATAACCGCTTGAGGTGGACTGTCTCCTATATCTGCTATTCGCTACGTAGGACGATAGCATAGGAGGTCATAAGCACCAGTTATTGGCAAACCCACGAAGGAATTTGACATTTGGGAGAGGATTTGTTCGGAACTCGATGGATCAGAGCTATTGCACCCGGATACACCCTATTAAAGTTCTGGATTTAGGTTGATTTAGTAATTTCAGTTCAAAGTTGGTGTTACGAGGCCTCTTTGCGCAAGCTTCCAAAGCTGAGGGAAGCGGCGTGTTTTGTATTTGAGAAAGCCAAAACGTGCTTGACATGTCTGCCAACTGTTCGACGCGTTAGGTCAGTTGTCTTAATTGAAATAGCAATTGATGTATTCCGCCCTATCTCAAATTCATGAAGGCAAGTTATGAGGATAACGTACAGTGATCAGACATGCATGACTTTGTAGACAAAATAAGTGGCAGAACCCCTGACTCTTCTGTCAAATTAAGGGTCATTAACGGTCGATTAGTTTTATCATTTCATTGATAATTAGAAATAATTACCAATATTTATTTACCAATAAAATTACGCAGAATACACAGTATGTGGTCAACTCATTCGAAGAAGTGTTTGTTGATTTTGCCCATTTGCCAGGCAACCCACACCACAAACCTTCCCTTCATCGCTCCTTCCTTCTTTCCACAGTTCCTGCACAACAGATTACAAATCAAATCACCCAGCACAGGGCACTCCAGAAGTTTTGAGATCTTCTTACCCCTCTTTCTTTTTCTCATCTCGAGCAAAGGTGAAGTTCTTCGGTGCAAACGACCAACGACCACTCTTTTCCTCAGCAGACATGTCGTGCCCATCCGAGAACGTATTTCGACTTACTGATATGCCGAGAGAAATCTTTGTCGACATTGTCCAACGTGCTCTCCCACTTGCAGGAACCGACTTAGCTGCACCTGCACTCCTTCAGGCGCTGAAAATAAACACTGAGCTCTACGAAATAGTAAGTACTTCTGACATGATACGCTGCCGTACCAATCATGCTCACTGTATCTATAGGCCTCTGAAATTTACCACCAAGAGAATCGCACCTTTGTTGTTGGTTCTGCAACATTCGAGGATACGCGCAAGGAGCTCCGCCAGCTGTCTCTTCGCGAGCTTGACAGATTGAGATGCATTCGATTCGTGTGGACCTCATGCAGGGTGTACTCTCAACAGCTCGATCCTCTTCGAGCTAACAAGATTGTGCTGTTGAACAGTCTGACTAAAGTTGTTGTTGTGTTCCCTTTCGACGTTGTCTGCTCCGACTTCTTCCCCACCACCAGAAATGAGTTATTGTGGAATTATCAAGACCTGGAAATCCAACAATTTCATATGCGGGGCGTATGAAGGCAGAATGTACTGCACTTGGCTGGTGCAAGTCGAAAGTCCTTTCACACGGTAGAGCTGGGCCTCGAAGGATTGACAACTGATATGTTAGAAAACCGACAACTGGATCTGGGTCTTTCGAACCATCCAGCATTACGTACAAAAGAAATACAGTTCTCGGAGAAGCCGCACATCAAATACGAGATTGTCGGGGACACTTCAGGAGTCGTGGTCACTTGGGAGTTGGAAGAGACTTCAGGGAAGCTAGGACAAAGCGAATCGGAGAATACAAGTCGAAGTTATGGTCCTATTCTTGCGATCTCTGATCTGTCTCTGAACGGTTGAGTATTGAGCTTATACTATTGTTCTGGCGGTTTACGAATGGTCAAGTCATATTGTATGTGCGAGGCATTTGTACTTGGGTTGTGTGGAAATAAACGATGGAAATGTTGATGGAAATGTTGTACACTACTTGCTTGAATGATGACGAAATATGGAAAATAATGGATTGCTGTACACTACTATTCTGTGCCAAAAACATAGCATAGTAAGAAGACTAATACTTGAGGGTCACGGTCCCTGCGATACTTTATGTGCCATCATTCATCCGTAGCACTCATCAAGCACAGCATTTATTGGATTAGATTGACGAAATATAGTAACTTCGTCTACAACTTTCAGTAAATGTAAAGTTCATGGACTCTGAGCTCATTGAAGTAGTAAAAGACCTGATTTATGCTGCAGTGAAGAAATCGCAGTATTCTCTGTTGGTCTGCTCAATATAATGTTCTGGCGGCTGGCCACTTTCGCGGAGGACAAGATAAGTGTCAGTCACCTACTCACTAATTCTTAGACTGAATAAGTCGACTCCGAGTAGCTCAAATATTCTTTGTTTACTTGAAACAATTGACAGAATATGTGATAGTGTGCCAAATTGATCCGCTAAATATACGATATCTCGTCAGTTGGTTTGAGAAAATATCGTGTTCAACTGCCACTTTTTTTGTCCTTCGCGAGCCATTCCATGGGCTGAAACTGAGGTCAAAGGGAGGTTTTGTAATACTGTATAATAGCCTTCTCCGATCGATATCGAAAACCCTCCGCAACGACGTCCTTTTGGGTAGAAGAAAGGCCGAAATTATCAATAATACAGATAAGATCGTGGCAATTGTCATATGGCTCATCATGAAGGGCGGTCCTCACCCGGTATAAGCCGTGGTCTCAGTCCGTTCACGAATCGTTCTTTATCATGTATAGATGATTTCTTCTTGGTATACCAAGTCAATAAAAGTCCGGAATTTCGTCCCACTTCAACATTGTCTTCCATAAACGGCAGTTTGAGGAACCTCCTATCCGTTGGAGCAACTGGTGGACAAGATATCCATACCAGGATGTCTTCTCTACGCCGGTCTTCAAACAAGGTGTTTACGCCTTCGATACCTGATTCGACAGTCTTGATGCCCTCCTTGCTTGCACGACTCAAGAACTCTATGTTGGCTTGAATAATTGTAGGGTATTCAAATCTGTTCATCCCGTCGACTTGAGGTTGTGAATTATGAGTATCGATATAATATCTCGGTTCTGGATAGTTGAAGGCGAAAACGAAGACTACCTTGATAAGGTTGTTGCGCATGGTTATCTTTTTACCTCTAACAAGGTTCTGAAATGGCTTATCGGTCAAGCCGACGCTGTCAAAGTATGTCCAGACGAAGCGGATACAACGAATTTTGTCGAGTTCAGGAAACGATAATTTGCGAATGTCTTGCATAGCTTGAGGGTAGACGTTGCGGTTTACGCAAAACGTTCTGTTCTCCCGTTTATACATCTTTAAAGCCTATGCAGTTATTACAATTGGGAGCCATTGAATGACTGAGCAAAGGAAGCCACATACAATGCTGTAAAGTGTTGGGTGACGTGCCACTGCAAGTAACAGAGGTGGCGCATTAAAGCTGACGCCTACTAGTAGAGGCCCATTTTCGAAGATTTGAAATATGATTTCTTTCGGTAAATCGGCGAGCCGAAAAGAGTCGTAAGTTGATATGGTTGCTGTGGTTGGGAAAAAGAGGTTTCGAAGTAGCCGAAATGATTCGAGGAGATAACTAATAAGGAACCAGATCATGGCTTCGTATGTGGTTCGGTGCGTTGTAACGGATAAGCTCAATTCGCGTTTGAAACGTAGTTGTGGTCGAGAGTGTATTCTCAGCTTTTCATCGATTTTTTTCCGGGTAGCGCCGGACTCTGTTAAACATTTAATCACAGAAGAGCGGCCGATTCACTTCCAAAGAAGTGTCAGTCACCTACCCACTAATCTTGAACCAAATAATAAGGCGACTCGAGTAGAGCTTAAAAATCTTATTTACTTAAAACAATTGACGAAATAAGGATAATGTTCTAAAGTAATCCACTAAATATACGATATCTTGTCATCTTAATCGAAGAAATATTGTTTTCAACGACCACGTATTCTGTCCTCCGCGAGACAAGTCCCCCTTTCGACCTCGCTTAGAATCACGGAGTCGCAAGCTGCCAGAACATCATACTGAGCAGACCAATAACGAATAGTAATCACAGCGAACAGTACGAATGCTACAATTAAGCTGCCTTTAAATGATCATTATCGCAACTCCTGGCTTCAAGACTGTTGTGAAAGTTTAAGATTGATTGTCGACTTGATATACCGTAAGCACATGATTAGATATTTGACTTTACAGGATGGTGACCTGGTATGCTTTTCTATTCTGCTGCAACAATTAATGCTATATTGATATCTACTATTATCTAGTGAACTTTCAGAAATACATAAAATCACCTTTCAAACCTTGAATAAGCCCAAATATCCCCGCTACAGATCAATTCACTTGTCAACTGTCCTTCATCAACATTCACTTGAGGTGACAACTGCACCGGTTAAAATCCACGTCACGGTTTTACAAAATCGTATATTTTCTCTTGGAAAAAACTCTGTTCTTGAACAATCACGAAGCTGCTACTGCTGGTGCCGCAACAATGCGTTTCAGTGGCTTTTGACTAGCTTTTGACTCAGATACGAAGGGACACAATAATACCAAGAGCTGTTACGAAAACCAAAAGAGGTACTCTTTACCTGAATCCCGTCCGTTGGGCGGTCATGGCTGTCCAAGTTCAACCCCCCAAGCGGACAAGTGCGATACAAGCAGCCGTGAATATCCTCCGGCAAACAAACCCAGCCACCACAAATACAGGCCAAGATGACAGATCATTACCCAGAGAGACCTACCGCTCGACCGACGAAGTTCTTCTTAAAACCATATTCCTCACAAACAACACAGCAGAAGCACAGATGGAGGATATGAAAAAGCAGCTGGCTGTCCTGCAGATGGCAAAAAGGAAAATCGACGAACTCCTACCAACTCCGGCAGAAATCGAACTCAAAGAGCAGATGACGAAAAAGATTACTCTCTTGAGCTATCTCACGAATTTGGAGATGACTTTTATCAACAATGCGAAAGAATTTGCCATGTACCCTCCAGGCTACGCCCCACCCGATCTGTTGACGACGCGACGAACTTGGTTGATGCAACGCGCACACTACGAAAAGATATTGGAAGGACCGGGCATGTATATCGAGGATAGGAAATCAGAGATCTGTGGATCTGAAACATTTGCGACGTTCGTGGAAGAATATGAAGAAATTGTGTTTGGCGAGTGGCCGCTTTCTCTGCCTGAAGTCGAGTGGAGCTTCGTCGAACATCCTTGAGAATCTTATACTTTTCTGCTTGGATAAAATACAATACTTATGGCACAGAATCTTGGAGGTTTCTTCGGGGGGAGAGGAAAACAAAATTTGGAGGATCGGGTTGAATTGAGTTCGAATAAGACTGTGGCATGTTGCGATATGTGTGTCGGGCTGCTGCTAATCAGGTCGAAATAAAGTCAAAACTCCACCTCTGTGCTATCAAGAATATTGGAAATATGATTTTAATAAATGTTCTTTTCTTTTGTTTGAAGCTCTTGATTTGTACTGGAAACAATGATGAGATTGTAAGCATTGTGAAACTCATTTTAGGCAACCCCTCGATGAGAATAGAACTTAACTATTCCACTAGATCGTCCAGCCGCTCAAGTAACCACTTCATTATCAATGTATCGTGAGATATGACACTCGAGTGAAAGAGTTCGATCCAACAAAAGAGTTGCACTTGAAGCCCCAGCCCAGTCGTATCACTACGGCGACAGACTTTCTCTTGTGAGCAGAGTCGCCCTGTTGTCTTGAAGCAGCTTGAAACAGCGGCTTAATATAGTCGTTATTCCACCCCCAACACCCGTTGTTGTCTGAGACCGACGTTACTCACGCAAAGGTTCAAGTGTAGACCACATAGCTCTCCTCACGACTCTGCATGGCGTTGTAGTCAAGTCTTGCCAGTGTTCCCTTGCCAGCCCTTGACTCATTTCCATCTGCTCTGCAACGTTTCTTTCCAAATCCATGATAAGTTCGTTATTCAAATCTTGCCAGATGTCGCCGATTACATACTGTTCCTTCTTTGAGAGCATTGCGACCCAGTATGTCTGTCCAATGAAGTGGGGGTATCCATTAATCTGGGTCATCGGACCATGTCTCTGCAGAAGTGCATTAGGTGTGTACATAGTTGGATTCTGTTGTCGATGGGTCGGGAAATCGGGGATCTGAATTTGCTCAATCGCAAATGCCTCTTGGTGTATTCGATATCCTGAAATACCAGCTCCTTCCAAACAGCAGTGATCGCCAAAAATAAAGTGAACATACTCAAGATCGACCATGTTGAACATGTGTTGTGCAAAGAAACTAGAGTAAAACATTTTTGCATCCACGGCCAAAGCTCGAAGTCTCTCTGCAATGTGTCTCTGACCATTCAGAGCTACCAGAAACTCCTTCAATTTGGAAGGCAGACGATTAAGATTTTCCCTGTGATGATTTGTTTTTGGTCTGAAATGCTCAGAGTTTAGATATAGGGTATCGTGGTTGAAGTTAAAGTGGGTTTGGAAGAGGCAGACTGTAAGCGGAACAGTTTTCGTATCATTGTAAACCACTGGGTCGTATAGGGTTATAGTCGATACCTTTTTCGTGACATTGACAGGAACAGTAATCAGCTCAAAATATTTTTTGGCCATCGCACGAGATCCGCGATCCACGTGTAGGAGTGGTGGTACTGCTGCGTCGATAAAATACCGTTGTTTTGCCTTGCTCCATCGGACTTCAATGAGACGTCCTGGCTCATCTTCCAGGTAAGTCTTTAGTATCTTGTTTTGCAACTCCGCTGGAAGTTTCGGGAAATGGATGAAGGCTCCTTGTGCTGGTAGTGCTAGTGCAGAGGCCATTGTAATCGAACCTCTGCACAGCGAGAAAGATGTGGACCTGGTTGTTCTAGCTTATGTTAAAATTTAAATTCAGTCTGGACTCGAAGAATGGTAGGCTGAGCTTACTGTGTTTTGAAGATTTCCGATGTTGAGGCTGCTGTGATTTTGATGTAAACAGAACGGTAGGAAGAAGACCCATAAATAAGGGTAGGAAAACAGCAGCCGAGAAGTGAATAATAATAACACTCTAGTCTTCCAGGGTTACACTTTCTATCAATTACCTTTTGCGCCTATTATTTGGCATGTAAATGCATCCAAAGCAGATGTGTAGCAGTGGCATGAAATAGAACAGAGAGCTTATTCGAACCTGAATCCAGCACAAGTTATGTGAGGGAGAGAATCAGGAACCATGTTTCGATAGCCAACATTTATATGATGGCAATCGTTTTCATGGCATCTCTACAAGACAAGCATTGGCCCGGCCTTGCAAGCTTTCCGTGACATGGTGCATTCTTCAACGAGTTATTCGGGGGAATGTTTTTCTTTTTAGTTTCAATAGGGCCGTATTGCTGCAGAATACTGGAAAATCAAGTGAAGGACGAGTTCGATTGAAGGTGATGACCACTGGATGATTGGCAGCAGATTTTTAGAATGTTAATCTACTGTATGATACTGGGATTGGATAGCTCAGTGGCTTGTGATTCCCGGTAATATGAGTATAAGGCAGAAACATCGTCTAGATTGAATTACGATCTGGATAGTTCATGGCTATGTCGTCAATCCTTAAATGATACCTGTATGATGTTCAGCGGTGGGTCTCATAACTAAACGCACCCCTCCTTCTCTCACGCGAAATCCCTAATCCCTGCCAATGATTTTCAGGTACGAGAGCTCGGCCATCCCTTCTCGACCACCACACCGAATTTGTTCATGATCACATTTCTTTATGGGATCCGTACTGTTTTTTGACAAGCCTCGTTGCTTTGGAATCGATTCTAAACCCCTTCTGTGGTGTCTGATTGAGCGTATATATACGAAATGTACGTGCACAGCTTAGTTGGTAGGATAATTGCTGTTGCTACATTCTTGACTACAGCATCGGGAGGACTACTCCAACGAGAAGGTTAGTGTCCGAATGTCAAGAATTCGAATATGCCTCATGCTTTACTTTCCATACTGACATTATGTATTGGCAGATCCAAATCCTTGGGTTTCAGTTGACGCCAATGGTACCCCAGTCGCGACTATTACGCCCGTTCTCACAACCATCCATGGCGTAGCTACGACAATCAGCGCTGCTCCGGCGAGCTTGACAGCCAGTACCACAGATGAATTAGAGGATGAGGCTACGATGACCTCAGGGCCATTACCCACAGCGACTGGTGGCGGTTCATTCGAGGTGTGCTTTAACATGGACAAACAATATGCCCCGTTTTGCAAACCAGAAAATGGATCTGATGTTTACGTGGGGGAAACATATTATGGTATGCTACTACATCCAGGGACTGCGGCATGGAGCTAACTGAAAAGTTACTTGGGATACTCGTTTCTTCCCTGTCAAGAATGCAAGCGTTCTCGTCCAGGCAAACTACGTAAATACGAGTGGTGGAGTCCAAGCCTTCCAGTCCCCTCCGACAACCAATGCATATGGGTTTTATGCTTGGACAATTGATAAAGAATGGCTCAGAGGGAAAGGCTCGAATAACATCACACTATACATCGTACCGCTCAATCCTCTTGCCAACGAGCCAATGAGTTATTCAGGGCCAATCCTTCGAGTTACAAATCGCCCTCCAAATTACTACCGTCAGCCGTTGGCCAAGGCACCAAAGGGGCAGGATCTATATATTGCCCTTCCAGTTGTCTTTGGGTTCATTATACTCTGCCTTATTGGGGGGTTCTTCTGGAATAGGCATGCAAGAAGGATTGGCCTTGGCAATGTCATGGGCCGTCGTGGAGGTTATGGAGTCGGTAAGTCACGTAGGCAAAGACTTGGCTTGGGTAAGAAGAGATCAGAAGGAATACAGTTACGCGAGCAAGAGTTGAAGACCGGACCTCAATATACAGATAATCCGGATCGAAGAGGTCCACAGCATGCCAGGGCCGACTCAGATGCGCTAGGTAGTCTTGCTGGTACACCAACAGAAGAGAGAACAAACTATTTCGGCGACGAAATGGATCGCCAGCAGAATCATAGGCGTTGACGGGATACAGAGTAGGTCATTTGCATTCATTGGCGCTCGGCGTGTCTATACCCATTGCTTTCGTTGCTATATTTCGTGGTGATACCACCAACCAGGATTGCTACTCTTTTGTGGCACAATAGAATAGAGACTAGATAGCATGCTTAACATGAAATATATTTTACTACAAACTTGCATATATCGCGCTGAGTCTTCAATTCGGTTTCCGAAACTTCGTCCACTTATGCGTCTTCTCTTCGTACCCAACATCAGGACCCATATGACCTTCCTTCCAGCATCTAGCACAGTACAAATCCCCTTCACAGCCCAGACATTTCACCGTCGCATCATCCTGACAAATACTACACCAACTATCTATCTCCTGATCGCTGTACGTCTTCTTTTTCAACTCCACAGTCGGCTTAGTTGATGGTTTGAAAGTTGGAGCGGAAGGAAGACCCATCGAATCTGTGATTGTCGTTGGCGCCGAAGGAAGATTGAGTGGTGAGTTTGAGGTGGAGAGGGCTGCGAGACGTGAGGTGATGTCGTTGGTGAAGTCCGTGTCTTCTTTAGTTGGAGGCGTGGGGTGTGTGGAGGGTGCTGATGGTAAGGAGAAGCCGGTGTTCGTGTCATTATTAGCGGTAGCCGTCCCCTTAGACTTCTCTCCGGAGGTTTCGTCCTCTTCAACATCTCCCTCAACAGCTACTTCATCCATCAACTTCCTCACAATATCCTGAATCTCACGTGATTCGCCTTCTAAATTCTCTCCTCCACCTTGCTCTCCGTCCTGCTCCGGCTCTTCGACTTCACTGGTGAAAACACTCATATCCAGATCTCTAGTCAAATAGCCCTCCCCCATCCCGGTATCACCTCCACGAGGTCTTTCCTTCCCAGTCCCCTCAGCACGCTCAGAAGCAATGACTTCATCACGAGGTAAAGCAGCCCTAGCCTCATCAAGTAATTTCCTCACATCCGCCGGATCATCAGGATCAAGTTTCCACTGATCTTCTGGCCCTAAATCAGCAAGTAATTCTTCCAGAGTTTGATCATCGGTCATCAAAATCGGATCTTGCTCTTCTTCCTCGACCACCAGTTGAGGTTGCGGGGTTGGAGCTGGCGAACTACGTTTGGGAGCTGGTGACGACGAGGGTGATAAAGATCCATTTCTGAGACTTCGAAGACGGGAGGAGAGGTCTGTTTCTGGAGTTGATTCACGAGGCGTGATGGTTTGGCTGGATTTGTGTTAGTGGATCGTAGGATGAAGATGGTAGGGCTTTACGTTGGTGGATCTATTTGCACTTGGGATTTCTTGAGCGCATTTAGACGATCTAGGAGGTGTTGATCGTAGCTTGGCAGTCCAGACATTTTGGGGTTGTAAAATTGGTTTATAGTGATGAGTTGTGAAATATCACAAGGATAGTTATTCAGATAGCGGCATGCCAGCCAAGGCTGACCACAGCCTCGTAACAAAATTTGGCATTCGTAATTCTATCTATTCTCAACGCCACCTCAACAGCAAATGCCTTAAAATAGTGTTACTATGAATTCTTGATAGAGAATGAATTCCCAATAGCTTTCCGCAGACCTTGTAAGTTGTGCAAACCGTCCACCATTGGCTTGTGCAGGTGAACATAATTTTCTGAAGGAACCTGTTCTGCTATTCGTCAGCTTGTTCAACGAAGTAGAGGGTGATGGCAAAGAATAACAGAGGTATGATTCAGAGAGAAGATTATGCTGTTTCATCAAGACTGCAAGGTAACTCGAGACGTCCTTCCAGAGCGTTGCCGCTGAGGTAGTCATAGAGTTCCGCAGGTAAGACTAAGGATGACGATACGATGGTTCTCATCATTTGACCACAACGATATGATTTCCGAGAGATTTTACGTACCTGTCATTTCATTCTTCGTGAAGCGCTAGAAGCCTCCTAGCTTGGTGCTAGTTGTCGTATCGTTGAGTGTCTTTCATAAACAGCCCTTCGCGTGTATCTCTACCAGTTCTTTGTGGATCAATCGTCGTCGTAGGATATCTTTCTTCGTTGTGCAGCATGACTGGGAGCAGCCGTAGAATCGCCCTCCATATCGTCATACTGTAGGTCCTCAAGACCCGTTTCGACTTTATCCCATGTTCGTTTGCGCAGATCCGGCTTCACGTTGGCTTTAAAGAATCCCTTCTCGACCGGATTTTGCCTCTGCCTCTGACCTTTGTTCTTGTTCTTGTTCTTTTTCTTCTTCTTACTGGGCGGGGCCTGCGAAACTGTAGGCGATGGAGCAATTGGGCCTATGATAGGTCTATTTGTGTCCTCCATCTCCCCATCCTCTAATGCCTCATCCTCTAATACTTTATCATCTACACGATTTGAAGTTGTGTCATGATCCCCGAACTCCGTTGCTTCAACTGCATGTCGTCGTTCACGTAGCAGTGTTTCTATCTCAGAGTGTCGGAATATTTGTATCTGGAAAACGATTAGCGTTGTCGGAGCCGGGGCAAGATAAAGTACCAACCTGCTCATCAGTCAAGGTTCGCTTCACTCCATCAGCATAGTAGCCTAATCCGTCATCTTCCTCGTATATCTCCTCCTCAACAGGCCCTAGGAAATCATGCCCGAAATTTGTGACAGCTTCGGAGGAAAAGTGCAACGAGTGGAACGAGGATATTTCTTCCTGCCCAAGTTAGCATTGAACCTCACCAAAAGCAACACATATAAGCCAACCGGGGATATGTCAATAGATGCCATGTTGTGCGGTTGGAATCAGACTGAAGCTCTTCAACATCCGAAGGGTCAACAATAAAGCTGGTACGGTGACCCCACGACAGACCAGACCCGCAAACGCGTGATCACGTTTCTGAGTTGGAGATCTTTACCAGGCAGAGCACAATCATTAATTTGGTATTTTCTCATTCCCAAACCTCGATATCGATTGAAAAACAGTGGCTCTATACTCACAGGATTCCATGAGTATATTGTTGAAGATCAAATGAAGCAGTCGTCGGGCAATAGTATTAGTTAAATCTTTCGCTGGAGAAGCGCTATCTAGATGGGCAAAAGCAAATGGGTATAGCTAACTCCGTCCATCTTTAACTCGAAGGGATATGCTTCCTCCAGGTATTTAACCTCATTTTCCTAGTGATCCTCCATCTTTTCAGTGACCCGTCACATTCTCAGGGACGATCGTTCTAAGTAGCAAAGTGCGTGGATGTGATGAACATCATACTACAAAGCATCACAGCTAAGTGCAAGTAGAAAGGTATAATCATTTTGGAGCTCCGCTGCTTATGAGATCAATGGCGGATTGCAACACCGTATACACATGGGAATCTAAACTTCGGTAAGCAGACTATCAAACCACTTTCATTTTGAGGCAAACTTACAATGCTCATGCTTGGCCTGCAGAGTATCTTCTGACAACTGAACAAATCTTTCGCGAGTTTTCAGACTTGAACTTGTTAGAAATGGTAACAAAATAAAGCTGTAAAAAACATACCGTTTGAATGCCCTCTCGTTATCACGAGCACTGGCTCCAGCAGCCCAATTACCTGCTAGCTAAACACGAATACGTGAGTATTTTCAACCCATATGGTGTCATCAACTCACTCGACCATATGACTCCAAGTCGTTGAAATACTGTTTCTCCTCTTTATGGACTGCTTTCAATTCTTCCCGATACTTTCTTTCGATTTCCGCATAATCGAAATCTTCAAGTTCGACGCTGGTATCCTGAGGGACATTCCCATTTTTCTCATGGCCAGAAGTGGCTTGCTGTTCTTCAACCTCATAGGCTTCACTCGGCTCATCACGCTGCGCTGATTCCGGCTCTTGTTGAGTCAATTGCTCCACCTTTGCTGCTTTATGAGCTTGAGATGGTGGCCGCGAAACGGCGTTTTGCCGTAGCTGACTGGACTCAAGTTTGGTAACATGCTTGATAACATGATTCGGTTGCGTTCGAGGAAAGGCTAGCTTTCGTTGAGTTTGACTCGGAGATCTCTCGAGTTTTGGAATTTGGTTAGGCCGAGGTGTTGATGGCACTTGAACTTGGGCTTTGCCCAATCCGTTGCTTGAATCTTGGCTGGGTTCCATACCACCATCAACAGTTTTTGGAGACGATGTTAACTCCTGTTCTATATCAGAGCTTCCATCTTCGACATCTTCAGACAACTGCGAGGAGTCCTGTTGTGTTCCTGGTAGCGAACTGTCGTAATTCTGAGTCTGCTCAGGGGTCTCAGGCGGTGAGTCCATTTTAGCTCTTGGTTGGACAATACAGGGATGATAGTTGTGAGTTTGCAGGAAGAAAGTTGTTGTTGTTTGTTTGTTTTACTTCATCGTCAAGAGCTGTTTTGCCGCAACCTGATGTCCAAGTTGTTATCAATTAATGAATCATGAGTAGTCAAATCTTGGTGAAGTGTGATTGACTATTAACAGTATGGAGTTTCTCGTTGGAAAGAGTGAAGGAGAACAGACGCGACCACATCGCGTAAAAGTTTACCCGAATACATCCCGGGCACGTGGTGATTGCGGATGACTGCGACGCCAATGTATTGATAAGGATTGTCTCGAATTCGGCAGCCTTGTCAAAGACTCCCAAACAGTCTGATTCTCTCACCATGAGGTGACCCTGAATCACAAGCATCATTCCCCTAAATATAATATCCGCGACTCAGTATGCGCCTACCTACGAAGCCGATCTATTTTCCATTTAGCGATAACTTCGAGCCTCACCTCCTCCTTCACTGCAGCCCTAGAACCTCTACTAAGCAGCGACATGCAGTGTGATATTTGTTATCGAACCGGCGGATACAAGCTACCATTCCTATGTCCCGTCGATGCCCGAAATGAACTTTACCCGGCCCGTATTCGAAATGCTCAAATTCTACTTGAGAACGATTCACTCCAACAAGAGATCAACGATCTTGTTTCAAAGCCGCAGGGAGATGGATCTAAGACTACACCACATAAACCTGTATCTCGTTACGACATAGATTCGGCATCTAGTGATAGACTTATAGCTGTGGACCGGACGGAGCAGATCATCATAAAGGCGGACGAACTCAGAGCCAAGATTGAGAAAGCAAGAGAGGAGGTGGCTAAGAAGAAGGCCAGCATTGCTCGAAGGAAGTCCGAGTTGGCTTCGGCGACAAATGGTATTGAAGCGCGGAGAAGCAGGCAAATAGAGGAGGTTGAAAAGTCCATTCGAATGACCAAGTACAAATGGAACAAATTGCAAGGCACATTCGCCTCTTCAAGAACCTATCTTTGCGGGGAGGCTGCGAAGTTATACGGATTAAGGCGAAGAAGAAGTGCTGGTCAAGAAGAGTACCAGATAGGAAGAGTTGGAATCGTAGATTTGAGAGCATTGAATAGCAAGTTCATCCTACCAAGTAGATTTATCCAAGCTAACTTATGGCTCAAGCTGCGAGTCCTGCCCAGATATCAACTGCGCTGTCTCATGTTGTACACTTGCTGATGCTATGTATGCATTATCTCGCCATCCGGTTACCTGCTGAAATCATACTTCCACAGCCAGAACAGCCTTTGCCGACTATTTACCCATTACTCGCTTCCTACGTCCATAGACCTCAGACTTCTAGTAATACAAGCGGGCAAAATTCTAGTAGTTTAACGGGTTCTCGACATGAGCAGCCCACGCAGCCTCGCGCAAGACCTCTTCACATAACCAAGCCTCTCCCAATCCTTTACAATGAGGACCCAGTCGCTTATTCCCTCTTCATTGAAGGGGTTGTACTTCTTGCCTATAATATAGCGTGGGTGTGCAGAAGTCAAGGGGCTGACATTGGTGAAGAGGGGAATCTCGACGACGTTTGCGATATTGGGAAAAACCTCTACGCTCTTTTGTTGGCCCCAAAACCACGTTCTCAACCAAGCAGTCGTGTCTCTTCCAACAATTCCACACCCTCCAAGACCTCGAATAGAACAACCGACAATGAAGAAAAGAAATTTGCAACAGAACCTCTCATGGGGCGTTACTCTCACGGAACGACAACGAACTCTCTCAATAGTGCTGAAGGGACCGAATTCATCAAGAGCTGGAAACTCACTTCACCCCGCCACTTGACGGACACGTTGAAAGCGTTGCTAACAAACGAAGTTGCCAATAAGGAATGGGAAATCGTAGACGAGAACGCTTGGCGAGTTAATGATGAGCTGGGCGTTGATGGGGTGGTCATTGGGGCTACGAAGGAGGGGAGTAATATGCCAGCACACTTGGCAATGCAGCAAAGTTTCATGAGTTGTAGGACTGTGGTTGATGCTGTTGAAGTGGGTGGCCGTGTAGATGAACCTAAGATTCCTGGGACAAGTGGGTGGACGAAGTTGAAACCGAGATGATGTTTTGGATGAGGGATAGCACGACTGGATAAGTTGGACTTGGATGTGTTTTAGACGGTAGATTAGATTGGAGAAATTGAGTGTATCTGGATATCTAGCCTATGTAAGGTTCACACGTAGTACATTCACTAGATGTGGCTGTTCTCATTGGCATACAGAAGAAGAAGCTGGATGCCATCTAAGTATTTGAATTACATGCCAAACCCTTCCAGTGATTCTGCGACCGGCATAATAAGTCAATGAGAAACTGCTAATTACTCTTTTACTGATCAAATACCCACCATCTCCCAAAGATCAAGGTAGACTGAAGGAAATTTAGTGTGTACAAAAGAAGCACGCTCGCTAAGAAACTCGTACGGAGGTAGTAGGCATGATATGATCACAATCATTGATACAACCAACGCCCTGATAAGAGTCACCATGTGGCCAATTCAAAAATGCACATTCAACTGAAGTGATTGTATAGACCACTCACACACCCCTTCTTGCTCTACAACTCACAATTGAAGTGATTGATTGACGTCTTTTTGTTCGTACAACAACGACGTGACCGTAAGATATTCTCCGACCTTTTAACAAACTCCATCAAAGTAAAACACATGTAATTCTTTACGTAGACAAGGTCGCCTCGTCGCTAAGGATGATTACTTTGAAACGTTGCTAATCACAAAAGCAACCAACATTTACGTTAGAGAGGCCGCAAATTTGCTCGTGAATTCTCAACTCCTACTTGCCTACAGCAGGAGATGCATAAAGCTCCACGTATCTAAAGAGGCCTCACTCCCAAGGGCCGTCTCGGGCGAGAGGATGTAAAACGGCCACGAATTAATCCCGCTGGTCTTGCTGTAACACGCATCTCGACTGACATCAACGATACACCAAACACCTTCCAGATCACTTGATCGTCACACCACCAACAAAGTGCCAACACCGGCAGTAACTCGCGAGGTCCAGTAACACAGCTAAAATCCCGAATGACGACTTCCGCGCGTTCAAAAAGTAAAAAGAGGTGATCAACACAACCGCACAACGTGGACGAGTAACAACCGACGAAGCATGTAAGCGCTTCTGTCCAACCAGCACTCGACACGACCTGCCTCGAGCAACGAGCCGTCTGACCGTTGATGGAGCGGTCTTTTTCTGGAAACCGCCAACTTGGCAACGGCGCGTATCAGAAACGCAGGACAAATGCTATTCACGACTCGATTTGAGGTCAAGTCATGGTCGCTGATCAACGGCCACCGAACAAAAGGATGTCGTGAGATGACTCGCAATACAAAAGCGGATGAAACAAAAACAAAGAGCGCTTGTTGCTGGCAAGGAAGAGATTGTTGCGGTAAGCAGGAGGATTCACAACCAACAGATGACAGATGCAGGGCAGACTTGCCCTGTGCCGAACGGTACCTGCCTTTTGGCTGCAGGAACCGCCTTTTGAAAAACAATCATCGCGATCATGGGAATTATGCAGCTGGACACTCACCGATTGGTACAGCATGCGGTATGAAGAGTCATGATCTCACTTATCTTTGCTCCAATTGGCCAACATCCTCTTTTAAATTGCACGGCAGAGAAGAAATATCGCAAAAACTTGGTGTTGTGACATAAATGTTGCTGCAGCATAAAATCTCTTTCTGCACAACTTGAGAAATTATCCCAGCAAAAGTCTAGAATCTTGCACATCACCATCGCCCCAGATTATCTCCTCCCTTGGATTGGAGAGCGAAGTACCGAGTCCCCACGAAGTTCTTTTGAACGGCCTAACGCCTGTGAATCTTACGCGTCTCCGAAAACTGGTGGGAATTTCCCACAATTATGTTTCTTGATGACTCGGACTTGTTTCTCGGGATCTGATAGTGGCCAGCACGTGCTTCTTGAGGGTGCGCGCAGCTTAGGTTAACGCCCTGATCTCCGATAGTTCGTGCCACTGTTTGAAGAAGTGGACAGAGTCCAGAGCCAGAGGACCAGAACGCACCAAGGCCCGTGGCCGACACTAAATAAAAAGAACCGTGGCTGTAAATTCGATAATGGAATTGACTAACGATATGATTCGCTAGAAATTCCTTTGAAACAAAAGCGACCATTTTTGGACCTGACGCCCAAGAACAGATGTTTTGAATATGCGGTTGATGGCTGCCCTCAGGCCGAAGATCTTTTGCTTCACACGACGCAGACTTCGTCCACGCCACGCTCCTTACGAGTAGAGCGATTGAAAGAGAGTCGCTTCCTGAATAACAACAGCCGAGATTCATGAAGCGAGGTCTCTGAAAGGATTCATGAGATTTGAAGCAACAAGAAGGTCTCTTTGTCGCTTCGAAATTGGACTCTGTCAAACATTGCTGCGAATCATGCTATTGGCTGGCCGTGAAAAAACATAGAATTGCCATGTTGGCTAAAAGAATCGCTCATCTTGTAAACATCGGATTGGGCTATGGCTGTGCTGTTCCCCCGTCAATTCAACCAGTTAGCTTACTTGTTTTCAGATGCCCTTGAGGAAACTGCTCAGGCACGCTTTGTGAGTGGTGGCCGGAGTCCGAGAATGAGCTGAACCATGTCGATGTTCCCCTTGGTGCCCTGGCATGAGTGTCTCCGCTGTCAACCCGATTCATCTTCCCGCAAATGAATCGACCCACACCACCATCAGTTGGGGCCACCCTTCGTTTGTTACTTGAGAGCGGCCATCCCTTCGCGCCGCCTTTCTTCCACTCCTTCTCAACTTCATCATAAGAATCTCAGATCCGGTTGGAAGTCGTTCCCTTCGAAACTCTCGTTTCTCACACTTTGAGCAATACATCGCTCCCACACTCCTTTAAACCAACGGCCTGCATTCAACGATTTCTATCCTTCAACAACAATTTTCAGCTCCCAATATACCCCGATACAACGAATTCAAAAGGAAATTACACAGTATCTTCAATATGGTTCACTTCACAGCTACTGCCCTCTTTGTGGCAGCTCTTAGCCTCAGCGAAGTCATGGCTGGCCCAACCCACCTTCATCTCCATCAGCGCGCTCACCAAAAGAAAGAGTAAGCAAAGACAGAACGCGAAAATAGGGGAAGAATGCTGACGGAATGGATAGTGTTGACTACAGCACCATCGATTACTCCAAGTTGGATGTTGACTGGGACGCTGCCTACGCTGCTGGTCAAGCATCCAAGGCAAGTGCCGCTGTAGCAGCCACACCAGCTGCTTCACCTGCTGGCGCCGTTTTCGCGGCGAAGGTAGGCACCAAGGTCAGCTCTGCTGTCGCAGCAGCGACCTCTGCTGTCAAGTCGTCCGGATCATCATCTGGTCTTCTCGGTGGTGTCGTCGGATGCTCAAACGACCGCACATCATTCGGAGGTCTTTCCACCAAAGCCTACGCTGTCGGTGACCACGCCATCAACAACGTGGGAATTCCATACGGTGCCAACATCATCAAAGTCGACTCGATCGAAGGATACGATTTCACCAACACCTTCGTCAACACCCAGCAGGTGCCAATCACCGTCAACGTATGGAACAAGGTTGGAGAGGATGGACAAGACCTCTCTGGATCCACCGATGCGCCAAAGAAGACCACCCTCACTTTCGTCTTGGCTCCAGGAGCTTCGCAAATCATTGCCGTCCAGGAGAACTCCAACATTGGTTTCGCTCAAGCAACCACCAAGCTCCGAGCCGACAGCGGTGGCTTCGATACCAGCTTCGGAGAGATCACCTTCTTGGCCAAGGGCAGCGGATATAACCTTTCTGCAATCCCAAACACCGCTGGCAACACATACAACATGTCCATCAGCAGCGTTGAAGCACCGCAATGCACCAGCGACATGAACAACAACTTCTGGTTGACTGCCACTCAGCCGATCGGAACCAGCGACGGAAGCTGCTACATTGCCCAGAGCACAGCACACTTGACCACGACTATGGGAGGAAACATATAAATCATGTTATTGCGATTTCATGTTTCGATTTGTGGATATTTAACTTCTTGGATATAGTAGTGTAATTTCAAATACTTTTACCCCATGAGTCGTCATCACTTGATTGAGAGTGCGTTGGCGTTTTGCGAATTGGATAGGTGACGCGGAGTAGAATGATAGGAATGTATATTGAATAACCATCACTGTGTTGATCGATCATCTGCATATCCACTTGGATTGTGAGTGCGTCGAAGAAGTTGTGACTCTGCTCAAGAAGTTGGTGGTCGGCTCTGTAATCAAAGATCGATCGACAACTTCTTGCGATGCAGTCATATTGAGATGTTTGATAGTCGGATCTTGTTTTATCGTTTGGTGAATCGGTTTGTGTTGAGAAGGGCCGAACTCTAAGTTGTTGCTCCTCGTTACCCCTCGCCTCTGTTTTCCATCCTGGGATGTTTGCATTCGTCTCTGACAGCGTTCCTTCCCAAAACATTCGAAGACATTTGTCTATCGCCAATTTTCTTCCTTTCTGTCCCTATCAAGAAAAGTTCAATTTGTACACAAACAAACATTCATCCACACTCGTTCTCCACGCTCTTTCGACCTCTCTCAGAAGTTTTACTGCAACTACACCATTTTCATCGCAGTATCGCTACTTGCTCCTTACCTACCTCCCGCTCGATTCAGTCTGCGCGATCGCAAACCGAGATAGAGCTTCCTACGAAAATTTCCTTCTTTTCGTTACGCTCTTTATGTTAGTTATGCATGTTAAGCGTGCCGTGGTTGGCATCGTTTTGACCTCGGTTGCTGTTGTTCAAGGCGATCTATGTGGTCAAGGTTCTACAAATGTCGGCGGAAATGTGTATTGTCAAGCCGTAAAGGCTATTCGATATGATAAAGTTGGGGCTGCCGGATCATATAAGGACATCGTCAACATGGCACCAGACGGTACTTGCACATCCCAGCCGAAGCAATTCAGTGGTGCCCTATCTCCTCTTGACGAGGAGGTAAGTCTTTCGTTCAACTTCTTGGTTAGTAGGAATGCGGTCTGACCTCTCGCAGTTATCTCTTCATTTTCGTGGACCTATTCATTTGAAGCAGATTGCCGTATATAACTTGTCGACTACTGTTCCTGGGAAACGCTCGGCATCAATCGCGCAACGACGGCATCAGCATCATCTGTTTCATAAAACTAGAGAACCGGCAGAAGTCGTAGATGGTGATAAAGAGAAGCGCCAGTATGTTACTGCTACGATTGACGGCAAGGTGGTGTCTTGGTTGAACAACTACTCGGGAACGCCTGTTGCACCCGCTGCGTCTCAGAATCCAGTAATAGTCACTGCGACTATCAACGGTCAAGTCGTTTCTTGGACGAATAACTGGTTTGGGCCATCTACGCCCCCTTCCACAACTCCCGCATCTCCTGCAGCCTTGTCGGCTACTAGACAAGCCAGCACATCAATATTATCTACGTCCAGACAAACATCCTACACCACTTTCACCCGTACGGCTACCACCACCGCTGTACCTTCGGCTCAGCCAGCAGGAGCTTGTTCGTGTGCCCACTGACCTTTCCTTCAAATCATCACTGCTAATTGCTATCAGATTCAGTTCCAGTGCCTCAAGTTGCACCACCTCCTGCTCCAATTCCTGTTGCACCTGCGTCTCTGTCTTTGGCGCCTGCTCCGGCAGAAAATGCAAAACCAGAACAACCCCACGCTACTCCTTCCTCGCAGCCAGCAGCTGGTAATTCCGGATCGGGGGTCTATCAAAGAATCGGCTACTATAACTCTGCCACACAGACACTAAAAAATTTGGTCTTTTTGGGGAATTATGGTGGTGAATCGGGTAGCTCAGGTGTTTTTGATTTGTACTCGTCCACTATGTGTGTTTGTTGATGGGAGCTAATGTTTTCTAGCCATTACGGAGCTTCTTTAGCATATACCGGTACAGACGGTTGTCATGGCGCGACTTCACCTCAAATACTCTCAGATAAGGTCATTCCTTCGGACAAAGAAATCATTGTCATGCTTGGTGAAAAATGCGCCGAGAATAGCGCTTGTGGTTATACTCGTCCGGGGACAGTTGCGCACCGTAGGTTTTGCCGCTCCCAACCGATGAGAAATGTGCGATGGATTGGACACTGATATCAAGCAGATGGCTTCGCTGGTGCCGATAAATTGTTCTTGATGGAGTTTTCCATGCCTGCTGACGGCACGTCTGGATTTAATGGTGACATGCCAGCTGTTGTAAGTACTCAATTCGTGCTAGACGGAGGCCAAAAGTTAATGAAGTTCTTAGTGGCTTCTTAATGCAAAAATCCCACGTACCCTTCAGTATGGAAACCCGGAGTGCTCATGCTGGAAGTCGGGTTGTGGAGAGTTTGACGTTGCCGAAGCTCTCCACAGTGGGTCGAAGTTTCTTAAATCTACTCTACATACCAACAAGCCTACTGGGGATTCTGACTACATTATGCGGCCGACCGATAAGCCCTTGAAGCTTGCTGTTATATTCAAATCAGCTAATGCCGGAATTCAAATTGAAGTACTACCGGATAGTACCGAATTCAAAACGCGTTTGACAACTGATGAGATTGATACACTTTGTAACTCTATTAATGAAAAGGCTGTATCTCATGTGTAAGTGTTGGCCAACTGTTGTTGAGCCGAAGCATTACTATACTGGGTTACGAAGGGGATTCGGTGGACCATGCTTGGGCTTTTCCAAGTTTTGGTGACCATGCTACACTCTAAAAAGGGCGTGGATACTGGGAGTTTTCTAGTAACGTCTGTCGCTCAATCGGAAGCAACACCGCATGATGGAGTTATCTCGAGATACCGCTTTTGAGATCAATGATTAGACATGGATCTCGTCTCTATAGATTGTAGGTTAATGACGAAATTGAAATTGTCAATCCTTTGGCCCGGATGTTCTATTATCGCTTTGCGTACTTTTAGTACGGGGACGTAGTCGAGATGATCGCCTTTCTAGGACTTCTTGTTTCTTATGCATTCACTTCGGGCCTTTTGACCCGAAGCACGCGATTAATAACTCTGTAAGATGAACAAACATAGAGAAATAACAGTTTCGGCACGATCAGTCGACCAACTCATTCACACTCTTAGAGATCTATCTAATCTCTAAAGCCGCCTCCCTTCAGTGCCTCGTGGATCTTGATGGACCCGCACCAGCCCTGATCGTCGTCGAAATGATCTCTGCCAAAGCCGCTAGAAGTATCTAGTGACACGACGCACCTTGGTGAGTTCAGAAAAGAGGAGGATCTCGTCCACGTACTAATGATATATGTGACGGATTATGGCACGTAGTTTATGAGCCAGATCTCAAGTCCTCAATATATAAGTAACTGTTCCTGTTTATCTTCCAGGTTCGAGAAACGATGTCTTTGGTGATGATCTGCTACTGACTTGAGGTTTCGAAGTCCAAGCCCACCCCAGCAAGAATACCAATACCCATCCTCCAACTGCAGCCTCGAAAACGAATCTTTCTAGCGAAATTGCTGCTCACCGCTCGACCTTGTTTGTTCTAATGAAGTCTCGGATAAATTTAAATGCATGTTGGAGCAAGGTCCTTGGCTGGCGAAGTGCAACTAACAACAAACTCACATGATCCAACACATTTGCAACATGCAGACCACCTACCTGTGATGATCTCCTTAACCACTCTCGTTTCTAGTCGTAGCATGCTTGTTTTGGGGGCTATTTTATCTCCCCTCGATGTTATGTTCAGCGCGACCCTCAGGTAGTTCGTTTCATGCAAGATGATGGGCTCAATCGCTGCCATTAGCACAGCAATCGTAACAACGTTGGTATATCTAATCCATACAACATATCACCACCGCTCCAAGATCAATGCCTTGAGAAGGAATGGAATGGTAAGTTGCAGTTATTCTCTGGAAAGCTTAAATGCCAGAGAACCTCTCTCACAACCGTCATTCTGACAAGAATTCTAGCCAATGCCCAAAGGCTGGAATTGGTTTACAGGTCATCTCCTAACCCTACAAGAATACGTCGACAAGCTCCCACCCGATGCAAATGTCAACCTCGCTATGAACGACCTCGCACTCGAATTTGCCGACACGGAAGTGTTCTTGATGGATTTCTGGCCCGTGTACCCCGCGCTTCTCATGGTTTATGATCCCGATACCGCTGTTCAGATATCGACCAAGTACAATTTACCAAAAACTGATATGCACTTGCAGTTTATGAAACCCATTACGGGTGGCCCGAACCTTGTCTCCATGAGTGGCCTAGAATGGAAGTTTTGGAGAACTCTTTTTAATCCGGGATTCAGTTCAAGTGCCATGATGGATAATGTGCCTCATATTGTCAATTTTGTGCAGGTGTTTTGTGATAAACTAAAAGAAAACGCTGGGAGAGGAATGTTATTGCTGGATGGTTTGACGACGAGATTGACGATGGATGTAATTATCAAATTGACACTGTGAGTGCCCGTTGAACTGTCTAATACCCCCGAGCTGATTGTAGTCAGCGACGCAGATCTCGATTACCAACGCTCAGAGAATGCGCTTGCTACTTCACTGGGCTACATAACAAGATGGCATTCCTTCTGGGACCCTCGAATCTTAATGCACCCGCTTCGACCATTCATTCAGAAGTATCATGGCAGAGTGATGGATAATTACATACAAAACGAACTCGATCAAAGATTTTCTGAGATAAGAGCGAGGTTTAATGATCCCGATGCCGAACAGTCAAATGCTACAAAGTCTGTCATAACCCTAGCAATCGAGTCATACATTCAAGAAAACAAGAGCAACGACCTGATGCAGAAACCAAAACTCGACAGTCACTTTGCGAAGTATGCCACCCACCAAATTCGACTCTTTCTATTTGCAGGAAATGACACCACGTCCTCGACTATTGTCTACGTTTATCATCTTCTCTCTCAGCACCCGGAGGCTCTCAAATCTCTGCGAAAAGAGCACGACGATGTATTTGGGACCGACATATTTGGGACCGACATCAACCAAACCGCAAAACTTCTGAGAGAACAGCCCACACTCCTGAACAAATGTCCGTTCACACTAGCCGTCATAAAAGAAACACTTCGTCTCTGCCCACCAGCAGCAACGATGCGTGCCGGCCAACCAGGCGTCAAAGTCACAGACCGCCACGGAAATTGCTACCCAATGGACTACGTCGGCGCCACCCTTCTTCATCCTGCGATTCATCGTAATCCTCGTGTCTGGCCTCTCCCAAATGACTTCCTACCAGAGCGCTTTCTAGTAGACCCAGGCCATGAACTCTATCCCAACCCTGCTGCGTACCGTCCGTTCGAGCAAGGACCGAGGAATTGTATCGGGCAGACGTTGGTGTATAATGAGATTCGTATTGTTATGATCATGACGGTAAGGATGTTTGATGTTAAGCCGGCGTATGAGGAGTGGGATGCGATGAGGGAACGAGAAATAGGTGTGTTAGGTCGTTTTAAGAAAAGTGTTTTTGGAGAACCGGTAAAGACAGTTCGTGGGGATAGAGCCTATCAGACTGAGAAAGCTGGGACGCATCCTGCTGACGGGTATCCTTGTCGTATTTCTTTGCGTGGTGGTGGGGGTGGTGAGATGGAATAGGGGGGAGGATATTTCTCGCTTAAAAAGGGGATGGTGTGGGCCAAGATGGTTATTTCGAGCAGATCTATGGTTCGGGTTCAGTTCAAGTGGATGCATTTCAAGACAATATAAAATCGAAATGAATCTGGGTATCTGAATCTCCTTCTGTGTTCTTCTTCTGTTGAATAGATGATTTCGATGTGAATTTTTAACTTACTTAAATCAATAAAAAAAACATGCGCCTTCTTTCTGATTCTTTAACACAAACAAAGTTAAAATAACCCTTGTATTTCAATACTTCCGCTTAATTTTGAAACGTATAGAACTATGGTATAACTTGAAATCGGTCTGAACTTTTGAAGAGTCGAGACGCCAATTTTAGTGACAACATGGAATCCGGCAACAACTCCCTAGCAAAGATAGGAAACTGAAAATAAATCGAGCGCCACTCAAAGTCCGAGCCACGGAAGTTCATAATTTCCAAGCTCGACACTGCTCTTGAAGTGAGTCGCGCGTCCCTGAGTCTACACTCTAGAAGGCAGCAAATTGCAGTGGGTCGACAATGTTGTGAGCATTCGCTAGAGTTCTCCGATCTCAGATGTAAAACTTCCTATATTTATTTCAAGGTACAAAGAAATATATTAAAACATATTAGTATTATAGAACTTATAAAGAAGTTAGCAATCCCGAGAATCGACAACTAGGGAGAAATCTTCAAGACAATCGTAGAGCTTTTATATAAACATTATAGAGCTAATATAAATGCACCTAGTCTCCTTCAAACTGTTTCTACGGCTTTTCTAATTTTTATCCATTGCAAAATCTCTTTCCGTCAATAAGATACCTTCAAGAGTTTTACCAAGATGTGTATACTCTATACTACTGCCATCTCCTCGGACGTTTGACACAAATTCTTGGAAGAATTTGACTGGATTGTCCCGTGGAGCTGCACGCAAAACAGTGCTCGTAGCTACTTTTTCTGGTTGTTGGATGATGGAAACAGCACCCGTATCTTCAATTTGGTAGGGCACACCCAAAAACTTGCATGTTTCTCTGTAATGTTTGACTGAACTGAAGTACAGCTGACCAGAGAATAGATTGAGTTGAACGATCGAGCGTATGGGCAGAGTATTAGCATATAACGGTGTACCAATGGTATAGAGGTCCAAATTATCTAGGGGGCGAAAGCCGAGATTTAATCGTCGAGAGTACAAGTGAAGAGTGACGAGCTTCAAGCTCATGATGTAAGTGAAGAGCTGTTGGGCCTCGTATGGACTGATAATGACCATATGTTGGACCTGTTTCCCAACCTTGCTTGTGAGTATAAATTGAACTGGTCGATAGAATGTGGTAATATCTTCGAACTCCGTCAAAGTCGGGTTTTGAGGCACAACCGTTCTCGCGAAGTCGGCTGTGACAAAAATATCTTGAGTGAATCGTGTTACATCGTAGTACTGTGCAGCTGCAGTAGATGCGAGAGTGTTAAAGGCTGGCTGAAAAGCAGGCGAATTTGTGTTTAGGATTCCTGTTTGTACGAATGACTTGACATCTTCGTGAACCTTGTGGTACTGCGGTTTGGCCGATCTGAGATTCATTTCACGTTGGGCCTCGCGAAAATCAAACTCCCGCGATCTTTCGCGTTCTTGTTCTTCTCGTAAGGTTACGGTATTGAATCCATGGCTATCGAATGCGGCGCATCTGTCAAGGATCTGTTTCAAGTTCTTATTTCTTACAGAGTCCCGGCGAAAGGCTTTTTCCTCTGTTGCCGTTCGTGGTCGGTATCGGAGCTTTAGCGATAGGGCCTCTACTTCCATGAACTTCTTAGCCTGTTGTTCTCTTAAGCCAAAGCCTGCGCTGCTTTCATTCCAGAAAGGTTTCTGCGTCTCAAATCGTCGTCCCTGTATGGCCCACAGGGGCATGTTATTTCGGAGATCTAGGCAGGTTTCCGCGATGGTCCATTCCAGAACATGGCCAACCATAAGCTCCGGAGAACTCGTTTTCGTCACAGTTCGAATGGTCCTTTCGATTTCCTCCGGCATGAGAAAGACAACCGACTGGCCGTTCCCAAGTTTTCGCATCCTCATGCATGCTATTAACTATTAGTAAGTACTCTACCATAGTTCGAGCTAAGGTTTAACATACCCTGTACCAACTTATCTTTAGTGAGTCCGGGTCCCAGGGTGATTGCAGCCCTATAGTCCGATGGTAACTTGAGATCGATACCACGTGTGTGTGACTCGTCGAGAAACACTAAACAGGACTCAAGATAGCGAGCTAACGGAGACACTTGCAAAGGTTCGATGAGGCCCTCTCTGTCTATTACACAAAGCGTGTCATAGTCATCAGCGAAAACAGCACCGTGTGTCCGACGCTCCTCCGTGTCTGGAACCATCTGGAGCCAAGCTCGTGCTACTTCGAGGTTACTAAGCTCAAGAATTTGAGCTCCAACGTCTAAAATCACTCTGGTTGGAGGATCCAGCCCTACTACCAGCGATAAGATCACCTGTGCGTCCGAGACTATCAAGTCCTCTGAATGGAAAACGGGTTGCACAGAATTCTCGGGGCGTAAAAGATTCTCTAGAACGAGGGCGTTGGTATGTCCTGTTTCTGGCGAGTTCAACTGCTCCACAGTGACCGGTAGAAGATGACGTGAATCGTTAGTACCGCTGAAGCCGGTTGTGACATTGGATTTGAGCTGACCAAGATCCCAACCGGACGCTGACAGTTTACTGGGGAACTCTTTCATCTCCGCCGGAAAGACAGTATTTACTAGAAAGTAATCAATGGCGCCTTTTGAATATCGAAGCCCCGGGAAGAGAGATTCAGTGCACTGTTCTGTGTCCTCTATATTTACACCCGTCAAATTGTGGAAAGAACCCGCTAGTTTCGGTGCAGTTCTAACCCACTCTCTATATCTATCTCCAGGCTGGTGGGATTTGAGCAGATGTTTGAAGGTTATAAATAAATCATCGTCGCTCAAACCACCGTAATAGTAGCTCAGGCTTGTGATGATCAAATTGACCTCAGGATGACTGAACTCCGACCTGGCGCTGGGTTTATCTTTTGCTTGGTAAGGAACAGCCAGCTGCGTCTGAGGTCGTCGTTTCGGATCCAAGCCATAATTCACTCTCCAGCGTTTTGATCCCAGCACAAACTGGAGAACACCATTAGCCAAGAGACCACGTGCAACCAGCAGCAGTCCTTTGGTAGTAGAGTCAGTCCAGATCGGACTTTTCTCTACAGAAGAAATTTCTTCGGTAGAAATCTCAGCCTTTGAGATATAAGCAAAGATGCTCTGCCGCAATTCAGGAGACCGGCCAGCAATTACTAGGCCAGGAACCCCCATGTCACATATTGCATGTGCCATTTGATCCAAGAACATCGCGTGGGCATCAGGCTGGAATATTCTGATCTTCGGGAAGCGCTCTTCATGCCTGTCATCCACCTCGATGGACCGAGGAAGCTTATCTTTCACTTTCCATGCCACATGTGCGACCAAATCCAATACCCGATGAATGAGCTTCCACCTTTTAACACCTAGCTCCATTGTCACCTGTTGACCAAGCGAGTATATTAATTCTATTTTTACTCCAAAATTTTCGTCGCTTTCGTCGACAATGTCCCTAGAGTGGGATCTGAAGAAATGCTGGATATCAAGCAAAGCACGACCAACAGACTCCTTTTTAGCAATCATCTGCTCGAGGCCCATCAGCTGAAACGAGAGGATATGCTCAGGCTGAATAAGAAGGATGCCGCCAACCTTCTCGCACTCTTTGTACATTGAGTGCATGGTCTGAATCTGCTTTACGTCCAGTTGAGAGGCACGAGAAAACGGCATCTGATACAGTCGGCGATTGACGAGGCCACCTAGTTTGGAAACTAGCATCTCAAACATTTGGCTTGATTGTGGTTTTGCAACTACAACTCGTACGAGTCGCGATCCGTTGGCTAGTGCGAGAGCGACTATAGGGACAATAACAGCTGATTTGCCTTCGCCCATGTTTAGTTGCATGACTGCGTTGTTCGAAGTCGACGGTTTAATCATACGCTGCGCAGTCATTCCTTGTACCTCGCGAATAACGATGCCGCTCTCAATTTCCACAAGGAGCCACTCCGGATGCTGCTCTGGGTTCCAACCATTATGCGGAACATTGATGAGCTCTTTGAGGAAATCAACGTGACTCGTATCACCTCCGTATCCAGATAGCCTTTCAGCCCTCTGTAGTTCCACCACTGCGTTAGCATAATTCAGAAATCGATGGCGCCAGCTGTCCGAGATTCTATCCCACCGAGTGCGTGTCAGCTGCTGAAGAAACACCACACGCGATACTCGTGGCGATGCATGAAGCAAAGCTCCAGGATCCATGCCAAGCGCGGCCGCAGAAAGATTTGAACATAAATCAGTGATCGAGGTGTGAAGTTCGTTGACACGATTTTGGCTGTGGGTAAGATTCTCGTCCAACTTTTGTTTCATTTCGTCTTCGTTGAACGAAACAGCAGATTCATTCTCATAAGACTTTAGGAGGCTCAGACTACGCGTCAAGTCCTCAATATAATGCTGTTCGCTGCTAGTTTTAGGTGAACTCTGAAGCTGGGCAATGAAGCTTGGAAGCCTTAGGTCCGGGTATTTTCGCTGGCCACGATGCATCAAGGAGCGTGGCAGATCGAACGGATCGCGCAAAGAGTTCGGTACTAAAGGAATTGTATGCTTGAAGAATCCTTCTGTGCCGAGAAAAGTCTTTGCTTTGATAGCATTCGTGCCGGTGGTCGCAGTGTATATGCTTGGGACCTTGATTGGGACGACAGGCAATGCCGATAAACCGACTACCAAACTTTGCAAATATTTCCGAAATTGAAGATTGTCGTACCAAGACTCAAATAGAGGCCGAACACTTTCCATCGAATTTTCGACGATAAAGTAACTCTCAAGACGCCAGCCACTTGAAGTGTTTGGAGCGTTTGGAATGGCACAAGGCCATTGACTCGTAAGAATCGACTCGAATCGTTCCACATGTTTGCTATCTTTAGCCTCGAACTTTCTTTTTTTATCAGAGAACAAGTTTTCTGACCGGACCTTTGCGGCTTGGGATGCCCATTTGGGAGACCGATTGGCCCGAATGGTCGTTTGGAGTAAGTGGGAATCTGGAGCATAGCCGGACAATAATTGAAATGAGCTCTTCGTCGAGGGTGGCTGCAACTTCTTCGAGAGCTTGTTGGCCAATAGTGCACCCAATGCTTGTATGAACTGCATGTCCACATGTGTAGAGTATGCAACTGTTGATAGCCACATCAAGATCTGGAACCGGTTTATCCCAGAGCCTTCAAACATGACCCTGACACTATCCAGCTTACACCAATTGTTGCCTAGAGTTTCTGATGTATGTGTGAGCAAGGATGTATGAAATTGGAATTCCCGTAATTCTAGAGGGCCATTCGAGCCAAGCACATTAGGTTGCAACGTTGTCCAGATGCAGTGTGAGAGGTCTTTTGACACTTTGAATGGAAGTCCAGGAGACGGCGTCATTATCATTTTCAAAGCCACAAGGACTCGGTCACGTCGAGTGTTATCCTCTGCCAGTTCCCTTGCTTTGTAAGTTGAGTCTTCTGTCACAATGAAATCCTCGGCACCAAAGCCAGCAGTTCGAAAAGTCGAACAGCGAATTGTGTATTTTTGGAGTAAATCAGGGTCGACGTGATCTAAAGCTTGAAGCTGGTCTAAATCGCCAGCTAGGTCCGGGCGAAACATGTACTCCTGGCTCATCTGTGTGGCGAAGTCCTGTACAGATGTATAAAATTTGGGATGCTTGGATAGGAAACTCAGATTGTTCATTTGGGAGTTGGTCTTGACGCGATAGATCTGTTTTGGAGCGAGGTGAGAAAGTAGGATGAGAAGCTTGATATTGTCCGCTGTGAGAATATTAAACGATCTCACAGCACCTGATCCCAGTATCATCAGTGCTTGTTCGGTGCCTGTATGAGCAGTCAAGGGGTCGGGTAGGCAGTAAGATGACAGTGCGTGCAAGTAACAAAGATATAGCTTGCTCTGAAGAGTTCCGTTGTCAACCAGCTTTCCAAGATGCTTATCGATACGATATGCTTGGACACGAAGGACCAGATCAGGATTCACGGAGATTCTCACATGTCCATTGTGCTCAATGCATGATATCGGCCCTTCCGGAATCACAACAAGCCTTTCGGTCAGCTGCTGTTTATTTCTGAGCACTAATTTACTCTGCAGTCCAACGAGCGTTCCAATCGATTGCTCAGAGTCGACGATCATACCTGGGAATTGACGGGACTCGATGGATGTGGAATCTTCCGAGATGCTAAATCCGATTCTCAGCCGCGGTAGATCCACCTCGAGCTGGCCAGAATGATGGATGAGTATGTGAAGATGTTTGGGTTTCTCGAGAGCAGAGAAGATACGGGATATCTCCATTGCCGTCGTACTGGTAATGTCGACAAGGTATACATTTTGTTTTTGTAGCCGCCATTTGGAATTCAATCTCGTAAGTTCCCAATTAGCATTTGACTCCTCCCAAGGCTTTTCCACCGGCCGAAACTCAATAGCTTCACTTTGACTATTATACCAGTGGACGTGGTGCTCCACAAATGACGCGGGAAAGATCTCGGAGAACAGCCTCCGAGGCAAGAGATCATATTCAACACCGTCCTTCACCGCCCGAAGAAGGAGGTCAGGACAGGTAGACTCAGACCTTTCGTGGAGCCCAAGGTGCATAGCATAGCCATGGTATGACTTTTTGGCTGAAAATTGCATTCCAGGCTCCGAGGTAGACATGGCCTGAATGGCAGAGTCGCCAAAGAAGGTGCTGTACAACGGATGGCTCTCGTACTGAGAAGGAAGGCGGGCCACCGGAAGACCACTCACAAGAAGTTGCGCTGTCAAGAAATTGTATGATACTTCCAAGTTTTTCTGACCGTAAGTATAGGGCATCGTGGTGACCATCCAGTGACCCATTGGTTCGGAAAGAGCCGTCCAGGAACCTCCTGGTAGATATGCTGACCAAGACATGAGAATAGCTTCATCTAGGCATTGACTTCCATTAAGTATCGCATCCTTGATGATTTGCAGAACACGACAAGAGAGTCGCTTCCAACGTTCCCGGAGCAAATTTGACAACTCATCCCCATCTTCAGATTTTGGTAGCACGGACTCTTGGATTGTGATGGAACACTCAATGAGAACGACAGCGGCGCTCTCAGGAGATTCTGTGGCTTGGTCATCGAACAACACATTGCGCATTATGTCTGAGTCTACGTCCATGCTACTTATGCAAATAAGCGCAAGTTGAACTACTCTCTGTTTAAGCTTGAAGCGCTTTTCGTCAGGGGTCGTGGCGTGTGCCTTTTCTCGCAATTGGCGCATCCATCCAAAAGCAACTTGGCGGGCTTCCGAAAGAAACCGCAAATTCCGGGCTAAGAGCTGTGGAAGCCTGTTGATAGCGAGAAGTCTAGCAGAAGTCCAGATGAAGATTGCCAATTCGTATGATAGTAGCCAATTTCCTTTGATACGGGCCAACGAGATTTCCAAGGCTTCCAGTAATGCGGATGCAAAGTCTTCATCTTCAAGAAGCCGATGGCTTGCCCTCGAAAGCGATTCGTCAGAAGGGCCAACTTGATGCAGAACTTGCAGAAATATTACGCAGGTTTCTATCTTATTGAACTCAATCTCTGGCATCCTTAGTTGCGTCAATATGTTCATCCTAAATCAATCATTTGTCAGCTCAAGGCCATAAGTCTGAGCAGCAGGGGGCATTCTTGCCAACACAAGCAAGTGTGGCGGGCATAGCTGACCCTATGAACCGGGCTGGCACAGTTGACCAATGGTACAATTTAGATGTGTTAAGAAATCAATTGCAAATCTGAAGTCCAAAGTGGTACAGTAGGATTTCGTTTTGTGCTAAAGAGAAGAGACTTACCATTGTATGTGGAACCCGAGAGGAATGGATGCCAGAGCTTTGAACTCGTCACGGGTCATATGTTCGGGACGTTCTGATAGTCTAGCAAGGACATAATTTGGGGGCGGCCCATTCGGGTCGTCAGGGGGTCGGTATATGAATGCTTGGAGAACTGCTGAAGGTAATTTGTACATGAAATTGCTCGCTATATCATACTTGACAGTCCATCCTGTCATCCAGTTGCCAACTTTAGAGTCGAGGTAAGCATAACGTGGAGAGCAATCCAAAAAGAGCATGTTTTCATCCACGTCTTTGACACGCAACCGTTTATCGCTCCGGGTGGTCGATGACCACAAGCGTGTTCGGAAATCCCGATTGCCAGGGTTTTGGAAAAAGGGTTTTAATGATGGATCCGATTGCAAGGGCATTCCCATGCTAGGTTTATCTTGCTGGTTTGCTTGACATTGGAAAACATCGCCAATCATGAATATCACAGTCTCCCGCCATGCAGCGAGCGCGTTAGGAACGTCAAGCTCAAACACAATAGACTGAGCTTTGGACTCCTCACTCGGTAGCGGCCACTCATGGACTGATATTGATATTTTGGAAGCTTCATTCTCTTTAGTGCATCTTTTACAGACACTGTAGCTTCTAATAACACTGCAATAGCAAGGATACATGTGAGCTCGACTCATGAGGTGACTATACTCCTTCTTGCAATTCCTGAACTCTTGAACTTTTCGTTGCTTTTGCTCAGTGGCGCTCTCGGAAATTTGCACCCAGAGCTTTTGATGACGTGGAGATTGCCGAACATACCTGGCAGCAAAGCAGTTGGCACTGTAATTGGAAGATAACACATACGGCAAACTCGCGTCAGCCTTCCTTTGACGATTTTTCAAATATGTTTCGACTTTTAAAAGTCGCCGAGCCTGCGACCGCAAAGGTAGTACTAGTGATTGAAGTAGCTCTTGGGGCATCGCAGGATCGTAGTCGGCCATAAGGTTGCAATCTCGGATTACAGCTTTGTCGCACGCGATCCAAAGCTCGACTAGCGTTAGGATCATGTGCGACAAGGCTTCTGGATTACGAGCATAATGCTCTGAGGCTATAGCGTTATAGCTAACCATAAAATCCAAGAGCTGGGTACAAAATGAGGCAGATTGATAGTTGTCTTCCATCCACTCTGAAAGATTCATTTCAACCCAGGATTCGAGCAAGGCCAACTCTTGTGTTTTGTATTCATCGGAAAATGGGCCTAGAATCTCCGGAAGTGACTTCGCATCATAGGACGTTATACTATCCCTAGGCTTGAATGCTTTTGTAGCCGAGACGGGCTCCCGCTTTTGGATTGCGGAGATGTGAACATGAAGTTCAGCAAGGTCCATCATAACATCCTGATCAAGATCCAAAGTCTCAAGAGCAGACCAGTGAGAAGCAGGGTCAGATTGGCGAACAATCCTATGCCACCTGTCACGAATCGTACCAGTCGACCGCTTCAAAATCTTGGCTGTATGCTGGAGCCAAATTTGATCTGCTTCAGGTTTCAGCTTAATCAGCCGTCGAGAAATCTTCGCATGCATGCAGTAGACAATGTCGCTTTGCAAATTCAAACCAGCAGCGTTCTTCGCAATGTAGCCCATGAAGAAGACCATGAATGGTTTGTAAAGACTTTGAGGAGTATCTGAGTCGAGGTTGTCGAGAACTCTGTGCAGGGTGACACGAATCATCAACCATAAAGGTGATCTCCTCCAGGGGTTAGAAACAGCAGAAATGATTGATTCTTCTCTGGTGTTCTTCCAAAGTCTCCTATGAGAAGCAAACGATCCCATCGACCCCAACATGCTTGCTAATAATTCGGTGATGAGCCGTGGGTTTGTAGTATTGCCTGGTGTTATCATCTCCGGGATTGTTTCCTGGCTTAACTTGGACAGCATTTGTAAAAGCATTCCCCGAAACTTTGAGTCGATAAAGGTGGATTGATCAATTATGGCCGCTGGACCAGGGAAGCACCGCCGCAGGCGACCGCGAGTTGATACAACAGAATCATCGGCTGGGGCGACTTCGAATGTCTCAATACAGAAACGCGCGTCCTTGCGTTTAATGATAACAGCGGCATTTTGAGCTGCAATATACAAAGGAAGAATGAAGTCTAGTTGTAGTCAGAACGGATCTCTCAAGTTTATGTCAGTAGACGATATTACCTTTCCCTGTGAAAGCATCGCCAGCCATAACTTTCTGCAAGCGGCTTTCATCGATATGGCCAGCGGAATCCCGTACATGCGCAAGGGCAGCTAAGCCGCTGGCGGCCGTATCGATTGCCTCGTGATTATCTTGGCTAAGACATGCCCGGAATTCATCAAGCGCGCAGCTAACAGCTTCAATAAGCAGATCGTCGTCCTCGGTCGAGAGATCGTTTTGTTCGGGAAGTACTGGTGGCAGAAAGACGTGGTTGATCAGGCACATGGCTTTCTGTGATGTAAGTTTCAGAGCTGGAGTAGCGACAACGTATTCAGTTCTCGGTTTCGCTTGAATGTGTGTATGCCCTGGAGACATGGTCAGTGTAGTCTCAGAGCTTGTCCTCTGCTCCGGACTTTGAGTTTCATGCTTGTAATAAGCAGACGGCGCTTTAGAGTACATGGAGGTATCTTCAACCTGTATCGATGTGTTAATGAAACTATGAGCACCCTCGAGTTCATCCTGGCGACGAGAAATCGGTACTTTCATGTGTGAGCGATGATTCGTTTGAATAAGATGACTTTTGCGAAGCTTCTTGCGATTCTGTATATCTTGAGGTGTATTGCCCTGAATATCGTCGCTGCCAAGAACAGTCACAAAAGATGAATCGTCGATCATCTCTTCCGGGTCGTCATCGAGCTCCTTGAGGAAAGCCATAATTGGTGATAATAGTGAAGCTTGTGGCCGGCTCTTGTTTTGACTGAGGATGTGGGAAAGCTCTTTACATATTGCTTCTGTCGACGTCTTGCTCCTAGATTCACGTCCAACTAGCATATCACGGTCTACTAGATTAAGCACTTGATATGTGATTTTATCTGTAGACCGCATGCAGTGGCGCAGATAATCGTGCCAACTAGTGACAGCACTAAGGACGTTGAAACCATTGTGGAAGTAATCTCCGTAGTTAAGAGCTGTAGTCTCAGGTCCCAAATCTGGTTGGACCTCCTGACTTGTAATTTGATCTTTGATTGCTTTAGCTCGCAATTTGCTGTACTGTTGAACGCCTTGATAGCCAAGCACCACAAACGTGGCGGTAATCGAGAACACACAGCCAAGCGACCAGGTGTCGATGGACTGATCAACCGGGTTCTCGAGGCGCGAAGAGTGCGAGTATTGCTCAGGGGCACCTAAGCTGTGATCAGCAACGATAGAACTCAGGTTACCAAGTGTGTGATGATATTTTGCGACTTACCATAAGTAGTGGTCCCTCCCAGCAGAACTTGTGGGGGTGCACGTAGAGCAGCTACTTCCTCTTCTTTCTCGCCCTGTTTTGGCTTTTCCACAAAGCGGGCGAAGCCTGGATCCGCCAATTTGAACTTCCCTTGAACTTGTAAAATATTGTCTGGTTTGATGTCTGCGTGCCACCTGTCGAGAATTAGCAACGCAAGCAGCCATCGGGTTTTGTAGTAGAGGCCCTACCCCCAGTACTCTTTGATCATTCCATCATTGTTGGTTCGGAGATTGTGCATGTCTCTTATTGCGTCGGCTACCTCGAATATATCTCGCCAAAAGGCCTCAATCTCACTAGAGTGGACAGGGGGTACATTCTTTGCGAAAAGTTCGGCAAGATCACACTCCCCAAACTCAAGGAGGATGTTGTACGTCGTCTTCAAAATAACAAGTTCTCCTTCTACTCGCTCGCTTTGTTCGGCGTGATGGGTTTGCCTATGGCGATACTCACCAAGGAATCGTATCATGTTACCATTTTCATAACCTAGCTTGGAAAATGCATGCCTTTCGTTGACAAATATGGCCCTTTTCTCCGACTCAAATGCCTTTAAAACAAGCGCATAGCACTAGATGGTGATGAATCAGTACAATTGTTGTTGATTCTGCATTTGCTTTCAGCGTAGCACTCACTGGTCCATAATCTGGGTCTTCGTACCGCGCGCTCTTTACAGCGTCACGCAATCTAACACCAACAAATTCTTCCATCACTGATATTTGCCAAATGGTTGCAGTTCCCCCCTTTTCGTTGATTTTCATTTTCTTGTATATCGGTAAGATATGATCCTCGTCGAAGTTCATATCCAATCCGAGTTCAAACTTCGCAGGGCAGAACTTCCATTGCTCCTTATTAAAATCCTCTGCCAGATTCTCCGGGTATGGCAAGATCTCCTTCTTGAAAACATGTTGTAAGGTGGGTAGGTCGATCGGCAGATGCGAATCAACCACTTTGTGACTTCTCTTGAGAATATGAATGAGATGGCCTTGTCCCAGTTGAAGAAGTATACTAAAGACAATTAGACAAGAGTTCTCTCCTGTCAATTGTTCTTTCCGGGGCTGGCCAGTGTACTGGCTGTACGCAGCATGCAATAGACGCGTTATTTGATGTGTTTCCCGTGGTTCCGTCCATCCCTGAACTTGTAACCTCGTCTCGCTTTCAAGCCACTCTTTGAGCTTTGAGATTCGAATATACTCTCGCCCGCACGCTGTTTTCGCCGTCTTCGTAGTGAGTTGTTGGACTTTGGCAGAGAATTCTCGTATAGCGTGCTCGTATCCGGTCTGCAGTACAGTGAAAGTACTCGTATCCATCGCTGGTGTGCCTTCTGCGCGGCAAAAAGGCACCGTCAAGAGGTGGGCGGCGTCGAAGCTGCATTGATGGACTTCGATTCTCTGTGCTAAACAACAAATAGCGAAAGTTCCATGCTGCTGCGTACTGATGGTACCGGGGCGAAGAGTATGGCAAGGCTCTGCATCTTGGATGATAGTCGTGCCGCTGCGGCTGAGGCTCAAGGCGGATAGGTTGCATAGACGCCATTCGCTGTCATATTGAGATCGCAATTCTTTCCTTCGCCCACCGATGAGGATTTAGGAACTTCTTTCAGTGAGCAATCCGTACCTAAGGGGGGAGTTGTTGTTACTACCTAACTTGCGCAAGCTTGACGTCTCGAAATTTGGAGCACGGCACGGCGCGAACCTCCCGCTGACAATCGACGGAGGCTCTAAATGCATCTTTGGGTTGGCGCCTACGAGTAGACGATTCCATTGAGTCTCGCGATTTCTCTTCCAGATAACTGTCTGCCTGCTAGGACTCGCAAGCTATAACACCTGCTCAGAGTACTTCTCGGAGTCATGAGTCGGTCAAATTCCAGTCATTCGACCCTCCCTCGCTTTCATGGGGCTCGAAAGACGCTAAGTTTCGCCAAAATGGCAGCGAAGAAACCACCATCCACGACACGCTTTGAAGACCGGGTTGAATCGTACAACTTGGCCAACGATGACCTTCGAGTTTGGCTGGAGAATAGATTTCTTGCAGAGGGTTACAAGTTCGATGGCGATGTACGTTGCCTGCAGATTATTCCAGCTACACCTTTCAGCTATCCCCTCCATTGGTAGCTATCCGCTGAAGAGGTGAACATAGAAAATCAAATTGAAGTTGGACAAGTATTGTTTTCTGGTACCAACGAAGCTAACGCTGGTGAGTACCTAGCCCATGCTTTTGGAGGCATGCACTACCTTAATAAATAGCTTGATACAACTACTGACGCGGTGCAGAAAGAGCGAGATGAGATATCTACGCTGCGAGAGGTGGAGAAAGATTGGGTTTTGGAGCCAGAATATTGAGGTTGTGAATTGGGGAAATGAAATGTTCTAAACCGGGACTCTTTACTCGTAACAAATCTGTGTACAAATAAGTGACGATTAAAACATGTACAATTTCAACGAAGAAAATAGTCACTCCATGAAAGATTACATGGGGTGTACGAATTGATATCCAGACTCTCTGAGTATTAATTAGAAGTATAGAAGGAAGAATACCAAGGCAATGAAGGATATTCTATGTGCTCGAGAAAATTATTTAAGGCCCATCTTTTATCTTAATGTCTCTTGTGACAAGAGTAATAAGGAAGTATCATACTTGTATGGGAGTTGATCAGTTGGGAAATCACCCTGAATTCGTACCACCCCTGGTAGATGCCTAGAGTAACTATTCGACCATTAAAAGCTATCTTTCCAAAAGCAGGGCTCGTTGGTATCTTCAATATTGACACTTTCGTTATCCTTATTCTCAAATCAAACAACTGTTTTGCAGCACGTAAACAGAAGTTGGAATAAGTCGAGACTCGTCCTCCACCACGCCCTGCAAGGCAGCCTTGTGGCGGGTGAGCTTTGGGCACTGCCACCATGGTTGAGCACAAGACAGAACCAGAGGCTGCTCGCATCATGGTCCCGCAGTTCATGACAACTGCAGAACGTACAAAACTCACATCAATGCTAGAAACGAAGGAGCAACTTGCTCTCTTCTAAATTTACCATCGCGCATGGCAGCTCAAGCTTCAAACACAAGCCGGCCCAACCTGCAGCTTCCACCACAATTTGAAGACTCATACAAGGATTTTGAATTATACCCAGCGAACATTCTTCTGAAAAATTCATATGAAGCTGCTCTCCAGGCACAGCGTGCTAGATTGGATGATTTTTCACCGAGATTGTTCACCAAAAGTAATTCCATTTACGTCCCGATTCGCGAGTTCACGGGAGTTGGTGAGAATTGGCATCATCCCCTGTAAGAATCCTCGTTGATCAAGACAGGCAACAATGGCGGCCTCCGAAGAACTGGCAATGGCCCTAATAAGATAATCGACGATAATTCTCTCAAGAGGTGGCTCGGGGATGCTACACCTAGTAGCAGCTATGCAACTGTTGAAGATCCAAAATGCCGCTTCATGTGAGTATTCTGAAGATGCCACAGAATCCAATCATTAACACAGTTTTAACCAGCTTTATCAACGGCGATAGCTCACGGGACCCCCTGAATATCACAAGACAAATGCTACTTCGCATATTGAGCTACCACCAGGTTAATCCAGCATATCTTGACTTTCTGTTTGTATTTGGATCTCAAAATGAAGCCAGAGGCCTCAGATTTAGTGGTTTCCATGAGCAAATGACTTTTGCACGACCAAGTCGCCAACTACCCATTCCATCCCTGCGTAGAAGTGGACGTCAATATCAACTAACTTATAACCTCAAATCTGTTGCTCGTAAAATGCGGTCCAACCCACGGGGCCAACCTATACGAGTTCCTATTTCCGAGATGCAATGGTCCATTCGACAAGCAGCTATACATCACCAATTTGATGTGGAGATAGGAACGACCTTGTGGATTGTCACGCAAGGGAATTTGGACATCTTCGAACGGGTTGTACAAATGACGGCAGTACATGGAAGGAAAGAAGATCGTGCATTTGCCGATGGACCAGAATGCTTCAGAACCAGCTTAACAACGCATCTTTTGTATTGTTACTGGTCTATAGAGGAGTGGCGATGGTATATACAATGGCTAGAAGATGTCATTGACACTGAGGTGAGAATTATGTCGCCCACCAAGACCTGAGATTAACCGGCTTCACAGACTGGTAACGTTCTATACAGTGCCCGTGGTATAAAAGAGCAGCACGAATACAGACCGCAGGATATACAGTCTGTTCAGTATCACGAAGATCGGGCCAAAGAAGCTATCATGGTCCTAGAAACAAATACAGACGTCCTCATATCGATTCGCGACTTCTACATCCGCTTGATGAATCCTTTGAAAATTAAAGATTTTGACTTGGCTACCAATACAACATGTCAAGAAAGTGTAAATGCTTTCGCTACGAAGATCGATGATATGATATCCGATTCAAGGATGCAGATTGCTCGTGCGAAATTACTGACGCAGATCGCGGCTGACAGGAAGAATCTCGTAAGTCATCGTATGCCAGAGACCAGGTCTGGAAGTTAATGCAGAATAGATCATACAATTTCTTCAAGGTCAAGCAACAGAAAAGATGGAAGGCCTCACGAGAATCACTGTCAAGATCAGCCAGGCATCTCAGCGTGAGGCGATTGCAATGCGTATCATCACCGTTGTAACCTTACTCTACCTACCAGCCACGTTTGTATCAGTACGTTGACCAGCGCGATAATCTAACTTCACCTATACTAACTATCATGTAGACGTTTTTCAGCACGGATATCATCAAATACCAAAACCCGGGTGGTGGCGACGAAAGCACTTCCGACTTGAATAGTCAATATATGGGATCGTTCTCCCAAGTGGCAATGGACCGGTGGCTACAGGTTACAGTACCGTTGACGATTCTGACTATCCTAGGTGCTGGGTATGCTTTTTATAAGATAGATCAAAGTGCCAAGCGGGATATTGAAAAGTTACAGTAAACTCCCTGCTGAGAACGGTTTCATGGGGCTAGTGGAAGGTCCCCGGGTATGCATATGAATTACAGAAAGATACTAAGCTAAGAATCATAACAAATATTATAACTCGTAAAGGGTGAGCTCTACAATTGCCATTTAGCATAGTAAAAATACCCTTGAGCCGTATGTAGTTCTGACTACCCTACGGCCCACTCGAGCTTTATTACCTTCTTTAATCGCCTCTATTCGTGTTTAAAGAAGTGTGCGTAAGAGCCGTAGCACGAACAAGGGTTTGGAAACATGTAGAACTCGGTAAGATTTTTGGATTCGCGTTGACTATTATCTAGTCGCACAATCGACAAAAATCTCAATTTCGGTGACAAAATTCTCCTTCTATATATCACTTTTCTTCACTTCTACATTAAACTTTTAATCCCCACCGTACTTTACAACAAACCCACCACAATCTCCACCGCATCCTCACAAAAGAGATCCTAGAATTATACCCATATACATCGCAAGAACATTGGGACTTATGATCTATTTCGAGATCTCTTATGAACACAACGTACACCAAACGTATAGTAAGTTGTAATAAATGCTATCTTGCTGGCATTAGAGTTTTCATTTGAACCTGAGGGTTTTTGGCCTACTCTGATCAATTTAACTCTAGCTTCGGTAGTTTTCCGAACGTTTGGTACTTCACTCCAACATTTCTCCTCGGATTATCCACCCTTTCAAATCCAAATATCCGTAAACTACGAAACAAAGACACATAGCCATCTTACGTTCTAGTCTCTAGATTGCAATCTCTTTAGGCCAGCGAGAAATAAATGAAGTGACATCATACCAACCCAAGTCAAAATATTCATCCTCTTCCCCCGAAAAACTAATTTCACACCATAGAATCCCTAGCAGATCTCCTCCATAGGATTGAGGACTACGAATAGATACAACGCAATTTACATGGTTGTCGCTGGAAAGAAATCAGAGCCAGCATTATTTCATTATCTTTTACGATTAAGCTTTTGCTCTCGTTTTTAGATAGAACCTGCAATTGAACTTGTTGCAGGGAAAGGTATCCCAGCTGACAAGAGACACTCTTTTGGTTTTCCAATAAATTACTCTGAAGACAAGCCCATGTTGTTAAGTTTTTTTTACATGTAGGCATTTCTTTCAAGGTGAATGGACAGAGGGGGGGACGGGAGCGAGTGAATCGGTGACAAGGTTGATTTCGGTGATAACTTCCACTTCCTCTCGTATCTCAAGACCTCCACAAACATCAACTGTACGAAAACCTAGAAATAAACTCCACTATTTATACCGCTAGACTAATTCACCTACTCAGGTCAGCTGTATGACAACCCGTTACAATAAATGTTTGAGGGTCACCTTTGTTGCGCGGTAGAGAAGTTAACTACCCGGACTTCAAAAATTTATTCACAGTATTACAAAAAGATACACGATACGGGGTGCGTGACAGGGGTTTGTTTGGTTAGAGATTGAGATGTTGATGGAGAGGTTGGCAACTAGCTTGGGAGATTGAAGGTCAAAGGTTCTTTACAGAATGTCGATGGATTGGTTGTGAGTTAAATGCGTGATTTGTAATTGATAAGGTATATTACTTACCTTACTATTACACTATTAAAACCTATACGAAGTCAACAGAAAGTCTCCCCTCAACTCTCTAAATTATCAACCTATCTCAAACACGAAATTTGAGTTTAACACAATATCCTCTACCCAGTCCCCGTAAGTCTCTCCATAAATACCTAACTACCTAACTAGATCCATAAACTAAACCAGGAGACAGAGACTGCTGTCGCAAATAGAGAGAGAGATATCCTTAGATGAACATTTGTCTGGAAGGTTTTCTCCTGCACGTGTATCACGATATCGATGCGTTTGTGTTCTAGTTTGATATCTCTTGTTCGAGGAGGTAGAAAATGGGGGGAGGGAAAACGGTGGTGAGGTCGATTTCGGTCTAAACTTCGCATTCAAACTTCGAAACACAATGAATATCCCATTCACATACCCCATTCACGCCGTCTCACTTAAGACAACCGAAGAATATCCTCCCACTAACTTCCGCAACCTACCCCTCCACCAAAAATTCCGGCCATATATAAGTTCCTTCCCAAACACAGTGTAGGCGCCGCAGTTCATGGTTCTTACCTCAAAAACCACGAGGCAGAGGTGTGAAATTTATATCCCGTCTCCCCAATATTTCCATCTAATTTGTGTACCAAGAAAATAGAATATAAATTATTTCTCCATCTCCCCATCGCCCTCAATCACTTTCACAACTCTCTCCCAAAAACCCCTTCTCCAATCCAAGATTCCACAAGACAAAAACCCTCCCCCGTCGAATCCAATCTTGTTTCTCCTTCGGCCCTTTCAATTTACACAATTTCCCCTTTTCTCCATTTTCTTCTTTTCTTCCTTTTGTTTTTGGAATCAACAACATAAAACCCCATAAACTACTACTAGTCCTTTAACAGCCAAAGAAGTCTGGCAAGACCTGTAGTGCTAGGTGTAAAAGAGAGTTCAGTATTGTGAGGCTCACATGAGATGTTTTGTTTAGTAGTGTTCCTACTCTGAGAAACCCCCGTCCTAAATTGACGTCTGTATAGATAGTACTACGGTGCTGGGGTAGTGAGGAAATCGGTGGTGAAGTTGGATTTCGGTGACACCTTCCTCTTGTTTAGTGTTGGTAGTCACTCACCTAGACAAATTAGGAATACTACAACCCCTTAACGAAAAATTCTAGTTCCCAGCATCCTCTCTTCAACTCCCCCCAAAATAGGTTTTAGCCGAAAACGACTCCCATCTTTGCACAAGGCACATGTGGTTTGCTCATTCTTACCTCCGATATAATTGACATCCGTACATTCTTATACACCTCCTCACCTCTAATATCTCTCCACCACAACTTGAGGAAATAAAACTACAACTGGATTCATATATCCAGTCATCGTTTTTTCCACCCAAAAATCCGTCCTTCCCTCTAACGCCCCACAAGCACAAACTCTCCCTAAACCCCCCTGATTCTCTTTCTTTTCAATTTCACATTTTTCTTTTTTAAATTTCTCATTCCTTTAGGGGAAATCAAGAACATAAAACTTCTTACGAACCACTCATAGTCCCTCAAAGCCGTTGCAGCTATCTGTCTTCATCACTGCTTCATTCGAAGATAGAGTGGGGCTGTAAAGTGTGTTTCAGACACTGGGGTTTTGTAGGAGTTGTGTTTAATGGTGTTATTTTCCATGTGGATAATCTATTTTCGGCGAGTCAGTGAGGGAGTCAAAGCGATTTTGGTGACAAACTTCCCCTAATTTTACCATGAAAATTATGTGGATAACCAAGAATATTAACACATAACTATTGCATCTAAAAAGAAGTTTCAGTTCCTAGTATTCTCTCCTCAACAAAAGTATTCCACCACTCCCTCCTCCACACAGGAGTGCGAGCACGCATCATCATATCTCTTTCATGAATAGGAGGTTGACGAAGGGATATACTTGTATATATATACACTTATTTCCCTGATATTTCCACTGAATGTCTGGAATAACAATAGTAATTCCATCTAGATACCTATCCCCTACCAGAAACAGTTCCCATTTCACCTATTCTTTTCCCATCTCGAAACCCTAGAACCAACTCTCCTCTTTCTCTCGCCCTTCCCCTCAACTCCTAAACACTCTATCCATCCCCACTCAAAAACTACCACCTCATCCTACAACCTCATACTACTAAAAAGCTTCGTTGAATTCAAAGAATGTTTCCCGCTGGAGTAAGGCAGTAATTCAATCTCCAACTCACATCTTCCCTTTTCTATAACACCAGATACTTATCCAAGTACTCGAGAACTGCGACGTATGTCATATTATCATTTCCTGGTCATGCAGCAAGAAGTGAGAATAGGATTCGGTAGAGAGACAGGTTTCGGTGATGAACTGCCCTTTTCCACGCTCAGAATGTCGGATGAATTCGATATCAATACCACCCCACTTACCAATACCACTAATACTCGGTTCATCCTCGTGATGGAGGCAAGCTCCAAACTCGGACTCGAAAGCCATCTCTCGTCCATTCCTCGAGCTTTTCGGCTTGGGAACCGAAATAGCTTGTTTATCGGCCATAACCTTTATAAAGTCCGACCACCTAAATTTGTACAAGAATCATTTAAAAATAATATTATTTCTATAAAGTATAACTTAAAAGGGTTTTTTTCTAATAAAAATATAAAAAATTGGTTTAATTCTTTATCTTATTAACTAGGTTAGTAGAAGTGTATAACAATATCTTAAAAAATAAGAGGTATAAATAGAGACGGGGTGCCTAGTCAATTCTCGCACAGCCGTTAACACAACTCACAAACAAGACCGCTTGAGCTAAAAAGTAAGTGAGATTATGGAACTTTCGTGGAAAGTTTGGGTGTGAGAGTTGTGCTATTAGTTTTCGTGTAGATGACCTTTGTTTTCCTTTTTTTCTTTTTGCAGTCAGTAAGTGAGGAAGGACAATTCGGTAGTGAAGTTGAAATCGGTGACGAACTTTTCTTTCTTTTGTGCTGAGATTTTGAGGAAAAGTAGGAATATAACATCCCCGAACAGTAATTTCCAGTTCCCAGTATTCTCTCCCCTCCTATCTCAAGTCACCTATCCTATACAATACCCAACCTCCCACCCAAGCATATTGCGCCCTCATGTTCATCCCCTCTAACATCGTAGTTTTCGGCATAAACTTTGTTTATAACTCTCTACTCCCCCGATATTGCTACCCCTAAAAAAATATCCGTAACCTTATCCACCTCCTCCTATCTCCCAACCCCATCACCACAAAGAATACTATATGCAGCAGCCTTACAATCATCAATACCTAAAGTTCCCATTCAATTTTCCAAAAAGGAGAAGACAACCTCAATAGAACTTAGCTAGTAACACCCTTATTTAATAGATGCACAGATACAGAGGGTTGATTGTTTACATCATCACCAGCTGCCAGGATTACCCGAGCATGCAGCTGCTTAAAATGAGTCGGATATGGTAAAATGACAGCACAAAGCCCACAAACACTCCTGAACTCAACCCCAAAAGTAAATTTTAGCACCCATCACTTATTCCCAACCTCACCACCCCTAACACAAAAATCGGCAACGAAAACAATTTCAACAACATTCCCCTCCTTACAGCCTTTTTCACCAATTTTCAAATTTTCATCCTTCATTTCAAATTCTCATTATCACTTTCAAAGACCTCGCTTCTCAATCACGAGTACGGATATATCCAAGTTGCATCGTGATTACTTGTCGTTCCAGTGGGTTGTTGTGTCCTCTCGAGAGGTTTATGAATGATTACATATATTCATGTTGCCTTTTTGTTAGGATATGGAAAGATAGCTTTATATTGATAATATAGTAGACATTAACAAATCAATCAAACTACTTTAATTTAATTAAATTTCAAATTTACTCCTCTATCTCACCAGCCAAACCCGACCCTCACAACACAACATATATTTCAACAACACCCCTCCCCAATCCCCTTCCCACAATACCCCCTTTCCTGCCAAAAAACCTCAGTTTTCACAACACACACCGCCAATTCACGTGTCCAGAATACAAGAAACAATTCAAGTCATTTACCACAGTACTCCAACCCCGCCGTCCAAGATCGACGCACAAACACAGAAAATGTCCTTTTTGATTTCCTGCTTGACCCAAAAGACAAGGAGAGTGTGATGTAAGCTAGCATGTTATCTTTTCCTTAAAACATGTACCGAGTGCGCTGCCACATGCTTCACGGTATCGCTTTCGATTACTTACTACTTAGTGGAAGATGAGAAATCGGTGGTGGACTTAGAATCGGTGACGAACGATTCATTCTCGCGTCAAAATTTCTCAGACCATCTCCCCCAAACATTTCCCACCAACCCCCCGCCAGATCCAAACCCAAGAAGCACAACAAGCCTCCTACCCCCTTCTATGCAGAACTCCCAGTCTAGCGGTCTCTTCCTCCCATCTCCCTAGACCGAGCATCTTACTTTATACACCCCCTAACCCAAACCCAAAGCCCCAAACCCAACTCTTCCCTCACCATTCCATCACCACCACAGAACCTCAAATCAAAAAAACACACCAACAAACTACAAGTGTAGAACAAACAAAACCAAACCCCCTATCCCCTCAACCATCAGACTCCCCAGCCTAACGCATGCTGTTGACCCCCCCCCTTTTTTTACAGCCGCCATCGCAAAATCTAGGACGAAAAGACATTTATTCACATCCTTACTTCTTTTAGATAGCGGGGGTTGAGTGTGGTGTTGAATATCGTCGAGATTGCAGGAGAGGAAGAGGCTTCATTTCTGGGTGGAGTGAGATATGTCCAACATTCCCTAGCACCAATCGAATCTCCCCAGCATCATCAAATCTCCTAGTTATTACACATATCAAATGCATTCACACATCACCTCTCACACAACCATCTCCCTCCTCAATAAAAAAAACCCCCTTCACCCTTCAAACCTCGCAAAAAGTAAGAAAGGGAATCGGTGACAAACCTTACTTTCCGCGACAGACTCTCCCCCTCCCATGACACAACACATGCTCATGAATACAATCGGTGATGAGTTGTTGAGTTTTTTTTAAAGATAGCGTCTGCACGATTCTCTCATCCTACAAACTAACAAATCGGCAGAGTATTTCAATCCCATGTGGTTCGTCACATGGGAAGCAGTCCAAGGCTATTCGTATACTTCTTCCATCTAGATGGAGAGGGGATTAAATATACTTCCTACAATACGCATCCGTAAGGACCCTCAACAAGAGCGAACAAGTCCGTAGACACGTTAAGATAGGACAACACGAGACAAGACAAAGAAGAAACGACTCAGAGTATCACCTCCCAATTCTCTAACCTATTAAAGACTCATCTCATCTCAAACCGCTATGCCAAAATGCAAATGTCCCCTTCCCTTTCTTTCCACCCTCCACATCCTTTAATCATCAAATGCACATGCATACCAAATCAAATCAAAAAAACTCCATCGCTCAAATGCAAATCAAAACAAAGTCAAAAACAAACCAACTCCCTTTCCAATCCATCCCACCAGTTCAAATAAACAGCGATATCAAAAAATAATCTTCAGATTTCTCACATCTTCTAAAATTTGTGTGTGCAAGTATGTCTTGTTCCATCGTATATACATTGCTCTTGATGCGTAGAACCCATCATACGATCTTGAAACCACGTCATGCCGGTTCAAGAATCGAAAGAAGAAGCGAGGGTCTAGAGGCATGATCCATGATCCGTCATAGCGTGGGTGGAGGAGAAAAGGCGGAAGATTTGGTGAGAAGGGTTGGGTATCTATACTTTTCCGGGTCGGACTCGTGGTGGTAGTGACCATGCTTTTGCAACGACAGTCTAGGGGTTTGTTAGTGGGTGGTTTTATTAGGTGATGGTGAATAGACATACCTCTCCCTCACTATACGCCCAAAAGTACACAATCATGCCCACGATGTAATAAATCGCTGCATTGGTACCCTGATACAACAACGCCGCGGCCAAAATCGCCATTGGAAGGACCACCAATCGAGCTTCGATACTACGATGCACAGCCGATCCAGCAATAGCACCAAGAGGCCATTCCCAAGCGAACATGATGAGACCGAGGAGGATATTGATGACTTGAAGGACGGGAATCGGTTTTACGGCTCCATCGAGGTTTTTGGTGAGGAAATCCCAGAAGATTTTGGGCCAGAAGATACCGTGAACACCAGCTACGAATTGATCTGAGATAATTAGCAATGAAACAAGAAGAATATGATTACACATACAAGCTGAAGCGGTCAAGATGATGAGACGAGCCCAATGATTCTTAATAAGTTTTCCCATGTTGACGAATTGATCTTCTTAAATCCTAATATCCTATTTCCAACTTCTACAAATGATTCGAATCGAAATGGATTAAACGGGTCTAAATTATGATCGAAGGCGTGATTGAACTGAAAGAATGTCGAATGGTAAGGGTAATTATCCGAACCGGCGGAAAGAATGAATTGGGTTGGTGGAAGGTATCGAGAAAGAAAAGAAGGTTATCGAATACCGACGACGAGTGCGCTGCAGCTGGTGAGGGAAGAGAGAAAAGAAGGCCGTGAGGATGGGTGGGGAGCGATCGGGTATATAATCTTCTGGCTTGGCTTCTTTTCTGAAGCCGGTGGGTGGAGGTCACCTACTCACAGACCTGGATCTAGGATCCGTTTGGAGGTCTGTCACAGATGCCAACCCAGGGTGAATTCTGACGGAACGATCAAGATGGGATGTTTGAGTGAGAACGGACGATGACGGCAGGTGAAGTTTGGTGACAGCGGACATTGAGCGATGTCCCGATGGGAGAGGCTCAGAGAGTGGAGGTATGATCTACTGATGCTATGGGTTTCGAAGGGCCATGTCCTGACGCGGGCTTCACAAGCTTTCTTGACGGAGAGAGTCTGATCCGGGGGGAGATTCGGGATGTTTTGGTAAGGAGATTGAGTATGAGAGCGTATGCGTGATATCGTGTATGGTATGTTCTATCGTGGGTTATGCGTGTATGGTTAGTCGTTGTTCGATCTGCGAGTTGAGACGTTTTGAAGCGGACCAAGTGATACAAGTACGGAGGGGAAGGTATCGGAGGAGGTATCTGCGGCAACAATGAGATCTTCGAGATGCGGGAACCCAAGTTTAAGATGGACAGGGCAGCCGAGGGCAGGGGTGGTGAGGGTGGATGACCAGGGGAGATGCGAGAAGTATTTGTTCTGGGCGGTGCTGGGGGGAGAGGGGCTAGTCTCGAAAGGGAACTGTCACTTCTGCTCAACTTCTGCTTCATCCAATCCGTCGTCTGGTCACATGTGCGACGAGAAGTATCGAGTACATGTGACACGGGCGGGAGAGGAGGCGATATTGAGTACACACTACACTACACGACTGACCATTGATCATGCTCATCACCGCAGCTGGTTGAATTAGCTCTTCGACCAAGAATTAAAAAATCCCATTTCAGATGCCAATAGCAGCCAGGCCCCTCCGGATTCTGCTGCACGTACAAGGCCGCTCTCCAATCACCACCACCGCCACGACTGGAAGCCGTTGATGCCGATGGATTGCTGGCCCATGGTTGGCGGTAAAGCAGAATCCAAAGGTGGTGGTGATTGGAGACGACCAGAGAGGGATGAGTTGGGCGCGTACGGTACGTGAGCATGGGGGAGAGGTGAAGGGTGCATTTTACCTGCAGGTCCTGTTGGGGTTCTGTGAACCGGGGTGAGCTAGGCTGGATGGGGGTTAGGGAAAGGGCCGTGAAAGGTGGGTCCACGGTCGGCAGACGGCGGTGAATTACTCGCCTGTCTTTCTCGCATTTCGCCCTGACGCTGCTTCCTTGACGCTTCGCAGCTTCTTGCCTGACGCTTCTTCGGTTTGGTGACCCGCCTCGACGATGCATCGTGCATCCGCTGTGTACCTCCTCTTCATCATGTACAGAACTCTTCAACTCACGACTACTCAACATCACATCATTAACCTTCAATTCGATATCAAAGAAACAATCATCTCAATCATTCTGATATTTCATCGCATCACTTCATTCCTCATCTGGTCCCATCGCCGTCTGATCTGCCATCCGAAGTCGTTGCTGTGTTTGGTTGCAAGGTACCTGAGACGAGGCCCGACTCCAAGCCAGTTTTACCTTTTTGGCCTCAAACGACAGCAGTCGCATACATGAGATTGAAGAAAAAAGTAATCTGTGCGTAGAATTCCTTTTGTCAGAGAAGAATCTGCGAAGTATCTATCATTACGAGTCTTTTCATAAGAGTCATGTCTCTGCTTCTGTTGCACTGTAAACGTATTTCAAGTTTAACTCTTCGAAGGGAGGTAGGTGAGAGTCGTGGCTCAGTACAAGCACAACATGAATCCTCCATGTACAATTAGCCATACCAGTGTAACAACTAATCTGCAATCTAAACTGCATTAAATACATTTAAATGCATCATCCAAGCATCACTGCGGTCGGCGGCCTGCGTCTGTACCACTACACTCGCATCTCATCGCCACCAACCTCAAAGCCGACCATACCTGCAGCATCACCACCCACCAATCCTCACCGATCCGGCATCCGATGAAGAAACCCGGCGTCTAAACACGCAGACGCCTGACCAACACCCAACGTTTCTTTTTCTAAAAAGAGACTCCTCTTGAATGGCCAGGTCGGGTCTAGAGCTAGACCAACATGTCCTCGCCCAACGAGCGTCTGCGTAAGCAATGCATAGCGGTCCTTTCCATAGAACTACCCGCTGAAGAAGGCGTTTAGACAATCCATCACGCGCTGCCTGAAGATTCCATCTGTTGCATAAAGCGACTCATCGCACCAGACCGCAGATGTTTCTGTGTGCAACCAAGTGGTTGGCAAATGGTAGGTACACTTTCTAACATCTGAATGTGTCGGCAACCGCGGTAGACTTCAAACTCCAACGTTGGTTGTTGTTTGAGCTTCTTCGGATGGATTAGAGAAGCGCGAAAGGTCGGTTGAATATTCCTTTTTTCGTATTCAACGTTCTGACGTCTATTCCACGTTTTGATGCCCTGTTTCTTTACCTTTCCTACCGAATATCAGATGATGCTCTTATCGTTGAAGAATCTTCAGATATCTGATAGGTTTCCATTCTTCAAAGCCACCGCACGTTACGCTCACTTCCTCACGTCCAATACCCACGACCCCACAGTCTTCAACATTACCAATCCCATCTCCCATCCCCTCATCACACATCACACCGACATTCGATTCCCCTCATCACTCCACCTCACACATCGTGAGATCTTATCACCATCATCTACCCCTCTTCTCCTCCCCCAAGCTTTCACTTTCACATTCAATAAGTGATAGTGATCCCCCCCACTGCATATGCATCGCCAACAAAGACCCCAAGCAACGCTCGCTCGCTCGCTATGCACCTTGAAGCGCAACGCGGGAGCCGGCGTGCTGAGTGGACCGGGTCGTGTCTATTTGGGGAACGCCACTGAGCGGTAAATCTGCTGTTTTCATTGGCGGTTTGGGCTGGGCACGTGATGGGAGGGGTCTGGATTGGGCTTTTGAGATTCTGGATTTGAGATTCTGGGAATTTGACACGGTGAGACATTTGAATCATGATTCTTTGGAATAATGGGTCATCGCGAGATGCGATTGAAATTTGTTTTTTCTCTCTACGATTCGATTGACCAAGTGGTTGGTAGGTACTCCCCGTCAATACGCAAATCCGAGCTCAATAGCGCTTGCACATCACCAAATTGTTGAATATCCCATTTCAACATTTTCAATACCAATCTCATGCTTCTAACCCAATTCGATCATTTCCCTAGATCAAATACGCTTCCACCCAATCCGATCATTTCTCTAGATTTCAATACTAGTTTCGCGCTCCCATCCCAATCCAGCCATTTACTCATTCGATATCAATTTTGCGCTTCCATCCCAATCCGGTCATTCTCAATATCAATTGCGCTTCGCGCTCCCATCCCAATCCAGCCATTGTTTTCGCGCTTCCATCTCAATTAAGACAATGTTCTTTGAGCTAGTAGAGTTATCATCCGTGTATTCTTGCTTCTTTAGCTCGGTGGTGAATCGGAGGATGATACTTAAACTTCTGACAGACGGGAAGTATGTACGGAAGTACACGCTGAAGTGTTGTCAGATTCTTAGGTCGTCAGCACTAGGGGATTTACGATTTATCCTAGTGGATGTTAATGAGCTTTTCTTTTTCACGCACGCAGAGAGGACGAGAAGGATTGTTGAGTGGTGGTTCGAAGGTCTACGGGTTCTTTTGTTGTCGAATTAGAAGATGGGTTTTGGTCAATATCTCTTTACCGTCTTACACATTCTCTTCTAATATTCTACAAGATGTAGTCTTCTTTCTTTGCAGCATAAGCGGCGTCTACCCTAATCAAGAACATCTTTCCTTCTTCCTCGCCCTATGGCGCCTATCTAAGATCCTCTACACCACCTGTGCCGTTCACACCATCTCTTCTTCACACCATCTCAACACGGTAATCATCGACTATACACTACATCGCGTCTATCTCTTCCACGATCACATTCGCATCCCTACCCTCGCTCGCCCTTACGTTCCACCCAAAAAGTAAGCACTCGTCAAATGGCGTCTGTCCCGCTTACACAACACTTGGGACCTTCCGTATACATCAAATGGCGTCTGGACATCTCACTTCTTCTCCCCAACAACCAGGAAATCGTCAAGCGGCGTGTATCAAACCTTCTCCTCCGCTTACACAACACCTAGTACCTTCCGTATACATCAGGAGGCGTCTATACTTTCTCTTCCTCTACCTACCTAGATAGAGGAGCTCGGTGGTAGGTAAACGGGATGTTTATACATCTCACGTTATTTAATTCACCTCTCCCACCTACCCAAAAGAGAAAATATCCAAGAGACCGTAAGCACCGTCTACCTTTAACTTCCTAAATAGTGTTTACTGGGTACTTAGCCAGCGTTTATCCATCGTACATCCTCTAATGGACAGGGTAGGAACCGGCAAGCTGCGTCTACATCATATCATCCACCGCGTGTATCTACAAGGTGGGAATCGTCAGGCGGCGTCAAATCCTCTGACGATCTGCGGTCGAATGTATAATCCATACCAACGCAATGTTCGTGCCACATATATCTCGCGCCTGTCCGACTGCTCCCCCCACTATCCCACGTGTACTTCGAACTTTGCACGCCGTGTAAGTGCCTCGGAGGAATGATAATGGTCAATTGCTTGATTACTGCAGATCAAGATCCTTACCTCCGTAGCTGGTGAAGATGACATGAAGTATGCTTCCAGCATCGGAGTTGTGGGTAGTTGGAGAACTGAGCCGGTGCCTGTTACTACCACTAGCGTAGTGAGATTCTTTGTAACTCAACCTCTAAGCAGATTTTCCAATCAATGCCTCCCGAGAAATCTCACCATCTGGGTTACTACCAGAGACAACACAGCGATTCGGTAGTTTTGTCGGCCGTGGAGCTTAGATAATGATACTTTAGTTCATTTGGTGTTAAATCCTCATGGTAATGTGGGTTTGTATGTATCAAACCACATCCCTCCCCCGTTTAAACGTCAGGAACTGTCCGTTTACGGCACAGGGTCTTACGTCTATGCAATTCCCCGCGCTTAATCCACATCTCACGGGTATTGAAGCGGGGTGGGAAGTGGCACGTATAAGAAGCCTGTTTGTTGCGTGAGTGAGGCACAGAAACAATCGTCAAAACCCAAAAACCTCCCAGTGTACCTCAAAGGACGTTCTGTCCTGTTAACCGAAAATTACGTCGTAGTTTAGAGATCTGTTCCACGTAACAATCATCGAGAATCGACTTGTGCAACTGAAAGTGTTGTTGTGTTGGTAAACGCTAGGAATCAACCGTCTGACGGGATGCGCAAGAATCACACTGATATACTATCCCCGGTCCATGACGGAGGGAAGTAAATCAGGCATCTCATGAGTGTCCTTACACGGTTGGCGAGTTTACATGAAGCTGGTTCAAAATGAGGGTCTTTTCAAGTCGTACTTATTCTGAACTGCCATCCGGCCCTGCTTTCGCGACAAAATTGCTGATTTGAGTCCTTTGGGTCTTCATTCAACATCCGCTGTAGATTGTATATTCCCGGGAGATGAAGAGGTGGCGAGAGGCAAATCTTCCTGATCTATCTGGACAGAGAGAAAGCTAGCTGTCAGCCTTTGGTTGTTGGATTACGGTGGAATGCAAATTCCAATTCCCTCGTGTGGCAAGGAAATAAATTGAAGTGTTCAGATCTCGTAGAATAATAAGATAGCTTCCTATTGATGCTAGAAGTTTTCTTACTGGTCCCTCCTGATTTCAGACGTCGTCAATCAACTAGCCACAGTAAACCCTAATATTCCCTCTCAAGACAAGTATCCGCCATAAACGCCAGGAACTCGGTAGATGTGGCACACGAAGGATGTTTGAGCCGCATTCTACTACGCCGTTGATTGTGAGTTTTGACTTCACGAGTGAAGGGATACAAAGATAAGATGTTGACGTTTCGACAAAGTTGGGATGGGTATGAGACACGGTACACTCCACTTACCAAATTATGCATTCATAGGTATAGTCTCGCTGGAGCGGTCGATAGGTCATTGACTGTCTGGAAAGTGTTTGAGGCACAGTCGTATTTCGTGATAATCATGCCTCTTGAGCACAGCAGAGTTTTATTTTACATTAATTGTTATATAAAATCGTCCACCGCAAACGCTAGGAAGTGGCTGGACTCTACGAGCAAAAATCGAGAGATCTTCAGAGTTTAGTGATTTGTGCATGTTGCAAAGTTGTCAAGTGTTTTTGTAGACGCTGGGAACATGTCTTGATGTGGTAGAACTCAAGGGTGGTATGGACGAAGCTCTTACATCATCAATTTAAATTTCTTTGGGTCGAGCTTTTGGCAGACCACATCCCAAGATCCTGTGCTAGTCCCGAGTTTCGTTGGGAGCGCAGTCCTATCACAGAGGCCCAGACACTTGTATGCACTTCAAAGTGTGGGTAGACTCGGAGAGTGAGAATCTCCTTATTGTATCTAGTATATCCTATTCTTAGGTTCAAGATACGTAACTTTGTTGGCAAGTGGCATAACATCGAGTTCTACTCCTCGTTTAGCACGACACAGATGCTGGAAAATGTATTCTATAATTGTAATTATTTCACAAGTATACGAATGTCATAAGACAAATATTGAAGCAGAAGTCGTTTCATAAGGGATGGACTCTGTCTGTCCATAACGTTGAAGTGGCACAATCTTCCCACATAAACAGCTTGCGTTGGACCTCGCAGGACTGGCAAATATATTGTGAGTCTAGAGTGAAATTAAATGACATGCGTTCACATGCACTGGAGTAATTAATGATGATCAAAAGTCTAACGCATAGTCCAAATTCCCAACTCCGACAAAAATTCCCACGACCCAAAACCCAACCAAAACTCCTTCACCAGCCACACCTTACGTCTAAACCACCTCACCAACTCACTTCCTCATTAAGCGCCACAGCCAAACCACAGCCGCTTCAACAACGCCTCAGAAACTCAAGAGTCATTGTTTCAACTATCCTTCGACCTAAAATCAAACCCAAAATTGGTCACAGGTGACTTACCAGCCACGGCCACCCACCCAAACCTCAACCTTAACAAACCAACAACCTTACCTAAAACCCTCACTCACCTACCGATTTACCTACAGTAGGTACCAAAATACCTACCTCAACCCCTCCTCCCCACCCAAATCCCAACCCTCGACCAAAACTCGCTTAATCCATCCACCCCTGAAACTCCCAAACAACAACATTTCATCAGGAAGCGCCTGGCTTTGTTTGGGTTAGCGCGTTGTTGGATGGGGATGTTAAAAATAGATAGTTGAGGAGGGGGAAGAATTTAGTTGTGAGAAGTGAGGGTCTGGCAGTAGTGGGATTTAGGTGTAAGGGACGAAAGAATTTTCGATGAGGTGGAGGGGGGGAAGGTGAGGGTATGTTGGTGATTGTCCTCGTGTTTATGTAGAGAGTATATACCGCATACTTTGTTAAGATGGAATAATATTAGCTGCCCAAGCATACGTCCAAGTCTCCACGTGGGATGTTAATGACTCGTTCATCTTTTCGTGAATTTTGATCGATCGATTCAAATTCTCCCGCATTAGTTTCAAGAGAACGCATGGATTTGGACAAATGAATTGGTATTTTCGGTGGTAAAATTGAGAAATTAATCAGATATGTGAGAGAAGGAAGGAAGGGGGATAAATTGATGCGTGGACGAATTTAGTGAGATGATAGGGCGGACAGAGTGGCATTTGGGGGAAGGTCGAAGTATTGTATATATATGTATTGGAAGTTGGGGGTTGATGAGTTTAAGCAGAGTGAGTTGAGTTGAGGGAGTAGATTGAGGTGGGAAATTTGAATGGTTGTAGGTGTCAAGGAGGAATCTATATGACACTTCAATACTTGCATCTAGAACGGCTTACCGACTCATAGAACACAAGCAATTCAGGCCCACCAATGGATAGACAAAGTCATAATCTAACCCTGTCTCTGAGATGTATCATTATGCCAGCCCAAAAAGAAGCGACATTCCATCACCACCAAACCCACGACACATAACATCAAAGTCTGACAACTCCCTCCATTTCACCCCGCTCTTCTCTTTTCCCAACAGACTCCTCACATATGGAAACTAAAACTACATAATCAACCCATAAACCTTAAGACATATAATCCTCCTGACCCGCAAGTCATAACCATCTGCTTCCCTCCCAAGTGACACCCCAAACACCATAGGCAAAACAATACCATATCCACAAACCAGAACTCAACACCACAGCAAAGCCCCCCTTTATTCCATCCCCATTTTCCTCTCTCCCTCAATCACATCAGCACCCCCCTCTCTCCATTCCCCATTCATTCAAACCCCTTTCACCAACACCCCAACACGCCAACCCCTCAATATCCATCCATCTCATCCCATCCATCTCCCATCTCTCAACCCATCCATCTCCACCCACCCATCCATCTCAACCCACATATTTCGCATTTCCCCACCCCCTCTCGCATCTCCCCAGCTCACCCACCCACCCTATGCCACCACCAAACAAACACAAACACACACCATCGTGAACTCATCTCCTCTCTTAGACCTTCCAAAACCCCCTACAAAAGACATAATCTCACATCGAACTCCATCAAGCGTATATAGAAATAACGTGGAGCTACTAATGACCAATCCCAAAATCTTAAAGTCATGCTCAAGTCTCCGCTATGCTCGAGAATAATCCTACCCATATCTAATCTTCTCAAGTAAAGAGCCAGAATCGAATGACAGCTCTACCTGAATCTCAGACTATATATCGCATTCCTATCCTCACCAACCATCATCTTAATTTAGTTCGACAAGACACCATACTGAATGCCAACACAAACCCAAATCTCATACAAATCTCAAACCCAATAATCATACAGCCCTCACAGTACCTCAACTTTTCAAGCACACATCACCCACACAAAAAGTAATGTATAAATCTATTTCATTCCACGTTAATCTAATATTCGCAATCTAAAATAAACTCTACAGAACGGGGTATAGATATTAAACTCCAAAAACGTGAAAAAAAGAACCGAGTGACCCACAAGTGTAAAGCCACCAGTATACCTCCCCTCTCCCACTGCAATAGCCAAGATTGGATTAACTTCTTAGTAACCAACATTTAGCACCGACAACAGCACAACCCACTAACGAAACAAGCTCCGGATACCCTCAGGAACCATACGACTGCTTTTGAAAACCTTCACCTTCTTCGCAGATTTTTGACTCAAATGTCCAAATGGAGAGGTATGGCCCTGTTGAGCTGTCTCTTTCTCTTCGACGAGCATGTCAGGTACATTTGGCGCCGATGCAGCCCGATTCATAGTCTGACCAAAACTATTTGCGCTAGACGTTCTCAGCGGAGGAGTGATGTGTCTATGACCATCGTGCCCCAACCCTTTCTTGACTGACGCAGTGGCCATTCTTCTGAGCGTACTCGCAGGACTACCATTTGAAGCACTGCGGATTCCTGGGATAGTATCAAATGAGCCAGTTCGGATATTCTCCTTTTCATCCTGAATAATCGAAAGCCGAGACATTGTCGGATCGTCCGAGTCTTGTCGACTGCTACCATCGTTTGGGCTGTGTTCTGTTTGAGGCGAGTTCGTCCGAGCCCTGTTTGATTCAAACTCATTCCCAAAGTCATCATCGGCCGTCTTCTGAAGACTGGTGATACTGCCAGATCTCTTGGTGAAATTACTTGCAATGCTTGCAACACTGAGCTTTCGCATCATGGAACTTGCAGAGGCACGAACGAGGTGCTCACTGCGTGCTCTCCCACTCATTCCGGGGTAAGGCAAAATATCTCGGGACCAGACGTCAGCAAGCAGATTTTCTAGACGAATTCGGTCAGCTCGTGTCGATGCAATGATTGGAACGCGATTAGTTGTCAGAAGTGATTGCGATCGATTGATATTTGCTGACGATGACGACTCCTTGAATGCATTGGTATTCTTGATGATGACCTGACAAAGTCCTGTTGTGGGACCAACTGTTGTAGCTCTGTGGATTGAAAGTCGTCGAGCCACCGTCCCTACTTCTTGTTAGCTGAATCAGAGCAAAGGCGCTGTTACTCTTACCAGGCTTGCCAAAGACTGTTCCCATAGACTTGATTGGCAGAGATAGCCTCGTGAGAATAGCTTGTTCGCCAGCATCCAGTGGATCTTTGCAAGAATGATCCGTTAATCGGCTTCGCCACTCTAATTCTTCTTTGGGAGAACATGCGCTCATCGTGATCTCGAAAAGCTGATGATCGCATTCAAATACCAATTTCCATGAGAATGGTACCGTATGACATTGCAAGCCTAGACAGTGATCAGCGTTATGATTTACTTGTTTTGTAACTCAATATGTTCGATTTACCCCTTCCGTTGTCCACCTCCTCAATCTTCAGCTCATGAAGGGCAATGCATGCCTGAATACTATACACCTGATCTGACTTCGAAGCAGAAGCGAGTAGCAAGAAATCTCGATAGAGCAAGCTGATCAAATATTGACCATTAGCACCCTCTTTTGTTTGCCATGAGATGTGCAAAACTCCACAGAGATGAATCCGACCAAGGGAACGGATTGCACTTCTTGAACGGGTTTCAGGCTAGGATGGTGTCAGTGTGGTTGCAAATGAGTCTACAATATGCTCTTACCCTATCAGGAAACACCAATCGGTCTTGAAGCAGCCATGACTTTTCTATAATGACCTTCATTCGTGGATCATCTGTAGCTCGGTTTATCTCCCTGGTGGCTTCTCTCAGTCGAATCAAGACGTTTTCAATGGCCATATGAGAGTCTGGGCAATCACAGACTGGTGTCTGTTTCAGAAGCTCCGCCAACAGAAGCGGATATTTGCAAACCCTTTGAATTGGCTGATGGACGTCAGTAAGACTCAATACAGTCCAGTCTCAAAGCTTACCTTGACCAGTAAGTCACCCACAGTGAGCGACTTCTTGGAACCACTCTGCTGATTATTGATAGAAGCGAGAGACGATGCCAGCGCCTCTAATCCTTTTTGATAAACCTGCCATTGTGGGATTGTCCGATAAGTTGACGCAACGTCTTTGATCATTAGCTCGTACTTGGCACCGTACTCTTCATATATGAAAAATCGGCTCATCTGTCATACATTAACAGGGATCTCATTACATTTGTGAAATTACTTGCCTTTTTACCAAACACATTGGCGACTTTAGCAGCGATCTCTGGTTCTGCTGTCATACCAGGAACTTTTTGAAGCCAAGAAGACCCTTTGGAGTTCTCTGGAACGGCATCAAGGCTTCGCCATCTATGGTGACCGCTAACTGGCGGGGAGAGTGAAGACTCCGCGTGATCTGCTTGCGTATATTCTGAATGAGGAATAACGCGGTGAAGTTCTCCCAGAAGTTCTTCATGAAGCTCTACAATTTCGTTGAGATTGCGGTTGATCGAAGTGCGAAGACTTAACGACAAGCTCGGAATTGATGCCAGTAGGGTAACGTAAACCTTGAGATGTATTAGAAGACATCAAGTATCCGTTGACAATCAACTTACATTCATCAAAAATTTGACATCTGCAAGATAACTCTCTTCCGTGCTGATGATCTCCTCCAGAACTCGACGTCGTCGCAAGAGTCTATTGGTAACAGCCTGATCAATGACAACACCTCGAGCAAGGTATGAGCTGTCTTCAGATAAACGAGCGACATGTGAAGCATTATTGCTGCGGTCTGTCTTGTGGTTCCTCGAAGAAGAAGCTGCGGTCCTTCTTGACCTTGGAGCAATGCTGATGCTTGCGAGACTGATGCTTGCACTTTTCATCGCTGTAACAAATCCGAATGATGATCCCGACGAAGATTTCTTGTGTTCCGATTTCCTTTGTGTTCTTGGCGAGTCCAAGTAATCTTTCTTCATTGACGTGTCGTGAGTGTCACAGCTCACCGTTTTCCTTCGCTGTCCAGCTCTTCGGTGTATGGTACTAACCCACTTCTTGAAGGGGATCTCGGATTCCACTGGATGTGAACAGTTTGCAAGACTATCAACATCATCTAGGGAAAATCTGTGCCGGATTATCTTTTCCTCAGTTTGCAGGCCTTCACCGTTGAATGACAATCCTAAAGCAGCAATATTATCCAAAGTGTTCCAGAGCTCGCCTTCACCACTTGATCCAGGATCTGAGGCTAAGTCGACATTAAGAAGGCCAGCTTCGCTTGTTACAGGTTGAGAAACTGACGGAGGAGGGATTGGAGTTCCCCAGCTTGTCTTTCGAGAAATGTGTGAGGAGGACCGTCGAATTCGAGTTGGCGTCGATAGCCCTGGGGTTGTGTCTTGTGGAGGCATAATTGGGAGATCCATTTTGTGAGAAAAGGAAACCAAGAAATGATAATACAAAATTTGTTCCAAGAAACCAAGAAAGACTTGCTGGAAGCAAACAGCAAAGTCGGGCTAGGGCATCAAAACATGCTTTGCAGGATGAGAATGAGGATCAAAAGGAGAGACGAGTTCTCGACTTGACAGAGAATACAGAAACCAAAACTTAGCTTCTGCAAATCCTAGAGAGGAAGTCGCAATGAAGGCTATTTCACCTGTTGTAAGAGCTTCTCAGGAAGGAAGGCTCGACGAGGGCCGTAGCTCCATACTTCATACTGTTAAAAAACGCAGTTGGGGAAAAGAACAAAAGACCATCTTCAAACCGTTAGTAAAATTCCGAATTCGAAATACGCCGAGAGCTTTTACTAGTAAGGCCTATAGTGTACTGAGTATTGAGATGAGAAGCTCCTCGTCTGTGTCGAGTCGCGACGAAAATAACTTTACCCACTTTTACTTTAAGTGGAGCTTTCCGAGCATGGACCCCCGATCGTTTTTACCCCGCCAAAACGCGTCTTTCGTAGCCTGCAGCAAGGCTGAATAGCAGATGTCGCATCCAAAAATGTTTGCCATAGACCAACTTTGAACTCAGAGAAATGGGATTACCTCTCAGAATGGAAAACCTACACGCTCCGACTGTACAGTCTGGCCCAACATCGGGTCCAGCAAGCACAAATGGCACCCAAACGAGTGGAATGACTTTCGCTCAACTCCAAGCCAAGAAGGACAATATTGAAGCTGAAATGAGTGCTCTGGGGTCCGTACTTCAGTCGGTATGTCACATTCAACTTAAAACGTTGCAAGTCTGATTGATTATAGCATGGAGTTGACATGAATACAAGGTTGATTACCCCCGACGGGTTTCCTCGAGCAGACTTGGATGTAGCGCAAAGTATGCCCAAACTTGCGGTACGAGATGAAGTATTGACTGTAGACCAGTTCGAACTACAAGAACACGAATTATTTATCTACGAAACGATCACAAAGCCCTCATGAACGTTATCGAAAAGTTTCTACACGAGCATTTCGCAAGGCAAGCAGCACTTGGAACTGGGGATGATGCGACAAACGAAACAAGCAATACAGACATCTTATCTGCCTCATCGTCGAGTATAGAACAGCCTGCCGGCCCACCTTTTGCTAAAGTGAACAGCGTAGTGGACAACAGTCCCGCGGATACAGCTGGTTTGAAGGCTGGAGATGAGATTCGGAATTTTGGATACGTGAACCACTCAAATCATGATGGGCTGAAGAGGGTTGGAGAGTGTGTTCAGGGCAATGAGGGGGTAAGTCGGACGGAATCACTTGTTATTGACTGGGGCTAACTATGAAGCGTAATATTTTGGTGAAGATATCTAGATCCACAGGTGCCTCTCGACGGCAAGAACTCCAATTAACGCTGACACCCAGGAGAGACTGGGGTGGACGTGGTCTGCTGGGCTGTCATATTTTGCCAATATAACGGAGCTACTTTATCAAAAAGAAAGGAAAAGGAAAAGGAGTAAGAATGGTGCTGGGTTTCAGATCGGGTATTTGAAGAATCAAACAGGCCCTTCAACTATTCTCAACTTTGAAAGGATATTCTCCTTTACGCAACTCATAGGATAGCATTCCATATCAGCAACAGCATTCTATATGGTGTGATGGAATATGGAAATTAAAGATAGCATGTACACTAGGATCCAAGTAGATTTAGCCTCACTTGATGATTGCCTTCCAAAAAACACTATGTCAGGACACTAGACGGACATGAAGTAGTGATTTTGGGGTTTGTTTAAGGCAACATCTTATAAGAGTGACTTGAACGATTTCACCTGAGTTAGTATACTTGAATAATAATTTTTTTGCCATCGTAATCTTCTCTTTCTTCACAAAAGATTTCTCCTAGGTTGTATCTAGTTGATTGGTCGAGGCTCAGGCATCAAGGCCGTCACATGACCATGCACTAAGCGAGGAGTCCAAACCTGAAGTCACGAAAACATCGGTGCACCCATCAAAACAGCCTTGCATCTTCAAATCATACTCCACCACGTCCTCAGTGAAGCGCAGTACTAAAGGTCAGTCATAAATACCTTCTCTCGACATCTCAAACATTCTAAAGGTCTGCGGCGTGGTTAATCTGTATACTAATTACTTTATCGCAGTCTCGAACATCTAGCTCGCTCTGTTTACCTCTTTTTTCCTCAACATCATATTCAGTAATCATGGCCGAAGCATCTGGAGTCCCAACCTTCAAGCTTGTCCTTGTCGGTGATGGAGGAACTGGAAAGGTACGCAGACTTCGTTTGCGCGATACCTTCACTGGTCACTTCTGAGCTCGACATCGAGTATCGAAGCTAACCACTAAGGTGGCGCATTGCTGTTGCTTCCGGAAAACTAACATCAAGATAGACCACCTTCGTCAAGCGTCATTTGACCGGAGAGTTCGAGAAGAAGTATATCGCCACTCTTGGTGTAGAAGTCCACCCTCTCGGGTTCAGCACCGTACGTTTATCGCACACCTATCTCTGGGTATCATTCCATAGCTAATATGGCGGTAGAACTTGGGCCAGATCCAATTCGATGTATGGGATACTGCAGGACAAGAGAAGTTCGGTGGACTCCGTGATGGATACTACATCAATGGCCAGTGCGGTATTATCATGTTCGATGTCACATCCAGAATCACCTACAAGAACGTCCCCAACTGGCACCGTAAGTTTGACTATCAAAGACGCTTCTTCGTCGACCGTTTACTAATACACTATTTTAGGTGACTTGGTCCGCGTGTGCGAAAATGTCCCAATCGTCCTGACCGGAAACAAGGTTGATGTCAAGGAGAGAAAAGTCAAAGCCAAGACAATCACATTCCACCGAAAGAAGAACCTCCAATACTACGATATCTCTGCAAAGTCCAACTACAACTTCGAGAAGCCTTTCCTTTGGTTGGCCCGCAAGCTCGTCGGCAACCCAACTTTGGTATATTTTGCATGATCAAGTCTATTATTACCCCGCTAATATCAGAATAGGAATTCGTTGCTGCTCCAGCGCTTGCCCCACCAACCGCCCAAGTTGATCAAGCCCTCCTTGACCAATACGCCCAAGAGATGAAGTCCGCTGCCGATCTACCACTTCCAGATGAGGATGACGCCGATTTGTAGATGGCTTTAGACCTCCATGATGGGGCACTTGCCAGCTCCTCTCGACAGTATCTTAGAATGTTATTTTCGTCGATTTGTGCATCTTGTCGGTAGGGTCTTCGCAGTTAGAGGCAGATGGCAGGGAAACTTTTCACGGTATGAAACGCTCTGCGGGGTGAACAGCGAGCACCAAGGTGTGAGGAATTTTGGGGGGTTTTATGAGCGATGACACACAATACCTGAACTGGACAGGACTTCGACCAAATACTGCGTTGAGCAGCTTTGTAGCTAGATCTTAAAAGTCATAGTCTTTCTTGAGACAACCAAATTTCTGATTTACTTCAATTTCGAGTAAAGTGGGGTAGCTGACGCCATGGAAAATCCCCCACCACAGCACCATGAAAAAAGAAAGAATCTGTGCGGGGCCTGCAGCTGGAAGGATGCATCAGTCTTTCATTTTCATCCACAGATCCTTCGAAGCAGATCCGTAGGTACCTAATTAATCAAGCCGCAGTTGACACTTCCTTTTATATATCTATTTCGAACACTGCCATACAACATTTTAATCCGTTTCCTCTCCCAGCAAAAGAGCTTCTCAAGTTCTGTTATCGAAAGCCTTGGATATTTGGTTTCTTCTCCCAAACTAACTGGTAGGTTAACTCGACGCCTATCCTACGTTCGTTGGTAAGATTAACACACACGAATCAAGATTGACAGTGTGCTTGTTTGTCCATAAATTGATCTTTTAATGTGCCTTGCTTGCTGTTGAGGGCTCTTCACATTATGATCTGTGGTCTGAAAATTGGTAGTAGACTACTTCCAGTCTTATCGAGGTTATATCTGTTTACTGGAGTTGTGGTCTAGTCTTGAGAAATAAGTGTCGTTGGAGTTCATCAATCAGCAGATTGTAAAACTTGCAATTGGGAATGCTTTGGTGATGATTAGCTACCTAGTGTGAGCTCTTAACGCCTACTTTAAAACATATTCTGGGTTTTCTTCTAAATTATTTCCTGGGGTCATAAAGAGCGTTACCAAATGTTATCGGATTCATAACTTTTATCCTGAAAAAATATCTAAACTCATCACAAAATCGAGATCCTCAGACCCAAGTATCATGAAGTGGAGGAAATGAAAAAGTACAACATTCTGTTGACTAGACTTTGCATTCCTCTCAACCGCTCATTTGCAAATGCATTGTAGGTCAAACACCCAGACCTAGACCATTCAATCACATCTTATCAAAGATTTTTTTAATTCTAATTTATATTGTAGGCAAAAGGAAACAAAAACAAAAACAAAGTCAACGTCAAATGTAAACACAAAACTAAAGATATAAACAACACAGTCAAAAAGACATTGGGTTAAAATATGATTTCTGATTTCCAGGCTTAAAATCTTTCTGTAACTCATCAAACACTATATCTTTCTTTACTGATGAAGGCACATCTATTTCTAAGGCTTTATATTTACTAATATAATCAAGGATCTTGCGGTTCGGCCCGGCCCACTCGTCGAAGTCCATTTTAATGATTTTATACATGGAAGGGTAAGGTATAGAAGAGGATTATAATCTACTACCTTAGAAGACAACCACACGGGACTTAATCAAATGAGATTTTGATTTTAGGTCTAGTATGTTTTTTGAGAGTTAGCATTTGGATTTTTGGAAATTGATTAATGTCATTTCTTTCGCCAATCTCACCACTCCGGAGGACTGAGAAGTACATAGGTTCAAGTGCTTGCATCGATTGATTATTCTATTCATGAATTCACATTCAACTAAAACAAAATTACGAATAGCTGCAATCAAAAGGCATTAGATTTCTTTGGGCGAACTTTTTTGGTTTCAAATATGGTGTTGCTATTATGATTCAACGCGTAAAACGTTAATCTATTGACTTTGTGACTAAAAATGGTTTGGGCTCGCTTGTGCACGACGCGACGAGACCGCGTTCCATTAGCACACCCCATTTCGCATTTTGCTTAACCTCACTTCCTACAGTATCAATTGACATCCACCACCGCGCTTTATTTTTGAAGCTCTTACAAATTAAAGTATTTATTTGCATATCATTCCTTTACAGGTACTATTTATACAGGAATATCAGAGTGCGCATAGCACCATGAATGACGCGTTACCGCCACCCCGCTCTTCTCCAGAACCGATCGAGGAACTTGCTCGACTTGCAGGAGAACGGATGGAGCAAAACCAAGCTATGGACAGGAAGCAGCGGTCCTCTTCTGCTGCTGGGGAGGACGAATCTGGGGATGTTGAGGGGGAGAGAACACAGAACAAGCAGCGGCGCAAAAGGACGACGTACGTACCAAGGACTTTCACATATATCAACTGTTCTGCCTCACTTTGGAACGCTCAGATGATACAATATCTTCAGTAATCACACTTGCGCTCATGCTAACGTTCCTCTTCAAGGCCCCAAGACCAAGCTAAACTCGAGGCGGAATATAAGTTGAATCCCAAACCGAACAAAGCTGCACGCGCCGAGATAGTAAAAAATGTGTCGCTCAACGAGAAAGAAGTGCAGGTGAGCATTTCATGATGGGCGCGTCTTCTGTCGAGTTGACGCGTGTGATATAAGTCAATTGACAGCTAATGGAAGCATAGATATGGTTCCAGAATCGACGACAGATAAATCGGAGAAAGTCGCGTCCACTACTACCACATGAGATTGCAGCTTTTGGACTCGGAGGAATGCCCGCCTTGTCTTCGGATCCTGTATCGTCATCGTCTTCTAGTGGTCCGGAAAGCGAGGAGAATGGTGCTGGGTCAAAGGAGGTCGCAGCAATTCAAGAAGACGTAGCAAGTCATGCACTAGAACTTGTCGAACCACGAAATGCAAATGGGAATGTGGAGGAGGAACCTGAGTTAGAAGTCATACCTTCGAGCCAAGTAGACCCGGATCTCCGGGAAGACCTCAAGGAGCAAGCTGATGCGGTTGTGGAGGCTATGAGCAACCCCAACAGCTCCTCCTCTGACAACGTCTCCAAGTCGTTCTCGTCAACGCCTGGTTACTTGGCCAATCGGTGGAATACTATGCATAGCTCTTTTTCGACGCCATCAGCATCCCAAGTACCAATCGCCACGACACCTCCAGTGTAAGTCCTGTAAATGAAAAACATACGCTTTCTTGACTGACCAAACACCTTAGTGCCGCAATAAGTCAACCATCATCGTGTCCCGAAAGACTTGAGAGCTCTCAGCGCACTCCATCCTCTCGTGTGCGTTTATCGATGTCTCTGGACGGTAAAGCAGAACTTATTGAAGGGGAATCATCGCCGTCGCCACCCCGAGCAATTGCTCCACGTCCGACCTCCTCCTCCTCTTTCCTTCAGCGGAATAGAAGAACGCTCCAAAGAAGTCAAAGTGCTTTACCACTCACTTTCCCAAGACCTGACAGCTCGCCACCTATTCCGTTCGCTCCTCAAATGCCCTCAGGTCGCTCTAGAGATGCTCGTACATGGGAATTCTGCTGTGATGCAGATGCTCAAGATGAACTAACAACCCAAGCTGAAAGTGAGACAGCAGGATCGGCTGTTGCTGCAATAGGTCTACTTAGGTCGACAAGCAACTCTGGACTAAAACCAAGTAGCAACAAACGGAACGCACCGGCTACAAAACGAGATGGTGGTGCAGCTGGAAAAAAACTCAAATTGGGGAGGTCGACTTCAAGCGTGGCAAGGTTACAAAATACTCCTATGACATTGAAGCTGCCACAACCGGAGAAGGACGTCCCGGCGAAGGATAGTCTGGTACGATCGCCTTCCGGAGATTCCGACAAAGAGAACTGGGCTCCCCCCGAGAATGGCGTTAATTCTCGAAGACGACCATTACCATCGGGCAAAACTACCAAGCAAAGCGCTCCTCGGGCAGTCCTTGGTGACAACACTAATGTACCAACACACGCTCTGAATTTCGGCGGGCCCGAGAAAAGACGACGAAAGAACAAAAACGCGACTGTTGAGATCCTCGAGGACCAGGAGAATGTACCAAACGAAGGCGGCGAAGTAGAGAGCTTTATGAAAGGTGCGGTTAGTCCGAGTAAGAAGGGTGATTTGGACTGTGTTCAGGGGTTACTGTCTTTGAGTCAGGGTAACTGGCGGTAGTAATGTAGGAAATTTGTGGGTGGAAAGTTATGAGGATCTAAAGGGTTGGATTTATGTCGAGTCGATGTATGTTTGGGTGGCGATCGCTTACGGGCGACGTCTTGATTTTGGTATCATTCTGTTAATATTTGGATTCACTTTGTGTCGGGATATGATACCATTAAACGGAATGATAAACGATTTAACACACAATGTGCCAGAATTGTGTCCTCACCATGCCCAACAATGGCGATATTCAGGTTCTACAGACGAAACCATATCCTTGTTTAAACAATTTTTGTCTGTTGTTACCAAGTCTTCCATCACCTCCGATACAGATCTACAGTTCTCATGCCGTCAATCTGCCGTCCTGGCTGCTTATTGAAATTTCGCATCCGTGCAAGTTAGCTACTACAATAGTACCTTCACCTCATCCACTCCGGTAGTCTTTGTGTTCCTAATGAAGCAAATACAGGCTCTCAAATCGGTACATATCGTTCACTGAACCATGACGCTACTTCAAACCTCTTATCTCAGTCAGTTATTATTTCTAAGGCCACCAAATATCTTTCTAGACGCCGTGTAGTATATTTCTTGAATGAATTCATATTAGCCTTGTGAGCTAATCTCGGCAGTGGAAAAAGCAGGTGGATTGAAGACAGGGAGATGAGACGTTGTTGGTAGTACCAGGTACCCCTGAGTTATGAAAGCACATAAGTACTACATCTGTATGCCTGGCACGCTATGAATCTAAACACAGTAGCGGCACATCATTTAAAAAGAAGAAGATATGTCATGTAAATATCTTTGTGATTCTGTACTTGGGTATCTGAGCCACATCTCACTCTTGACAACGCCAGCTATACTCTTATCTTTGTTACTCGTTTGTCCCTACGTCTTACTCCACAATCTACTACTCGCCGTTTCGATGCACAGTTGAGATTCATAGCCATATTTCTGATTTCTCCGTATTTCTTGCCTCTGCGTCTCACTCCGCAATCTATCACCGGCCGTTCCCGCTTGATGAGACTACCGCTGGCTTTTTCCAATTCCTATCATCGCCACTAGCAGATCCTGATATATTAAGCCCCTTGACTAGAATAGTATTTAATCCGAAGGTTAGTCTCAATTTCTGTGATGGCCTTGTCGAACGCAACTTGTCCTTCCCGCACTTTCGGATGTTGTTGCACAAGAAACTGCCAAAGAAGTTCGGTACGTGTGACGTCCCATGGTGGGCTCACTCGGAAGCTCTTCAACCCCTTCAAATTCTGCAAAGCTTCGCTGTTTTCGAACGTAAGTCTCAGTAACTGGAGGAACTGGTTCACCGCAGCCCCATCATCCTTAGCATCCCAAATAAAGTTAGCATCTAATTTCTTGGGGCCAAACTTTATTGTTCTTACCCTAGAATAACCCATTCCTTTAACTAAAGTAGAGCGATTATCGACGCCAAAAGACAATGCGAGGTGTTGCAATGACGGCATTTTATCAATCGCGGCCCAAAGAGACTTGGGTGGAAAGAGGTTATACCGATAATGCACCATCCATGAAAGCGACAGCGAATGAATATTAGCTGTGTGGAACGGATTGGCGGCGTAGCGGAAATACTACCTGCTATCAGTTGCTTGTGCTCACACGGTATAGAAAAGTCATTCAACACCTACACGGACCATTCCGTACTGGCCATCAAAATGGAATTTATTGAATTGGTAGAACAAGCTTGACCCATTGACCTCGAGATATGTTTGTTTGCATGTACACAGCAATGCAGCGAGATTGTCAGTTTCTAGTTACATAGTCAGTAATTATGCCAATGATCTCTCCAGGATAAGAGCAAGAGAAGGTTGACGGACCTGTAGATGATTGGAAAACCCCGCTCCTGAATTTATCTTTTTGCCAATATGTACGTGGCATAATATGTGGCCAACATTGAATCAATACTCGATAAATCTTATGACGAATCTCTAGGGGTAGCTTTAGGAGTCGACTAGAACTGGGGGCGATATTTTTGGCCCATTCGACAGACTGCAGGCGGCATTAGAAAGGTTATTCGTCATGTCTGAAAGTCTTAGTAATCGAGGTGAGGGAACTCACATGTATGCCAACTGCAAGAGCTTGCCTCCCTCTTGTCATGGGACCGGGATTGTCGACCTTAGAATGGATTGCCTTTACCGTCCGGTCAATATGGGTCCGTTTGGACGTGAAGGTTCAACTTGGACTCACCTCGGAAGTGTCATGTACGCGCTCTTGACCTTTGTCCCTTGTTGCGTTTCGTTTTTTGATCGGCAGACCTGGCGAGCTTTTTCTCTTTCTTTTGGAGCCCATGACTGTCGTGGGTTCTCAGTAATGCAGCGCCTGTCGAAGTCGAGACTGAATGTATAAAGATGAGATATTATATGTGTGGATGGAGAACCAAACACGTAAAAACACGCTAAAGTTGACGAGCCTTACGCAGTAGTGGTTGGCTGATTCCCATTCAATTCACCCTGTTGGATTAGAATTTAGGTGCATCTGTAATAAGAAACAAACACCGGAAAGACACTCAATTGGTGATTCACTAAACGACTTCGTGTACTGTACCAAGTCCGTGTACACACATATGCAGAATTTGTGTTGATGACACAGAGGTCTGAAGATATCAGTGAATGAATGATTATTAGCACATACATGGGACTATTTTGAAAATTGTTAGTATAAATATCAAGTTTTTGAACATCAAAACGTACCAGAGAGAAGATGATGAAGCTGGGTGTGTCTTAAGGAGAATGGTTGTTTCATTATCTTGCATTAAAATGAGTGAGAAGACAAATTCACCTTGAGAATCAGCGTGAAATTAGAGGCCGATAATGTTTCTAATTTCATCATGTTTTTGGTTACTTCGAGATAATTAATTGCCCTCTTGAATTGAATAAATCTATAAGTGTATCGGTGAACTCACCATCTACCTCTATCTAAGGGATGCCCCGAAACCGTGTATGTCTAAGGCGAGGTCTCTGTAAGATCTATGTATCTATGCACATAGGCAGCGTCTATGCAGCTTTCGACGAATGCAATTTGGGTGTTTCTTCAGTAGGTGTCTCGGTCTCTTCTGGGTAACTAGAAGACACAGCTGTTAGTATGGGTTAAGATATGATGGAGAACATGCGAAACTAGACTCACTCTCCAGGGGTCATGTAATATGTTCCGAATCCACTCTTCCCCAATCCACCCCCCTTCATTTCTGTAACCTCCAATTCAATCAATTGGCCCCCTGTTTCATCATGATCACTACCTTCAGCAAACTTGAAGATCCGATAATCCGCATTATGATAACCCTTGTTGGACACCCCGACTCTCAGGAAACCGCTATGAGAAACCACAGCAATCACCTTTTCAGGTCTGTCACGCAGCCATTTTCTCGCCTCAACACCTCTCCTCGTCAGTGCTTGCCTCGAAAATGAGTAAAGATCGGTTTTGGATGGATATATTGGATCAACAACACTCCAGTCGAACTGTGGCCACCTCTTCTCCATCTCAGCGATCGAAGTACCCGTGTCACATGGCTTGTCTGAATTCTCCTGCTATTCGGGACGCAAAACAACAGGTACGCCCCGTTCCATCAGCCAACCTAATCCGTTAGACGCGGTTTGCAGGGTACGTTCCATTGGTGAGATGACAATGAGTTCAACATTTTGTGCAATAGGGTCTTTCTGAAGTGCTTCTGAAAGTTCTTGACATTGAGGACCGAATCCTAATTCGGAGAGTGGTGGGTCATGAATTTCATAGTCTTGTTCATGTTGTTAGTTTTAAAGCTGACGGCGGTGTGGGGGATTACTTATTGGCTACATCTGTGTTTTGTTAGCTATTTTCCAAATTGAGGAAATTGAGACTGACTGTGTAAAGCTTGAGCATGTCGGATTAAAATTACGGTGGGCGGCATTTTCAATATTCTCTTTCAAGAGACTCTCTGGAACTTCAAGCCGAAAAATCAGCCAGGAGAATTGGAAGACAATGTCTCGAGATTGAGAAGGAATATCTGTGAGTGTTCTAACAGGCGGCTTGCTATCTACCAATCACGTACCCCTGTCACTCATATTGACCCTCTTTAGGCTTTGGGATCCACAATAACGACTTGTATCGCCTCCCGAGGTTCTTCTCAGTCATCTCCAACCTCACCACAGTCATTACCAAAAGTCATGAGTTTTCGGGCAACGCCAGCGTTTTCCAGTGGAATCAAGAAGCCAAAAAAGCCAGCTGCATTCAAGCGCAGCTCATCAGGTTCAAATCCGTATTCTGCCCTTGCGCGGCGTAAACCAATCTCGCGATCGTCAACCAAGCCAGAGGAGCCTGATGAGGATTTCTTCGGTGAACGTCTGGATGACTTGGGTCTTGTAAGAGCCCTGGCGGAGGATCTTACCTTAAGGGATGTTCCACAAGCTATGTTGTTTGTGCAGAGGAGGATGTGGAGTGTGCTGCCAGAACAGAGAACGGGAATGAATTCTACAAGAATAGCAGAAGTCTTGAACTTCCGAACGAACCTACCGCCCGTCGTCACAGTCTCGCATGTGCAAGCGCTATTGAACTCCCCTACCGTCGTGGAAAGAGAGATAGCAGATCTTGTAAGAAGAGGTGCTGTAAGGAAGATCGTGGTTGGAGGACGCGGACATCTGGGGGAGATTTTGATACTTGTGAGAGAAATGCAGGCCATAATTGAGCGGAGCATGATTGACACTGAGCTCAAGAGGAAATTCGTGGCACTGTTAGGAGAACATCCGACAGCCTTGAAGATTTCGAGCTCACGCCTTGCACCTGGAGAGATTCAACAGCTGATGCAGGCAGGCTTCCTCACGTCTGCTACTCCAAGCTGGACGACTTCAGATGCTTTTTCGAAGCCAGGAGAAGGATCAAGAGGCACGATGACTTCTCTCAATAGTATATCGAAAGCTGCCTCTGGGTCTCTTGCAGCTGTAGGGGGGGAGGGTGCTGTTCACGCGGCAGGAGGTAGCGGAGGGGGTGCGAAAACGCTCTCTACACAAGCAGAATACTCCCTGTCGCTTCCCACAACAGGACCTTTCCTCAAACTACTGGCAAATGCGAGAGCACATTTCATGTCTCTACTCTCAAAATCGAAGTATCGAGAAGCTCCCGAGTCATTGCTCCTTCAGCGATGGGATGGTGGGGTCGCAGCAGACGACGAGGCAAGTGCAGCTAGAAGGAGTCGTGGTGAGTTTGCTGGCATCTTACCGGGGAAAACAAGGAAGTGGAAGCTTTTCTACGGTGTCTCTTTCGACTGGATTTTGGCCGAGTGTGTCGGAGCCGGACTCGTTGAAGTTTTCAATACCGGCAGTGTCGGAAGAGGTATTCGGGCTTTATGAGGAATTTTGGCCAAAGAAGTTGCACTACAAAAGACCAAAGCTCCATCTTCGACCGCAGATGCAGTTACGGACAATCCAGTACCACCAGTACCACCAGTACCACCAGTACCACTCTGCCGAGTATATGCCCATCCGAGTCTATCGCTCCCCTAGCTGGGCGCTTTGCAGAATCCGGAGACATGACGCATCTCAAAGTACATAAAGATGCCGGCATTTGGGATCCGGACGGTTGAGGTAAGGTACGACGATACCGTAGAGACAGCCACTATCGATTCCTTTATCGATGTAGCCCACTATCGAAGAGGCGAATTCCATCCAACCGCAGGACTGAGGCAAGAGAAATGAAAAGTTGTCAGATCTTTATTTTAGAAATCCCTCCTTACCAAAAGCGGCCCGATTTGGAAGTAACCTGGGCAAGGTGGCATGTCAATCAAGTGATTTTCAGGGATGCATCACGTCTTTTGCATGTGAGTTTCCCAAAAGAACGGTAAGGTGGTATTGAGACCCCCGCTATGTGAGGATCGCAATTTAGGGAGAATGTCTGAGACCGTCGACCCCTCCATTGGTATACGATGAAGGATGTCGACTCCACGATTGAGATGTTCACTTTCTTGACGTGAAAACCCCGAAGCCGAAGACAGATTCTATCTATGCAAACTTACCAATGATTACCAGTCTAGGAGACGTCCAGCTCCCATTATGTTGCGTAGCCAGCAGTGAATATTTCCCCGAATGCACCAAGAAACGATGGGAGCGGCCGGCTTCATTTCTAGATCGAGACGTTCAGACCAAACACAGTCCTCTAATATACCTTAAAGTTGAGCTTGTGGTACCAAAGAAGATTACCCCTGAGTTTTAAGCTCCTCAAAATTATATGAGAGCCGGTCCGATGTGGCTTGCACTTCAACGTCGCCCAATCATCATCACTTCCACCATTTCGTGCCACCTTCCTTCGAAAAGATCAGAACCTGTGGATCTTGAAAGGTCCGGAGGTTTGCAAATGCTTGGTGTTTGTATTGGAAGAGAGCACAGAGAGGCAATGTTGAAACTTGTCAGGTGCGACCTTCCTTTTTGCGGGCCGCGAATGTCATTTGTCGCTGGGGACTCTGGAAGCAATCCATCCAATTTGCTTGCACAACATGTCAATGATGAGAAGCGTGGTATGGGAAGCTACATGTGCGACCACGCGGCGCCAGGGACCAGGCGAGGTGAGTACGAGCTGGAGAAAGAAGAACCATTGTGATAGATCTCTTACGTGAATTGACGTGGGGAGATATTGGGAATTTGGGGACGAGTACAAGTAAATGAAATGTTTGAGCCCAACGCCCAAACACGGCCTCAAGGGGAAATCATAGGATGTCGTGGTGTCAGTTGACATTGTGCGTGGTGAGGTGCTTGCATCGAGTATCCGGGACGTACAATTCGTCGTACACATCGTTCGTGAAGGCTCCATGGCCGGCCTTTGATCTGGTGTTTCCCCAGTTCGTGGAGATGTAAAGAATAATCTGCGCTGGTACCCAATTTCCATCGATAAGAGAACAAGAACTAGGGAACAGACGGCGCCCGGTGCACCTGATGCCACCTTACTACAAATGGACGGGACAAATTAGATGAAATTCGTGACCGGCCTTTTTTTGACACCTCCTTTCCCTTCCAGGGCTGGTCTTGGTCGAGCCTTGGACGACGGGAGTCGTTAGTTAATATCCTCACTTAGTACCTACTCACTCTAATCGCTCTAATCCATCGTCTGCTTCTGCAATCTACCCGTCCGTCAATCACATATCTTCATCAGCCTATTCATCCACCAGGAACGAAGCAGCCACGGCACAGTTGGTTTCCCTGCTGCCTTTGCATCCTGCACACGGAGTTCTCGTCGACGGCATCACCCTCTCCCCCACCGACACTCCTTCTACTCGAGCGAATTGGAACCCGACGATTCTATCTACGCAAGCCCGCGGCATCCACCACCCACACCACCCACGCAAGAAGAGACGACGAGCAGGGTCCCCAGCCGAACCTGCATTTGCATCCTCGACTCGATGCAACAAGCTCGCTGACATTCTTTTTTGCTTCCCCCATTTTGGTCCACGAGAGTCGCGTTGTCGAGTACTGTCTCCCCTCACCAGCGTCATCGTCGCTGCTTCCTCGATAGCTTTGCGAAATCACCGCCAACCCGATATACTTTCAGTCAGATCTCGAAAAACTTCCGACCAGAACAACGCGTCAAACACCTCGAGCTTCTCAAACATCGCCAACTTCCGGCGCTGTGCAAGCCGGCTGCAGGTTCCCTCTTGTCACCGCATACCGCAACCTCGACGATATCACACCCATTATCGACACCTACTCCGTACCAAAGTCTCTTCCTTATCCTGGACACAAACCGATAAAGTCACTCATCTGCCAGAAGCTTCCCCTATTTCACAGAAACGTCGAAACGACGATCCTCAGATCCTTTCCACCGACCGTTTGATAGTTGCGAAGTACCAATCGAGGTTTGGGAGTACAAAGACGGGTATCATATCACCACAACGAAGCCGCTACACCGACCCGACCGCCAGTTTTCGCGCGTCAGCGTCCAGGCACATTTACGTTTAAACAATTCCCGAAACTCTAAACCAAGTCGCCAAAACTTCCGTACGGCACATTGGAGGACGCATTGGAGACCCGAACGCTCTGCTGTTTTAACAATTGGACCCTGCCGCGATTACCAGACACACTGCCGATGCGAGGATAATACTTGCAGAGCAACTGCATTTTGTTCGTGATCTTGGAATCTAGACTTTGTCTTGAAGCTCCCCACACTCGGCGAACCGGATTGCTGCACATACTAAGTCAAGACTGGAGGTGCTAAATCACTAGAGCCTGATAAGTCTCCATATATGACTTCAGTTTTAAGGTACGTTATAAACCTGCAAAGCTTGAAACTATTCCCAGTGCCGGAGGCGATTTGACGATCAAACATTTTATATTTTTGGTCTAAAATAAATCATCTCTGATCATGCGAGGATCAGTCAAATCTTCTCGGCTTCCAATGTGCACTGACAATGGAATAGGTTCAAAACATCAGATTAATTTTGGTCAGGTACACCTCCCTGCGTGCCATCGCGTTTCAGATTTTAAATCCACCGGGAACTAGTCTTCCCCACGGCCTTTCCTAGGTCATTGACAATCAATTGGACGAATTGATTAGTCCCCCACTTACTTGGAAGCAATATCAGTTTCCAACTCTGGAGGCGAGAATTTAAGCTCAGGAAATCGACACAGAGTTTCATGGACTATTAGACGCCCACGTTGCACCAGCTAGCAGACAAGGTGCTCGAGGTACAACATCACAACATTTCGCCCAGCTTCGAGCGCGGAAACACCAATTCAACATGGCAGCTTCTTTGCCTAGGCCTTCACGGCCATCCTTTGGTCCTCCCACAACTGCTCTACCTGCTTTACCATCTAAGAAGACTCGAAAGAGTACCGGTGGGATACAAACGACTCCAGAGCTTCTTTCGGACTCCATTCCAAGTCTGCCCAAGAGCGCACTGCGTGCGCCTTCAACTTCTTCACTTCCAACGACACCGGGTGGTGGTGCGTCTCTTCCCAAGATGAGAGCCGTGTCTGGAGTAAACGGAGCTGGAAAATCGATACGGAAAACAATCAGCATCAATGCTTTCCCCCAACCTCCGCGAAGCGGCCCTGGTGGAATCAGAACCACGAGTCTACCCCCAAGTCCACTTTCTGGGGGCTTGACACCCGCGAACGTGAATCCATATGCTGGTACAAGAAGGGAATCTACGGAAAGCAGTCCTCTAACCCCAGGAGGTAAGCTGCGGAAGAAAGCAAAGCCAGCCAATAGTCCAATTACACAAAGCTATGTTGGCAACACAACACCTAGTTTGCTCAACGGCAGTGGAGACAGTCGGTCAATTTCTAGTGGTCCAGGAGCTCGTGGATCCGATGGGTTGTTAAGCCTGCCTTCACCCCCTCAAAGTCGAAGTTCGTCTGCACAGGACTCATACTCGACCTCTGCTACGACATATGATGATAATGGAGAAGGCACCAGAGGGCGCGAAACATCGGCGGAACATAATGATAACAGGTCGTCCAAGCCTCCTGAAGGAAAGGGAAACGTAATTGTCAGCGTAAGAGTACGGCCGGATGCTGGGACAACCGGTAGCTCTGGGAAAGATGGAGATTGGATGATCGATGGAAGGAAATCATTGGTATCGTATCGAGGAAAGGAAGCTGGAGAGTATTATTATGGTAAGCAAATGCTACTACATGCATAACGAGTGCTAACCTTGGGAAGATAATGTTTTTTCAACCGAAGACAACAACGCCAAAGTTTACGATTCATCTGCGAAGCGATTAGTACGACGAGTAATGGAAGGGTATCATGGCACAGTATTTGCGTACGGAATGACAGGAACAGGAAAGACGTTTTCTATGCAGGGTACAGCGACATCCCCAGGTGTTATCCCACTGGCCATAACCGACATCTTTTCATACATTCGCGAGACGCCATCGCGAGAATTCCTGCTACGAGTCAGTTATTTGGAGATTTACAACGAAAAGATCCACGACTTGTTAAGTGCTCCGGCTGCGGGTGGAATTGGCCCAAATGCTGGACAGCAGGAGGAAATCAAGCTGCGTGAAGACGCCAAGCGGGGTGTCTACGCGAGCCCGCTCAAGGAAGAAATCGTACAGAGTCCTACCCAACTCTTGAGAGTAATTGCGCGTGGAGATCAAGCGAGGAGGACCTCGAGTACTCAGTTCAACGCTAGGAGTTCTCGAAGCCACGCTGTTGTTCAAATCGTAGTCGAAAGTCGAGAGAGGATACCTGGGAATGTCGCCATGGGTAATGACAAACGGTCTGGCATGCTTCCCGGTGGAGTTCGTGTGTCGACTTTGAGTTTGATTGATTTGGCCGGTTCGGAAAGGGCTGCTGAGACGAAAGAAAGAAGAACCGAGGGCTCTCACATCAACAAAAGTTTATTGACTCTCGGAACTGTTATTGCCCGATTGTCAGGTGACAAAGACAAAGATGGTAAACCAACCGACAAGGACGGAAAGCATCTCCCGTATCGAGATAGTAAACTTACCAGATTGCTACAAGGAGCGCTCTCTGGAGATTCGCTTGTCAGCATTCTTTGTACAATTCAAACAGGAGCTACGGGGAGCGCAGCTGCAGCGAACACGCACACTGGGGAGACTTTGAATACGTTGAAATTTGCCGCAAGAGCGAAAAATAATATCGTTAGCCACGCAAAGAAGGCGGAAGAGGCTCTAGGGGCTGGTGGTGACGGCGGCGCTCGTGTTTTACTAGAAAGATACAGGATGGAGATTCTGGATCTCAGAAGCCAACTTGATGGACAAGCCAAATCAAAACATGACGATGACGAAGAGCAGCGCGAGAAAGAAGCAGAGCAGAGACATGAAGAGCAAATGCTTGAGATGCAATTGGCGAGAACCGCTTTGAAAGAGAGGATCGAGCATCTCAATCGACTCATCCTAAGCTCGAAGTCGACAGGTGTCAATGCTAGTGGATCATATTCGTCACTTAGCATGCATCCACGACTTTCAGCGATGACTTCTAACGGACATCTGTCGCAGATGTCGACACGATCTTCAATGGCTCCTTCTCAGAAGAGTAGACGATCAATGGACCGCACTTCTTCTGTCAACTCAGTCTCCACTATTGGCCAGCTCCCTGGAGCACATAGACTCTCTGGTGGGGACCACTCGATGGAAGACGAAGATTCGATAGGCGAGAATGGCGATGGAACCGCTACTCTGCAAGCACAGAACCGGGCCCTTCAAGCAGACCTCGCCGACAAGAACCGATACTGTCAAACTCTAGAGAAGCGACTCCTCCAAGCCAGACGCTCAAGCCATTCAAGGACGTCTGTCAACTTTGGAATGCCTGGAAAGTCTGGTGTTATGGTAGGCGAAGACCACGGCGTTGCAGCTTTACTGAAAGAGAAGGATTCCGAGATCGCTGATTTACGTGCTCGATTGGATGACAAAGACCGGATGTTGACCGCGTTGCGAAGCGCAGCAAGATCAAGGGATACAGCTGATCGGGACCCAAGAACTCCTTCGGCCATCCAGCTTCTTGAAGACGGTCCGTTGAGTCCCGTATCAGCACGCGCATCTCAACTCCTCGAGAATGAGACTTCACCAATAGGATCAAGGCCTCACTTAGGTCCTGTCCCCAAGAAAAGGACGAAATCGGTCGATGAAATGAGCAAAATGCTCGACGAGATGATCCAAGACCGTGTGGAAACCGGGCAACTGGTGAAGAGCGTCAAAGGAAGCATTCGTCTCCCTGCCGAGCGAAAACCTAGATCATCAGAACCGCCAATCGCGGTAGAAAAGAGCCTCCCAGCAGTACCTGACGAGGCCTCGGCGCTGGTGTCTGAAGTCCAGTAGAGTGAACACAAAACTGTCGATGTTGTATGATATTGGGGCTTGGTGCGTAATGGTCAAAAGATCCGGGTTTGGATCCTGGTTGGAGGATAGGCGCCATGAATTCCTGGTCGAGAGGCGTTTTTGGAACGCCATATTATTTTTTTTGCACATTTTTTCCTTTTCTCTATACCCCATTTGTTCTCCTTCAACCACTTATATTTTTGGCGGAAACGCGTTTACAAATTCCCCCCACCGCATTCTTTCGTTTTTGATCCAAAGTTTTCTCTCTTTTGTTTACCGGAGGCAAGGTCCGATGTCTGTATAATATGAATGGTTCTCTCGTAAGGACCTGGATGGGGCGTTATTTTTGGGAGGGACGGGATGATGGGTCTGGATGGTATTGGTTGTGGTATTGTTGCTTAGATACCTGTGTGTGGGGTCGGGGTGGAGGGTTGTATTGGGTTCATATAGCTTAAAGAGGCTGGAAGAGTAGATGATGGTGTAATGAAATATGTGGTTTATGAAATTCTCTCTCCCATTATCATTTGCGGGAAGTAGAAGGGGTATTTATGTTTCCCAGCCATCCAAACGGAATACTAAGTGTAAGGATCATACCTGCTCGCTCATCTTGAATCTGTTTGTTTCACGCTCTGGTTGGTTGGTTGGTCAGTTTGGATTTTTTGCTTTTGCGGGTGTTGTGCATGATGGGATAAATGATATAAACGTTTAGCGAGGTGAGCTCGCGGGTTGGGCGGGAGGGAAGTGATTGATTTATGCGAGTGAAGCTGTGGAGTGATTGAAGCTTTACCGCCTTGTATTTTGGGATGTTGGTGGTGAAGGATGAATGGTTGCATATGGTGTTGCATTTCGGAAGGATTTGTCGAGGTTCACTTTGGGTTCGGGAGGGGGGTGGTGGGAGATGGCTGAGGTGACGAGGATTTGTGGGATCGGAATATTATGCTATGTGATTATAATATTTTCTTGTCGATATTCTAGCTCAATGGTGGAAGGATATGTTTTTAGTTGGATGTCTAAATTGAACAGATTTCATCACCTTAAAGCCATATTTATAGGTCAAATGTTTACATTTGTAGAAGCCAGATACACTTGGCCTTCTTAGACGCGACTCGGCGTACATTCTCCTCATGTCGGCTCTGGCAATAGTCCGAGTAGGTAATAAGATTAGGTGTGAAGTGGTAGGTCGTGAATACAACTACCCGATAAAAGTTACACTCTCGACAACTCCTACAGCTTTCACTATCCAAGAGCCTACCAACCCTCAAACACCTCACATCTCCAACCTCTCCTTATTCTCTCGCTACTTCGGGTATTCTCCCAGCGACTATCACCACATAACTCTAACCAAATCCATTCTACATTCGCTGTCCTTCTCCGCTTAGTATCAATTGTACGCCACAAATATATCTCGATCCCATTCCCCTTTGAAATCAGTCCAATCCCAATTAAATGATTCAAGAAAAGTAGGCCCGATAAACCCTATGATTGTCCGTAGTAGCATCACCTATCCTATATCGGAGAGTTGTACAGCGAATACCACCGAGTGAATAACATGGCATATAAATTCCTCGTCTGCAAATGTGAGATGTTTGATTCTACATCCACATCTCTTGCACCACATCTTTCGCGTTTATCGTCAACATCACGCTCGTTACATACGCTCGCTGTATACCAGTTTTCGCTGGTCGTTCACGCTCGCTGTATACCAGGTTTCGCTGGTACTTCACGCTCGTTGGAGCAGGAATTTGAAATTCGCTCGCTCGACATCAGGATTTAAGATCCTCGACCGCTCACTTTCAATTTACCAGACAGAAGAGGAATAGCGAGGGGAAGTCTGCCGTCGATGATCATAATCCCGCCGCCGAGAGGGAATGCCTAGCAGGATATAGATGATGACGAGCCGGTCTCGCCTCGGACGGTGAAGGGGACGTGGAGGTATGTTTTACGCGTGAACGCGGAAACCGTTCTGATTTTGCGAATGGGACTAACGAAGAGTTTTAGTGAGAAACCGGAATGCAAGAAAGTCGAAGATCAAGGCAGTCGTATCCCGAAATTCACTTTCACGCATGAGCACCAAACCCCAGATATCAGAAATCCATTTCAAGACCTCGATATCTACAACCACAATAACTCACCACACCTCTTTCACTGGCACACCAACCCGCAAACCCTCACCCCCCTCCGCCCTCCTCAACCAAAATTCTACACTCTCCCACCACCCCTCCCAACCTACCCCCTCATCAAGTCCTACACCTCGCACCCCAACCCCCCTCCCCACCCCCCAACCCTCACCCCCTTCCAAATCAAAAAACTCCTCTTCATCCACCTCTCCAATCCCTTAATCCGCGCCGCCTGTCTCGAGCGCGAGAACGCGTGGATCTACCGACATGTGAACCTGAACGAGGGATGGAATCGCGCGATGGTGTATTGTAATCTGCAGTATTCGCTCGCGAGGGAGTATGAGCGGGTTTATTTAGTTGGGGCGGAGATGGAGAAGGCGGTTTTGTATAGGTGTGCGAAGGGGTGGGGTAGGGAGAGGGTTAGGAGGGAGGAGGTGAGGATTGAGAGGCATTGGATGGGGAGGTATCGGGGGAGGGGGGCGTTATGGGGATGCCTGAGATGGTGAGTTCTTTTGCTTTGTGGGGGGTAATTTGAGGGAAGAGTTTGTTGAATATGATGGGTTGGTGGTATAAGATATGAGAGAACATATGCTAACTTATTCTAGTGGTGGAAAGTAGTGGAGGGCTTCCAGTATTTTAGTTTTCAGCGGCAAGAGTTGCCCTGGGTTTTCAAGGACGAAGATATGAAAGGCATTGATTTTGGAATGATATTCGTAGGCGCAGGATATGGTCGTACCCATCCATGGCGAGCCCCAGGCCAGTGGTGGGCAGCTCGAAAACACGTCTTCGCCCAATACCGCGGGAAGCATTTCCTAGACGAGATCCAGAAAGAATTTCGAGCTATCGACGAACGAGTGGCAGAATGGCAGAAGAGTCATGTCTGTGAAGACGGAAATGGTTCAAACAAGTTGAAGAGGAAGGTCTATTCGTCGTTTGGACTGAACAAGACTATCAGGTCGCGATTCCAGGCTCCGAAGAAGAGGGTGAGAAATGGGAGGAATGTGCAGACATGTATGAGTGAGGAGTGGAGGAAGCGTCGACGGGAACAGGAGACTAGAGCTGGGCGTTGGACTGATGGGACAGTTGGTATGAATCGGATGTGGGATGCTTTTCATTGGGTTTTGCCTGCTCCCGATGAGAAGTGGAATCGACCGTGGCGTCGGAGTCATTCAAGGTGCCAGTGGTCATGATTACTGTGATTCTTTGGATTTGATATACTGGATTTGTGAAGGCGATGAGTTGATGCACAGTATGAGATGCAGATAGCGGTAGCGACGTTGAGGCTAGCAGGATACGCTTGCAGCTATTGATGGGTTTATAGAGCGTTAGCGAGTGCGAGACCGCGGTATATTCCAATTGACATTGATTGTTTAATTGGAGTATCATCAACATATTAGTACAATAATCTCACCAAACGCTCCTCTAGGTTCAAGTGTCTTGACGTGTAAGAGTACTAACTTAGCAATTGTAACTATCCTAATCCACACTCAGCCAACACGTTCTATTGCAATTGAAGCAACTGAACGTCGGTTCACTTAATTGAAGACTTGGACCTGAGGACTTAAGGCTTGAAGTACTGCGCAATAGCTAAGATCCGGTAACGAACAAAGAATGGAGAACTCACAATAATGACTGCCTGCCAGATGACGCTCTTGGAGCGAGAGACCACCTCAGCCTCAGCTTATGCCGAGGCTGCTTTTGATATCCGTGGATGTCAATTAACCCCACAAAGACTTACGGATCTAGAGACTGGAAACGATGACCGTGTTTTCTCAGTAGACCAAAGCCTGGCCATCCTTACCATAGCTCCTCTTTGTATACGAAGCATGACGCCATTGTAGCTTGTCACCTTGTAGAATACTGAGGAAAGCTTTGTACGCGGACAAGCTGTGTGAAGATGTCTAAGTAGCTACAATGGTAAACTATGCTCAGTCGAAGGGTGCCTGGCAATGGAAAGAAATGCATCTTACATGCTTCGTACCTTTGCTGAACAAGCTGCCAATTGCTCAACGAGTCCAGACCAGCTCAGCCTCATCAACTTACTCTATGACACTCCTCGCAAGCAATATAATTGGACACAATTCGAGTCAAATTCACAGAGCAGGCGTATGCTTACACTTAAATGTGCTCTGGTATTGGCCCCTGCAGATTCTAAAGGTGCCTTGCCTTGGCTATTGTAGAAGTGCTTGATGTCAAAAACATAGCTACCGCGAATCGATGATATGCATCGAATTGCCTCTTTGGGCCGACTCATTAAAACTCCAGATGAGGCTCGAATATTACTAGCTACATGTTGTATGCAAAACAATAGATCGTCGGGATCGTGGGTCGATCGCAACCCTAGGAAATCCGTCCTGCTTTTGACAGAAACTAAACTACCGATCGCTGTTTGGAGAAGATCACTCCCATTTCAGTCTTGCCCCTTCCAAACGGGTCGTGGTGCCACCGGAGCACTGTCCCTGGCGTAAGTATGCGGCTTGGCAGCCATCTGATATGGAGGTTTACCCAAGGGTCGCAACGCCGTCATCGTTTTGCAAAACTTGCTCTTCATAACGTTCATAACGAGGAGTGATGTAGCCAACCAGACAATAGCCGTTCCCAAGTAGGTATTATTCAGGTGGCTCAGGAGGAAGAAGTGCTTACCGGAATTCGAGAGCGATTGAGGAGATCCGTAGATTGTGATCAGAGGCTGAGTTCTTTGCTGCTGGGGTAGCCAAGATGATGGAGACTCGGACGGTGATTCTGTGAAGTACTTGCAGAAGCGAGGGTTACGATTCGAGATTCTGTTCACGCCAGATAGAGTTTGCTCAAACACGTACTCCCGTCACAAGCTGGTGCAGTGGTGCCGTTCTGACCGACCCATCCCTATATTAATCTCGCAATTGAACGCGAAAACATGACCAGAGCAGCAGCAGCAGCTACGTAGCCACGGAAAGGTGTATGCTAGTACTTGAGTCCGCGACTCCTCCTTCATGTATGTGTGAATTGTATGGGGCGGAGTGGCTGGACAGTGGCTGCGAATAAGGCGATCGTAGTGGCTCTGACAGGTTTTGGGGGGCAATCCAGAACAGAAGGAGACCCCTGGTGCGCATGGCTTCTGGGTTGGTTGTTGTGGTCCATCCCGGAGTCCAGTACCACCTTGTATTGGAGAGGCTGGCTGGCGGGCATATCGAGGTGAGAGAATTGCGTGCAAAAGGCCGCTTGTCAGCTCGAGGAGATTGGAAAAGTCGTGGTCAACGGCGACGAGCGACCAGAGAAGAGTCCAAGTGTGGGAACCAGATCACCGCGTCGAGGCGGCGTACGAGGCGTCGTGGAAGTGTAGGATTTGGGTGCAAAACAGTCAAAAGAATCGACAGAATTGACATCCTAAAGAAACGAAGAGGTACCGACCTAGCCCTCACAAGCTAGCGTCCGGGCGGTGCAGTGAAGTCATGGTGTGGCTGCCCTTTCAACCTTCAACCTGCCTTTACTCAGCTTCTCATCCGACTCCCCACAACTCGACAGGTTGTTGCAGTATTCGAGAGTTTCCAATTTACGTTGACTGAGTCGTCTCAACAAGCTATCCCGAACCTTCCTGTCGTACCAATTTCATTGTAGGAAATCGCCTGTTGAACCAGCACGCTTCTCCTTCAACAACTGACTGCCACCCACATCCGAGGCGCAAACTCGCCCTTTGACGCAGCTGGAAATTTCAAGGCTGGAGGCGCATCACGCAGTACGCACAACTCTCTTCCTACATTGATTCTTGTTCTGTGAGGACATACGATTGACAAAGTGTCAGGATTCTTGCGACTCGCGCTGCTCAATTATTCTTCGCCACGGGACTCGAGATGCGCTGTTGATTGGGACGACAACCACAGTGACTCGAGGGCCAACGTCTGGGACCTGCATGAGTTTTTTTTTGCAAGATTGGGAAAGTTGTAGGAAACTCATAATTAGATGGCTTCGCAAGATTTGCCTAGTTCAGGAAATCCAGCCGTCGGCGCGAGTTCATCAGAACCATCTACCTACCCGTCGACGGCAAACTTTCCCCAATCCGATTGCACCACACCCAATGCGAGATCTCTCAAACGGAGTCGTCCAGAACAACCTCAGAGCCTCGGCTTGACGCCCATAACAAACGCATCACTTACCACGTCCCCATCGCCGAAGTCCCCACGCTTCAAAGGCACATTTTCACCCAGCTACTCGCCCATGCCGCTCACGGGCGCCGCAGCGTATGCGGATCAGCAAAGGAGAAATGACGAGACGCAAAGACGAGAAGATATAAGGACATTGAGACAGCAAATAAGCGAAAATCCATCTCACAAGGCGCTGTCTTCGCTGATGGCTGGTGGGGGTGCGGTGATGAGCAAACCGGGTGATGCGCCAGTCGCCACGATGACTATGAGCGAAGGCTTGTCAACAGCCGCGAATGCTATTTCAATACCCCCACCCAGTCCAATGCAGTTTGATCATACATCCGAGACCAGCCCTGCGAGTATTACGAGCTTAGCAAGCCTAGGCAATACAGCACCGACTGCTACCGCTGGGTCAACCGTTGTCGCAAGTCCGGGCTCGATGACAGGTGTGGTCGAAGCAGATAATAGGGAATTGAGAGGCAACGATGGCTCTCATTTGCAACCGCCCCATGACGAAGCACCTTCGAATCGTGCATTGTCTTTTCCTGGTCATCTTCTCGCTCGGGCAGACAACCCACGAAATCCCCAACGAGGTGTGAGTCTTCCAATGCCAGGGCAAGGACAAGCAATCGCACCTCGACCACCTTCTCAAAAGAAACACAAATGTCCATACTGCGATACAGACTTTACCCGTCATCATAATCTCAAAAGTCATCTATTGACTCACAGCCAGGAGAAGCCGTATGTTTGCCAGCATTGTAATATGAGGTTCAGGAGACTACATGATTTGAAGCGACATATGAAACTGCACACAGGAGAACGTCCACATATTTGCCCCAAATGTGACCGAAAATTCGCCCGAGGAGATGCTTTGGCGCGCCATAGCAAAGGCCAAGGTGGCTGCGCTGGGCGAAGGGCCAGTATGGGGAGTTTTGGCGATAATGATGAAGTCGATGAATCCAACAGGGGAGACGCTGAAGAGGGCATGGATGGTGTCATGTACTCGAATGGAACGTCTCATCCGAATGAAAGTGAGATGACAGAAGAAGATCGTCGTCGATTCAGCCTTCCCAGTATTAAGGCGCAGCATGTCAGAAGCAACCATGGAAGTGGTGATAGTACTCTTTCTGCTCAGCGAACCCCAAGTACATACCCTCCTGCTGGCCCACGGCCTGCCCAGAACGCAGGAGGACTTTATCCACCAAATAGCGATCGTATGGCTTCCACCAGCTCAACGACATCAAGCATTCAGAGTAGTGCGGGTGGTAATCGTACCCCTGGCGCAAGTTTGTCTTCTCTACCTCTCAATACCACAGGCCCTTCTATGTTCTCACAAAGCGGGATGACTGAGAGCCCAAAGCCATTGAGCCCTGGAGGTATGCTCGCCCATCAGCTTGGAGCCGACCAGTCCGGTCGACAAAGATCTCCAAGTCTGACCACACAATTTCAACAACAGCACTTTGGCCGACATAACTCGGGTCGGTCACCACCACCGGGAGTCCACTCTCCGAGGAGCTCACACAACACCAAGCTACCCGGGATGTCATCGCTTGCTCCACCGGAGGGAAGATATACGCTCCCTAGCCAGACTGCAAGTCAGATGAATGCAACCAACGGCACTCATGGCCAACCAATACAGGCCACATCAGGGCAGCCAACGAGTTCAAGCGGTATGTTTCAACAACCGCACAGCGTTGCCCCAAGCCGCGGAATAGCAAGCAATATTGTAAACCAACCCGCAGGCAATGACGCTAATGTTTTCCTTGTCATCGAACAAATGGAGGCCAAAATGAAACAAATGGAAGAGCAAATCGTTTCGATGGAAAAACATAATCGCAATCAGGAAGAAAAAATCAACCAGCTCGCGGATGAGAATCAGTTTCTGCGAAATCAACTTAACGGTCACAACGGCCAGGCTCATCACCAGCCTCTACAGTCATGACATCAATGACACATAGGATGTAAATACACGAAAGCGTCCTGTGATCCTTCATAGCTTTGTGGGTTTGTTTTGCGAGGCGCACGGTGATGAAAATCTATGCTGAGATAGACCGTTTATTATATCCTGGACACGAAAATTGGGAACAGGGTGAACGCGAGGGGAGGCGTTTGATTATATAATGTCTGCGGGTCGGTCGAACCAGCCTTTTTCACAAGAGAACTGATTGAGTCGTTCGTTAATATGCACTACACTGTATTTTCCTTGATCTGGTTTCGCATCCTCCAAATAGGGGGTGAACATTATTAAAGTGTATTTATAGACCAGGAAGGTTTTTACTTCAGCGATGGCGTAGTAAAGATATCCTTGAAGTTTTGGTTTCTCATTACTTGTTATTATCATAAAACATTATGGCAAAATACTTTTCCAAATTCACGGGTTCTGGGTTAAGCATATGGTTTTAGTGTAGTGGTTCACTTAAGTGCTTATTTCGCAGCGCCCTGCATGTTAATTTGAGGACGGTGAAATAGAAAACTTGTATGGTGTAGTAGATTGCCCCCTATCGGTTTAGACGGATGCAATAATTTGTAACTTCTACGTAGAGATTGTCCTATATTTAGTAATTCATTTCTAGTCACTCGCTAGTGTTTGATATCGGGCACTACGAGTACTACCTGCGGTTAGAGACAATTGTTGAACGGGTCATACATTAATGTTCTTAGCTTAAGAAGCCTAGCTTGTAAGATATCTGATCACCATTGAATAAATCTCCTAAGCCCGCAATCCAACGGGATTAATATAAAAGGAGGGGTGTTTTGTCGAGGGGCATTGGCTTCAGTGAGGCTAGGCGAGCTGCAGTTTGAATCTTGGCTGCTTCACGCTAAAGAGAGGCACGTCATCCGCTAAATCGAGCGACAGAGCTTCCAACGCTACCTATGCGACAACCGTCCGCGGACTCGACGGCCATCATATATTTTAACCACTTGTGCTCGCTGGAACGAGATTTATCATCGGGAATCTGGACCTAGGGAAAGCTTAGAGATCATCATGGCTGCTGGCGCTGTCACCACGGAACCTTCCGCGCCCGAGGAGCGGGAGAAGCAACATCTTCCTCCAAAATCTTATGCAGATGCGGTCGAAGAAGCGCCGGTTGATCAGGGAACACATGAGAATGGGGAATCAAATGGAAACAACGATGGTGATAATTCAAAGATGAATGGGAGCAATGGGCACCAGAATTCTACAGGACACAAAGCATCCGTGCTAAGGATTGTGGCAACGGATTCGCAGGAAGAGAATAAGACGAATGAGAAAAAGAGTTTCAGACCAGATCTGAGTCGAGGAGTTTCAAAAGAGGAATATTCGGCTACAGTGTGTTATAATATCTTGGTTGGTAATGTGCTGTTGCTAACAACGTATATAAGGGTCTGGATGATACTCCGAAGTCTCCGCCAAAGAAACCTAAGAAGACTACATCTCAGAAGAATATACGGTCCCACAATAAATCCAGCAGCGATGCGAGCTTTCCAGAGAGCCCAATCAAAGATTCTGCAAAAGACTCGAACATATTCGAAAAGGTCAATGGCACTCAAAATGGCAGCAAACTCATTAGTGTCAAGCCAGCCATTGACAACAAGGACCTACCTAAAGAGGACCGACCGCATTACGAAAAGCCCTCAAAAGAGTTGCAGAAAGAAGAAGGCCTTGCCAGTGGTCGTATAGCAGGTCAGAGATGGGGCCAAAGTGGAATTCGGTTTGCGCCTATGAATATCCCATTGCAGAGGAGATTGCAGACGCTAGTTGTGTTACTTCACACTCTCTGTATAGCTATTTCGGTCTCCATTTTCTTCTTTTTATGCGCGATACCTCTATTCTGGCCATTACTTATACCCTACATGATCTATTGTCTTACTTCGAAGGCGTCCACTTCGGGTACTCACAGTCACCGCTTGGAGTTCCTTCGACGATCGCCAGTCTGGTCATTGTTTGCTTCATATTTCCCCGCTCGACTACATAGAAGCCAGGAACTTCCACCAACAAGGAAGTATATCTTCGGCTACCATCCTCATGGAATCATATCTATGGGCGCATTTGGGGCTTTCGCAACCGAAGCACTAGGTTTCTCGCAGCTCTTTCCGGGGATAAAGAACACACTTTTGACGCTTGATTCGAATTTCCGCATTCCACTATACCGGGATTATGCTTTGGCTATGGGATTGTCATCCGTGTCCAAAGAATCGTGCGAAAATCTCCTTAGTAGAGGTGGTCCAAACAATGTATGTTATCTCCTAAGTTATTCATTTATCTGTTGCTAACTCTATGACAGGAGGGTATGGGCCGTGCGATCACGATTGTAGTAGGAGGTGCTCGAGAATCTCTCGATGCCCAACCTTACACCCTACGCTTAGTCTTGAAGCGCCGCAAGGGATTCGTCAAGATGGCCATTCGAACAGGAGCAGACCTCGTCCCAGTCCTAGCATTTGGAGAGAACGATCTTTATGACCAATTCTCCGCTGAGTCACATCCAAGAATCCACAAGTTCCAACTTTTGGTGAAAAAGATGCTTGGGTTTACCATTCCTTTGTTCCATGCAAGAGGTGTATTCAACTACGATGTAGGCTTGATGCCATATCGTCGACCTCTCAACATTGTTGTTGGAAAGCCCATCACCGTTGCTCAGTCTGGTAAGCCTTCGCAAGAAGAGATTGATAGGGTACATGAGGAATATGTTACCGAGCTTGAACGGCTGTGGGATTTATGGAAGGACAAATTTGCGCCGGACAGAAAAGAGGACCTGAATATATTCGAGTAAGGTATCAGTTGGTACTTGAAACGGATGTCTTGCTGGGATTTGGGTGTCAAAACAATTTCAAATGGGACGGGATTTGCTAAGGAAGCATTCGAATGTATAACATATTTGGGTTACTAGTGATTGCGGATATTAAAGAAAACTTCACGTCCACAGTAGCTAAATAATTAAATAATAGGAACATATTGCTGGGCTTCTACATCTAACTCAAGCTGCGCCTATGAGTAGCGATATGAAACTAAATGAGCCACATTGCAATGACCATAACATGTAATATCGAACGATCCAAAATGTTTGGAACCTGACTTATCTGCTGATCTTTGACACACTGTCGAGTATTGTCTCCCCATGAGTGGGCATTGTGGAATTGTGATAGTCATAAATTTCCCAACTCCACGTTTGGCTAAAGCTTGTCTTCGAATGAGAGAATTGTAGGAAAATCTATTGGCTATATAAGCATAGCCAAACCTCAACCTGAAGATATCCCCAGCAGCTTGCGTGTTCCATCTCAAAGACGAATACGAAAGAGTGGCGCACTGACGAATGCACACCCAATCAAAGGCCACGTCGACCAGCAAACAATGTGCCTGCCCAGGCACGCGCCAATCACAAAGACCGAGATTACAGCGCCCAGCATCCCAGCTTCTAGGGCTCAAAAAATAATAAAGCAGACCTCCTATCCAGACCTCAACACTCAGTTCACCACCTCACGTCGCCACGTCCCTTTCACCACCTCCTCACATCGCATACGTTCTTGACTCTGGTCCAGCGCAATGGGGCTTATCGAGGCGGTCTCCGGCCCTCTGGGCGCGCAGATCGCGCAGCACGGAACTGCTGTTGTGGTCGCGGGCGGAATCGTCGCATTTCTCGTCGTGACGGTGGTGCTGAATGTGTTGAAGCAGTTGCTGTGGAAGAATCCTAATGAGCCGCCCGTGGTGTTTCATTGGTTTCCCGTGGTGGGGAATACGGTTATGTATGGGATGGATCCGTATAAGTTTTTTTTTGAGTGTAGGGCGAAGGTATGTTTTGAAGATGCACCGTTGGTTGATGTGGGAGTGGTGGCTAATTTCTGGTGGTAGTATGGCGATTGCTTTACGTTCATTTTGCTGGGGAAGAAGACGACGGTTTATTTGGGGAGACAGGGGAGTGAGTTTATTCTCAACGGGAAGATTAAGGATGTCAATGCCGAGGAGGTGTATACCGTCTTGACTACGCCGGTTTTTGGAACGGATGTGGTCTACGATTGCCCCAATTCAAAGTTGATGGAGCAGAAGAAGGTTTGTAGTGTTCCATATGAGTGGCATATTGGGAATGCTAACAGCGTTGTGCAGTTTATGAAAATTGGTTTGACCAACGAGGCCTTCAGATCATACGTCCCAATTATTCAAGGAGAGGTGGAGCAGATCGTTAAGAAATACCCCGGCTTCAAGGGAAACAAAGGATCCATCAATGTTGTAGATTTCATGGCCGAACTTACGATTTACACGGCCTCCCATACCCTCCAAGGCAAAGACGCGCGCGACCGATTCGATTCCAACATGGCCAAAATGTATCACGATCTTGATATGGGTTTCAGCGCTGTAAACTTCATGCTTCATTGGGCTCCTCTTCCTCATAACAACGCACGCGATCGAGCACAAAAGGCTATTGCAAACACATATGTTGATATTATCCAGAAGCGTCGCGCAGAGGGGCCAGGAGAGAACAAGAGCGATATCATGTGGCAGTTGATGCAATCCTCTTATAAAGATGGTACCCCAGTCCCGGACAAGGAGATTGCGCATATGATGATCGCTCTTCTTATGGCTGGACAGCACTCTTCCTCCTCTAGCAGTTCATGGATCGCTCTTCGCCTTGCCTCTCGTCCAGATATCATGGAAGAATTGTATCAAGAACAAATTGAAGTCCTAGGCCCTGATCTTCCTGATCTCCAGTTTGAGGATTTGGCGAAGCTCACCATGCACCAAAACGTCCTGAAAGAAGTCTTGAGAATCCACACGCCTATCCACTCCATCCTCCGAAAGGTCAAGACTCCAATGCCTGTCCCTGGTACGAAATTCGTTATTCCACCCACTCACAACCTTCTCGCATCACCAGGTTGCACCAGCCGAGATGCCGACTACTTCCCAAACCCATTGATGTGGGATCCTCATCGTTGGGACGCTGGCTCATCTGGAATCGTACAAACGGATTACGAGGAGGAGAAATTCGATTATGGATATGGACTTATCAGCAAGGGTGCAACAAGTCCATACCTTCCTTTCGGTGCTGGGCGACATCGTTGTATCGGCGAACAATTCGCCAACGTTCAACTTATCACTATTATGGCCACTCTTGTGCGCATGTTTAAATTTCGAAACGCTGATGGAAGCAAGGAAGTTGTACCCACTGACTACGCCAGTTTGTTCACCCGACCAGTTACACCTGCGATGATGGAATGGGAAAGGAGGGAGAAGTCATAGGTTAATACCTTGTTCTAGGACAGTTGCATAACTCGGCGCTCTGGTTTCAAGTACATATATACACTAATACATCTAATATATAAGTTATTCTCACATGTCGACCCGATGGTTTTCTTTCGGCTATCAGCATTTGACGCGGGGCAGATCCTTCCTTACTGAGTAAGCACGTCCGCTATGGGCGGCGGTGGTTCGGGATTTGAATCGGTTGTGTTGTGAGAAGCTAGTTTGTTTTGACAGCTGTCACGAATTGGAGGTGTTTGGTGGGTGCCTGGTGATACTTGTACGAATTACAAAAGAGTATCTATCGTTGCACTTAGTATACTCGTCCTGATCTGGTTGAGCCTCCAAAAGTCCCTTATCCAGGAACAGCAAGCGAGCGGTCAGGATCCCCCACCAAATGCTGTGCGACGTACGTACAAGAGTCTGGCCAGGGAAAGGCTTTGAATGACGAGCGACGAGGGACTATTGGACTGGGCACGAATACCAGGAAAAGCCGTATTTTCGTTAACAGACCTTGTGCCCTTTGCTCGTCTCGCTCGTTATTCCATTTGTTATCGCCAATTGTCTGCATTGAACGTCTTGGAGCTTACTCTCCTTCTCGATTGGTGTTCTTTGAGCAAGAAAGAAATTCCGTGGGTGGACCCTGGATTCCCATTTGCGGGTTCAACAACTCCCCAACGAGATTCGCCGCCGTGCGCCAATAATACCCCAGTCAGCAGCAGCGTAAGTATCGAACGCAACCCACATTGTTGATCGCCCACTCCATTTACAAACACTCATTTACCCTCGTGCGAATTCGATTGCGTGACTGCGCTTCTTCTTCTTCTTCTTACTCAACTTCCGCCTGCATTCGCATACCTCTCTATCTTGCAGCACAAAAGAGATATAGGTACTTCCCCAACCGTTTGCAGCTCAAGACGGAAAATTGACCCCACCCTGCTGGAACCGCCGCGAGAGAACGTCAGAATCCTTCAGGAAGGAAGCTTATTTACCTTACGATGCGATGCACATCTCCATCGTCTCTGACGGTGGAAAACTACGATGATGAGTCGAGCGCGATCTCGTCTGGGAATGATGGGTTGAAGCCCGCGCTTTACAGACGACGGCATTCTTCGTTCCATCCCCGACGGCGACAGTCGTCGGATAAATTGGAGGCGGAGGAGGGGATACTGATCAGAGTACGTTTGTCTTATTCAAGCTTCTGCGTGGATATGCAGCTAATTGGCATAGTTTGATCTCTTCCTGTTGGAACTAGAACGAAGATTGGACTTTTTGGAAAGCTACGGCGATTTGACCTTCGATTCAAGCATTTCTCGCGCTTATGCGACGTTACAAGCTGTGCGGGCGAAATGCTCGCAGGTGTCGGACGAGGTGATCGGGGCTGGGAAGCAGAGGGCGAAGATTATGATTGAGACCGTAGAATCGAGGTATCAGGATGTGATGGTCGCAAAGGAAACGCTGAATGAGAAGGTGCATAGTGGGATTGCGTTGCTGGATAGTATCCTGGAGGAGTTCGAAACGAAGGCGTATAAGATCAAAGAGCAGGGGTTTGCGAGCACGGCTGGGAGTTTGATGGATGAGGGGAGGAGGGTGGTGGATGGGGGTATTGGAAGGGCGAAGGAGGTTATTGATGAGGGTGTTGAGAGGGCTAGGAAAGCTGCTGAGTCTCTGGAGGAACATATTGAAGCTGCGATTACTCGCGCCAGAGAAACGGGACTGATTCGATATGAGGACCTGCCAATGCCTTGGAGGATCAACCCACATATTGTCAAGGGATATCGATTTACAGAAACCAAAGTCGATTGTGTAAGATCGATGTTTAACATCTCCAACGAGTCCGTCAACATCTGGTCACACGCGATCGGACTCCTCATAGTCCTAGCCATCGCCTTCCACTTCTACCCCTCCAGCGCCAACTTCTCTCTCAGCACCAACACCGACGTGTTCATCGCCGCCGTCTTCTTCTTCGCCGCCTGCAAATGTCTCGTCTGCAGCACCCTCTGGCACACCATGAACAGCATCACCGACCGCTGTCTCATGGAACGCTTCGCCTGTGTAGACTACACCGGAATCTCCCTCCTCATCGCCGCCTCCATCATGACCACTGAATACACCGCCTTCTACTGCGAACCCGTCAGCCGCTGGATCTACATGACCGCCACCGCTACCCTCGGCGTCGGCGGCGTCATCCTGCCCTGGCATCCCACCTTCAACCGCGCAGACATGGCGTGGGCGCGCGTTGCCTTCTACGTTACGCTCGGAGCGACGGGCTTCGCGCCTGTTGCCCAACTTAACCTCACAAGAGGCGTAGACGCAACCCTTGAATTCTATGCACCTATCTCGAAATCCATCCTCGTCTACCTCCTCGGCGCCTTCGTCTACGCCTCCAAGGTCCCGGAACGATGGTGTCCCGGCGCGTTTGACTATTTCGGGGGGTCCCATAATTTGTGGCATATTGCTGTCCTAGGCGGGATTCTCTTTCACTACGTGGCGATGCAGGAGTTCTTCGCGGGGGCTTTTAGGAGGGCGGAGAATGGGTGTGCGTTGTTTTGAGAGGGGGGTTGTAGATATGGGAGCATGGCGATGGCGTTTAGGGTTAGGAATTGTGTATATGGGTTTTGGTAGATGAGGAGGTGGGGAATGAATATATGTGTTACAGATGATGAAAGTATATATGGTGTGGGTTAGAATTGTGAGGGCTTTATATATAGATTATGTTATGAAGAGGTTTAAAGTTCCAAGGTTCCAGGTTGTTTGTGGCTTGTGTGGTGTGTGATTTATGAGACGGATTATGTAGGTATCCTGTGAAGAGTATTATTTATTAGATTCAGGTTCGTTGAGCCTGGTATTCTAAGGGGGGTGTGCAATGTGGCACTTTAGTTGAAGTTGGTGGACTTCGGCTTCTTTTGAATGATAGTGCTGTAGTTCGTCATATTTGCTCAGTGTATTAGATGAGCTGAGTCGAGCTGAGCTTAGTGGAGTTGAGTTGAGCTTGGTTCAGTTGAGTACACCACTCTACTCCATTAACCATACGCTCGAGTGGTTCCATGATATCTGGCGTATAGTTCTGTGTTTTGAGTAGTTCAAAGTAGTCTTAAAAGACCGAGTAGTGTAAATCGACCAAGTAGTATGAATACTTTAAGTAATCAGTCAAGGTAGTTCAATTAGTCTGGATATAGTCTGGATATATACTTGAGGAGTAGTATAAGTGTCTTGAGAGATCGGTTTATAGCAACTTGCAATTGAACTTCGTTTGTCTTTTTCCCGCCAATGAAATAACAGCTTGTTGTTTCATTAGAAAAGTTTTCACTGTTTTGAGTCTCCAGAATGCTCTGGAATGAGGCGAACTGACAAGGTCTACTTTCGAGGCAATGATGAAAAATGTTCATTTGGGTTTCATGTGTACACAGTTTGCATGTGTTAAAATTGGAGAGGAATTAGATGTTATGGTGATATATTGATATTGGCTGATTTCTGTCGCGCAAACACTTTCAAGAGGTTCGTCGATGAATTGTATAAAGCCGCACAACAGAGACAAATATGATTGTTCGTTCAAATATGAAATATACCTAACACCACGCATCTAAGGCCTGGGTATATACCAACTTAAATAGCAGTCTGTCCACTCATCCCACTCGCCGTACTCTCACTTCTCTGCGTCCTCTTATCTCCAGCTTCCAACCTATCTCTTAGCGAATCAAGCAACGCTTTCTCCTCATACCCTAGACTCAACCACTCAGGCACCAGCACCCTACCCCGATCAACCAGAATTAGATTCATCCCGATGTTCTCACCCTCATAGACATCCGAAACCCCCGACTCGGGACCAACTTTCTCAATATCGCTCTCGGACGGTTTCCTCAAACTCGCTGCCGTCCACCAGTACACGGGGAATTGGCGTTGGATGTTATTGACTACACAGGCTGAGGCGACCATTAAGGTGCTTCCGATTAAGACCAAGGGAATGAGGAACCAGCCTAGATCGGTGATGTCAGGTGAAGTCGCAGCTAAGAGAGCTGTTGCGCCTGCTGGGGGATGAACAGTCTTGGTAACGCCCATGACAACGGAAGAGAGACCGACGGCTAGGGCACCTGCAATCCATCGGATGTCCTCGAAGTTTTGGGAATGCTGGAAGAGTTTGGTGATTCCAACACCGATGATGGTGGAGAATAGTTGGCCGAGGATGGCGTTGCGAGGCTGAGAGAGAGGGGAGTCGATGACTTGGTATTCGAGGATTGCTGCTGCTCCCTATAGTTCATTGTTAGTTTAGTTCTCATAAGTCATTGAGAAGACCTACCAAACTGCCTATTACTATTGGTGTTCCATGAGAGTGTAGTCCTGGCGTACGAAAGACGGCTTCAATGATCAAAATACCCGCGAATGCTCCTATGAATGACCAGAACCATATTATAATGCTTCCAACCGGTTTGGTTGGCTCTTCCCGGTAGCCTAAAAACCATGATATTGGTTTAGGAAGGAGATGAATCCTTGATCGAGGGACTATTCGGTTGATATAGAGGTCTATATCGAAATTGGAAGAGAGTAACTTCATTGGAAAGATTGGAAATATAGACTGTCGTGAAACTCACATTCTGAAGAGGAGGAATCTGAACAAGGTCGAAATGTGTAACCAGAGACGTCCAACCAACGCCCATTATACTTACGGCAACGACGATCGAGACCCAGTAACCTGGTGAATTGATGACCAGAGGAAACAGCATCTCCGGAGCCTAAGACGCACTTCAAAGTTTCATCTAGGAACAAAGAGGTCTACGCCCGCCATGACGGAACGGGTGCACGCGCTTCTAACCAGAATCCGGGGAATTGACATGTAGAGTTACGGACCATGGGTAGCTTCCTTCCATCCTACCGCCGTTGTCTTGCTGAATTGCGTGCCATTTATGCCAATGAGGTGATGAATTGCCTGCACTTCATGTGGCTACTGTGCAACGGTGAGGGGAATTGATGTTCGTGGTTGTTGAAAGAGGAAGACTATGTGTCATAAAAACATGGGGATTGGAAGAAGTAGACGTCAGACCAACGAATTCGCTAAAGGGGACTCGGCAATAAGACTCGTGATTCGGGATCACGGGAAGTGAGTTTGTAATTGTTTTCCTGCATGACTCTTGCGAGTTCTCGAACAATTAATACGGACTGCAGCTGTTTTCTTGACGAGTTTTCTCCGAAGAATTGTTGTTTTGAGGGAGCTTGATGAGGTGGTGGTCGATGATGAGATGCCGAAACCTCCCATAGGACTCCCGTCAACGCCGACTGAGAACATTGAAAGCTTTCGATGATTTTGTTTATGCTGGTATCGGTGCAAACTTCAAAATGCCGGAGCTTCTATGGTCAATAGCCATAAATCAAGGGTCCGTTAGTACTTTTGGTCATTAGTGCTTTAGACGTACTTATCCGATTTGTATCCCGTCTTCCAACAAACAAGCATGAGGAGCAAGAGAGGAATCAAGTGAGGATACTCTAATCTTCCTTTGTGGAAGCAACGGGAAGGAACAGTTGAGTACGAGTAAGTGGTGATGGTAAGATTGTATGATGATTTTAAGCATGCTTCCCTCTAGGTTCAGAGTCAGCATCTTTGCAACAACGCTGCGCACCGGGAAGGTAGGCTTACGCTCCAAACATCATTTTCCTACCGCTATTCCGCTCTTCAAGGTACTCTTAAAGACGTCGCTTATGATTTCGAATTGTTGTACAACGCGGGCACATTCTGCAGGTACTGTTGTGTCCGATGGGGATATCAATATCTCACAGCAGCTCGCCAGAGTACTGAAAGGGATAGATTTGCCAGATGGCCAGCAATAAGGTCCCCGACGTAGTGATAAGCAATGTCGTATAACCTGTCGTTATCGCTCAAATACGTTTTTGATCGGCTTCGCGGTAAGTTTTGCCTTTGCGTATCCAACATATACCGTTGATTGGCTCGGGGAGAAGTGATGGACATCTCTGTACTGCTTTTTCGGGTCGGGTCTCTCGACCTCATTTGAATACTGCAGCAACTTTGGTACACTCTTTGAGGCTCGTTCCTGCATATCGACATGCAGAATGGATATACTCGTCCCAAATATGAAGCTCTCAGAGATGCCTTGTGGCAGACGGACCAGCCCACTTTCCGTCGGCTGCTAGCGCCCTACAAGTTGAACCCCTGATTTGCAGCGCTCGAAATGTATTGGATAACAACCACACCTTTTCGAGCCCTGCTGGGGCAGAATCCTGCTGCCGTCGGTCTTACACATATACAATGCCGTCAGATTATGGTTTGTCTTTGTTTGCTGTGCCTTTTCTTGAGTTACCCCGCTATGTATGATTCTTGTGTATCTGCTTTTTTGAAGACTTGATGAGCTTGTCGCGTGTACATATTCGTAATGGCTTCCGGAGCCTTATCAGTAGAAGAAAGCTCTGCTTCTGCAGTTCTGAATTCTCGACCTCTCTTTACTAATGGAACTCTAGGGCAGGCATCGTTAGCAACTACGAGTAGCTCAGCCGCGGAGGATAGTGCACTCCAGACACTCAACGTAAGTACCGTGATGCTGTACCTCTGGACTGATTTATCAAAAACGTGTTGTTCAAATTAATAATTTATGTACTTAGGTCGATGAAGATCAAGACAGTGCCATTGGTGGGATGTCAGTTGTTACAACCACAATGTCACTGAACGCAAGCGTGTATGATTTCTTGGAAGAGAATGGAAGAACTTACCATCGGTACAAACAAGGCAGTTGGGCAACTACATCTGTGTATGTAAAACAACACTAAAATGTGCTTTTAGAATACCCTTTACCAAATGACGAGGTTAGACGCCACCTATCACTATTTTACTTCGCTCTGGCTATAGTTCCTGACATTTCATTCAGACAGAGATGGATAGACTAGGTGCATATGAACTCAGAATCATTATAAAACTGCGAACCTAACAAAATTAAACAGATCTTCAACATCAACTTTGGCTACTTACTCTAAACGATGAGCTGCACCTTGCTCCCATCAAAAACCCTCAACATGTCTTGGACATTGGTACGGGCACAGGTATATGGGCTATAGAATTTGGTAAGAACCCCAAATTCCACATCAGAATTGCTCTAACATATCCAGCAACTAAACACTCCTCCTCCCAAGTAATCGGCAACGACTTATCTCCAATCCAACCCACCTAGTAAAAACCCACTGACTCACCACACCTTCCATCACTAACACCCCCAGCATCCCCTCAAACTGCACCTTCGAACTCGACGACGTCGAAGACCCCTGGTCCTACTCCCACCCCTTCGACTACATCCACGGCCGCGCCCTCGCCACCTCTTTCCAAGACATCCGCTCTGTCATCACCTCCGCCTTCACCTCCCTCTCCCCAGGCGGCTACCTCGAACTCCAGGACGGCGCCCTCCCCATGCGCTCCATCGACTCGAGCCTCAGCGGCACCTCCCTCGACCTATGGCAGCACCTCACCATCTCCGCCGCGGCGAAACTCGGCAAGTCCTGGGACGCGGTGCACACGTACGTGCAATTCATGGAGGAAGCCGGGTTCGTCGACGTAGTAGAAACGCATTTTCAGTGGCCGACGAGCACGTGGGCGAAGGGCGAGCGAGTGAAGTTGCTTGGACGGTATTGGCAGGAGGATTTGAATCGGGGGTTGGAAGCTATTTCGATGGCGGCATTGACGAGAGCGGGCGGGATGAGCAAGGAGGAGGTGTTGGAGTTGACGGGGAGAGCGAGGAGGGATGTTTTTGATAAGAATATACATGCGTATATGCCTGTGTGAGTTGTATCATCTGATGTCGGATTATTCAGGCACGGTGCTAATTGGAATTGCAGAGTTGTTGTTTATGGCAGGAAGCCAGCTCTAAACGAAGTTTCTATTCGCTGAAAGTGTAGATGAATATATCTGTGCCCTTAGATATAAGTCCTTAAAGCTTACGTGCACCAGTGTGTTGTAAGACCGACGGGATAACCCGTAGAGTAGAATAACGAGATTCTGCCCTAACTTTATATTCCCTTAATCCTTCTAAGTAGATATTCAACATTGCCTCTATTACAACGGGTAACTATAATTGTTTAGGGAACATGTGTTACAAAGTCGGTTTCTAGCATCGATACATTAGAAAAGTGTCCCGTCAGATTTACAATACACTAGTGTACTAACTCATTTTACCCCTTCTTAAGCTCTGGAAATTAACAATATTAACTCTGTATTTACTTCCCTATCTAATTATAAATACTATCGTATACCTTTAAGCTAGAGTTAACTAACTATCGTTAAATAGCGATCGAGTGTTAGTATTCTCTATACCTAAAGACGATTCGTTAACATTCTCAGCTGGTTTAGCATCTATTAATTACCTTTCAATATAGCGTCCAGATCCCGCGACAGCACTTTCAGATCATATGTTGCTGCGCCCGCACTACAAAGCTCTTCACCACGCGTCCCCATCTCCTGGAAGAAGCTACCTATGCAGCTGGACAAGGCGCTTAGAGCATTGTACAGTTTGGGAATAGTATCGAACGACGGAATGTATATTATAATCGACTCCTTTTTCGTTGCATCTACATCGATGCATCGACGCGGAATCCAGCCAAATCCCGGTGTACCGATGAGCTGAACACATGCCCACGTTCCATTGTTATATGTCTCATCTCGTACCCAACCTAGCTGGCCGATACTGACAGCCCAGATCGGATTTGCAATATCTCTTTCTCGATTCCAACCTCGCTGACATTCTGCCTCTACAGCTGCTTACGGAGAATGTTCTTGTTTGACTTTAAAGGCATAGACCTTGTTTTGATTTGACATGATTGATTGCTGTCTCGAAGGGTGGTCGATCGGAGGCTAATTAATCGTAGGTCACGGTATATCTTAAGTGTAGCACTCAAGAGTATATGGGGAAGAAGAGCTGTATAGCAAGGTAGAGAGAATAAGCCTCCCTGTGAGGTACCCAGCTGAATTAATGACGAAGCATAGTCGATCCATTCACATACCCCCTCCCCGAAGTCAGCGCCCACGTGAAAGTCGTAATACATCATGTAGCCATAATGATTTCCTCCGCAGTTCGTGATGTTAGCCCGCATAAACAACCTTGAAAATAATTCCATAAACAACGCCATAGTCATAAAAGAACATCTTCCCATCCCTATTAGTAACCTTTGGCTCTGACCTGTAATAATAACTGTATTGAATCCGCATGTAATGAGCTGATGTAAATGTTTTCTGCAACTGCGAAATACTCGCAAAATTATAATGTCCGAATAAGTCTAGATAGAGTATACTCTCAAAGTATAGCCTTATGTACTGCACCTATATCTATGACTTAGAGTTCACCTGTAATCTCTAAATTGGGCTCAGTAGCTCTATATAATAGTTATTAAACACTAAATGAAGACTCATCGCTACTGCCCTCAGCTCCCCCTCCTATTATTGCTCGTAGTGGACAAAATAATCAGCATTCCAAACACGAATATTTGCCCAAGCAAGTTGACAAAATATACCATATTCCATCTGACGTTTTCAGTAAATGATAGGGGTTGGAGTTAAATCAGATGAGATAACACTTAAAAGTTTTCATTTCCTCTTCACTCTTGAGGTAACGGAATACCGCTTATGTCATCCTCTACGAGCATAGTTAACAGACTATAGTGAAACTTCTGCTAATATCGGTGCGAGGTATTTTTCATCTGATTATGATGGTAGATGAGGTTTAGTTACTCTAGATAATCAAGACGTTCAGAGTACTCGTGCGTGAGTTGACATACGTTGAAGTAGTGTTCTCAACTCAACTCCACTCATTTCATGTTCTACGTGAGTAAATTTCCTAGATTAAAGGACGACCTATTCCACGTAAGTGACATAGTACCTCTATAAAATCACACTTCACCTTACCTGATCTTCAAATAGGACCCCTCGCAGGAGAAACACGTGCCTCATCTATTGGTCACAGACCGCACAAGCCATCCAGATGAGAACGAACGGTGATAATACCTGGTTGACAAACTCAGTTCTATTTTTGGCACCTCTATATACAAGCCAAAGCTGCTTAAAATTCAAAACGCCCATGCCCTAAAGTACGCAGACAAATGCAATTATAACACCGCTATCCCAATCCACTTTTCACCACTTTTAGGGTTTCCGATCCTTGGCAACAGCTCGAGGTCGGTCTAGAGAACATCCGTACTCATTGCCTTGATAAACCATTTGTATTCAACGTAACCACATTTATGCTGTGATGCCGTTCTTGTTCTTCTTGCTTGGAACTGGGGTGTTGGCCTCCTCATCTAAAGATCTCTTCTCGGGTATATCAATCTCCTTCTCCTTCTCTGCTAAAGCCGCTCTCTCTGCGTCTGTCATGTTGGGTAATAGATCAACTGGCTTTCCTAGCTTAAGTCCGCGGTGGAATGCACGAATGATTGAGTCAGCATCATCCACAGCAATTGGTCGAATATCGGCAAGAGCCTTAATCTTGGTTGTGCACTCCTTGTATTGAGCATCAGTCATATCAATTTTCAACTGGACTGCTCTGGACTTGATGGCGTTCCAACCTGGGTTTTGTATTAGTATATATCTGGAAAAGGGGTTCTCTCAAGCGTCTTACCGGTCAAACGAGAAGCGAAGTGGACGTATCTTGTCATACCGAAATCTGCTGGATTGATGATCTCGTATGTTGAAGGGTTGTTTAGAATTGCCTTGGCGTGGATTCCAGCTTTATGCGTGAAAGCACAAAAGCCAGTGATTGGGTTGTTGAAAGGAATGTTGACCTCAACAGCCTGTGCGACCAAATCCTCAATATCCTTGAGCTTGTCAAGCTTGTACTTGCCCATAACATATTCCCTGTCGGCAACGATCATGCGGGCCATAAGCCCACCAAGAGGAGTGATGCCGTTGCGCTCACCAATACCCAAAACCGACGTATCAATGTGTGTAGCGCCAGCCTCGAGAGCACAGTATGCATTCGCTATGGCACATCCTGTATCGTTGTGGAAATGAGTCTCAATATCACAGCTCACTACTCCTCGGAGAGTTCGGATAAGGTCGTATACTTGTCGTGGGGAAGCGCATCCAACAGTGTCTGCGATACCGACACGGTTTACACCGATCTTGTCAACTGTGGAGTAAATTGAGAGGAGATCAACGAGATTCGATCGGAAGGAATCTTCGCTAGAAAATCTAATTTCGATGTTGTGTGATTTGACGTAGTTTATAACCTCGATTGCGGTGTTGGTGATGTATGTCATGTCCTTTCCGTGGGAGTGCTCCATCAAATACGATGAAGTGCCAATAACGACGTCACTGAGTCATAGTAAGTATAATAAATCGCAGATTATTGGAATCCATCCTTACACTCCATCGACACCGGTTTGGACAGCGATTCTGGCATCGTCCATATGGCATCGGATATGTGTGAGAATCTGTCACCATTAGTTTTATCCGCCACCCACTTCGAATCTCTAACGAACCTTGGCCTTCAATCCCAACTTGCAGATAGCTTCGCAATCAAGTCTCGACTGCTCAGATGCAGCAGGAGAGGTCAATTCAATCTGTATGTCTTTGTTTAGAACAAGCAGCTGGTAAGACAATATTTGCATGACTCACGTAGTCAACCCCAAAGTCGTCCAGCGCCTTTGCGATCTCAATTTTCTTCTCAGTATCGAAAAAAGCATTGGCGAATTGTTCACCCTCACGAAGGGTACTCTCGATAATCTTGAAGTTGTTGACATTGCTCAGAAAGTCACCGACGGGTTGGTAAGGATTCGATCGATGGTGGGGGTTCGCTTTGGTCTCAATGCCTGTGTATCCGGGATGTGCTGCAAAGACATATGTTAGCATTGAATTGTTGAATGAATCGTGATGTCTTACAAGAGGAATTGCCGTTGCCATTGGAGGCACCATTTCCGTTTGATTGCCCATTGGTATGCCCATTACCGTTGGCAATGGCCTCTGGTTCGCACGAAGGACACATTTTCGATGTGATGTTTTTTGAAGAGTGACGGATAGTTTGCGATACCAGACGATGTTCGAGACGAGTGAATAAGATGGATCAATTGAGTATGTGGGAGCACAAAAGTTTCGGGCGGGATGACGAATATTAATACTCTGATGGCTGGAAAATTCAGATGTGGACGCTGAGTCTCGCTTTGGCTATGACTCTATCTGGGCTTGCCTTGTATCTTTCCTGTGTTGTGGGGAAACAAAAATGGCAAGGATATTTCTGCAAATCGAGGGGAAGCCGATGACCGGAGTCTAACTTCTCATTGGACTCGCACTCTGGCTGCACTCTTGCATGTCACGTGTGGCAGCAATCCAGCGGTGAAATGGACGGGATCGACTTTGAAAGCAAGACGCCCAATTGGCATTTGTCTGCTCGGCGTCGGCGTACTGCGAAACAATCTGGGGAAACCAGGCGCACCAACTGAAAGTTTTTGATGTGCATATTGCAATACCTCATGAGACGGTTATTGGTGGGAGCTTTGACGGCAATGCGTATCTGATTGGCAGCAAAGAAGGCGGTGAAGCTTCGTGCTACCTTGGAAATATTTTTCCATCAAAATAGATCTTCATACATAAAATACAAAGCAACATACGGTTCTTCAAACACTACTCGATCTGCTCTACGAGGTGGTTGATGTTCTCTGAATATTTATTTGGGCGTTGCAAGACTATATACCACAAGTTTGAGGCGACTAATAGCTCTCGAGCTCTGATTAGAAGTCATAGGAAGCTGGAACATGCCGATCCATGGAAAAGATCGATTATGTTGACTACAGAGGTATTTCACAGGTATCTCTGTGTGACTCCGGAACCATTTGATGCTGTTGTGGGACGGCAGACGATCACCTTTTCAGAGGTCCTCTCTATCCGGCAGAGCTCTTTCAAGCTGTAGTACGACATGAGCTTGTCAGATTTCACCAATCCAAAGCCAAGGGACACAAGGTTTATTAAAATTTCTTGAGTAGCCCTGGGGACTCGAACTTAGGATCATCGTCGTCAGAATCACGGTCTCCGATATCAATGACTGCGAAGAGCACCTTGAGCCAAAGACTGCAACCTCGACACCCAACATCGATCTCGCCATCGTCAACAGCCTCTTCAAGTTCCCTTTGAACAATCAGGAATCCGCGGGTTTCACCACATCTGCAGCCTCGATACCAAATTCCCTGACCCTCCTCAGTCTCCAGGTCGTCCAAATCCATGGTCTCAATACCGGTATGGAAGTTCTGCTGATTCCCAACACCGCCGATGTCATTGGTTTGTCCCTGTAACTCTAGATCCTTATCATAGTCCGCCCGAGACCTCGCATCTATGAGGACGTTGAAGGCTTCGCTAATTTGATCGATGGAGTAGACGCGTCCTGCATTTTTCGTGGGCTGTGTGGTCGAGGATTTATCTGGGTGGTTTCGCAGCAATGCTCTTCGATAAGCAGTGCGAAGAGTCTGCTTCGGAATGATGGCGGTTTTCCGGATGCCATCTGGAAGATCCAGAACTTCGTAATGGGTAGGAGTCTGACTCATCGGTATATACGAATACCCAATCAGCGGGGAGGCGCAAAAAAATATTTGAAAAGGAAGGTCTGATCCTTGATTTTTTAGAGTTATTTTTGAGCTTTCCTGCGCGCAAGCTTATAAAGTGGCTGGGTCCACCTCGCGATCGGCTAAAACCCAGGAGTGCCGCTCGCTTAGCACTACACTACCTACCTTATAGGTAGGTACGGTCGAAAGATTCTTCTATGATTGCCAATAAATCACATTTCTAAATTTATGTCGGTAAATCTGCTTAGATCTAAAGTACTAATCTACGCTTATTATAATAGCGTGAGCATACAGCTCATTTGAGAAGCAACTAACTGTCTATCATTTTGTTTATTGGCTCTAATGAATGAGCGAATTATAGGTAGTAACTAGTAGAGACTAGAAAAAGAGGACTGGTGGGGGGAGAAAACTCTACGGTAAAGAAAAGCTCTTTATTTCTCTTATTGCTTTGAAGTCATGTTATATTTCTCTATATGAGTATCTAGAACGTATCCTTTCTATACGTTGGAGTGCCATCTATTCAGAGCACTGTGAATAACCACGCTTCATTTCCCCTATGATATTTTACATTAGGCATAGCACTGAGTCATTTACTCAGATGGACTCTATCATATTTGCAGTGAGCGAAGAACTATCTTCAGGTCCTAGGTACTGAGTCCTTTCGATTTCTCTTCCAGCCTTTGAATACACTTCCTGAAGTCGTTTGTTTTCTCTTCTCATATGTTAGTACATAGGTGATACGTCCTGCCATGACGGTAAACTGGAAATACAAAATTGAAACCCATTAATAATGGTTTGATGAAGACTAGCAACAAACCAAATGAAATCAGTCCGTGGTAGACAGACAGCAGGAAACAATCTGTCACCTTAATTCATTCACACCGCATCAAAGATTTAAATCGAGTAAGAGCTCTATTATCAAAACAAAATCTGCAATTCCGCAACTAACTATGCATAGGTATAAACGCCGATTCATCTAACCGATGAGAATGCAACTTCTAGACAAAATCCCAAACTCCATATAGCGTACATATAACTCCTCGAACTTCCCAATTCATACCCGACACTCCAATATCCTTGCCGCGCACTGCTAAGAGCAGATGAAGGAGCAAAGAAAACAAACAAACTCTACTTGCTATTCTTACCCTTCTTTTTCTTCTTGTCTTTCTTTACAGTCTTGTCCTCAGGTGTCGTGCCGGTCTTGTCCTTGGGCGTTTCGCCAGTCTTGTCCTTGGGCGTTTCGCCAGTCTTGTCTTTGGGCGTCTCGCCAGTCTTGTCTTTAGGCACCTCGCCCTCCTTTGGCTTGGGCTCCGTTTCGGTCGTCTCGTCCCCCTTCGCTTTAGGCTTCTTGTCGGCCTTAGTCTTGCCCCCTCCACAGTTGCCCTTCTTCTTCTTCTTCTTGGGCTTGGTCTCGTCAGTATCTTTAGTACCTGTGGCGTCTGTGGTGTCTCCGGTGCCCTTCTTGCCCTTCTTGCCCTTAGTGTCCGTAGGGTCAGTAGCGTCCTTCTCCTTGGGCTCTGCTCTTCTCGAAAGACCCGCACGAGCCCACAAACTCAGAAACGTATTATCTCTTTTCTCGTTGCTATGGTCCTTTTTAGATGGCTTTTTACCTTCAGCTTTAGATAGTTCTGCACCATCCTCATCATCGCCACCTTCACCAGCAGCACAAGAGGCTTCTGATTCTTTGGTGAGAGACAAGGCGTAAGAAGGACCCATTGTGGCTTCATCCCATGAGTCTTCGACCGAGTACTCAAAGAGTACTTCTGGGTGAGGCCCTCCGATCAGGCCCCGTATCATTCCGGTCGGGGCGTCGTACTCAACGGCGACGTTAGTTCCTTCCCATTCCTTTGATTCCTTGTCATATGCGGGGAGGTATGAGTGTAACTTCATGTGCGCATTTTTCAAGGGTCCAGCATTATCCGCCACAGCTCCCTATTGATTGATTTATTAGCATGGAGATGGGCGAGGAATATATGGTTATCTTACTGCGGGTTCTGTATCATCAGCTTTCTTCTTGTACTCTTTCTGTGCACCAAGTGTGGCTACAATGATTTGTTTGACTCGATCTAAGTTCTTCAACTCCTTCGCTGGTCTTTGCTTCTCAATAGTGATAAGATAAAGGTGAGCGTTCTCATCCAAATTTGTTTCCGCTAACTGTTCGTCTGAAACAAGAGCTACGGAAGGTCAGACATCTCCAAAAATATGCTAAGAATTAGATGTGGCTTACCAGGAAATGGGCCGCATTTTTTCATATCTATCCAGAAATATTAGTATCCGAATCAGGTGAAGATATTTGGTGATTCAGAAATGCTTTTGCAGGAGTTGACCTACCTGGCTCATCGGAGATATCCTCAGGATCAACCTGCTCCTCTTTCTCTTCTGGGTCACCCTGCTTGATAAACTGGATAATATCTTTTGTTCGCTTGTTGACAGTTTCTTCTTCATCCTGTAGTTCCCAGTAATGAGCAACATAAATGCCGTGTTGGTTAAATGCGAATAGTACTTGACATCCAGTCAAGCCGAAACCTTCACAGAAAGAAAAGGCAAACGACGCAGCTGCTTTTGGTTTTGGCTTTCTCTCTGATGGGAACGCAGAATAAAAAGCAGTATCCCTCCAGGAGCTTGGACAAAAGTCGGTCGACCTTTGATGTCTTTCAATCTTTGTAATGTGAGTCCTAATGGCATCGGGGTTGGTTTTATCCAATTTAGCTAGGGCTCTCGCGGCAAGAACCGGTGCGTTGGGTGAGGAAAGAGGACTGTTGGGGAGGTTAGAAAAGATACCGCCCTAAGACGCCTGTGGAAACTCACCCTTCATCGCCATCAACAGGGAAAGCCGTTATTGGCGCAATAAAGCTCCCAAAAGTCGCTATTGCGAGGCCCCAGTGCTGGACACTGTATAGATGCATGGTGGGATTAGAAACCGCAGATTCGAACCCCAATGCAGGCTAATCAAGTGTACAAAGGAGAAATTAGGTGTTCCAGAAGGGTCAGCAAAATGGTGTAAACGTCTTGACAATGAGATATAAGTGCAAAATAAACTAGAATGAAATAGATAGCAGTACAAGATATGACAGTTGAGAGAATCGATGAGAAGAGTGAGCTGAATGAGATAGATTTTTGTAGCAGAAGGCAATCTTCACTTGCCTTATAAATATATTTGATCACAAACCTCGAAGTGGTCGGGGTCCGTCATGGCCTCGACTGTGTATTCCCACTGGAGAGGATTCCACTGGTGAGGATCAATACGTATCTGGAATACAGAAGAGGTACATGGACACAAGAGCAACATGATGGCGGAAATTTGGAATGCTGGATCACTGGACCACGATGGTTCGAGGAGAAGGTAGTTTCGTGACCGGATCTGACTCATCTGAGGAAGAGGAACGTTGAGTTGGGCTGAGGAAGCTTAAGACATGACCAGGATAATGGGGAAATTATAAATTTAAGCCTCACGTCAGCATTGAAGATACGACTTGGGATCACGGCAGGTGGTGGTGGTGTAACCTTACGATTAGCGAGCAGCCTTATGGTTAACCTTAAGGAATCGCTTATTGGAGCATCAAATTCTTACAAAATACGTCAAACCACCGCCGGCGCCGTCCTAGATCCATCTGATATCACCATCCTCTTACTGACCTCCTAAACTTCGTGATATAATATTATTTTGGGCACGAGTTTGGCGCAGCATTCTGCCCGCGACCTTCGAATCATTCGGTCTCTGTTTTCTTAGATTCCAAGGATTTTGGAATGCGATGATTCGAAGCTCAGCCGTAATTGACGACAAGTGAGCCACTCAGCAGATACAAAGGAATAATAGCTACAATATTTGTGGGAAATGAAAAAGTACAAGTACGACCCCAACTCTCCTTGCAAAACGTCGCATTATCCAATTCCTATTCATTACATTCATCTAGCAAATATATTACAGTCACAAGACAACCTCCTTTTTTCCCTTCTCATTTGATCTTGCGCTACATAGTTTGAGATTATATTGTTACACGTCATCGTCCAGCCGGGCTTTTCACACTTTTCTTTTCACGTATTTGCGTTCGTTCGACATGTCCAGTTCCCCAAGTGGAAGAAGGTCATCGCACTACGGAGACGCATACTCCGCAGGAAACCTTAATTCATTCTTCTCTGCCCATGCAGGACGGAAGGTTTTGGGGCTCACTTTAGTTATAGGCCTGGCCTTCTACGCATTTTCGCCATCTGTGAGTCTCGTTATCATCTCACGAGGCGCAAGTTACTTACATTTCTTCACTAGGGTCATATCAGCAACCAAGACGTGTCCCACTTCGACAGTTCTATGTCTGAACCTGCCAACCTTCCCATCATGGGAATGCATAAGAATTCGCATAAAGAATTGCACAGGAGCATGTATAAGAGAACGACAGACGAAGAACAGGACAAAGACGGAAAAGATTCAGATACGACCACGGACAAAAAGAGCGATTCCACTGACCCTACGAGTGCCGGGGGAGCTTCTGGGAAATGGAAACCACTTACTGCAGCTCAGAAAAAACATGTGTATGATATAAACCTTGTGTTTGGAAACCTATACATTTCAGTCACTAACAAACATGTAGAGTTGCCATCAAGAGCTCTGAGTCTACTGACGATGCTGCCATCAAAGCAATGGAAGCTCTTGGATTCGACACTCCCCTTGACCCTCCGTCTCCAGTGGATCTGACTAGGGGTGGCATCAGACTAGCCATACCTGTGACCATTATCGATCTCGCTGCCATGTCTCTAAAGCCGAAACGACTGGAGTACGCTCTCAAGAAAGACAAAGATGGCGCCGAAAAGAGCAACCCACTTGGTGTTCTGGCTGGTAACACGTACCTCGCAGACCAGAAAGAAACACTTGCCCAAATGAAGCTATTGCTTGCGGACGAACGGTTCGATGCCAATAAGGAGGAGTTTCCAGACGATTCAGATATGAAGATGAGACTAGATAAGTTACTCGGCCGCAATGGCAGAAACAAGAAGTACACACCAGCAACTCCATTGGAGAAGGCTTGTGATGCTTTGTTTGTGGACGCAGTAAAGCTGCTCATAGAAAAAGGTGCCAAGGTTACACCTAGGGCCAAAAAAGTCCTGGCAAAGTATGACGACGAGGAAGAGGAGGAAGATCAAGTCAAGGTAAAGGCAATCAAGGCCTTATTGACATAGGCGAAAGTTCATTAAGTCTGGATATGACCTGATGTAAGGATCCAAGAGTAAAGTTATCGAATTAGAATGGGAAATCTCATTGCATTCGGGCTGTTTGTTGTATTCGTTGGCGTTTGGGGACTGGAATTTGGGTTGGGGATAGGAGTATTGAATTTTTTTAACGCATCTTGTTGCCAGTACTAGAGAGCTGTGCAGTGATGAAGTGACGTTTTTGACAGGCAATAATGAACTAGGCGATAGTATCGCCCCGAAACTTACGTACAACGGTGCCCAGGGCGTGTTATAGACTGTTAAAAAATAGGCAGCCAGCCTGCCGACCGAAGTAACACGAAAATATAAATTTTCGTTCGATGTAAAAGTCTAGTAAATTCTCCCGTTCACGGGATATCCTCGCTCCAGCTAGGGATTATACTGGAAAAGTTGAGGCAGATATTAATGTAGATATTGCTGTACCGATTCTTACTACCAACAGTGGAACGGTCCACGTTCGTAAAATGCCAAGCACGTTATCATCCCACCCGGAGCATATTAAGACACTAGTCATTCATTTCACTAAACTCAATCTCATCAAGTACTCTACTTCTTGGCCTTTCAAGACATGTCAACCTTTGAAAGTACTTCACCTACCCCTCACACTCTTCTAATCATTAATATGCCCAAGAAAACAACTTTCTCAGACATAGATCCAGACAAAGATTCAGAGATTTTAGATAAAGCAAACATTCCCATCGGAGCTCCAGTTGTCAAAGGCGACGTTACACACCCGCTGACACCAGCCCAACTGCAATACTTGTATGGCCGTCTATGCACCTATTCCCGCAATACAAAGCTGATACACACGTAGGGCCCTCATAATAAATCCCGCTACCGAAAAGACAATAGCAGAGAATGCAATGAATTTTTTCGGGTTCGAGACTCCTCTTAACCCCCCAACATCCTACGAATTGGCTAGCCAAGGCATTTCGTTACCGATGGCTAGTACCGTTATTGATGCTGCTGCGCTATCGTTCAACAAAGACAGATTCATCTACGCAATCAAGCAAGATACAGCCAGATACAACGGCGCCGTCGCAAAACTCAGCAGTCCACTTTGCGTTCTTGCTGGTAGGGGGCAGAAAGCCGCACTCGCGCTATTCGATGATGTTATTGCTGCCGGATTCGATGTCAACGACAGACAGTTTCAATGGAACGAAGCATTTTTAAAGAGGATTAAAATGCGAGCAGAGCACCCTGGCGAAAGTTATGTTTTTGAGCCCCCGACTGCTTTGGAAAAGGCGTGCGACCGTCTGTTTGTAGGTGCGGTGGAGAAGCTCCTTCAAATGGGTGCTGAAAAGGGCAGGGCACTAGACATTATGAGGAGGTTCGATGAGGAGTATTCGTCCATCAAACAAAAGAAGATCGACGAGATTAACAAACTTTTATCCAAGGTGGTGACTTAAGTTTACTTCTGGCCCCGAGTTAGCTGAGAGTGGTATGAGCATATATCTTCATGAAAATGGGTTGTTTGATGGCGTTGTGGATAGCGTTTAGGAGTTTGGCTGATAGGCGTATTGGAATCTTATCCCAGTTGGACGTTGAATTATGAATTATTGCTTTGGCATGGGAACTTGAATTCACGAACATGGAGTTCTGCTTTGGAAGATTGTTTTACGAGCCCTGACCTCCGGCTCCTATCCCCAAAGACTGCTTACACAGCGTACACAGCTGATGACGCTGGGCATAGAAATGTCTAATACCGTCAAACCGAAAGCCTTCCATCCATTGTACTGTAATTATGTTACATTTTGATACAAGCAGAGTATACATTATCATTAAGACCTTTCCATTTTCGCCCTCTTCTCATTCTTCTTCGCCCCTTTCATACTCCTCCTCGGCCTTCCCTTGGCACTACTAGGCTTCTCGCGAATCTGGAGTGAAGCATTTAATGGCCTCCTCTGACCTATATATTTCCCTTCCGGCGTAAAAATCTCCACCGCAGGCCATAAAGGATCATTTTCATTTCCAGCAGCGTCCACTGAACCGTCGTCTTGTCTTTGAAATTGTTGAATATTTTTGTTTTGAAATCCACGCGTATCCCGGACAGGGACACGGACAGAGTCACGCCGTGGTTTTCTGACCTGTGCGGCAAGTTCTACCCAGCCCACGCCTTCAATAAGAATATCAGTTGAGAAGATACGGAATGGGAGGACGTCTGGACGGAGTTTTGCGGCGGAGCGAGAGGTAAGAGGACCACTTCGTTCTTTGGTGACGTCCCACTTGAGGTAATATGTTCCAGCAGAAGCAATCTTTTCGCCTGTTCCTGGGACAGAGATATTCTCGATGCCAGACTCGCGGGTTTGAAGTTGGGTTGGTATGGCCTTGTCTGTACTGGTGACATGCGGAAACAGGGACGTAAAGTTATAACTCAAGAAAACCACATCCGGTGTAACAGGAGTGATGCGGATGAACCCTGCTAAAAGTAGAGATTGGCCCTCCTTGATTGAACTTTGGGCTATTTTAACTCGCGTGCGCATTACCAGAGTTGTATGTCGATCGGGCTGGACGTGATTTTCTAAGTCGCTTCGAGAGAGACCTGGAAGATCAATGAGTTCTCCTTTCCCGTTGCCAAAAGGAAGCCTAATTGGCGAGGCAGTCGTTCCAGGGAGTGGGGAAACAAGAGGCATCGCTGGGTAGTCGACCTCAAATGGAAAGGGCGGTAACATCGAGGAAGTGTCCAAAATCTCTTCCGTGTCTTCCCACCCAGATTCTTTGACCACAACATCATTACTGGCTTTGTCGGCTTGCGGAATCATATCACTCCTTTCACCTAGTGTCGCTAGTGCTTCTTCTGACGCTCCATCGACGCGTGGTTCGGGCACATGCTTTTTGATGTCGCTCACTCCAGACTTACCCTTCGGAAACACTTCATGGAGCAGCTGGCTCTTTCCCACATTAACTTTTCCGACTAGCCAGCCTCCACCGCCTCTCTCCCAAATGTCTTTCTTCAGCTCTTTAGTCCACCATGACATTTTTGAACTCACACACCTAACGTTTCCTAGTCGAACATCCTTTCCGGTTCGACCCAACGCGTCCCGGAGGACTTCTCTTATCCATGGCATCCTCCGATCAAGTTGCTCCTTTCCGAGGCAAAATAGATCAGATCGTTGGATAATAAAGCTAATTTCTGTCTTTTGTCCATGATAGAACCTCCCAGTTTTGGAACGCCGGTTGAGTGAACGCTGCGGAGTAAGGTGAAGAAGTTTATGTAGCCCTGGAATTAGAGACATTGGAAAGTCCGCTGCATCAATAACATGATAAATGTGGTTGTATTTGTAGGGAGATTCGAATATGGTATCCTGTATTGATTGAATAGAGGGGTGGATGATGGAAACGCCTGTGTTATGCTCTTTCAGATTATGACAGCGATCACATATCGGAGGACCTAGATCTTTATCTGCGTCTGCATTAATATTCATTCTCAGAATCATACGAATCCAATAACATACACTCTTTCGCTTTCTCTGTCTGTCCAAAATCCAACCCAGCTGCAATTTCTCCAGCATTGGCCAACGCGTCCCTTATTATGGCAGATTCAGCAGCCACGGCTGCTATAACATGATCCCTTCCATTTATGTACTTTCGTACGGGCCTTCTCCTTAAGTCATAGTAACCAGGTTCGTCTTCCACAACAGTTTGCGCAAGGGCGCCGCACCCAGGACATGTTATTGGGAGCGCAGATCGCGCGATTACTTTATATCGCGCTTCTGCTTCTATGCTGGCTGGCGTCTCGACTTCGGAGGCACCGACGGGATGTGAGGTTAGGAATCTTCGAGTGGGTTGTCGGAAAGGAGCTTGCGAAAGCTTCGCAGTCTTCAAAAGTCCTGGGCAGAGAAACACTGGAAGATCTGCAGTAGGAATCACATTTCTCGGTAGTGCTCTGAGTATACCCAATCTACCAGCGCAGGTAGCCATTCTCAACAACCCCACGAGAGAAACACAACTATTAATGGAAGTGCTGGCGCATATGGTATGGATCCGTAACAAAATAAATCACCGCGAAATATTCCGACAGGGGTACCACCTTAGCGTCTAAACCTTAAATAATTTAATGCCACACCTCCAACCACAGCGACAGGAATACGACTTTCAGATTGACTGCATCTTCGACCTTCGCAGATCCCTAGTTCACCAGTGTATACTTCAAGATGGTTGGCGTTGCTAAGCGTATGTCAAAACTGACTGAAGTAAGTAGAGTATCCGTCGATATGTTCAATCGCATCTGCTGACCTCCTCCTCTAGAAGGTACATTTCTCCCCATACTCGATTAACAACGTCGCAAGCATCCAATTGACCATGTCCGCAGTTAATGCACCTTAAGATCGGTGATGGAGCAATCGTACTTCCGCCGGAGGTTCGAAAGATACACATGGACTTTGCAGTAACCAAAGACCCATCACATGCTGGCCCACGGTAACCCTCCTGCCACACCACGTCCTCTGACGAGAGCAGTGCTGAAGATGTATAGGATATTCTGGCGGAACCAACTGCGGCGGCTGAAATATCACAATCCCAGATTAGAATGTACTATAGCGCGCACAACCTCCGGCGACGACCCAGCGACAATGACCCTCCACATCGCCTCTCCCACATCAGCATCTGATCCTCCAGCCACCCCTTCTTCCGATACTACAGATACAGGAATGCGAGTTGAAAAAATCGACATCAAGAGCCGAGGGCCGGGGTCGATATTAGAAGAAATACTGAAACTCGCTCCTGGAGGAAGGAAGATTGAGGCTACTGAGGAGGACCTGAAGGTTATTGCGGAGCTGAGGCAAATGCAGAAATCACAAAACAAGAGCTCTAAACAGAACGAGGTTAGGAATACAGCGGCTAGAATTGAGAAGGAGAAGGATTTGTTAAGACGTGGCGCGGCGGTATCATGAGCTGGTAAATGGATACGAGCTGTAAAGTATGAGAAGTCTAGCTGGAGCGAAGCAAGACAGATGTACAATAGAAGTGTATTAAGATGTAGATATGCTCATCCAGGGATGTATTATCAGTAACTTGGGTGTCAGTCTCTGGAAATTGAATCAATCAGATAATCAAAATGGCCCACGTAAGCTTTGTGAACAGTCACGGACTTGGATTTTTAACTATTAATCACGCTCTATGTAATGCCTCCAATATGCGCAGTAACTTCCAACCCGCCCTCTTCCATTTCCAGATATCCCGCTAATGCGCCAAACTCCTCCCATTATCTACACATGGAGCAGCTCATTTCAATCCAAAGCCTTCACTCTCATTTACAGCTCTCCACAACATCCTCTCGAGTTTCTCCTTTGACGAATAACGCCACAACGACACCATGTTGAAACAAGTCCGCGCCTGGGGAAACCTAGAACAGTCATTCCCCAAGCAGGACACTTTTATGATAAGATTGGTGGCACCCATTGCAGGTATTCGATCACTTCCAGTAATAAAACTCAGTAGCTTCCGTTGATCTTTTGGACTTGCGCCAGCGAAAGAATCCCAGAACCAGACCACGGTGGATTGGTTGGCGGCCTCCTTGACGGGAACTCCCCAATGCTCGTATACAGCTACCGCTCGTAAGGATGCAATATCAAGAGGCTCGTCTGAACCTCTGATGAGGAGCTCAATTTCTTCGGGTCGAAATAGTGATAATGCATTGCCCCCACAAACAGTAAAGAATCCCCTCTTGAATGGCTCAAACTGTCGAACGACCGACCCGTCAAGGAGGTAACGGACGTAAAGGTCAACAAATTCTCGCCTGTTACTGTTTGTGACGGAACGATTCTCTCCACCTGGACAGAGTGGCACTTGGATTGTTTGCCCATATTTCTCGACATCGGCGACGAAGTCTCGACAGAAGGTTGCCTCCACATCGCCTTCAAAATCTAACAATTGTCTCAACCCTGCAGCGAGAGCAGGACGATATTCGGCCAAATCCTCTAAAGAATAAGCCATGATCGGTTTTGCATGTGAAGTTGCTCCAAGCGGCGTAGGTGGCCCAGCTGCAAGTAGCTTCCGAAAAGCAAATGGAGGAAGAGCTACATCAAGGATCGTCGAGTTATATATTGCTAGACCTAAGACAACTCCAACAAGAAAGAATTGATCTGTTGTTTCGAAGCTGTTAGGGTTGAAGTAACAGAACTGAGAATCTTCATCATATGTAAACATTCCTGTAAACTAGTTAGTAATATATCGCTGAGATTTTGCAAGGGAGCGTACCGTGTTCAGGATTAAATACATCTCGCACTAGAAGCAGAAACCACTCTTTCCTGAGCCCACCAGCATCAATACCTTCCTCGCCCTTAAACTCGATACGAAGCCCTTTCTTGATTTCCTCACTTCCAGATCCGACGACTTCGCTCACACCCTTGAGACTATCCTCTACTAAGCACTCCCGTCGAATTTTCAGTACGAGGTATTGGTTAACAACTTGGCGAGTCATGATACTGTCGAAGAAAGCTTCGCGAGCCTTCACTTCCATCTGTCGCCGCGCGTCGTGCTCCATTATTTGAATCTTCGCCCAAATACTGAGGAAGAAAGGATATTGACAAAAAGAAAATTTCCCTCGCTTAGCTTCCCATGCTTCAAAGTCAGCGATGAGGTCGCAATAGTCCAGCAAAGTATTGTAGAAGTCGCTTGTAGCTACTATCTGGCCATGCGGCAAATTTCTATCGCGAGACAAAGGCACAGTGCCAGATAGGAATCCAGGTATCGAATGGGTTTCACCCTTCTTTGCTTGACCGTGATTATTTGCGGAAAACAACAGAGCCATCACTTTTGCGGCTGCTTTGATTTGCCAATCATCGTCATACACCACAGGCTGTGATTTGCCATTATTCTTTTTCGACGATAGGGGAGGTTGAGCACCTAAGGCAGCATGAAGAGCTGCTGAACTACCTCGCCCGGTTCCACTTATACATGGTATCAAATGATTGGCTTGGTCCTTTTCAGACCCACGTTGTTTGCCATGCTGTCTCGTCAACCTGTAGGTCACAAAGCTTCCTACTAAATCCACAGTCTTTTGGAAGTGGCTGTCTGTAAAACGAGCAAACCAAGAAACGAGGTGATGATGACACTCATTTGGCAAATTTGCTAGGAGTCCCAATATTCGCTTGATGATTCCGGAATGCTGTCCAGAACTACCCTTCCGCGTATTACGGCTTTCGGCTGTAGTTGATTGCGATGTTGATCTGGATTGCTGATGGACTTCCGAAGGAATCACGCGGTCGCTCTTTGTTGGGGACCTAGATTGAGGTTCCTCCCGTGCTTTTGAAGGAACATGCGAAGGATATAGAAGTGGGTTGGCCCAAATTATCAGTAGAAAACGAACATCCTCTGGCTTATTCATTGGGCGCCCTGGACGTTTTAGTAAACTCTCAGTCGCTTTGAGAAGGACCCTCTGGGTATGAGTCTGCGCTTCAAGAATATGACTTTCAATATCAATAAAATCCAAAGATGGCGATGGGTGAGTGCCGGTCTTATCATCATATTTCGATAAGTTAAGATCACGCAGCTTAGCTCGCCATGAATTTCCAGCTGTGATAACTGTAGAATACCACTCGTTGACTGCTGGCCAGTCTATATGGGGGGATTTCAAGTTGACCAAATGGCCTGACTTGCTTAAACTGTCGACATCTTGAATTCCGAAATCATTGCGTGTCGAGGTTTTCTCTTCTGATCGACCTCCAGTCCACCATGAGCCATTCTCTGCAAAATCGCCGAGTAAAAGAGTTTTGGCGTCTAGCTCCGAAAGAAGACTATCTGCCTCCGTAGCCTTTTCTGATGAGATCGATTCTTTGGGCTGAGCTTTGAAGGCCGTTGGAAGCCATCTCTTGGCCCCTTCACTTTTTGCTCGGGGTACCAGGCCTGGCCGTATGGTCGAGAAGGATGCATTGATGCACTCCAATGAACTGAAAGAGGTGATTATGTAGTCTTCTAGTGGTCTAAACAGATTTTTGGGACTTCCATTTACCTTCTGAGGATCGACATCTGCGGTTACTTTTCTCGTGGGCTGGTGGACAAGGGGGCGTTTAACATCGGGGCGTTCCGCATCTTTGATTGCTGGTGTATAGAGATTTCCCGGCGAGGAAGAGGAGTAGGTCCGGGAGTCCGCTTGACGGGGTTGATATGGTATTTCTCTTTTATCTGGTAGCTTCTGGAAGTGTTCAACTGAAGCGAGAGAAGAGGGACAACCTTCTTCGCTGGACAAACTCTCAGACACTGTTGATCTTCCATCCTTCATTCTTCGAATGGAACCAGCCATTGGGGTAGATTGTGAAGCTTCCAGTAGTGGTGATCCAGGCGGAGAAGACTGCAGTTCTCCGGATTGCGAGTTCACATGGTTCATGCAACCTACCAGATATGATGTTATGCACTGATCAATCAGTCTTCTAGTCTTTTCAATTGAGAGCACTTGGGCTGCAAACTGTTAGCGTGGCCGTAGCAATTCCACTGCAGTTGCAGTTCGTACCTGGCAAATGAGCCCTCATTGACCGGTCCTCGACTGGCGCCCGATGGCCATCGCCACTCCTGGCTTCCAGCAAGATGGGCTTCAAATCATTGATTGTCAAGCAGACTGTACATCTGAAAACATGCAGATTCCTCGGCCAACGCACCGTAGAATCGCACGTCATGCATTTCCCCACAGTCAAATCTTTGTCGCTCGTCTTGCTCTGCCTGCTTCCGTTGTCCGTCTGATGTGAACGTACTGGAGAACTGCCAGAGTCATCATCTGTCGAGTCTACTCCTCCACTTTCGCCGTGCCTCTTCTTCTTGCTCGAAAATAAAGAGGGAAATGGATGACTGATAGAGCGGCCATGGCTGAGTGTACGACTTGGTCTGGCAGAGCTTCCACTTGTGTTTCTTTGTGTGACGTCCGTGGTCGCCGTCAGCGTGGGGATCGATAAAGCACTGTCCAAAATATCTGCCTCCGTAACTCTGAGAGGTGGGTACACGGGCTGTGCGGGTGAGGCATCGTTAGAAAATCTAGTGTTGAGGTCGCGAGACGACGAAGAAAGTAGCCGATTCGAGGACCATGGAGGCATCGCAGAGTGCACAGTGACTGCAAAGCATCCGCTGCAAATGGAGCAAGGGAATGGAAGGGTTCATTGAAATTGTTGAAACGACACGAGTTGTGAGCACTCGCTGCTGGCTCCTCATGTTCTTCGATCGTGTCGCAAGTTCCTTCCTTCGACACGGTTAGTTCCATACATTAGACCTCGGAGCGGCGATTAGGTTTTTAGGGGCAGGAAAGTATTGTGCATTTACCTTGGCCCATGACCATGAGTCTGATTGTTTGCAAGTTGAAGTAGCAGAAATTATCTTGTTTGTTCATACATTGTTTAAACACTGGGAGTTTGGGTCCCCAAATAGGTAGCTGGCAAGGGTCGACTCCAGGAATACGAGTTTACCTAGATATGGGACGTACGGTAATCTGGTAAGCCAAAATCCAATCACACGCGATATATGTATCAATAACAAAGGATATCACAACGCTTTTGATAGATTGATCACTGAAAATAATTGACAATTTACTGGGGTATAGAATAATAGACTTCAAATGCTTGCATTCATTAGCATCATAACTTTGAAGTACAGGCGTCGCTTTTGCCAGCCCATCACATCAGCGAGAGCAAATGAAATATCCATTCCGGGCCACCCAGGCAACAAAACCCCTCGAAAACTCCGACTAGCACATCTATCTGTAACGTTGGAGGTTGAGAGTGTTGTGTCTCTTCCAGGTCTTTCTGCGACCAGCAGTTGTCTTGTTGTATCCGTGACCTTTGCCCAGTCCACGAGACTTCTTGCCGGTAGCGGTGAGACCACGAGATTCACGGTGCTTATGAACAGGGTTGACAATCCAGTTGATGCGGGCATCACGGCGAATAGCCTTGTGTTGAGGATCGACCAAGATGATCTCGAAGTATTTGTAGGTAGAATCCTGGTTGATCCAGTACGAGTTCAGAACTCGCAAATTCGCGCATCGTCGGCCTACACGCTCCTCGGCGGTTGATTTGAGAGATCGTTGGTACTTGAGCTGGTTAACACCCTGGTTGGTTGGTTTTCCTGGAGGTGAAAATATGGTTAGTAAACTCTTCCGACTTGAGATCAAGGTTCCGCAACTGCGCTTTCATACCGTATGTAGCACCCTTTGGTACAGGCTTCTTGCGACCTCCACGGCGAACGCGAACGCGGTAGATGACATAGCCTTGCTTTGCCTTGTAACCAAGACGGCGAGCCTTGTCTGGACGAGATGGGCGGGAAGCGCGGTGGATGACATTCAATTGTCGAAGCTATATTATGCACTCTCAGCTAAGTTCAACGAGTGTATAGCAAGGGCATCAAATGATGCCCACATCCTCAATATCCAATTCGGTTCGAGACCATTTCGAAATATTGATTGGTATGTGTTGCTATCGCGGGATATCGTGGAGAAATTGGGTTAACACACCTCCCAGCATCTGACACGGAGAAGGAAACGCAAGACATCCGATTGCTTGCGCTTTTGCAGCTCCTCGATATACTTGTTGGCGCCCATTTTGTCGTGGTTGTCGTGGTTGTCGTCAAGGGAGCAGGAATTGGAATCACAAACTTTTTGGAAATTCTCTCTGTGCGGACGTTCACACCCCTGGTAAACTAGCGTCCTTCAAGCGAAACTCCCCTCCAAGTCAAATATGGTTAGCGCCGTTGTTGAAGCGTAGTCATATCTGAGACTAGCGCAATATTCCCCGTCAACCCCCTTGGCAGTCGAAGCACGATAGAGAGCAGTTGACACAACGAGGCAATATTCCATATTTCGTCAACTATTTTAAGCAAGTGTAATCTTTTCAACTCTGTTTAAGATAAAGTTCTAATTCAAGCTACTTGCCCGCTCAAATCTATTCTTTAAGTTTTTAGAATAGTAAGGTGGTTTTGCCACTTACTTGGTCTACTGCGAGCCAGTACAAAATCATCCCCTCAGACGGTGTATCTAGAAGGGCGAAGGTTTATGTTAAAGTCTTTGCCGGTTAACCGAGCAAGTGTGTGGGCTTTCTTGTATTTGTACCCAATTATTTCCTTATGCTATCCTGGAAGTAGTAACAAGATTCTACAGCATGGGTATTTGCGCTACATCTTCAAAACGTCCCTCCCGCCGGGTCATCCAAGTGCTCCACGAGAGATATACCGGAGAATTCCCTCTTGATTCAATAAAATATAGCCACAGTTATCCAACTCAGCTTGAGTGATACTCTGTTCATTTCTGAAACCACGGAAACTTCTTCTTCGCCATCTCTACTGGGCCAGAAGAACTCTCTACCTCCAATGACCGTTGATAAATCTCCTATTCCATTCGTTAGTCAAGTTCAACCACCAAATCAGTTCAAAACCAAAACTCACCTCGTCATCAACAGGCATCAAACAATCCAATATCATTTCCCTAGCACCTTCATGTCTACTCAGATTCGGATACGGCATGACCTGACTCTTCATAATAGGCAAGATGACCTCGCTCAAAACCTCAAATTTCTTCCAGTTAATTCTCTCCCCATTCTGGCCTACGAAAGTCCTGCTACCTTCTTCTGCACTCACCAAATCGCGTCGATGAAGCGGAATGAATGGTATTCGCGGTAAAGGAGAATTCTCCCATGCTAATCGGTATGCAAAATGGGACTTTTGAGATCCCATGAGGAGAACAAGACGAGCGAATCGTTTTTGAACATCTGCCGGGACAAGTGTACGAGTTTGAGTCAGACGATGAATCGCGGAACCGCCTATGCCAGCTAGTACGGCAGCAAGACCGTTGTAATTGTTGAGTTGACGCAGCTTGAGTGCGATGGTCATGAATTTTTCCAGCATGACAGCACGATGTTTAGCTTTGTCGCGGATAAGAATCATGTTGGCGACCCAGTGGGCGATGTGATTGAAATGGTTTATCATGCGGTTGACATTCGTGAGAGATTTGCATTTTTCTTTGAGTTCTAGAGGAAGGGATACGTGACGAACGAAGTCGCGTAGGCGGATTGATGAAAACATCACCCAATCTATTCGGGTCATTTCGTCGGCTATGTCGTCTTCCGATGTATCCATGAATATTCTGTAGCGGAACTTTGTAAGGGGAATTTGCCCTCGCGGGACCATCGTGGCTGCTTCCTTTTCGTAATCTTCTACGGTGTTGAAAGATGATGATAATGATGGATTATGTGAGCTCGGTCTGTTGGAGTATGTTGTAGACTCGCTCTTATGCAGTTGTTCTATTTCATATCCTTCGTCCTCATCCCCCTCTTGGCTAACACCGAGTTGCTGAACATGTCTTTCCAAGTCAGCAATTGGATTTCTTCGTTTGAGTGGAGATGAAGGGGCCGACTCTGCTAAGCTCCCCGATTCGGTTTCCACATCCGCGTCAGTCCGAGCCCAGCCCGTGTCGTCGTCTTCTACAACACGAGACTGAAGTTGCATTCGCATATCTTGTGCTGCTGCTGCGAATACGGGTTCGCTTGACAAATGGTTTATAAAGGCATCAAGATTTCGACTAGTGGACGGACTAGCAAAATCGCCCGGATAGCTTGACACCCATCTGGCAACAACAGTAATGATACGTAACTGGATAGCTGTGCGTGTCAAGTAATGTGTGTTTTTGTCGGCAGCAATAGCATCTAGACGACCCAATATCGCTGCAAATAACTCTCCTGGCGCCGCGAATTTTCTATACAGGCAGAGAAAAATGTCCGAGAAATTATTGTCTGCTCTTGACATATTCTGACCTAGCAGTCGGTCTACAAGTTCGTCGAAGGTAACGCCTGCAACTTTCGCGGGCTTATCAAAAAAGCTATCATCGTTTCGATGCAAAATAGGAGTATCGTCGGAATACCGGTAGGATGACTCGGACTCAGATCCCTCCATATCTATGTAGGAGCTATCCATAATCTTTCCAGGAGAGGGAAGAGGCGATCGGCTTGCATTTGGTAAGAGTTTGCTGTCCGAATCACCGCTTTGAGTATTATCTTGCCTGAAAGCAGGATGCGACGAGAGTGGTGGTGCTTCCTGTGGATCTGGGAGTTTGAATTGGTGATGTAGATTTGTTCGACCATTGTGCCGCGTTGAGGGGGGCTTTGCTCGAGATGATACATGGGGCGGTGAGGGCAGGCCACGTAAAAGAGAGTAATCTGAACTTGCACGACTATGTTTCGACTGCTGGCTCAAGGGTCTGGATGTGGGATCGGCGGCTGGTGTTTCAAGATGTGCTGAGGATATGGCCCGGCGACGGGCTCCGGAGACGTCTTTTTCAGGGGCATAATTTGCGGCTTATAGGTGTCAGTACAGCCTTTCCACTAGCCGCATGTGTTTTAAACTCTATTAGACCCCTTGATATGACAAGCGAGAAATACTTCGTGAGATGTGTCAGGGGTGAAAGAAAGCTCCAATGCCGAGAAGAACGGCACTCATACCATAGAAACAGTCTACTTTTAATGCGCATCATGGCAAAGACTGTCTTTGGGTATGACTGCATGAGTATTGGTTTTACTCCAAAGAGCATTGAACTCTAGTAACTAAAAAAAGAGATGCTTCTGTTGACAAGAAGGAAGAGACGAATAGCACTATTTGGGTCTACCAGGAGCCAAAGCAGGAACAGGAGAAACAAGAAACAGATTGATGATTACAATGACGCGGGAATGAATTGGAACAACTAACCATTTCTTTTCGCCATAATCGCTCTAAGCATGGACGAAAGACAAAGCCTTGCACTTTCGGGTACATTGGCAGCGGTTTTGACTGCTTCTATGCAAGAATGACAGGCATTTTCCATACTTTCAACGTCAACCTGTCGAGTGTTCTCAGGATTGTCACATTTACAAGAGACTAAGATAGTTGGCAAGGCAGAATTCACAAGACCGTCTGGAAAACGTGTTAGCGGCGATTTTATTAGACCTCGTATGATCATACTTAGGGTTGGGGGAAGCGCCGCAATGCTCTCTCGATTCATAACATCGTATAGCAACAACGCACCATCCATTCGAGGGACGATGTGCCCATTGATTTGCTTGGGCCACTCAATTCGCCGATCGCGAGCAATGTCAAAAGATTCAAGGTCTAATTCGATCAGACTTACTGTGTACTCCACATTATCAACCGACATACGTGCACTGGATGCACTAGATGCTGGCAAGCTCCTCAGGCCAAGTGCACGTTGAATGAGAGTGCTCTTTCCACAACCTCCAGAACCAATAATAGCAATATTTATATCAGACATTCCGCTTCTCGATTGAGGCTACCAAGATTCCATCAGCCCATGTTCTATATGATTGTATAAGAAGGACGTACAGGAAGGTTCACAGAGTTGTCCGGCGCAGTTCTAGTAGCTGAACGAGGGGATTGTGCTTCGGAATCCTCCTCCCCTCGCCTTGGCCATTGTGTTGCCGACCTCATTTCTTTCGAAAGAGTTACAGATTGAGGTGTTTGATAGTGTTTGAAGAAGGGATCGTCCTGGATGGATGCAATACTACCGCGGTGCTTGTACAAGTCGTCGTTTGCGATCTGTGGTGCTAGGTCTCTGGACAATGGTACGAGTGGCGCTGAAGCAGTCCTGGGAGATGCCCCAGGTCGAGGACTACGAGGTGAGCTCGCAGTTAGAATTTTAGGAGAGCGATTGCCACGATTGGGATCTCGGCTGCTGTTTGCAGGCCAAGCACGACTAGACTTGTTGCGTAAAGTTCCTGTCTTGAGCTCTTCCATCTCGATGTTCGGCGCGTTCGCACGTTCGTGCCCCAAATGATGATTATCGAGGGCGTTTTATAGGAGTATGTGCGGTGTTGCTCTGCATTCGCGTTTCGAAGACGTGATATGGTTTCCGACGGGTGGTCTTGGGTTAGACGTGTCTTTCTACGTTTGCGTCTCTACAGTAGCTGGTCAGGTCTTCGGAAAGTCGCAATACCAGCTAGCCTGCTTCATACTCGGCGGTACGGTTCCAAGATCACCGCCTGCGCCGGCCGTCCTTTGTAGGTACCGATTGTTAAGGTATTGGTAACAGAGTATAGAACATCATTGGTGATATAGAGAGATCAGAGGGTGTCGGTCCCGGCAGGAAGGCAAAGGTAAATTCCAAGTCGCGGCGACGTTGAAGGTTGACAGGAAAGAGGCTAGGATGGATTCGCGAGCCTGGTTGGTGGGATAGCAAGCGCGGGGCTGAAGCTTAGAGGCACCTGGGCTGGGATCCAATTGTTATTCGCTGGCAAAATCAACAAGCTCTGAAACCACATATCCATCCAAAAGTAGATCTTCAAAAGGAAATACGGCTGGATAAATCGTCACTTGACAGTTAGCAGCTAACGAACCGAGCTCCGCCGCGGAATAATTAACCTCACCTTTGCCATTTAGACACCCCAAGATCATTTTCTTCATATTCAAAGCTACTGTCGGATTCAGAAGGAGTGAATGTATGGCGAGGGCTGAAACTGAACGGTAAGAGACGCGATGTCGTCTGTCCTTTAATAGTGAGGGGACCTCAGTGTCTCTGAGATCAACTTGATTGTCGATGCCTTAAAATTAATCTCTTGCCAAGACAAATTCATAACCTCTGTGTTATCGAATGCAGTCTTTCACAGTACGTATTTCTTTCTCGCTTGGAACTTATCTCCTTCTGCACTTCATACGTTCGTGATATACCTTTAGAATCACCGCCCGGGCTTTAATACTCGACGATCAGATATAGATGTCAACTTTCGAACCTTGGGAACGCATGTTCTACGTTTTACTCACGAGGGTAATGAGCCCTAGAACGCTTGCTCTTTCCATTGCCATCAATCTTGCGATTGTCAACATATGCCTCCAAGAACCTATTCCTTGTCACTTCGTTTATGGATTCTATTCGAGTTCTCTTGCAAAAACACTCTCTCTAGAAATTTCCATTGTCTGACATTCGACAGCGAAGGTCTCTCGACTGAGCAGATGCGTGGAATGGTGAGATAGCCACAAGGCCTCCGGAAACCAGATCAAGGACCTCTGGATCTCACCAGTCACCAGTATGTTGCAAGTCTGACGAGAAACACCCTTACGGTAGATGAACATTGTTTTACCCAAAAGATATATTTGCTCAGTCTCTTTGAGTAAATATACTGTATTCCATCTATTGTGAAGGGTAAATATACATGTTTGTAGAAAGCAACGACTTTCTAGCATTGATACACCAGAAGGGTGTCCCGTCAGTCTTGCAATGCACTGGCGAGCGGTCTTTAGACAGCTTTGAATGGCGATAGACACTTCGCTTTGTCCTTTGCTTTCAAACCACGTTCCGATGGACGTGATGGGGCATCTGTCGAGTCGTTTCGAGTCGTAGTCATGACCTGGGGAGACTACGACTATGGAACGTCCGATCCTCGACGAAATCTTTCTGAGTTATTTCGGCTTTTTCAAGATATCAGAAGGGCATGTCATCGACACTAATTTTTCGGATAACATGGACCGTACCTTACATGCCGTGCGTAGGTAGGCACTAGGTAGGCACCTCGGTAGCCTAGACATTAAAGTCGTAACGTAGTCCTGCTGCATAGTGGGTAATCCGCCTTCTATCCGGCCCGACGAGGTTTAGTCGACGTCGCTCTGGTAGGATGACGAACATGATGCGTTTCAACAAATTCCTTTCCATCTCTTCCGGTCCTCTGAAGTTGTCTCTCCATGACGTTCTTTGTTAGCTCATGAACAAGCTCACGAGAGTCGACCTTGGAAGATTCAATTGACTTGATCGTATTCATTACCTACGAGTACATAACCGCTTAGTTTTCAAAATATCAACAGTTTAGCTCGATTTCAATACCTCGATCCCTTCGTACTACACCATCCGTATAACATCATACAAGCGCTAGACCAATACCAAGCAGGAAGAGTACCATCGCCTCTAAACATGTACATCTCAGAACTATCAGCCGAAGTGTACAAACGTAGTAAATATTCCGGCTCGCAAAGTACCAAACGTCCTCGTACACTTGTACATACTTCGTTAGCTGCTAGATTGTTTCCCTCTTGATCTTCCACCTCGCGAAGGACGAAATAAGTGACTGTCACGTTCCCACTAATCTTGGACTTAAAAAATCGACTTAGAATAGAGCGTGAGAAGTCTTGTTTTACTCAAAAATAATTAACGGAATATCTCATATCGTTCCAAGTTCTACCAGATATACGATATTTCGTCAACTTAATCGAAGAAAGCTGTGTTTCGACTACCACTTATTTTGTCCACCACGAGCCACCTGCACCCTCAGCCTGGAATATTGGCGGCTAACCGACGACAAACTTCACTACAATATCTAGGTAATGATACAAATCAAGAGCAGCTCAATAACCGAGACTACTCGCCTTGTAAAGCTGGATTGCTGCTCCTAGCCTATGCCATCATAAAGCCATGTCTTATTCTGAGGAAGCCCTCTCAAGCTTCCTTGTAGATAACAAGATCCAGCTCCTCAACCGAGATGACAAGGTTCCCCGCCAAATAACGCAATTGCAACGCTTCAATCTCGAATTCTCCGTACCGTTGCGATACCTGTCGGCATGTTCAACGTAGGACATGTATCTATACTTGAAACTCTCCTCAAGCTCTGATTATCCGGTTGTTGAAAAGCGAGCACCCTTGACTCAGCTGATCTTGGAAAGGAAAGCGATTCGCTTCATGCGGAATCAATACTGCAACACCGTTTACGGTGCAAAACAACAAGGTCAACTCATAGTACCGCTCAGACATGAGATGCGGTGTGCATCGTGTCCGCTAGACTTCTAGTGCACACCTACACTCCGGCTCTCAGTCAATAATGATCAACCCTCGAGTTCTACGATGAGGGCCCAGAAACCGCCCAATCTACCTTCTTCCCCACAACGACCAGATGCAGCATGAGAGCATTCCGCATTTGCCATGGGCTGGTGCCCCGACAATAATCTACGGAGTACCGTCCACGCATTGAGCCGCTTCGAGCAGTTCGCCCAGCAAAGACCTTTTTTTCACGCCGAGTCAAGCCAGACGTGACCATCCAATTTTCAAGACAGCGCACCTCTAATCCAGAATGAGATACGCCCGCTCCAAGCATCACACCCTCCCCGCTTGACCACCAAAGGTATCCACGAACCGTCTGTGGCGCCTTTAGAGAGAGCCACTACCGGCGTTATTGGTACTACTTGTACCCTTCTACTCCCCTCATTTATTTTCTGGTGATCTTCTCGTATTTTGAGTTTGTTTTGTGTCTCGTGCCCCACAATACGACTGGAACGTACACCTGACATACCATACCACTCACTCGGAAAATTATAAAAAAATGTATTCATTAAAGCCTGCCATTCCTCCACAGGAGAAGGCAGAAAGACCTGTTGTAAGCACCTTCATCGCATGCAGAAGAAGCATCACCTCTAACCTTTAACTCAGTTAAAACCAACACGATCAATGACCCATCCACTCAGAGATCCCAATGGCCGAACTCAGAAACGGCGAGTCCCAAAACAAAGCGGCCCTCTCGACGCCGAAGACTTAAGTCGTCGCTTAAACCAACATCTCGACGAGCAAAAAGCCCGCGCTCTCAAGCGACGCGAAATTCAAATCCAGAAAGAACGTGAAGCCGCAGGGATATACCACCACATCCCTTCGGTAGCCGCAGACTCCTTCCAACGGACCGCTACTCCAGATGCATTAGGCACCTACAAAGTCCACAAGCTCGCGGCGCCGGCCGTGAAACTGGCTTTCGTGGAGCCAAAACTCGAGCCGGGACATGCAGGTCCTACCACGCTGTTGAAGATAAATCAGATGAGAGACCAGATGAGCGTAGAGCGCGAGATGATCCGCAATCGGAATCAATTCCAGTGGACGCATGGAATGGAGGAAGCGCTCGTGTCTGAGCTGGATCGCGACCTGTATAGACCTCCTCAACGGACTTTTCAGCACGAGACGTCGCATGTGAGGATTACGCATAGCAAGCGGGCTGCGCGGCCGTTGAGTACGGGCGATATCTTCACGGAGGAGGAAGGGGAGGTGGAGGTCAGAGCTAAGCCGGTGAAGTTGAGGGGAAAAGCAGCCGCGGAGGTTGCGAAGGATAGACATGATTGGGCGCAGCGTGATGATGAGGTTGGACAGGTGAAGAAGCAAAGGTCGAGTATCTTTTTGCGGAAGAGAGATTCTACGGCTAAGAAGGAGAGGAGTGGGAGTGATGAGACGATAAAGGAAGAGGGTGAGGGGGCCAGTGGAGAGGTGCCTGCAACAAGGAAAGGATTTCTGGCGAGGTTTAAGAGACATCCCAGTTGAGGACTGTTGTTTTTATTAATTTCACTAACATAACGGCGTTTCGAGGTGGGCATATCGGAGGAACGAATCTAACTCATAATCCATAATTTATTCAGTATGATAGAAGATGATGAACTATACATCATGTCTAATGAACCTTGTTCATATCTCTTGATCGGTTTTCTTCCAAAGTCTTACGGCGTGACTGAGGAATATGGAAAATAGTTTTCAGATTCTGATTGAATGAACCTTGTTCTTCCAAATATGTTCGCCCACTGTCTCAGGAGCTCCAAAGATCGTCCCCTCAATATACAAATATATCTATGTTGATGAGCCTTGCTCAACTGGTTACTATCTCTGACCAGCCGCGCCCACTCACTCATACCACTTTGTAAAACATGTTAGTAAAGCGTAAAGGCGCTGGCACAATCTGCGCAATGAACCTTGTTCATTTGTGGACACTTTCTCAGAAGGTGTTCAAAATATGCCATGAAAACATTTGATGAATGTGCAGAGACTATGCCAACGGGTAACACGCTCGCAGGTCATATGGAGGAAAGCGTTTCTCCCACAAAGCCAAAAAGCACTTCAGAGAGCGGTGATATTTTCCAGACTCCACCAGCTCGCTTCTCCTAAATATGACTGAAGGTCTAATCCAGCAGTTATCCAGATAGTCTTCGGCTTTCCCGCCGGCGTGCCATATAAGATCCGAAGCCCCTCGAGGACTTGACACTTGCGGCACCGCATCGTTACTAGGGTCCAACCAAGCGGCTTTGCGTCCTATTTCCAATGTGGATTTTGTACATTTCCTTATCAGAGGTTCACACGACCTCATTGTTCAGAAGATCCGATATCATCTGCGCATTCTGCTCGGCAATTTCATTCTGAATGATCTCCCGGGCATCAACCTCAGAATTTCCTGATAGAATTTGCAGTACTAATTTGTAATACTCTCTCACGCCTTCCCCATCTTTGCCCTCTGCCTCTTTGGCTTGGTGTAAGGCATCAACACCCCTTTGCGTCCCTATATCACTTGTCCATTTCTGTTTTCTCTTCCCATCATGGTTGTAGCCATTCTGATTTGTAGGTGGCTGGGTTGCGGCATCGATCATATGAAGCTGAGCGCTGAGACGAGGGTATGTCCTGAACAGTACTTGAAGGTCCTCGGAAGCATCTAGTGCCGCGAAAGGGCCTTGATAATTTGCCGCAGCGACAGTACCAGCCCTGGGAGCAGGTCCATCAGAGAGGGTAGGCATAGGTTCCCGTGGAGTGGGGATTGGTCGGACTTCGTCTTCTGTATGGGTTGCTTTATGAATTTTCAAACATGGTACTCCACAACTTCACTTTGTTAGGAGATGCAATAATCAAATAATAGAGATATGCAGACTTACTATGGTAAATAGCATGTGCTGCACTTGTATTTCGATTCATTTTCGTGGCAAACAGCGCATAACTTTGTCCGCTGCGCGACTGATTCTGAACTACTGCTCTCTTCCGCGCTGGCATGCAGCGCGCTTTCGTCGACGTTCTGGGAGTCGGCCTTGTCGTTCGCTTCTTCTGTCATTCCGCCAACAGTCTTGTGTTTAATTATGTGCGGTAACTCTGTTTGTGTGTCCATTGATGTCCAATGATGTGGGATGTAGTGGTGGACGTGGAGAAATTGCGAAAGGGTGACAGAAAGATCTTGCAAGGTTCATCGGCGTCTCGAACTTTTTGCGCCGGAAAGCGTCATCAAGCCGGGGGTGTGGAACCAATGCCGAAGGAGGTATTTTCTGCTGAGTTAATAATCCAACTCCAACTCCAACGAATTTGCCTCACGAGGTTCAAACCTTACCAACGACAACTTTCTTCCACCGGCAATCATCAAAATGCCTTCAGCTAGAGTCTCACGGGTGGCGCTACCGTTAATGAGCATATGCCGACCTACAAAGCAAGCTGCACCTGCTATTTACCATGTCGCAAGAAGTGTACATCAAAGTACTCGATTACCTGCTATTGCAGCTTCGAACGCACGAAACCGACCTACTTTACATCCATTACACCAGCCGTCGAATCTGCTAAATCCTGCAGCAGTCGGTGGTACACGTAGCATCTTTATACAGACCGAACCTACTCCAAATGAGCACGCTCTAAAGTTTCTTCCTGGGATTACAGTACTTCCCAAGGACTTCAACTCGGCCTTTGTCGAATACTCGAACCCTCGGGCTACAATATCTCCTCCTCATCCTTCGCCGCTAGCTGCTAGTTTAATGAACGTTGATGGAGTCGCGCGGGTATTTTATGGAACAGATTTCATTACAGTAACGAAACGCGAGGATGCGCAGTGGCCACACGTCAAGCCAGAGGTGTTTGCACTTATTACAGAAGCTGTGACCTCCGGCGCACCAATGGTCAATGTAGTGGGCGATCAAGCTGGGCAAGTGGATAGTTTGAGTTATGATGAGAATGACCCAGAGGTGGTTGGCATGATCAAAGAGTTGCTCGAGACGCGGATTCGGCCAGCTATACAAGACGACGGTGGAGACATTGATTATTGCGGTTTTGAGGACGGCCAGGTCCTTGTAAAGCTCCGAGGTTCTTGTGACGGTTGTGCCTCGAGTGCTGTCACCCTTAAAAACGGAATTGAGGGTATGCTTATGCACTATGTACGTCTTTCCCCCCTGCTCTTACAGGAGAATGCTAACTGATTGCAGATTGAGGAAGTGAAAGGAGTAACTCAGGTGCTTGACGAGGCTGAAAAGGTCTCTGAATTAGAATTCGCAAAGTTCGAAGAGAAGCTTTTGGGTTCAAGAAAAGGACCTGACGAAAAGCAGCAGGAAAACGTAGGGGCTTAAGACGCCTCTGTTTTAACGAAACGAGTCGAAGGCAATTAAGCATGATCCAGACGATTTTATCGATCTCTACAGCTAGGCAAACCAAAAATCAACCCTTGCTCTAGTGCTCGCTGGTCTTTGGATATAGCGAGGACGAATAGATGAAAACGACATGAGAGCTCGATGTCGTTCGAGAAACGGGACGACCTACTGCGGGACGACATGGCGCGACTTTGGTATAGGCGTTTGTTGAAATGCTTACCCCTCACTGGCGTTTGAAATTCTTGTGGATTGCATAAAGAATAAATTTTGGTCGTAAGCAGATCGCAGTCAACCTGGACGAAACTTCCGCATGTAGGATATTGGGACTATTGTCCTTAAAGAGCGAAGATTCGCCAGCTGAGTAGTTTCTAAGCACAACGCGATGGTCTCTTCTTTTCATCAGGAGTTCGTCAAGCACTGTACTTGATCAAACTGGTTGAAACGGCAGTTCAACAAGTGTTTCACAACATCGTGTATATATAGCCAAATGAGGTTTTGTGCATTTGCTTTTTCTTCCTGCATATCCCGGTTCGTTATTCGTCTCTCCAATGCTGCCTCTGTTCGTTGTGGCTGCAAATCACCAAGGCAATTCTTTCCATCGGTCGATGAGGGTCCCATCTGTGTCGTGGGCAATAATCCGGAACGAATCAGCTTTCACAACTACGGCAGACCCCTCAAGCACTTGGCGCTGCAGGAGTCAAGGTGCCCGCAGCATAGGATGATCTGTGCCGAAAGCCCTGACCAGGTGCGAGGTGCGATGCAAAGTGTGTTGGTGGGGACATTCGACGTGCTAGGTCTGGCATTAGTTGCTGCCATTTTATCGGGCAGGACTGGGCTGGGCTTCGTTTTGCAGGAGGAGAGGGGAGCTTTCATTTGAACGTCTCCAGGTTGCGGGATAATAGAGGGAGAATTAATCGGGCGGTCTCTGGCTCTCCAGACATATGGACAAGGACAGGCTCTTGGACATGCTTCCCCGCAAATCGTACTCTGTGATTCCCCAGAGGAGAGTCGTGATCAAATAAGAAAACACAAAGGCCGTGTGTTGATGCCCAGACACTCTCCGGAATCCTCAGAATGCGACATCCCGTTGGCTCGGCTAGGCCAGAATCTGGGGAAGGGGGGAGGGGGGAGATGGAAAGGGTCGAGGTTTGGTTGGGGAACGATTTGCAGTTGGCCGCTGCTCGTCTCCCCAAACTTTCGCAATCCCTACGAGATAACCTCCCGATCTTGTCGCTGTGCCATTGACATGCGACAGTGGCGGTCACATAGGATTTGCAGCAGCGGCGGCAAGCAGCAACAACTGCAGCATCTGGGAATGGGAAGCGACTCCGTCTTTTGTTGAAAGCGAAAGGGTCGAGCAAAATTCTCCTAGATGCTGCTTGCTTCGTAGCGGAGATGCAGTCCTCAACAGATCGAGTAATCGAGCGGAAACGGAGTCAGAGTGCGAAGCTTGGTGGAGGGTGTGGTTGTGTTTCAAGACAGATCGCAAGGCAAATTGTCATCTGTGAGTCCGCAGTGCCTCAACGACGTAAGAAGAATACTCATGACAAGCGTTCAAAGACAATGTGAGATTAATCAGTGTAACTGATGCATTTTCCTTCAACAAAAACTTTCTCTATATTTGTGCGAGTTTCATGCTCCCGTCGTTCGCATGCTATCGCTTTCTGTCTATCGTTCTCGTTTAATTCTTCTGTCGGTTTGAAGCTCAAGCCACACCCTTTTCGAGGGTCCAAAGCACTGGCAGGCAGAGAACCCCTCCTCAGGTGTTGGATGGAGGCAAAAGCGCGCGTGTGACCATGAGCGATGGTGTTGGCTATCGATGTGTGTGGAGCAGAAGATGGAGGTCTTTGATTTGTCTCCAGCGCGGCAGCCTTTCTGGGTAGGGTGCGGGAAAGGCAAGCAGTGCTGATGGCAAGATGCTAGCTAGTAGTCACAGCCGCATCGCTCCGGTTCAGTCTTTCCTGAAGGCGTTTACTCGTACAAGTTAGTTGGAGAAGGGGAGGGGCAGACCCAGTCACAGCCAAGTAATATCTCCGTTCTCTTCTCTTGTACAAAGGCCGTACCCAAGGGGGGGTATTCCACAATACCAGAGCACTACTCTGTCCGCGTTTCGTTACGGTCGAGTGTCCCCAGGCCCACCTCCCATCCGGCTGCAATCGCATCTCCCCGTAAGGTTACCATACTCTGCCATCGCCGTGAAATTGAAGGTGCATCTCATTAATCTTCTCGCCATGCCCATGCCATACCGTGGAGCCGTGGCCGTATCCCCTCTGCTGCTGCTTCCTGCTTGCTGCTGTCGCTTCCTTCATGCAGAGCATCTGGCGGACGAGCCAAAGTCGGCTGGAAGTGGAGGGCGTTTTTCCCTTGTCCTCTGTACTAGCTCTTCCGGGGTGATTGAACCCTGCAAATTCAGAATGCCTCGAAGTCCCTTAGCGTGCAACCTCCACTTTACTCCATCCCATTGCATGCATCTGTTCTCCTCTCAAAACTCCTCTGCACACCTCCTGAAGTGTCCAAAACCACGAGAATTCCCCTTAGACAAGCTGTCAATCCGTCGCGGGAATCCACTCTTCACCAAATCGCTCCTCACGTTGACCGCCTCGCCGTCAACCTTTCTCAGCATAAGCCTTCGGTCGCACACGCCTCGTCCTCTATTCCCCGCGCATGCGCCGAGTCCTGGCCTTGCCCATCCCTCCCAAACAACAACCCGACTCTGTACAATAGCAGCGATACTCGATCAAATCCATACACTCAGCAGCTGCTCCCAGTAGCAAAGCTATCATCGTGTTTAGAGTGCAGAGAACAATGGGCCTCGCATAGTCTGCGGCGAACATAGCCTCACGAATAACCGCTACCTAAGCTCTGAGGCCTGGACGAGTTTTCTTTCTCCAAACACAACTTTGGTCCTGGAATTGTTATAGATGATATTTGGATTGGGAAAAATCAATAAATCAAGACCGGCAGCAATTTGAGAATAGACACAATAGAAAGTTCAGGATTTTCGCGGCATTTTCGATTATTTCAGGTGAGTCGCTAGGACGCTGTAGCTATAAGTCAAATTCTATGGAGAGACTGAAAGGTTATGGCAGGAAATCATTGCTAATTGCACGCAAGATACCAGATTCTGTTTTACTACCCTTCTTCCTCATCTTTTCGACCATAATATCCTTGTACGGGTAAGTGACCATATCTCTTCCTTTGAGGACGGGTTCGTAAACCCCTCAGCTGCAGGCCAAGGGCACAAAGAAAGCCAGGCTGAAGATCCAGCGCCAATTTTTCTTTGAAAGTAAAGAGGGGCTAGTGTAGAGCTAGAACCATAGCTCTCTTTATTGTGTTCAATTCAACAAACTCGAAACGTCGGTATACTACCGAAGCGTATGTTTCCCTCGGAACAGCAAGCTTTGAGCGACATCCCACGTCTTTCACATATTCACCCCGATACTTTATGGACTTCACAAGCTACATTCTTCCGCCATTGGCTACAAGCAAAAAGTTTCTGGAAGTTGCAATTTCGGTATATTGAATTGCTGCATTGCTAACGTGTACGCCTGAGTAGACAGCAATATAAACACCACATAATTAGACGACCACCAACACCTGTACTTCTTACAGATCTCAGCAACAAATCAAGCTTACCGTGGAATTGTACCCGCGACGAGCCTCCAATCACTTCCCTCATTCCACGATCTCTACAGTACCAAGAATCCTTGGTTGTATTTTCGACTTCGCTTTTGACCTCAATTGCTTTGCTCCGACCTTTGGTTAGAGTTTCCTCCTACGCGCCCACGGTTTTGGATTTGAGATAATCGAGAAGCCGTTCTTGCTTTTGAAGGAAGGAGCAATCGAGCCTCTTGAACGTCCAAACCAACATTACTCTTTTAGTATTTGTATTCATCCCAACCTCACTAGCTCTCTTCGTTTCTTCGAGCCTCTCTGGAAACATCCCTGCAAGGATCTTGGCGAACAGCAACTTAAAGTTATCAGAATTGAGGTAAGTTATCTCTTCTTTCTGTCCAACTGCCCACAATAAGGCCACACTGTCCAGTGTGGCGCCTAGCAGTCCTTCAACCCCTTCACACATTGTGCATATCTACGAAAGTCTAAATATCGCTTTACACAGAGCAATATAAAGCAAGTTTTATGTCTGTTATTCACGGAGTCAGGTGAACTTCATTCACTATAACTTATCTGAATACCGATTTCCCCGCATCCCCGCACTTGAATCATCTAGTTGCAAGTTCCTAACCTATTGTCCTCACCTTCCCACCTTCCACCCTTCGACATCTTAAAGTGTCCCTTGTTCTTGCATTAAAAACAATGCTGACCTTTTATCAGTATCGCACCTTAGAAGCCAGTATTGACTGACTTACATATTCGTGCTCCATAAGTACCTGAGCGTCACACCATGAACTCAAACGCGAAGCTCAGCACTGGTTTAGGGAAAACATCCCAACCGGCTACATCTTCTCTGACTTCGAACAATCAATCCATCCTCATCGACAAATTTAACGGTCGTCGATCTACTCCTGATTCAGAGGCTTTAGCTAGCTCGGATGATGAAGGCGACAGGCATGATCTAGGTCAAACAACTTTTCCACCCCAGAAACCCACCCGAAGGGCTTCTTGGCTTAACGATACAACACAGGCCAGCGCTCAGCCTCGCAAGGGCTCATTCGCAAGCAGTACGATGTCGCCAACTACTTCGCATCCTGCGACACCGTCTGCCGACACTAACACATGGAATAGCCACACACAAAACGCAACAGGTGCTGGCCGAGGTCACTCGGGATCAACTTCATTCCCGTGGGGGAGTGGGATCTGGAATACTGAGTCCCGGAAAGAGCCTCCATCGAGATTGACAGAGGTTCTTCCTTCGCCAACATCCATGCATCCGTCGGGGCCCAATGGCAATGGATTTTTTACGAACGACCTGATGAATATCCAACGAGAGCAACAGCCCAACCAGTCAATTCCTTTTGCTATCCCACTTCACCCCACTCCCAAAACCTATCGCTCACAATCTTACTCAGTTGGTCAGCTCGAGTCCGACTCACCTGCTGCCGCCGCTTCAGCCGCTGCGCAGCCAAATGTCTTTGCAGGTCGCGGGAGACCATTGCAACACTCCAGACTTCAACATCGACCCTCTAGACCAAGTATGTTGAGTGAAATGTCTAGCGAAGGCGGCTTAAGCAAATTGAAGGAAGTTGACGATGATGATGACGAAAGCACCAACGGATCGAACCACGGGGTTCCTGTATCATCAAGTAACGACAAGGCGCTCGTCGAAGCTCTCACAAGAGAGAATGCAATCCTACATCAAAAGCTAAACGACCCACGGACCCGGGCTCGTGGGATCAGAGGCTCTTATGGCTTACAGGAAACACTACCCGGGGAGTCTGACTATGCTATTGACGAGCTCGAGGAAATCAGCGAGTTGCAAGAGCTAGCAGCGAAGGGACCTCTACTTCGTAGACTGAGTGAACAATATCCAGCCTCTAGCCAGCACCGTCTTCCACCATACATTTCCTTGGAGAATCGCAAAATCGAGAATGTCAAAAAAGCATATTGGCAAAGTTCGCCTGGGTTTGGAGGCTTGACAGAGCTGCCAGGCAGCCGCCGTCATTCATTTGCCGATGTCAACGTTCCCACTCGTCAAGGCTCTGTCAGTTCTATCGGAGATCCACTGTCGGGCCACGAGAACAGTCTTCAGGATGCACTGGCATCGAAAGATTATGGTAGATATCAGGATCCGACTAGCTACTCCTTGAACGAGCATGGTGAGCAAACTTTTGATACAACTCGTCGCGGTTCTTTCTTTGCATCTAAGCTCGGTCAAATTACCGAAGATTCAATGTCAACCTCTCATCAAGTTCCTGACCAATTTTCAGCCGCATCTTACTTCGGTGGTGTCGCAGCAGCACCACGTAACGACGCTTTCCCTACCACTCATTACCAACCTCAAAACTACCCGTATGGGGCCCCAGCTCAGTACGGCGCTGGACGAGCTCCATCGCCACATCGAAGTATGTATGGCGTTCCTCAACCACGCCACAACCAACTTCTTTACATCGTCCTTTTCAAATGTTCTCGAGCAGACGTGTTCTACGTCCAGGAAGGGACTGGTCTCTCTGTGAAACCAGGAGATCTAGTCATTGTTGAAGCAGATCGCGGTACTGATTTAGGTACTGTTGCCAGGGACAATGTTGACTGGGCGTCTGCGAAAGACCTCAAAGAACATTATGCTGAGGAGCATTACAAATGGCTTATGATGTACTCTCAAGGTGCTGCCGGAACCGCGGACGGTACTGGAGCTGGTTTAATGGCTGCGTCCAATGGCCTTCAAGGAAGCGCTGTTGGTGGTATGGGTCCTCCAAGCCAACATGGTATGCAGGAGCCAAATCCGGGCGAACTCAAACCGAAAATTATCAAACGTCTGGCTCAGAATCATGAGATACAAGCTCTCCGCGACAAAGAAGGCAACGAGGCAAAGGCCAAGCGGGTGTGTATGCAAAAGGTCAAAGAACATGGCCTCCACATGGAGATTCTCGACGCTGAATTCCAGATGGATTGGAAAAAGCTCACCTTTTACTATTTTGCGGATGCTTATATCAATTTCAACTCCCTGGTGACGGATCTTTTCAAGGTCTACAAAACACGTATCTGGATGTCAGCGATCAATCCTGCCTCTTTCGCAAGTCCAGCGCTGGGCTTACAAGCGCCGAGTGGAATTGGACCAGGAGCCGTGGGTGTTACTCGAAATCCTCAGCCAGAGCGACGTGCTCCACAACCGGAGCAGGTCGCATACGCAAGCGCACCCCCCAGCCGAGAATACACAGGTGCTTTTGCTCAACCATTCACACCTGCTACCAATAGGGAGACCATGGCACAGGCTGCATTTACACCTAACGCAGCATATAATTATGGGTATCCACAATTCAATGCGGCGCCTCGCAACGTTGGCATTTCACCAGGTTACAGCGCTCCAATCAACACTTTCAACTCTTTCTCGACACCTACTGATTATCAAGCCCTCACGGCTCGATATTCCTCCACTCATGGCGCTACTACGGGGCATGAAAATGGAGATTACGCTCGGCAATCCCATATTCTCCCCTCACCAAACGAGGCCTGGATCACTAATTTTCAAGGGCTATCTATGAACAGCCAATAGTATTAGATCAGGCAATGGAGACTTGGTGTTGCTGGAAAGCACCAATCCTTCAAGCGCTGTCTTCTTCTACTCCACATGGTCGGCCCGTAGCAAAATAGATCGCATCAAGGTGCCGGCCGGCTCACCTATTTGGCGATGCGCTCAATCCTTTTTCTGCAACTCCACCAAGACTTATCTACATCAGTGATGAACAAAAACATCTTTTCAGACCAGACAACCGATATTACACTTCCGTTACAGCAACCACTGTGCGGTGCGCCGTACATCCAGATTTTCATTTTACCGTATAATCAGACTGTCGAAGCGGGACATCAGTTGAGCAACCGACCGGAAGAATAATCAGCTTGATCCTAAAAAAATCTAAAACCCACGATCTTTTCCCTCATAATTTTGGCTGTTATTAATAGGGGATCTTTACATTTATCGAAGAGGATATTATTGGCGTTTGTTTTGAGAATTTCTTCCCCTTACATTCATTGTCCTCTTCACGAGCCTCATGAAAAACGGACACGACCAACAAACATTTGAGAGCGGTTACTTTACGATAGATAGATTTGCACATATTTGTTACCTCAGGCAGAGGAGGGTTGCCATCAAATAAGTCTGGGAAAGGGAATAACGTTCGGCGTACCAAAAGGAAATGGAAGGATTTGAGGATCTTGTGGATTCAAGAATTAGCTCCGTAGCCTCCTTTTTTCATTAAAATGGATATGTTTTCTTCTATCTGTCCTCACTGTACATGAGGTTTTTTAATGGGAATGACTTGAAACACGGTGAGCATTAAGATGTATACAACGTCCCACCAACCTTTATGAACTAAATATCGTTGCAGACATGCCCGACTTTGGTATGATGAATGAATTTTCATTGTCAAATAATCTCTCCCGTCTTCAAGACTCGAATCTCCGAATAATGCCGAAATAAACACGCAGCTATCATTAATACAGACACCTATGTGTTCGTCTTGCATCGCTGGTTTCACGTGTCGGTTTGTTTACTATGAGATCTGGAGCGTCGAGGGTCGCTCCTTCCGTTTTGAAATTTCGCGACCCAAGTCACCTTCGTCACTTCGCATTCGGTCGGTAATCTCTCACAAATTTCGACACCTCCTTATCGCTACCATGAGAAAGTTTGTTGGGGTATCAGAATTTCACTAATATCCGTTCGACGCGTACGCCACTTCGTAAACATCGTTCCAGCTCTGGAAGTCCAAGATTATTGCCAGGAAGACTAGCCACGCTAATCATGCCCACGAAGCGCAAGCCAGACAGTCAGATCCCCCCCAATAATTCGCGTTTTTTCCAAATCTCATGTCATGTTCTTTTCATCTGACCAAATGAAGGTGCGCATCCAACCAACAAATCTAAATCTGGTAGACAATCTCCTGCTTCAGATTCTGAGGAGTCGGCTGGCATGTTCGTCAGTCAGTCGCCCGAGCCTAAGCATGTGAAGAAAAGGAAGAGAAATTCGGAGCCTGTGAGAAATACGAAGGGGTCGAGGAAGAGGAAGGATGATGAGTATGAGAGTGATCCTGGGAGAGATGAGGGGAGGTGAGTGTTTTTTGTTTTGGTCGAGTAATGGTTTAACATTACTTCTGTTCGTGCGTGTTCATATGGCGGCGAGATTGCAGACATGAAGACGTGGAATCTTTCTGTCTCTCGATTCAAGATTCAGGATTGCTGATACTTCGATGGCAGTCAATTTTTAGCCCGCGTCAGAATGGAGGCAAGCAAGAAGACCAAGGCGCGGAAAGCTGGAGCTGCTTATACCGAGAAATTTGCCAAACTTCTAAATGAAGATGAAGCCGCTCTACTTAAAGAGCTTGAGGATATAAACGCTGCCTGGTAAGTTCAAGATGTGCTTCAATGGTCTTTGAAACTAACTCCCTTTAGCATCAACAGCGACAAGGAATTTCTGCAAAACTTCACTCGAGGCTTTGTTACTTCCCGCCCGAGGGAACGCTCATCGAAAGAAAATAGCGATCGTCCCTTCAGTGCCCTCCATAAACCTTGCCACGCCTTGATCGACGCAGCCAGTGCCATCATAGAGGATTTTGCGAAAGCTTCACAACAGGCAGTGGAGATATCGAAGAGCGAGGTGAAACATGATGAATGGGCTGCAGAAGATGAGGAGATAGCTACGGCGCTGGAAGCAGGTCATACGGTCGCGTGTGAGAGACACGAAGCTTTATTGAACGGCCGGGGGCTTGTGGTTGTCGATTCTGCAGTCGCTCGTGCTAGCAAAACCTTATTTGATGAGGAAATGCCTACTGTCGGCTGGGGAAAACTGGTTCATAAACAACAGAAAGGTCTTGCACGACTGGTCAAGGCTAATCAGTTGGAACCAATACTGGCGTAATATCTGGGACGATTTGAATTATGATTTATGGGCGGATTTCAGTCACCTGTCTATATATGGGGATGTACGGGGCTTTGCTTTGCTATATTGTGCGGGATCATGAATGGAGTTATTTCATGCGAAAGGTTAAAATGTACGTACTAGCTCGCTGTATCTTTAGCTTATTACATAAATAGCTACTGTTCGACCACCTTTCAAAATTCTGCAATTATTTAGCGTTCCCGATTGACTCATGAGACCTGAGACCTTGGAATAGGCTCAAACCACAAATGGCAATCCAGGTTCTTTCACTGTCACAGCCGAGCCTGGGTTTTCAGGAATATTCCTTATCACATTTAATATCATAGCGCAGGTTCGCTCCTTTGGTCGTTCACTACTGCAGCCTAGACTATCTCGTCCGTCTGGATCATCTACCACTGCAGCCCTGGCCCCTTGAGTCATTAATTACCAGACCTCAGGCTGACTCTGTCTCCAATCTCTCCCTCATACGACTTTGGTTGGCTCTTCTCGATGGGTGGTTATTACAGACCCGCTCGGGTCTTTGTGTATTGGTTGCTCTCATAAACTGGGTTGGCTCTTGTGGATATAGGGGACTCTCTTGGATCATGAGAGCGTACAGCTATGCAATAGGTAGTCAGTTTTGATTGAAACTTAGCACAGTTTCTCTTTCTTCCGTAGGCTAGGAAATAGATTGCAAGTAAAGGAGTCAGATGGAAGTCTCAATGCCCCATGTGAACTTCATAATAGCAACACAAATAAGAAACCTCGAAACAGCTGCGTCCAAACAACAAACCAGAAGCCCCCAGGCTACTGATGTTTGTCTATCTGATGAATTCTCCCTTGCTCCCCGCCCATAGCATCCATCAAGAACCCTCCGGCCCACGGTTCGCACTTGGAGAAGGCTGGCCGAAGCCACCAATTGCCGTAATTATGGTACGTTACATGACAAACTTCATAGACTTCAATGACGGGTAAAACATGATCGGTGACTCGGGATTGGTACTTCTCAGTTTCCATATCTGGAGAAAGTCGTGACCAGAGTGGTTCTATCAAGTGATCGCTCCCGTCCAGTGTGAGACATCTATGAGCCCAACGTTCTGCCCACCAAGGATAGTACCCGGGATGTTCCCAATCAATGATTTCTGTTATCTTGTTATCTTCATTGACCATGATATTTTCAAAGCTCAAATCTCCATGACAGAGAACGTATGGTTCCGGATCCGGAAAATTGTCCTTCAACTTCTGAAGCTCCTCTTCAATGACCACCGGGTCTTTCGTTTTGTGGATCTTCGAGAGCCCTACTCGTATCTTTGCTGCTATATTCTCAAACCATTTCTCTGTCGTGGACCCAATTTGTTTACACTTTGGTCGAATGACAGCACAGTTGCCGATAACACAGTCGTCGAGTGGTCTACAGTCCACAGTTTAAGGGAGAGGAGATGTGAATTGACGAAGCTCTTTAAGGTAGACAAAAAGCTGTTCTCGGATGTCGCTCTGTTGTTCTTCGGACAGATTAAACTATATCCTATCGAGTGACTGACCTTCAGCTCGGCTCATGAGCAAGAGATAGGTTTTATCTGTGGGCTGGTTTAAAAGCTCCACCCTGCTAACCAGGGGAATACTTAAGCCAGGCTGGCTATGTAAGAATTCCTACGTTACAAAATCATTTCTAGGGGAGTGATTGTCGTTCGGAATGTCTTTGAGAAGCAATTACGATCCTAAAGCCCACATGCCAGTGTTGTCGCGAGTTCGAAGTATACGCACTCGGGACGCGAAGGTAGAGTTGAGTTGGTCCGAGGTTGTCCACCCACAGGACCAGCAAAGTTCATGGTGCTTCTGATCGCAGCCATTTCCCACGTTATCTAGGTGTTCACGGCTCTTCGCGATCGAGGCCGGTACACTCCTATGAGGCGCCCACACAAGGCCCTGATAAGCTCTTTCCGGATGGTTGAAATCTTCTTGTAGGAAATCCATCCTTACGAAAATGTTTGATGCAAAAGCAAGGTTTCATTAACCAAGTCAACACAATCTCTTTAGAGAGAAATTCAACAAAGACCGGTAACGTACTAACAAGAACCCCTTTACTATCAAATTCTCGAGAAGCTGCAAACAGTAGTGATTTTACCTTATAGTACGGCTTTAAAATTAAAAGTAGTTAATAATTATATTATCGAAGTAATAGAAACGACTAACTTATTAGCTACTTCAATAATAGGTAAATATAACTATTTAAAGAGAAAGTATTAGAAAGTTATTTTCTAGTATCTACTTTACTAGAAGAGCCTACCTACTAGTTACTTAAAACAACATCTCCTAACCTACCCGATCCTACACCCGAAAATCCATAAAACCGCAGTACAGTAAAGCCTGACAAAACAAAACATACAACAGCAGGTATTCGCTGGTGGTCACCCACCCAACTACTAATCTGCCGATCTGGAGCTTGTGGAAGGCAGAGCGAACGGGATGCCCAATTCTCTCCAGTCAATGGTCGTATGTGGCAGTTTTTGTTGATTGTAGGGTTATGTAGCGATGGGGTAGGGTTGTGTGGGTGGATTTGTGGTGGGGATGGTGAGGTGAGCTTTGGATGGGATGTTTGCGTGAATGGTTGAGCAGATATTGTAGTTTTGGTTGATTGATCTTGGGGAAAGTGTCAAATTTCGAAAGTTTCTCTAAAGACATGCGTCGATATAGCTGGGAGAATAACAGGGGAAAGTGGTCTATACCTTACTGACAATGACCTTGTTTCCCGAGCTAGCCATTTTCACTTCACTATGCTTCTGCAAGGATGAAATCGGAAGAATCCCAAAGGTGGAAGATCTGGTAGAAGTATTCTTAATATTATTCTGTTCCCTCTAATAAGGGGATACAACTCCAACCATGACAGTAATGACTTTGCACTACCTCGAGACCCTGTAACCGGTCTCGTAGGAGGTATGCCCATAATCTCTTCTTTTCTCAGCCAACACAAATAAGTCAATCTTACAACCCCTCCAAGTCCAAGGAAATGAAACAACATGATCTGCCCAATTTCGCAGATATAGAATAAGCCCAAAACACCGAGATCGCGAGTGGTGATATTTCCCTCCCAATGAAAGAAGCCAAAACGCCATGTGAAGAAATTTCGCCGTATGAATGCCGAATGCCGAATGTAACAAGCGTGTTGATGAGTAGTGTGTTGCTGATTAAACAACTGCACTGCAGCGCCGAAGGACGGCGCAATACTGCAATCAACTGTTGCCAACATTTGTTGCCCAGCTGGGGCGAGCCGGCATATTGGAAGAGGCAAGGTCAGTTGCTTTTGTTGCTAGGATGGCTCTATCCCGTGCCCATCTTCAACCGCGTTGTAACAGCAAGCCCCCCACAGTTGCAGTATTGTGTTGCTATTCCTTCCCTATAACCCAACAGCCTCCATATCTCTCATCAAAACTGCCATTTGTGCTCGTTTCGCAGCCTCGGCAACAAGATTAAAGTCCCGGAGAAATGGCGATGTGCCATCCGCAGATTGCATTTGGTTCTGTTGTGGTACCCGAGATTGCTGGGAGTTTTGCGTACTCTGGTTGTGGTGGTACTGTGCTTGGTATGATTGTTGCGATTGAGACTGTTGCGTCACCGAACTTGAGGCACTCCCTTGAGCGGAGGAGGCAGTGGACGAATTGTTTGAGGAACTGGACATGAAGTATGAAGACTGCGTCTGCGAAGCTTTGTTTAAAGACGGTGATGAGAGTGGTGCTTCCATTGTGGGATGATTGACTTGTTGAAGTTCTAATTTGAAGTTCTAATTTCCAGAGGGTCGGGTGGAATTGATTCGAGTAAATGATTCGAGTGGCAAAGTGACAGTTGGACAACCAATGCTTTTTATGACAACGTGAGAGGATTTGATGAAGTAGATTAGCCAGCGAGGGGAGGCCAAGTTGGGTTTTATCGAGAAATTCCGTGAACACTCGTAAGTTGTAAATATGGAGATGCCGGCACAATTATTGTGGGTTGGTTGTCAATTATGTGATTCTCCGCGTCGTCAATCGGTCGGCACCCCACTTGGACGTTACTACTTCGGGCCTGCTTTCGCTTTGTCTTACTCGTACGCCTCGGGATTCTGCGGTAACTTATGCTGGATCCCCAAGAACAGGCTGAATGGCGGGAGATGGTGGAAGTTGCTCTTGTTGGTGTTTGAGGATCGTTATCAATGTGGTGCCACTGGACAGTCGAAGACGATGCCTCGTTTCTACTGGTGTTTAGAGGACGGCGAGTTTGGCGAATGTTGTACGACTCGGGTTGGAGTCAACAAAGTTAGGAAAGGTAGGATTCGGAGGGAGGATCCGAGTGCAGGCTGTTCTTTTTGGTAAGTTAGTACATCGTCGTAAAGTGGTTCAGAAGCACGGAAGAATCATGATGCTTGGATATGCAGCCGCATGGGGAGACAGCCAGGGGAGACATGGAGGGGTATTTGATAGTACGGAAGAGTTCTGTAGCACTTAGAAGCATACCTCAGATACAGCACATGCAAGTGAAGCGTTATTGACTTCGATGTCGAACCGTCGGTTGGCAATGAAGGCAGAGAGGCAAATTCATGGAAGAAGGGAAGCATGAGGCAACCTAGAATCTGTTCGGCAAAGACCCTTTGTGTGGATGGATGGATGCATTTATCAGAAGCGCTACCCCACGCCGGATAGTCTCACTTGCAGTCTCGCACGCGGCCGCCTACTCGACACGGGGTTCCTCCAGCGAAACTCTTCGCTCTGTATGGAGGAATTACCGTGATTGACGCCATTGTTGGATCGCGATCTTCCTGAGCTGACGGAGAGTGACGCTCTCCACATTCCACTGGCTCACTAACTGCCTGAGTCTAACTCCTGGTCTGGGGAAGTGTCAAACTCGGCGCAAGTGCCCGCGAGCTTGTAGCGCCGAGGTATGATTCGTGGGGGAGCGGTATAAAGATCACCACCCACCATTGAAAGACTCTTTCAAGCCTTTGACCGAATGCATACCGTTGCATTAACATTTCCCTAGAAAGTTCTGTGATGAGGATATACTTCGACATAATACTTGTAAGAACTAATGCGGTTGACAGCGGTGTGCCAAGCCATGAGGCAGTCTGTGTTGAATCTGTTGACAGATGATTGACAGGTTACATATGGCAATGTGAAGTAACATTTACATACGAGAACACTCCGACACACATAATTTAATATAAAATAAAGCAAAGTTGGCAATTTGAGATTTTTAATATCACTTTCAAAGAACGCACTTCCACCGGTAACGAAACAGTCTCAGGGTACTCTTTTCTGGAATCTCCAGATTCGTTAGTTCCAAGGTACCAGTAGGACGGACTATGACAGATACACTCAATTTTCATTTAACAAAATGCCTTCTACTGGAATTATCACCAGCGAAAAGAATTTGATTATCCTTGCAACCGTTCATGCTACCATGGCGTACACTCACGAGTCTCGACTGGATGAAAAGAGAAGATATGCATCCGGGGACAGCCTTCGTATAACAATTAGAGTACAAGTTTAAAGATTCCAACTTTCTCACTCAATAACAATATGCTTTATTTTAGACTTCATTAAATTAAGCACATTAAACACTGAGTAAATGAATTACTATCTCATCAGTACCGACATCTGCAGGTACAAACTTCGTACACCCGGTTCTGCCTAAGTCGGCATTAGCGCCCCGGCTCACATCGTGCAGCAGCCCAAACGCGGCAACAAATCGCGTCGTCCCAGGAGCAAGAATCAATGTTCAACGGAAATTTATCACCAGTAAACTCCAGCTTCATCGCAATGCCACCAACCATACCTACCGACAAAAGAGAGGAAGAAACAGCTGTCCCACCAACGTCCTTTTCCAGGCAGACGAACAAAGTCAGAGATTTCTTCTCCATACCGGCACCAATAAAGACCCTATTTGATCTGGTACCCGTCCTGGTGTATCCTCCCAACGGCCTTCCACAGCGTGCGCCCAAGCCTGCGAGGATACCAACTCTCTATGTCTTCTCCAAAAAGGAGGATGCGGCCACGGGGAAACCGAGTTTCAATCCTGGTTGTTTGAAGTGGCAGGTCAGAATGGCTAAAGGCAGCTGGAGAGGGGAATTAACTAACTTCTCTTAGGCATTTCTCAACATCGCTGGTATCAATCATCGTTTAGCGGCCTCGAATAACCATGCGTCGCCAACGGGTGTATTGCCATTCCTGCTCCCAGGAGCGTCTTCCTCGAATGCATCTCCGGACGCTCTGCCCATACCCTCAAGCAAGCTTGTGAAATATGCAGCGGAACATGGAGCACATGTGAAAGAGCCATTAAACATGCGGTACGAAGCGTACAAATCGCTACTCGACCATCGGATCAGGCATGCTTGGGTAAGTACCATCCTTTACGTATAGATTGGCTCATTCTGACCGCCTGCAGCTGTATACTCTCTACCTCGAACCCTTGAACTTCAATGCAGTCGCGTACCCACTTTATGTATCTTCGATCTCGACAAGTCCCTTCGTACGAGCATCTATATCTCATCAACTGCGCGCAGCAGCGGAGGCGGAACTGTTGAAAAATTCTTCCATCATCGATATTGATGATCTGTACAGCGAAGCCGATAAGGCATTCGAGGCACTTTCCATATTACTTGGTGACGATCCTTGGTTCTTTGGATGCGACAGGCCAACATTGTTTGATGCAAGTATATTTGCCTATACGCATCTTCTTCTTGACGACGGAATGGAATGGAAGGAAAAAAAATTGTGTAGGGCCTTGAGGAGGCGGGAAAATCTTGTACAACATCGCGAAAGGCTGCTTGTACGATATTTCGGTGGATGAACGGAATCGACTCATGAGCAAATACCTGGTATCCACCTCAATTGTACGATTACGGAATGTTCGGTCGCAATATCGAGTTTGAATGTTACGAGGTCCACGATCGCCACTCATGAGCAAATAGAACGTCTCGCCCAGACCGTGGAATGTTATCGCTCCCGAGTTGATTACATTTCCAAGCACCCGTAGGTTGAAGTATAGATGTAACTCGTTACTCATAGTACGCAGCGCACAAAGAAAGAAGCGGTGCCCAGCATTCGGCAATAGAGGATCCCGAAGAGCTTCGAACCCTGCAGCGTTCCGCGCCTCAACCGAGAGATATCTAGTGCTGGCGTTATTTAATTGGCAAGCCTTCTATGTAGGCCCAGCAAAATGAACATTTTCAGCACTTGGCGAGTCCTGATTAAGTGCGTTCATCTGTGTTTTTGGGCATAAGCTTAATTCTAGCTCTTCTTTTTACGAAGATCGCGGGGTCGTGGAGTGCTTTAGCTTCAGCTTGGCGGAGATCTCCCTCTTCATCCAAGACAGACGACTACTAGCTGCAGTCTCTCAACCAAACCTGAGTACCTAACGTTAGTAGGTGACTGCACTGCCACCTATTTTTGCGATTTGGGTGGAAATGCTAGACTCTTTGGAGATCTTACGATACTTGGCTTGCTATTCGAGGTTAGTGTCGTGGCTTGTCAAGCTTCTCGTCATGGATTAGACCTGTTGAATTCAGCCAAGAGTAGTAGCTTGAAAGTTATCCAAGCTCACAGGTTCTTTTCTTTTTGCAGAGATTCTGCTTTTGTCTCACATCAGAGTCAAAATGGTCTTCCAAGTACAAGAACCTTCCTTAGTGTTGGTTCTTGGCTCTCCGGAAAGAAGTATTCATGACGATGCCAATTCGACAAGACAAAGAAAAGATACTATGGTAGAGATAATTTGGAATGCGAGCGTTCTCTATTTTGACTCTGAAGTGTATAAGTATATCTAATTTCTCTCTGTTTTCATTATCATCCAAACCAACAAACTCTCTTACGTCTTTACAACTAATACTGTTTCTCTATACTAAATCTCCCAATTACCACCAACACTAAACATTCAAAATGAAGTTCACACAACTCACCTCCCTTGCCACCGTCCTCGCTCTGAGTACCGCAACACCAATCGACTATACACCAAAGGGCGGTTGGGAGAGCGTCACATACCCAGCCCCACCAGGAGGATGGGAAAGCATCAAATATCCACCAGGAACCGGCGAGAACCTCAAGTTTTACCCAGCCCCGCCTGGTGGATGGGAGTCGGTGAACTACGGTAACAATTACGGACAAGGAAAATGGACATCGACATATCACGTCAAGGCCATCGGGGCCGAAGTGAGGAATGGTACTACTCCAGCTCCGGGTCCTGCCGATGCAGTTGGCTACTTTGACTTCCAAATTAACAGCAAGGAAGATAAGATCTGCTATGTTTGTCTCCCTTTCCCTCAATCTCTTCACCCAGCTAATCTTCATAGCAAATCACTCTCTACAACGTCGCAGGCGTACCTCAATCCCCTGCAAAGACAGCAACACACATCCACGAAGCCGTCCGCGGTGCCTCTGGACCACCACGTCTCGCATTCAATAACCCAGTTGGAGACGACAAGATGCGGTATTCCGAGGGATGTCTGACTGGTCCATTCACCACTGGCTTGAACGGCGCGGATGGAAAGGATACGGCTACCGGATTCAAGGTTGCGCAGATTGAGGCGAATCCAAAGGGCTTCTTTACCGATCACCACACCAGTCTGTTTACTTTGGGTGTTGTTAGGGGACAGCTTGCTTAGATGGGTTGAGAGTGGATGGGGACATAAATGCCACGGAGCCGGATGTTGAAGCAGCAGAGCGGTTTTGAATTTATATTTAATTTTCCATAGGTCTTTACGTTGGATACGATAATATGTAATTTTCAGTAGTATAATAAGATGTTTCCTCAAAGACATGTACATCATCTCATGTGACTTTCAGGAGTACAGTAATACGGCTGACGTTGTGTTCTACATTGAGTAAACTCACAAACCAAATGCTCCAAGCTACTAAACTCTTCTATTCCTACCATCCTACCAGCGGGCCGAAGCTGAAAGATACATTACACCACCTAACTGTCAACAATCTGAATAACATTACGTATACGAGCAACTCGAGTTCACCTGAATCATGAGAACTGATAGCATTGCGAAATGTCTTAATCCGTCTACAACCCCGTAAACCCCTAGACCATTCATATCGTTCTCGGCAAGTGATGACAGTATTGCTACATGCGATTGACTGATTCATGGTAGTGGCGGTATCATTGAATCCTCTCGTGCGGGGAAGGTGATTTACGGTTGTATTAAGTCAAATTTGGAGGCTCATTTTTGCGATGAATTGTCCATAATGCAGAGGTGAAGGATGGCGATTGTGGTGTTGAGTGCCAGATGAGCTAGTTGTATAGAAAGAGAAACGATGATTAGCAGCCTGATAGCAGGTAGTCCCAATTAATACATTCTTACCATTTGTTTTCTCTGCTGATCTTATTCTATCTATCCAACATGCCATACTAGCATGTTAGGGATCTGATGGTTGCATCCATGGTCTCTGATTGAGTACTAACTAGGCAGTTCAGGACGACAAAAGACATGTCCGCATAGACGTCAGTCCAAAGAAGAAGCCAATAAACATCTCACAGATACTAATCCACCTATATTCAGAGTAACTAATCATCTGTATTCCTCTCTTTTCAATACAGGTAAACACTACCTTAGAGAACGAAATCTACACAAATGAATAGAGATTTCAGGCATTCTATAGCCGCCACCCACAACCCCCCCGAACCAAGCCTATCCTTCCCTGAAAGAACGCTCGCACGACGCTCCTATCCATAATGTAAATGCACATCATCAACGCCGCCGAGGATAAAAAAATTGGAAACAGAAAAGGAATGAGATGATGGGCTAAATAGTGAGCTTCCTTCTGACGCCTCTCCACCGCAGTGCTAGTCTCTAGTTGCTGCTTGTTTCATAACCCACGCTTTGGCCGCGCGAAATCGTCAATGTTTACGAATGCGCCGGAACCGCCACCGTCTCTAAGATCTTCGAGGAGAACGGCGGTTTGTTGATAGAGTTTTTCTAGAGCCGCGGATGAGGATTTGCCAAGCGATACTATGCGCCATTATTAGACTCCCGAGTGCAAGCAAAGGCAAGAAAATGGGGAAATTCCAACTCACATAAGATCGCGGCATTCAACTCTTCAGCCACAGCAACTCTTCCCTTGGGATCTACAAGATGAGAGACCTCCTTACGATTTAGAGGGTCTTGATAAGCTATCAAAGAGAAGGCGTCCGACAATGCTTTGCTGACTTCGCGACTCGGGTCGTTTCGATATTGCCGCTCTAGATCTTGCCCGTAATTCAAGGTGGCCTGAGTTAATTGGTTGTATTCCATAAGATTATCTGAGCCCTCCTCGGTATCCATCCGATCATAATTATTGTTGTTCTGTTGATTATCCATTTCCATATCTTGATTCATCACGTCGTCATGCCAATCTCCGTCGTGCCAGTCGCCATTTTGGCCATTGCTCTTCTTTGCAGTGTGCTTATGGTTTGATTGTAGCATTTCAGCACCACGACGGACCATTTCTGTAAATTTTCGACAGCGTAGTCGAAATAATACATGCTCGTTGTTTTGAAGGACGGCAGGATAGTAGAGATCAGTATACTTTAAGGCTTTGTCAATATCGCCTTCTAACACAGCAGTGCGTATTTCTGTAATTTGTTAGCTGCAAACCCCAAGTATCTGGCAAGCCTCTTACGCTGTCGGTGCCCTGCATCTTTATCTTCCTTAACGCTGAAACTTTCAACTACTGTGGTTTTATCCAGAGCTAGAGCGGACTTTTCGGAATGAACCTCATCTGCGAATGCTCTAGCCGTCTCAATGTAGCCATCGTGTGTCAAAAATTGAAGAACCTGGGCGATGTCAAATGTGTTCGATGGCTAAAGGTGTTCAGAGTACATACAAGTGATTGGATTAGATCCGTTTCATTCATAGGTGGCGCCAGTTTAGCGGTGCTAGGATGTGTCAGTAACATAAAATCCCAAAGAACGATATAATAATACCTTGTTGACGCGATTTCTTGATGTATCGCTCTTTTCTCATCCTGTGCATACATATGTCAGTATTTTCTTAATGTTTGTGAAACCAAAACCAAAAACCTCTCTCTTGGACCATGTTTTGTCATCGTTGCATTCTGCTGGTCGCTCTGCTGCCCCAGCAACGTTCGACGGCCTTGAGTTTTGCGTCGGTAAAGCAGAGGAACGACGGCGAAGAATATGACGATTGGTGAGTTGTGTACCAGGAATGAGACCGAGGTTGTGAGAATTCGATAAATTGGTGGCGAGGTCAAGAAAAGTGAATTCTGGAAAATCACGACTTACCGACATCATGCCATCTATGTCGAAGACAAATGGACTTTGCCCGAAATTAACTCTAATATGCTCGCCAGACTTCTTCATGCCTACTGAGGGAAAGAGCTTTCCTTTGATCTCTCGGAAGGCGACACCTGCTTTTCTTAGCGACTGCGGGTTGAGGGAAAGAAGGTTTGTACAAACCGAGGTTGTCTCCGTTCTTGGTGAAAAAAGCAGAACCGGTCCTGAAATTCACACCACATCCAATAACGTCTGTTGCTGTGAATGGTGGTCCGTAATGCTTGCCTGTGCTCTGGGAACCGAATGAATGGCCGTCGTCTCCGTGGTATGCCCATGAATCCGGTTCCCATCCTGGTAATCTTGATAAAGGAACAGTCTTACTCGAGAACCCAATACCGATAGAGCTTCTGAGACTTTGTTAGTAATCCGTCTATGAAAATCAGATAACCATATTTTAAGCCTACTCTTCCCTCTTTTTTGAAATTATTGTCACTTCAAAATAATATATGCCACACTGCGGAGGCATTGGATGATCCGCCCTTATGGCGCACGCTTCGTGATCTCGGTCTCGGTCAGGTTTAGGTCCTGTTAATTTCACCTCTTGCCCATCCGACATAACCTCCAAGCCCCCAAATTTGTCTTGGCTGTTCCATTTAGAGGGCAGAGGCGCAAGATTTTCGTCTTCAAAAGGCGGCGCCTTTTCTATTAAGTCATATGTCATCCCCCGATGTGAAGGCGCCAGTCTGGTTTGAAGATATGTGCTACTTCCGCTAGTCGAAAGGGAGCCCGACTGAGACTGGGTGGATGGCCCATCTACGTGCGCTTGCTCTCTTGCTTTATAGCTCTCCTCCAATCTCTGAACGTATTTTGATCCGCGCAGGTATGAGGGAACGAAGAAACTGTCGCCTTGTGTGCCTCCAAACCCATTGCCATCTAGTATAGGCCCATATGCGCTCGAGAAGCTAGGGAGATGCCCGCCGCGATTCCAAGACCCGGAACTCCTGTGGCTTGCGCCATTTGTGCCAAAATCCATATCGTAAGTTCGAGAGTCGTGTCGTATATGTCCGCCTAAGCCGTATGGGCTCGGATCGTAGTTGCCCAAATCCGTGCTCTGATTGAGGAGGTGAGAAAGAGCACCAGACCTGGAAGCTTGTTGGTATGGTTGAGAGATTCCTGAAGCTGTACCAGAAACGACTGAAGCATAAGAAGATCTCCTTGCTGCGAATCCGGGAGCTCCAGTTGGCATGCTCGAATCTAGAACCCCCGGTGAGCCAGCAGGGTAAGGGTTCGTCATGTCCTCCCAACCTTCACACGATCTTCAACTCCACTGTTCAGAGTGTTATAATTCTGTGCTAAATTTTGCTGATGCCAGTCCGAGGGATGATATGTGGGAGGGTCCGTGGAGCAAGAGAGTATCGACAAAGCTGCGTTGTGTTCGAATGTAGGAGGCGATAGATGGCAGGGTTGTATGGTTGAGGTGTGGTGAATGTAGATATTGTCATGACCAGCAAGTAGAATGTTTGAAGAGGAAGAGCGTAAGATATTTTATCGATGGAGAAACGTAGCTCTACCTGAGCTCTAGCAAGATCTGATCATACATTCCGTCTATAAGTGTTTACGAAAGCCAGTCCGGTAACGTGCGTGCTATCATTTAGAGGTGATGAGGTGCCATGACCCTCCGGAAGCTGGGCACACCACCGTCCGGCTAGCCGTTTTCAGCCCAAATGGTGTGGGGAAGTCCTCACTTTGATCAGATACAGTCAACGTACTGTATACATGATTTTACAATATCGACTTTAAAGGGCTAGAAAAACTCAAGACAAATTCTAGTAAGATTGTGTTTTAATTTGACTTTCTGAAATGTCAAGATATTGTGCTTGAAGCATTTCGGAGTGATACTAAAGCGAATGCTAGTGATCGGGATTGAAGAATTCAAATACACCCCGAAGACATTAATTGAGTGGGAGAGTTGGAATTTTTTTTGATTTGTTTAGAGTTGCATCCGCCTGACAAACGTCATTTCACTTGCCTCATAAGTCTAGCTCTCTAGTCTCTAAACCCTAGTTAGTGAATCTATTCAGTGGCTTGTCGAGTGCCACCCATTCTGACTATTTGACGGTCTACAAAGTTCTTTTCACTCTTTATAATATTCTCCTGTTCACAGAACATGGTGTAGCCATTAGAGAAATCTTGACGTAGACGCAGAGATACTTCGACCCTTCGACATGCTTATCATGGTTCGAACTTCGCAGAGTTTAGGAAGATGAAATTCTCTAATGTTGTTTATGATCCAGTAAAGAGGAATCCCCGTATCCCACACGAGCCAAACATTAGACGCTAGAAGTCTCGTGATACTGTGTCTCTCCCATGTATCAATGCCCGGAGCGGTATTAACAAAAAGAAGCGTTAAGAGCGATCTTGAGACCCATATCAATCGGACAGCGACGTCTAATTGTTAAAAGATTTCTAGCCACTAGACTAAGCTGGGGGGATAATCATTACACAATATAGAACCGAGCTTCAAGAATTTATTGGAGAAACATGTTTGCCTTTTATTAATCTTTACACTGTATTCGTCATGGTACATTTTGAAAGCAGAAAACGCCGACCCCGGGACCTCCACGATATCGCCTGCAATCCAGGTGCGTGACGTGCCGATAAAATGTCCCTCCCATTTTCCTGCGCGCCTTCCCAAGATGAAAAAACAAACGTCAATAATACACTTTGATCGATCCAATCGTAGCCGCAGAGTCTTTGACGAGATAGGATTGGTGTCCATCTTCGTAGACGATATCGATCCGGACTTCTAGTTGTTATACAATAGGTTATGAGATCCAGAAGTAGTTATGCTGAAGCGAGAACCTCAGGGACCGACGGTGCGACGGAGACCGAGGTGATAGACTCGAGGGAATCGGTAGCCTGCTCATTGGGTTCATCAGGAGTAGATTCTGTTGCGCCGAGTCCTGGCGGACTTGGTTCTGCCTGAGCTGAAGGAGCGGATGCTACTGGTGAGCTAGCCATAACAATGTCCATGGCAGTGTTACTCTTCTCGCTCTCAACCTGGCTGTCCTTGTTCTCCTTGCTACTTTCTCCAGAAGCCGACTCATCTGGGCCGCCTTCGACCTTCATTCGTGGAGGCGCTTTCCATCTTGGGATCTCCCATACGATACCGGTGAAACTCTTCAATGTGAAGCCTCCCTTTTGCCATTTACGACAAGGTTTTCCTGATCGGTCAAGAGCTCTGAGACCAGCATTGATTGCACCCTGATTCGCTTTGGGGCCAAGTTTGTGGGCGGCGGTTCCATTGGGGGCTCGAGGAGTGGAAGCCGAGTGATCGATTGTGCCATCCTCACTGAATATCAGGTTAGTAAAAGTGGTAGACCGGGAATTTACTGCGCTTTGAGCTCATAAAAATGCGAACAGTGAAGATCGTGTAGGAAAACGGATGTGCAGATGGTGGTAAAGGTGATGCTTACAGTCTTGCTTTCTTCTTAGGACCTGGCTTGCCCCTGACCTTGGGTATAGGAAGGCCATCTGGGCCCAGGGCGACAGCTGCAGTTCTCTTGGTGCCTCTCTTCTTGGGACCGTCTGTTGGAGGTGGCATCAATGTTTGTGGAGTAGGTGTTCCTACCGCGACCGGGGTGTTCACATTCGACTCGGATTTGTTATCGCCATTTGAGCTGGTAGCCACCGGAAGTGTGTTGGAAGCCGAAGAAGATGGCGAGTCTTTGACGGGTGATGCCTCCTTGTTTTCTTTGATCTCCTGCTTGATAGGCAAGGGACTGAAGTTCTGCAGGTGTTTGGGTGACAGCTTCAATGTGACGACGAGAGAAGTCTTGTTTGACTTTCGCCGTGCATTTGACGCAGCCGTGGAATCTTTCTTGGGTGGTGCCATCGCGACTTTGATGATAATGGGTTGATGGGATGATCAAGGTTGGTGTGCAGAGTTTGCCGGGACGATGTGGGTGACTAAATGACAGAGCGTCAGAAACAATTCGGGTCTGGAGAAGGCTTTTCGCGGATTCTAGGTAGTACCCAAGCTTCCAAGGTTGACGGCCGCGACACCGTGATCCGAAGATGAATAAGATGCGGCGATGATGATTGCGTTTTCGTGGATGCGTGATTGGAGATGTTGTTGTGGGTGGTGAAATGAAACTAACGGTGTGGACAAAAAAGGAGCATGGCTGGCTCCTTTTTGGTCCAGCACGCCGGTTGTGTGTGCTGCCATTCTATACACCTTTCGCTGTTGGGCGATTCCAGCTCCGTCGGTGGTTGAGGAACTTGAAGGGATGACGCGCTAAGCCTGTCTTGACACACCCTCAAAGCACCCGCACCTTCTTCGGCGTCGACCAAGGAGAGATTGGTGGACGAGGCAGCGAGGCTACAGCTTTTTGTGCCTTCGTGTTTTTTGTTTGTAGTTCGTATGTATATCAGTTAGTGGATATATTTTTGAGAAATCGCCAGAAACCTGCTAGCAATAGATTTCCATAACTTGCTGCCGGGGGCTCGGCGATCTCACTCCGAAGCCGATATGCACCGGCGCCGATATGTACCAGTTTCGCGGAGGGCCAAGTAAGCGGCAGCAATATGTCTTCGATTACGTTGACGAAACATAGTGTATTTAGTGGATTAACTTGGAACGAGACGCCATATTCCACCATCTATTTTGAGTAATTGGTTCCTCTATTCATTTAGCCCAAAGCTTCGTGGGCAGGTGACTGACACTTATTTTGGGCTCTGCTAAATCTCAATCGTCTTTTGGATAATTCTTAATCATCACATGATTCTCGACACGCCTCTTATCGTTCTATCTTTCTTTTTGGACTATTTGGGGGAAAAAACTAACCTGAATCTTTCTTATACGAGAATTCTGTAAGAGGTGCACTAAGTACTCTATCTGTATCGTTAGCTGTCATGTGACGATTGAGAATTATCAAAAATACCTTACCATTGAGATTTAGCGGAAAGCGGACCCCTTGTTTTGTAGCAATCGCGACCCCTGTCCGTTACATTTACTCACAACGTTAATTGGAATCCCTACTCGCTGCCATCGTTCTAGATTATCCCCTATTTCTCTCGTTCATAACCAGACTGTCTGTTCTTTGCATTCATAAATTTTCCTCCCACACGGAAGGCAGAATCCATTCTCTTCTCGAAGATTACTGCGCCAGCCCCCATTATCACCCCGCCGCGCGCCGTAAAATCTCATTATGCCTGACATGTACGAGCCTCCCCCGCTATCATATCCCCTACATTGGAACTTCAAAGGTTACTGATGCCGAATTCATAGCAACGTCGACGTCCTCGTTATAGGCGCGGGGCCGACCGGTTTGGGTGCCGCCAAACGTTTGAACCAGATTGTAGGGCGAATCCACACCGCTTCTCAACATTAAGTAACTGACCTGTCAATTAGGATTCTGCGTCGTGGATGATCATCGATAGCAATGAGACACCTGGCGGTCTTGCATCTACAGATGTGACGCCTGAAGGCTTCGTGAGTGTACACTATCAAATTCGAGTCCCGGGCTAATTGCCACAGCTCTACGATGTCGGCGGCCACGTTATTTTCTCTCACTACAAATACTTCGACGATTGTATCGATGAAGCTCTTCCCAAGGCAGACGATTGGTACACCCACCAACGTATATCTTATGTGCGAATGAAGAGTCTCTGGGTCCCCTACCCGCTGCAAAACAACGTGTCTATGTTACCTCAGGAGGATAAATTGAAGTGTGTGGAAGGCATGATTGACGCGGCGATTGCCGCTCGTACAGCAACCACAAAACCAAAGGACTTTGATGAGTGGATTGTCAGAATGATGGGCGATGGACTTGCAGATCTGTTCATGAGACCGTACAACTACAAGGTTTGGGCTGTTCCGACGACTAAGGTATGGATTTTGATATAGATATCAAAATAAGTCACTTTGGCTGACTGATTCTTCTTTAGATGCAATGCGCATGGCTCGGGGAGCGTGTTGCTGCACCAGATGTCAAGACCTGTGTCCGAAATGTTATTCTCAACAAATCTGCTGGGAATTGGGGCCCAAATGCAACTTTCAGATTCCCAGCTCGTGACGGAACAGGTGGAATCTGGATTGCAGTTGCAAACACTCTACCTAAAGAAAAGACACTTTTCGGCAAGCAAGGAGAGGTCACCAAGGTCGATGCTGATGCTCACACGGTTACATTGAAAACCGGAAAGACAATTGGCTATAAGAAGCTGATTACTACAATGGCCGTTGATCAGCTTGTTGACTACATGGAAGATAAAGAGTTGGTGTCGCTGAGTAAAGGGCTTTTCTACTCATCTACTCATGTCATTGGTGTTGGCATTCGAGGCGCTCGCCCAGAAAGAATTGGTGATAAATGCTGGCTTTACTTTCCTGAAGACGATTGCCCATTCTACCGCGCAACGATCTTCTCCAACTACTCACCTTACAACCAACCTGACGAGTCTGTCAAACTCGCGACACAGTATCTAGCTGATGGAAGCAAGCCCAAGTCCACCGAGGCAAAAGAAGGTCCCTACTGGTCTATCATGCTGGAGATTTCTGAATCGTCCATGAAGCCTGTCGACCAAGATAATCTCTTGAGGGAATCAATTCAAGGATTGATCAATACTGAAATGGTCAATCCGGATGACGAGATCGTTTCTACATATCATCGACGTTTCGACCACGGTTACCCAACTCCCTCCTTGGAGCGTGAGGGCGTACTGCAGGAGTTGCTTCCTAAGCTTCAAGAAAAGGACATCTATTCCAGAGGTCGCTTTGGTAGCTGGCGCTATGAAGTTGGTAAGTTTCAGTTATTTCCCAATGGAAAAAACTCACTCCTAACTGTGAATCAGGTAACCAGGACCACTCATTCATGTTGGGTGTGGAAGCCGCTGACAATATTGTCAATGGCGCTGTCGAGCTGACTCTGAATTATCCTGATTTTGTTAATGGCCGCAAAAACACCGAGAGACGATTGACAGATGGTGGTCAAGTCTTCAAAAATAAGGCAACACAAAATGCTGATGCTGCTGGTGCTGCAAATGGCGCTGTTGGATTACCTCAAAAGGTAAGCGTCCTTATTATACGTTTAAACGATTTCTTCTGCTAATTTTGATGTGCAGAACAAGACGACCAACCACCCCGACGCGACTGGCGCTTCAAATGGTGCTGGTGGCCTACCCACTCGTGAGAGAGCTCCTTCGAAGACTTCATCAAGCTCACATGCACGCAAGTCCTCTAAATCTGTCAAATAATTTTGTCGATAGAATTGGTGTGCGTTTCTTTAGCACATAAGTCGATATGTAGAGACATTGAAACGACAATGATAGCGTATATGTACCTAGACTTCGAGAAAAGCATGTCTTCTCAGAAATGTTTTGCTTTCATTTTACTTTGTTATAGATTACCGCATTTGCATTGTGGCAAACCAGCGAAAGATATCATTGAGAAGTATAGCCTCTTGTAGACGATGCAATAGAAGGAGAAGGAGGCTTCAGAACATTCCCTTCTGGCTTACAATGCAAATCTGAGTGATACAAGTACCGAAGCAATGTGTCTTGCGTGCAGTTTGCAAACCTAGGCCAGAGCAGCATACATTTCATGCGGTAGTCGTTGAAAGTATTCCTTTGTTACACCTCACATCATGTCGCTACTATATCTCTAGTATATTAAATACTAGCCCTACGCGAATCGAACCTAACATAGTACAATCATACGAGTTTACCTCTACGCTACCGTTAGACTTTAAGTATATATACAAAATGTAAAACGTAGTACCCCATTTTAGTAATCACGGGCTAGAATATTTCCTATACCTGTATCCTGACAACAAAAAACACGTGGTAGAACCTTAAAACTATTCTTTCATCTTAAATTACAATCGAAATATTCATGTGTATATATAAGAACGGTCTTTGCGCCACGCCTTGCCCGAACACAGGAACAGGTCTCGATCAACGCTCATTTGTCCTTCATGAAGACATTTTATCCTGTATATGCGAGCACTAACCCTAATTTCAAACTTGTGAACCGACTTCCCCCTCATGCGTTATGACCCAACACCCGCGCTAACAGAGAGGAGTATAGCCCATATCCACATACAGGTCATATCCATGCAAAGATCCCGAGATTTACAAAATAGAAAACACAACTGGTATATAAATATGATAACAGAAGATATGAGTAGGCGCCATCAACCGGATGTTCATCTCAAGACAGTATTGCGCCAAACTCCAAGATATGTGCTGTCAAACACGGGATTCGTGTTTTCGGGATATTCGTCAGCATCCCAGATTTCGAAACCAACCTCTACATTTGTAAGCCGTTTTCGGCCTTCCACTATGATTTGCTTTTGGTAGATTCTTTACTCGTCGTCCGTTTACTTGAGCTCGGCCGACTAGCCTTCCTGGCTTCGTTCGTTCGCTCCGACCTTAATGGCAAGCTCCTTGACTTCGACACCTCGTCGTTGTGAGATTTCTCCGTTCTCGGTACGGACATGTCCGGCTCTCTCAGGGCTTCTAACTCTCCATCTACAGCTTCCTTACTATGCTTGACGACTGATGGCCGATGTTTCGCGTCTACATTCATTGCATGGGAGTCTCCTGCATGCGATTGAGACGCTGCAGTCAAAGAATTGCTTTGGTTTGTGTTTGAATGACCATCCGAAAGTTCGACCGCCAGTGGAGTTGTCGCGCCAGAGTCTGCTGGTATCGAAGATTTCGGAACATTTTCGACTTCATCGAGAACATGGCTCGTGACTTGACGAGCGGTCTCCTGAAGGTTAGGAACCTCTATGTTTGGCTGGAAGATGTCAATAAAGATCTAAGGTCGGTGAGAGAATGCTTACCTGGTTTAGATACTGATTCAACTTGCTTTTCAGTATACCAACTCTTACAGGTTTAGCAAGGTAATCATTCATACCCGCTTCCAAGCACTTTTCTCGATCTCCTTGGATCGCAGACGCAGTCATGGCAATGACAAGAACACCGCGCACTTCTTCAAGTGGGTCCTTGCGAAGTAACTTGGTAGCTTCATAGCCATCGAGAACAGGCATTTGCACATCCATGAGGACAATATGATAAGGTTGACCTTCTTTGGCTTTACTTCGCAGTCCCTCCACAGCTTCCAATCCGTTCCCATATGCGTCGATATGCTTGTAGCCTAGTTTCTCCATAAACTGAATGGCGATCTTTTGGTTGATTGGATTGTCCTCTGCAACACAAATTCTCAGCTCTTCTCTCGGAACTTGAGAAAAGTCGGAGTGAGCCGTTGTAGATTGGGGAAGTTCCAACTCGTTATGTCTCGCGGGACTGCCGCGATGCTCGACGCCATTCTGCTTGTTATGCCGAGCACCATCTTCTGCAGAGCGTACTTTATCAAAGGTGACCGTAAACCAAGCTGTGGTTCCTTGGTTTTCAATACTGTCAAGCTGAATAGTACCGCCCATCATGGACTCAATCAGACTCTTGCAAATGGAAAGCCCCAGTCCGCTGCCGCCATACTTCCTAGCTGTACTAGCATCGGCCTGGCTGAAAGGCTTGAATAGCTTCGTCAATTGCTGCAGTGGGATACCGATACCAGTATCTTTAACCCAAAATGTCAACGTGGCGGTGGTTTCGGTCTGCCCGTCGCAACGAGCCCCAACAGTGATCGATCCCTTTTCCGTAAATTTCATGCTATTACCAAGTAAGTTGCCTAGAACTTGGTGCAGCCGGACAGGATCGCCGTATATCAAAAGATCGGGTAAGTTAACGTCTTGAAGAATCTCGATATTCTTCAGTCGCTTTTTGTCACGATAACTGTACGATACCGATCGGACAATCTCGCGTATCATTTCAGCTGGCTTAAAGGATTCGATACACAATTCCATTTTGTCAGCCTCCATTTTGGAGAAGTCAAGAATATCGTTAATGACCGTAAGTAAGAGGTCTGCAGAGACCCGGATTGAGTCCGCCATCTCCGCCTGTTCCTTGGTCAAATTCAAGTCTCTGAGTAGTTCTGAATTGCCTATAACGCCATTAAGAGGTGTTCGGAGTTCATGAGAAACATTGGCCAAGAAAATCGATTTTGCTTTGGCAGCCTCCTCGGCCATTTTCACGCTAGCAAGTGCTTCAGCTTCAGCTTTTTTGGCTTTAAGCTCTGCCTGCTGCGCCTTAGCGAGCGCTGTCTTCTGCATTCGGACCATTGACGTGTTACGGAAAGAGACCTTTTCTACTTCTTTGAGAGTAAGAGCATTTGAGTAGCTGATACCTATTTGATTGACGAGAAGTTGGAGAACCGTGAGATTACGGTCAGTGAAAGCATTAGGTTCCCCTTCAAGATATAAGACACCTAAAAGTGGCTTATCCCCATGAACGATGGGTAAAGCAATCACTGACTTGCCAAGCGGGTTTTGCAGAGACCAGGCGTCCGTAACATTGCTAAACCGTTCGTCGTGGAGAATATCAGGGAGAAAGACCGTCTCTCGGAATCTTGTACAGTATAGTATGACGCCTTCGGCGACCAAGGCCGTCTCTCGTAAAGGAATGCCGGGAATGTGGGCAGTTGCCCCTTTATCATTGTTCCCACTTGCTGCTATGCTCCACCCAGGTGTTGGATCATCCTCCTCGACAACAATGGCCGCAGACGATGCCAAACCGCCACAATTCTGTAGAATTATTTCGCACATGGTTTTTAGCAGCTGATCTACTTGGAGAACGCTAGAGATTACTTGTGAGCTTTCAAGAATTGATGTAAGGTCGAGCATATCCAAGGCGGGTAGTCCAACACCGCCTCCGCCGTGACCGCGAGCATCTACCTGCCATGCTCCGATTCTGTCGCCTTTACTTTGAGTGATTGGGGCACGTGTCTGTTGTCGTTCATCGTCTTCATCGCCCTCGAGTGTTCGATATTGCACTGGAGCCGAATCCCCCGCGAAATCGGTCTGACAACTGGCATCGATCGCTCGCATATTTCTGGTAGCGCCCTGAAGTAGCAACTGGTGCTCATCCTCTATCGCAGAAGCTACTCCGGACGCACCCATCTGACGATAGAGCTGGACAGCTTCTTTTAGTGAATTTTTAGCAGCTCGACGTGAGCCACAGCGGAGAAAGAAACCCGCATAAAGATGATTTCCGAGTGCTTCTTCAAACAAAAATCCATTGGCCGACGCATGATCTAACATTTCCTCGTAGTTAGTGAGCGCCTTACCGTGTTCGCCTTCTAACTCAGCAACCTGGGCGGCGAGTAGGCGTGACCATGCATAATAATTCACATTATTAACCGTTTGCCAATCCTTTATCTTTCTCTTAAAGTACTTGACTTGTTTGATAACCTCTGTGGTCTGAGTGCGGAGCTCATTCTCGGATGGTCCATGGTCGATGTACGGACCATTCACTACTTTTGACGTCGTTTCAGTCACACCTCGAAGCGGGTTCTGCAGCTTGCTCCACATTAAGCTGCAAAGAGAAAGACCTTGGAATAGCATCGTGAGTCGGATGTTTCTCGCGGACCACATCCCATCACTTTTCTCAAGTGCCTGACCTCCAATCTCAATGGCCCTGGCGTAATGACCATAGAGGAATAGCGGCACTATTTCCCAGGCTTCATAGATGAACAATGGCCGATCGCTGGCCCTGACATTGGTTTTCAACCAAGACTTGTAAAATGTGGCATCATGCTGATCGTCGGTCATGACATTTTCCGCATCATGCACTCTTGTCTTACCCTGTAACGCACGACAAACTTGCCGCATAGATATTGCCATGGTGCCGCCCCGAGTATCATCCGCCCAGTTAGAGACTTCCTCACAGCCGTAGTTGACGAAGTTTTCTAAATCTGCGAGGTTTTCCGAAGCAAAGAACTTGAGGTTCGACATAATCCCAAAATTCAGTATTGTCGATGTTCTATCACCAGCTTGTAATGCGTATTCAAGAGCACCTTCAAGTTGATCTAGTGAGGTTTGAAGACTGACATGAACATGCCCAACGAAAAGCGAATATATGGTACCACCACGTCCCATGGTATAAGGATCCCGACACCTTTCCATCATTTCTAAGGAGAATCTGCCAACTTCTGTGGCAAATTTAATCATGTTGAATCGGCTGATAGCAATGGTTGCTAGATGTAAAAACCCCATTCCAGATTGCGGAAACAGTCCGCATGTGAGTTGCGTTTCCACCATGATCAATGACATGTAGTAAAATAATAATGCATCACTCCAAAAAGCGGCACTGATAGTTTCGACTAGCACGGCTCCAACAGCAGCAAGGTTGGTGTCCATTATCAATGGCTGCGAAAGAAGAGCTTCCGGGTCGAGTGATTGTACTTTGAAGGAAAGCCGCTCGAACTCTTTGTCACATTTTTCAAAGCTGGGCTCATCATCCACACGGATGCCGAGCGCAGTGAGGCAGCTCTTTAGGGCTTGGAATGCGGCAGGAGAATCGCCCTCATAAGCCAAAATCCTAGACTTCAAAACATATGCAGGAGCCTTGTCGACGGCACTTTTGGCACTAGAAAACACCACGGCTAGTATGCGTTTAGCCTCAGCATATTGACCTAAGAAGAGAAAGCACTCTGCCGCTCTAGTATGCAGTTGGAGGGTCTCTTCATAGTGAACATCGGGTTTTCCGTCCGTCCACGGATCCGGTTGCAGAAGCGAGAAGCAGCTGGCATAGTACTCTGCCGCAGAGGATCGCGCGCCACTCTCCGCTGCTCCTTGGGCACACTCGAAGAGTAACTTCCTGTAGGGCTGTCGTTGAAGTATCCGCTGGCTAATCATCTCCGTACATTTGGTGATGTGTAGAGCGGTGTCATCCCTGTATCTCTCCACGTTTGAGTAGTATTTGAGAAGAGTTTGTGCAATTATAAAGTGCATTTTCGGTGCATTACATTCCCCTAGGCTCTGTGCAGCTTGACTGTAGCGATCGTGGGCGAAACGGAATCTGTCATCCTGCTGAGTTGCAACGATTATATACGCTTGAATGGCTGCTTGCAAGCCTTCCACGGCGTCTTGTTGCGAATGGCACAGAGAATAAGGCCTAAACTCTTCGGGCGTCTGCGTCTCATTATCATCGAGACTGAATTCGCCACTCATAAGACGCTGGATCATTTCGAACGAGAAAGAGGTCCCTAAAACAGACGCCCACGCAAGAATTGACCGGGATGCTGGGGGGAGCTCGTTTAGACGGCCAGTTATAAACTGGCTGTTTAACGTGTCATGGTAATTGTCTGTCTTGAACTGAGTAAATATCCTATCCAGGCTGAACCGCCAGATACTCTGCTTATAGTCGTACCAAATGCAAGATTTATCATGACAGGTGGTAAGCATCTCCCTCATATAGAATGGATTGCCAGCAGTCTTGGACTGTATTACAGCCGCCAAAGCGATGACGTCTTCTTTGGGCCTTAAGAGCGTAGCAGCTACGAACGTGATGATATCGTTTTCGGTAAGGGGATTCAGCACGATCCTAGTAATACCCACGCCTCCGGCTTTAACATATTCTACTGGAGTGTTAGCTGGTTTGTCATCATATGGTACGTTTTGGGGGGTCAAACTGATACCCTCAGAGTCTGGCGGCTCCAATATTGCCCTGATCTTTTCTGGAAGCAACTCGTCAGGTCTATACGTGATGAGTAATACCATTTTCATTCGGGCCGAAACGACCTGGGCGATCAGCTCTAGGGACTCGTCGTCGGCAAACTGTAGGTCGTCTAGACAGAAGCATATGAATTTGTGCTGGGTGAAGAATCTGAGCACGTCCAAGGCGGTGTTCATAAGCCTGAGAGACTTCGTAGAAGTTCCGGCACGTAGAAAATCCTGGGACGCCCGTGAACCTAATGTAATGCTGTAGACGCTTCGGGAACTGGATGGGGATGAGTCTCGACGCTTGAATTCTGACCTTAGGCTCTTGTTGTAACTCTGTGAGGGTTGCCCCGAGTGGCCTGGTTTTTTGGTTGGAGCGGGACCAAGTAAAAATTCCGGAAGTCCAAGGGCTTTGTGGAGCAGAGGCCATGCGGGTCGGCAATAGTGTTTGAGTGCTTGGTGGAAAGGGGTGTCAGTATTGCTTTCGGAAAAAACTTGCTTGAACAGACTAGACAGCAGTCTTAGAACGGGCCCAAAGGGAGTCTTCTTCGCTATGTCAAATTTAGAACTGGCAAAATAACCTCGCCGACGAGCTTCGACTTGTATGCTCTGTATGAGACAGCTTTTACCGAGACCGGTAGCCTAGGTTTGGAAGTTAGCTATCATTCTCAATATGCGTGGCACGAAATGTGCTGATTAACGAAATATGCGACATCTCGTCAATTGCTTTGAGACACGATACTATATACATCGCTGTATCGCCATAGACGATACTTAGGGAATAATATAGCATCGCCGTGGATAATATAAGTAGTAGTCGAGACACAACATTTGCTTAAAGCAATTGACGAAACTTCGTATATTTTGTCAATTACTTTGAGTAATGATACCATATTTCGTCAATTGTTTTGAGGAAATATGTTGTACTCGGTCAACTGTTTGGAACTAATATCGAATTTCGACCGCCGCTTTATACTGTCCAGGCCAAAGCTGTATAAACAAAATGATGGAATACGAAACGGAAACCCGCTTACCCCAGATATACTAACAACTTCACATCTTCCTTTGCGACGGAATTTCTGTTTGTTCCGCTGATTGCTGAGGCTTCCCACACTGTCTGAGCTTCTCGAACCTCCAGCTTCATGGCTCATGCTATCTGTGAAACTTTTTGTATCCAAGGACAAAGAACTGTTCTTTTCCCAAGGCCTAATGTAATGCTCCCGTTCGTCGATTGAATTTGAATTTGAATGTGATCCGCCAGCAGATGGTCTTAAACTCGAACCACTCTTGCTTGACCTAACCTCCCCGCTCAGTGAGTTCGATCTTCCGAGTGAAATCGATGGTCTATCATACTCGGCAGAACTCACAGCATCTTCGCTTAAGCTAGAAGCCTCAGCGATTGCTATCTCAAACCCTTCACTAGATCCCGAGGATATGCTCTGGACATCCTGCTTCTGTCCATCCAAGTGCTTTTTCGAGACTTTATCGATTACTTTGACAACTTCCTCGTACTCTTGCGTCCTCCCTATCATAGCCGTTGGTAGTATAAAAAAGGAGGAGATATCCTTAGTTGCGATTTGGAAGCTTTCGAGCGCGTCAGAATCACCGGCGCCTAGAAGGTTCCTGACTTCTGTGAGATCATGCTTTAAGCCACTTGCTGAGTGATAGCGTTCTCCAATTATCTTCGCTGTCATTTTCTGAATGATTCTCCCGACGACTTCCGGCACATCAAGTCTCAAGCTCGACACTAAAGGCAATCTTCGTCCTAAAACTCCTTGGATAATATCCATTGGTGTCTCTCCTTCAAAGGGAGGCTGCTGAGTTAGCATATTCCAGAAGACAACCCCGAGTGCATATATATCCGTTCGACTATCTGGTTCCGCTGGCATGCGCCCTGTTTGCTCAGGACTCATAAAAGAAAGCTTTCTTTTGGCGCCATTCTCTTTCGACAGCGCGCTCCATCCAGTGCTCGTGAGACCATGCTCAAAGGTTCGCAAGCCTGAACCAAAATTCATAAGTCGGATTTTTCCAGTGTCCTCGCAAAGATGGAAAGCTTCCCCACGAATCTCGCCGTGGACAATGCGTTCCTTATGATGGAGTATCTCGAGACACTCAGTAGCTCCCACTGCGAAATCCATAAACGTTTGGAGCGGAATCGGTATGAGAGGAGTCGGATCTTCGTAATATGGTTCAACATCTCCCCCAACATTACGCCCCTTATAAAAAGCTGGCCCATAATCAATAACATTATGTAGGTAATTCGGCCCCGGTCGAATCCATATCGTTACCATGATTGTCCCTACATCTCCAGGGTGGCTTTGGAGTTTCAGCATATCCACGGGCTTAACAATGTGTTCGCCATGCGGGTCTACCGATTTAATCAACTTCTTGCAGATATAATACGTTCGTTCCTCCCTGAGCGCATGTAAGGAGATGCGCGCAACAACGTCCAATTCTCCAGAATCCTGCTCATCGTTACCTGCAGAACCAACTTCACTGCCACTATCACTTTGTACTCCGGTTTGATTTCCGACATCGAGATGAGGTTCGCCGAGTGCGTTTCGTTCCGAAGGTGCCTTTCTATTCGGCGCAGAGGATCGTTTCGGATTCTTCCGACCATATATTTGCCTGTGTTCAAGAGCGTCAGGTCTCAGCTCGTCTAGTTCAAAGGATAATCGCATACCAGTTGTCGTAGGGAGTATGGAATATCCTCGCCTCATCCCATGTGTATCCCGGAATCTGCTGTAACCTTTCAAAGAGTCTTGCAGGCGGGTCTTCGAGGCCGTCCATGATGACTTCCTGCTCAAGTCATCTCATGTCATTTGTCCCCCAACTCGAATCGTGCGGCTGTCTACAAAAGCTTCAGGGATGAACATTTAGGTTTCGGTGCGTTCAAACCCACTATGCCTCTATTAGGATGATTAAGCTTGGAGGATCGACCGATTGAGGTGTATCCCACCAGCTCAGTTGTGGCTGGGGATGACGTGGTGGCGCCAAAGATAGTTAACCTTGAATATCATCAGGGTTTTGGCGGCGTATAAATATCTAATTGGTTGTAAATTAACGCGATAGAGCCTGTCACCTGATGCATTTTGGAGTGCCACAAAGGGAGGAGTGGGAAGTTGCCAATTTGGGACCAAAATCTATATTATTCGTGATAGTAAAGATACCATAATATAGCAAATAGAGCAGCATGTTTATTTATCTGAAAGATAAACATAACACAAATCAGGAATCTACTAGACCTGGGCTGTCGCATAAGTCGTGTTTTATCGTAAAAAGTCCCGTCCTTCGGCTGTTGTTTTAGTGAGGAATGTTACCGAATATTATCAAAACCCCTAAGTTTTTACCGTAAATTGACATCCTAATTCTCGACAGCCACATCTCACTAAAGAACTAAAGTCACTGTCGAATGCCATTATTTGTTTTGAGGCCCTAAGAGCATGTCATCTATTCCGTCTGTCAGTTATAGCAAATAAGCACATTCGTCAATCTCAAACCTTCCAAGAGTAAAAGTGCTTCCCTCTCCTTGGTTATAATTAATAAGTCATAGCACAACAAAATTTCTTTCTTTGGTTGGTTCAAGATCAACGAATCAAAAAAAATACTTAAGGTTACCCGCTATTCGTAACTAACTGAAGTACCGAATGGTCGGGAGATTCTGCTGCTTATTCTATTTTCTCCGAATATGGGTATGGCGAACATTCTCACGAACTTCTAACCTCCATAGGGTCTCACAAAATCAGGTACTACGGCTTACATGGCGTTCGAAACCTGAAATTTAATGCAACCGTAGAAAAAAAGTTGCAAGACTATTCTATACTAGGTCCTGTTCGCGATGCCCGAGGATACAATGTACCTAAAATTCTTTATGGATTTAGCATGAATCTTTAAAGTAGCGGAAGATCAGGTAGAATGCGTTACGAGTGCAGTCTCGTATCCATTTTCTCGCCCCTTCTATTTGTTCCGTACTCGATCATTCTTGCAAAACCTTGCTCCTCGCTTATATGTAGCCCCCCCCCTGAAAATGAAGACAATAACATGTGTCACCTCACGTTGATATCAGCTTACTCGTTAACAAGTCGCGATTCCGGATATTAGAATGAAAAAACCAAAAACGGACATACTAGCCCGTAGCTGTTTTATTCTCGTGATACAGTGCTACAATTCAGTCAGCAAATGGCAGCAGGTTTTCGAAGTCGTAGGTTTCTTGAAGATATCGATACATAGCACTGAAGGAATGGATTTATTGAAATCAATTTTTAAGTTACCAGAGCTGAAGGCCGAACCGGAGAAGACACCCAGAACAGAACATCCTCATGCGAAACACGTAAAATTCTTACACAATCTCACCGCGTCTACCATAGGGCTGAAAAGATCTCGCTCAAACGCAACAAATCAGAATGCCGACTTCGAACAACGTCTCATGCCCATGTGCTCATATCCTCTAGCTCGGACGTCGTTTCATGCGGTGAAGGGAGTGAGAAGTGCTAGAAATGTCAGAATCCCTCATCTCAAGAATGCAGGATAGCCTACTGGTTGACAAAGCTGCCCCCCACCTGGCCATGTAAAACTAGCTCCGGCAACAAGTTCGCAATTCACACAACGGTCGTGCTTGCAAGGTGAAGCGTTGCAGCGGACACCGCCATCATCGAGTTGTAGGTGTCTGCACTGACAACATTTCCAGTATACTGACATTTTGAAGTGTTATTTCGGCGAAAGAAGAGGAAGATATCGTTATCGTGAAGTTTCCAACTTCCTGATATCGAGATTGCAGCTTCAGGCTGAATTGTGAGGTGATTAAGCGATGGCACGTGGGCCCGAAACAGATGGATGAGCGTGGGGAAACCAGATACCGAACAAGATAATGATGAGCTTTGAAGAGCGATAGGGGCTCTCTATATATTGTATCCACCCTGGAGTAAGACATGGAGGAAGGCCGGCGAGGGACGCGAGGGACGCGAGGTATCGTAGGTAAAAGGGAGTTGTAGCCTAAAGATGTGTTTAAGGTGTGACTTACACACCACTTCAGATATACTCTGAAACGCGAGACTTGGCTCTGATTTTGTATGTCAGGGGTAAAGATAGTGTTGCGTGATTTTGAGCGTGGAAGTTTGCGACGGGTGAAGGTACGGAGTTTCTGGATTCGGGTGGTGACTGGTTGGTCTACGCACCGAATGTCACCTTGCTTACTGACTGGAAGGAATCTGGGAGTTCGACGCCGTGATATCCATAGTTGAGCATTTGCTAGTTATAGAGTATTTCAATGTAGTCAGCGTAGACATTTCATCATCAGGGGTGATCAGATGAGTAACAACGGTACCAAGAGGGAGCCCGGACTAGAGTGTTAGCACTAGCCTTTGGAAGCACAGCACTGCCTTCCACTGCATATAGGTGCTTTGTAGATCAGCTTTGAAATAATCTGTAGCAGTTCCCAATAATCGATAGGGATGATGTTCCCTCCACCAAGTCACAGAAACCCTGAAAATACCGATGTTGTGGGTCGGCGCCAGCCGTTCTTCGGGACTCACTGATGAAAACAGGGTGAACAGCAGGTCATGACAGGGAAGAGGGGTAAGCCTTTTTGACGCGGAGTGCATGACGGTAAGCCAACACATCCAGTAAGACTTTTCGTCTTTTTCCACGCAACCATTACGGCTCGGGCGTGTCCATTGGAGGGCCTCTGCGCCGGGAAGGAAGAGGCGTGGCATTCTGTAGCACGAGTACGAGGTGCTTTGAAGGCAGTTCTCCGGTCTGTAGTCCATGGTATCGGAAGCCGTACGTGATACGAAGGCGTAGGAAGCGTTGCTGTACGACATGCTGTAAGTTATAGCTGTCGTAACACGAAGAGATACCTAATTTTCCTCCCTAACATTTCGCTGTGCCTCGCATTCTTCATGATATGCTACATACTGTACACCGGAACGAAGACCCCCATAAAACGTGCCTAAGCGATAGGCGTTCAAGGCTCAAGTATAACCTGGAATACTGGGCAGCTCGGCAAATCCAGTCTTTTGATCCCCCAGGAGTGGGATGATCAAGCAACGTTTCAAGGAAAGTTTTGTTCAACCGGGCGATAGGAATGAGCTTAAATACAGTGTCTTACGATAGATAAACTCTTTTGATATCTCTTGACTAAAGGTTAAACGTCATACCAAGTGATGTGCCACGAGATAATGAGTCGAACGAGCGAGTTTGGATAATTCAAGATGTTGACCGTTCTCTGCCATTTTTGATTTATGTCCAGGTTCGCCCTAGTATGCGGTACAGACCTTCCTATTCACTCAACCCGAAGAGGTACATGTCTCGCTAAACAAAAAGGGGGGAGGCCAAGAAAAGCTAGGACCAGGTACGTAGGTACTTTCGTACATATTCTCAGGCTAACCGAGATTGCTTCTGATCGTCGTTATGTTCTGCAGGAGCAATAGTAGAGGACGTTGAGAATTAAAACCTGGCAATACGACTTCGTATCCTCTACCGCCTAATTTGACAGAAGCTACAAGAGATTTAGGGCAGCCGCGGGCTACCGACATCGGCTAGCAGAAACTTCTACGTCATCACGAGAGTACAATTATGGATGTAGAATTTTGAATGGTGACATGGTGAATTGAATGTTTGTTACAAACGCAGTATTCGTTGTGCTGCTGAGGACATGTCGCTGACCAATTCCGATAACTGTTTGGAGAAATATGTTTGATATGATAACTGGTAGCTGAATGCTGAAGTAAATCTAGACGTTGAAATCGAACTATAGAAAAAGAAAAAACCACAATCCGAAAGAATTAGGAACTACATAGGCTATGGAACGTAAGCTTAGGTAAAGCCACAAAACAAGTATCTGTCATCGCTAATATAAATCTGAACAAGAGATGGGTTGCATTTTGCTAGACGACAAACGTAGAAACACGCAAATTACAACCACCACTTGGAACCTACACTGCAATCTAGTACACTATAGTAACAATCTACGACTTATTTTGCTACTGAATTAATAATTTACGCACCTAATAAATGTGCTAATATGATTCATGGCCTCACCAAAAAAGTCAATCGAGTGTAGTAGCGAGCAAAGTAGACGATCTCGCGGAGGACAAAATAAGTGTCAATTATCTATCCACTAATCATTAGACTGGAAGGGTCGACTTAAAATAGAGCTCAAGAAGTCTGATTTAATCGAAATAATTTCCGGAACCTACTAACCCTACGATATCTCATTAACTTACTTAAAGAAATATCGTGTTTCGACTACAACTTGTTCTGTCTACTACGAGACGATATACACTTTAAGTAATACCCGTTGGTATTTTGATGGATACTACTCAATTCCAGTTATAAACAAAAAATGTCCTTTTTAATTTCATAATTCAGCCTCAAAGCCTACACGAAACCAACATAATTCACTAACATAGAGCAAGAATTCAAAATCGAACAACTTGCCGTTTTAAAAACGTAACCTTCACCACCTCAGTTAATCAACACCACAAACTTTTTGCTTTTACCTTGACTTCCACGACTTAAAACACGAAAACCACCAAGTACCGCATTCCAAATTTGCAATCTACATCAAGGATAGAACTTAAGTTGCCCCACGACAGCAACTGCGCCACAACTTCACTTTATTACACTCTGCAAAATTATGACGATATTCAATGTCAGAAAGCAAGATACAATTAGCTATACGCTAACTTCTTACATAGCTGATCAGACATGCTCTTACGTTCGAGGTAGATGTAACATACCCAAACCCCTATATTTGCCAAAGAAATTTGAGAAGATACATATATATTCTATCCTGTAATAAGGACAAATATGTTCCTTAAAGAAGGTGTAATGGTAGGCGGTTGCCTGATGCCAATATGCTTCTACAGTGTCCCGTCAGTCTTGAATTAGAATGGCAGTAGAGCGAGTTTACATCGCTTAATAGATGTATCTTTTATACTTCATGAGCTTGAACAGACGGAATTCATGTGAAATTCTTTCTACAAAACACCTTGAGATTAGATCCAATCCAACAGTCTAAAATTGAAGAACCAAATTAATAGTATTTTGAGTTAAGACGTCGCTCAGATGCCATTTAGTCAAATTTCATTCAAGCATTGAAGTATCCCGAAACCATTTATCCCGTAGTACATTGAAGAACAATAAGTAGCCAATCACCAACCTACATATTACTATACCGAATAACACAGAGCAACGTCCTGTAGCTTTCATATTGCCTTACTGCTAAAGAGAATATCCATCAGCTCAACATCTTTCAAAGATTTAGAAAAGTCACAATGATATCCGGGAGACTTTATAGAACAGTGTCCAACCAATAAAGCGTCTCAAAACAGCTTGCAGAATAAAATAAAACTGGCAGAACCTCTTACCAAACTAGTCTACGAAGCGAAGTACAATTCAAAATGGGAAAGCATTTTCAACTAAACTCTAATTGCATCTCAACAGAATTCGACAACCTCATATTACTAAAAAAGGAGAGACACAATAAACAAGATTATCTTAACTTTATGGAAGAAATATCAAGTTTTGACCATCAGACTAATGGTTATCTCATTTACCGCAAGGAGGGATCTTGTTTGCGGATGTTTGTTTCTATGTCTTGTGTGACAAAGTATTGGTCAATCAAGAGAATTGAGAATACGTCACGTTTTTCCAACTCTTGAATATTCAAATATCTATAAAGGATAACTAGATAAATCTCGGTAAGTCACTTCGGAAATTCAATACACGGAAAATAACTCCATCTGCTGCAGAGTATCTTTTACCTCCATGTATCTAATTATAGCAAGAACCATTGATGTAGTCAGCTTATAATTGATTGCAATGCAACAGTATACAAATAAAAATTCAATAAGTCATGCAACATCAATTAATTGAAACTCAGCGGTAAGCGAACAAGAAGATCTCGATGATATTTCTTAAAACGATGTTTATAAGCGAAAACGATGAGTCAATACGTCGATACGTCAAATAAATCCACGCTTACATTTTCAACCAATATCCATCAATTGAAGAATCAAGAATAGATAGCAGAGTATCATTGCTAGCCATTAGCTGATTCCCATATCTTCATCAGGCTTCCGTTCCACAAGCCCGCATAAAAGACGAGACAAATAAGAAGTCTCAAATTTGCCAAAAATGTTGGAACCACGTGACATAGTCAACATCGCCTACCAGGGCAAATCTTGTACCCCCCGAGGTCTGTACGAAGATATTCCATTACCGCGATATCCCATCGGCATACCGAGGCGACCGAGTATCAATCCCACGTGAGATTTGCCCTACCATTGCATTTGCATGTCCTGGGTCCCCAAAAGGAACTTCTCATCAGTGAAGTACGTCACGGAGTGTAACTCCAGGCAGCGACGGAACCATGGTAACAGGGCTGACTTACCTAGAAAGCGTTCTGGATCTTGATGAGGTTGATGAGATCCTGGTGGGTACCTGGATTTTGAATTAAAGAAGAAGCGCGGAAGACGCCAACTATGGCATCACGTGGCTGATACAGGATCTTGATCAATGGCAAGCCTTGAGATATCCCGTCCTCTGACTTGGATGAAAACAGCAATGGATGACCCCCAACTTCAGTGACACAACGATTGCTTATCTTCCAAATAGGACCCCGGTTCAGAAGCAGTAGAATAGTGAAACCTAGCAAATTGCTTGTCCATTTGTTGGGCACTACACAACTGGAGTGATATCTTCCTTATTGTTCTCCCTGTCCCTTACCCCGCGATGTATCAGTCTTTTTGGTGGCGTCTTTTTGACTAGGTATGCATGCTGTACGAAGTAACGCTGTTGGAACGTAATTGCAGCTTTGCCAATTATCCAATTGAGCATCAACTAGGTAATGGATAGAGGGCCGAGCCTGAATGGGCACTGCCTGGTCTCTCGGCATTGATATGTCAAATTCCTTTTGGGGATTTGCCCCTCTTTCTTTGAAGAATTTGGTAACACGGGAACACCTGTATACCACGTCTTCCAAGGTTTCTGCTCACGGTTCTTATCAGGGCGTAACCGTAGTCGATGGTGGTAAGATGGGACTCAGGGACAAGTCATTTTCCGCCTCACATTAACGTCTCTTTGATCAATGTTACTGTGACACTGCAGTAGCTGGGAATTTAGTGATCAGGTACAGCATCATAAAATAGGTCACATGCTAGAGAATCCACTACGACAACTTTGCTGCTCTGTCAGACGAAACGAGGAGCAAGCAACTCATGTCGGTTCCCGTTTATCATGCAATTCTATTTATTCGCATCACAAACACATTCGCGTTGCGGGGTGACCGAACAGCCTCACTTTCGAATGCATTTGGTGGAGTAAATCGAGATCACTTGCATAATTCAGGTGCGGCTGAACAAGCAAACAAACATGATCATGGAAGTACGAAATTGCGTTTGAAGGGTGTTGAACGTTGCGGGATAAGGTGAGATGCTAATTGTGAGACAGGCAGGCCACAACTGGACACAATCGGACCATGATCAAATCAGAGAGAAACACATAATAAGGCAAATTGAAGCCTAGAAAATGGCAAAATAGGTCGCCAATTGTGACTGATCGAGATGAAAGAGAGGATTCGTCCGGACGTGAATTGCTACGGATATCAATGCCGAGAAATATAGAACACGATAGAAGTTCAAACATGAATGCATTAACCATGATTCCGGTTCTGCAACCCATACCTGCTCGATCGAAGATCAATTGCGGGGTATGAGGTTAGACCCTCTTGGTCACTATGGGACAAATTGCAACGTTTGTCAGCCCACGATGCTAAGTAAGGTAGTGGTGGCCTTCAGGATTTGCTTAATTGACCACA